ATATAGTCGAATGTTGTCGCTTGGAAGCATACGCGATCCAAAGTCATGTTCTCCAAGTGTAGGTGAATTCGAGACCTAGCATAAAATTGATACATCTTTTCAGGATGCACGGGAAAGGTCAAGGCCAAATCTTTAGTGTCTCGGTCCAATGACGCTGATTTGGCAACGACTTTGCCCGCATGAAACCCCAGACTCTCAAGGTTCTCGGGATCTTGCTTGACTGGAAGGTTTTGCTCAACAACCCAGACCCTGCCAAACGGTCTTAGACCAACGCGAACATCACAGGTAAACCTCATTGTATGAAGGCTTGCTTCTGAGTTCGGAAGCACTGCCACGATACACTTCGTTCCCATGCCAGTACGATAGACTTTATTTTGAGAATCGGAATCGGTCAACGGGGAGGAAATGACGTCAACGTTCATTTCAGAGCGCATCGATTTGGACGTCGCAATTAGGTTCATCACGTCACCAATGGGAAGAAAGAAAGCCACTTTCTGCTTCAATTCTGCCGGGAGGGCGTTGAAGGCAAATGCGGATGGATCTGAGGATATGTGCTGTACCTCTGGTTGTTTCTTCTGGCCATCGCTTTTGGAATTGGAACCGGGTTTGAATTTGTTGGTGATTGTGGAAAGCATACTTTGGGACCGGGAAGATATTGATTTTGAAAACCGCTTTGTAGTTTTCTTCGTTGCCCCAATGAGCGAACTTCTCTTGAAGCTGCCCAAGCTGCTCGAACTTTTCGGCTTCTCGTCATTCTCGTCATCAACTTCGGCTGTCATTTCACTTGTACTACCATCCATATTATTCTTGCTCTTGCTCTTGCTCTTTGATGAAGGCTTGCCATCGTCATTGTCGCCCTTTGCTGTTGTTCCAATCGTACTGTGGCCTGTGCCATCTGGGTCCGATTTTAGCTTCAGACTTTCCTCCCTCTTCATGCCCTTTCGAGGTTTGCGCTGTGGAGTCTCAGGTGCATCGTCGCGGCTTTTCTCGGAAAGCTTGAGGGACGATGGTCGCTTGAACGACGATCTCTTTTTGGACTTTTTCGGACTAGCCTCCGAGGCATTGCTTCTTAGGGACGATGGTCGTTTGAACGATGACATTTTCTTTGGTTTAGGCGAATCAGTCTCATCGGAGGCACCATTGTCGCTGTTCAGCAAAGATGACCTCTTAATCTTTGGTGACTTGGAACGACGACCAGGTGATTTGGCGCGGCCAGGCGACTTGGAACGACCGGGTGATTTGGCGCGGCGAGGTGATTTGGAACGATCCGGTGATTTGGAACGACCAGCAGTGGAAGAGGTATCAGGCGAAATCATATTCTTGAGGCTTGATGCACGTACTTGCCTGGGAGAGGCTGGGTGCTTGGGAGAGGCTGGCAGTTCTCGCACATTCGTCGATGGTTTAGTGCTACTAACAGAGTTTCTGGTCTTTTTCTTCTTGGGTTTTCCTGCGGGAGATTCCATTGCTGCTGTTGGGAAACTGCTAATGCTGTGTGCCTTGTCTCCTTTTTTCAGTCGTCTCGCTGGTTTTCGAGGGGACGACGTCTCATCTTCGTCGTCGTCGTCATCGTTGCTGGAGGACGATGTCTTTTTTTTCTTGGTCTTGCGACGCTTCCCTCTTGACACGGATCCGGAATGGGTCCGCATGAGCTTTCGTTCCGATCGTTCCGATTTTTCGTAATTCGTATTGGCAGCACCAGCAGTCGTCTTCATGTGTTCCAGATCTGCCGAGGTGGTTTTCTTGAGGGTAGGTCTCGTTCGTTGCGAGGTCGACTCGACGTGGACACTGGAACCGAGGTTGCTGACGGCGAACTTGGAGCGTTTCGTTTCGGGTGTCCTGTTGCCAGAGAAAATGGAGCTTGTCGATGATTCGTTGTTGTTGTTTTTGTTGTTCAAGTTTTTCTTTTGCGATGTTTCCGGACTTGCAATTGTGTTAATCACATCCTCCAGTGGCGACTTTTTGTCGGCATCATTGGAAGACGATGGTGGTGTCATGTCCAGAGACTCAATCGTTGAAGCTGTCGATACAACAGAATGGGAAGATGTGTCCAGACCAGCATCTGAATTCTTCTTCTTCTTTTTCTTCTTGAGTACGTGGTCTTGCTTGGAATCATCATCAGCCGTTTGTGGTTCCATTTCTTCTTCGTCTTCTTTCATCTTGTCCTGCTCAGTTACTGGTTCTTCAATTTCAGTGGCTTCCGATGGTTCCTCTTCTGGCGAAGGTTCTAGGTTGATGGTCGATAGTGCTGGCTTGGTCGATACTGTTGGTTTGGTCGTCGTTGCTGGTTCTGGAGAGTACAGATTAGCCTTGGAATTGCGTGATCGACGGGGACTCATCAAGGCACTTGGACGTTTTCGTGGGGTTCCTGGCGTGCTGGGTGCCGATGGTGGTTCGTCTTCCTTTTCTTCTTCTCGCGAACAAGGTTGCAGGCTTATAGCATCGACATTCGTCACCGATACTGCTGCTTTGGTCGTCGTTGCTGGTTCTGGTGAATATAGGTTTGCCTTGGAATTGCGCGATCGCCGAGGACTCATCAAGGCACTTGGTCGTTTGCGTGGCGTGCCTGGTGTGCTTGGTGCCGATGGTGGCTCCTCTGCTTTTTCTTCTGGTTCCAGGTTGATGGCATTGACCATGGCCGATACTTTTGGTTTCGTTGTGGCTTCTGGAGAGTATAGGTTTGCCTTGGAATTGCGTGAGCGACGTGGACTCATCAAGGCACTCGGTCGCTTTCGTGGTGTCCCTGGTGAGGTAAGTTCTGCTGGAGGTGGTGCTGGTGGAAGTTTATCCATTGCAGCTTCAGCCTTCGAATCATCGTTCTCAATTTTATCACCCTCTGTTTCAGGCTTTTCGGAAGAAGATGGTTCATCTTCTTTTTCAGGTTCCATTTCCTCAGGTTCAGGTTCATCTTCAGCTTCCTCAGAGTCATCACCGCTGAAAGTACTTGAGGATGCAGTGTTCGTAGGAGACACAACCTTGCGTGGCATCATTTCCGCCATCTGATGCTCTTTCTTGGCCTTGAGTTGGTGCTCCTTGAGTTCGCTTAAATTGGTTGCAAAATTCTTAATCCTGATCTCATCCACTTCCTTATTCCATGGTGTTGGTTCCACATCCGGCACAGCCCAATCTTCTTCTTCCAGGCCACAGTTAATCATGAAGGCGGAATATCGAAAGTCCCCAATTTCGTCATCCGTATAAAAGACTTCGTCCATTTCCTCCCAGGTCATCTTCTCGAACTCAATCGTCGTGGGTTCGTCTGCGAACCTCAAGCCCATCTTGTTTTGCTGTTTGTTGGTTTGGGTGTAAACCGACGTGACTTTTCTGCTTGTTACTGTTGTGGGTAGTTAGCTAATGGTGATTTAGCTATTAGCAGATGATATTGTGTTTGTTTTGGAAAGATATACAGTATGTATATGCGAACGACAATAGCTAGCTAGAGCAACAACAACAGACGAAAAAAATTATGTGAAAAAATCAGGAGGCCGCAATGAGACACGGTCACACCAAAGAGATCCAAAAGTCCGACCAACAATACGCCGTACGCAACAACAATGCTGATCGTCATCCGTGATTACATTTATTACAAAACCCGACCAGTTCAATTAATGCTTATGTCGCAACATTCAGTTTTATTTAGCGGGGCTTAGGTAATAGAAACGCCCGTATGGAAATCTCTTAATTTGATAAGCATTAGATTATTTATTGAAAGATGACCTTTATTTTCGCTGTGCAAAGGTTGGCGTGATGTTCGTGAGAGGCTGTCCGAGACAGAAGTTAAAAATCAATCGAATGAATCTTCAATAATCTCTGAATTATGCACGCCGGCATGTCTGTCCTCTTTTGAACGAATGAATGAAAATCAATCGCCAGTTTCAAATGCACATGAAAAACACTAAATAATCATCGTTGGTTCTGAGAACCTTCATCATCTCTCTAATACCTTTGCTTGTTGAATGAAAGGTGTTTGGTGAAAGCCTCCCTCCATGAATGAGAACGAACAAACTTTAACAATACAGTATCGCTCAACAAAAGCCTTATAACAAACAACAAACAATGGAGGACCCTCAGCTCGCGGCAATGATGGTAGCCAATGCCAAAAAGCAAGCAAATGAAAATACCAGAACCCATTGGAATCGAAATTATGAGGAATACGTTGTGGAATCCACTGGACGAGGTGGTGGTGGGGAAGCTCCAAGGCGTAAACAACAGGATACAAAGGCGCAACATCTGGCAATGCAAGCCTCACTCTTTCAAGAAGCTGCTTCTGCTTCTGCTTCAGATACAAACGGGAACAATGCATCATCCTTAGATTCCGTATATCCGATGCAACGAGTGGATACTCGAAAGACTAGCAATGCAGCCGAACATCGAAATAGTCCTCATCGAAAAGAAATTACACTGGAGGATCTACAGCAGCAGCAACAACAGTATGCTGCTTCGGATGTCTCGTCTTCCATTTTTGGCGGCTCAGAGTTCTCCAATCTCTCAGTTCCATCTACCTCGGTGCAAACGATTCAAGCCAGCAATACGAATACGAATAGAAATGCGATTGCGAATGCGAATCAACAATATCAAAGTCAACAACAATATCAAAGTCAGCAATATCAAAATGAGCAATATCAGCAACAGCAATATGCATCTTCCTCTGCTGCTGGTGTATCCGATGTCTCTGCGTACGACTATTCGGATTTCTCCCTGCCGTCCGTCGGTGCTTATGCGGATTCGGATGTTCTCGTTCGTCATTCCAAAGATTATTATGCAAGCCCTAGTGGTGGTGGTGAAGGCACCACGAATGTAAATTTGGATTCCTTGTATCAGACTGCCAGTGGCGAAAATGGTAACTCTTCCTCCTCGTCTCAATCGGAATTTTCTTCGGATGATTCGAATTCTTCGTCGTTGGATGCTGATGCGGGGGCCTTGGATTTGGAAGACGAAATAGCTCAAGCAGCAGGCCTGACGAGGATGATGATGTATCCGGACTCGCCACTCAACAAGTTTGGAGCGACACATCAGACACGTACTAATGTTGGCAATAATCCTGGTAATTATGCTGGGAATAATGCTCCAAGGGTAGTGCCAATGTCTTCCCATTTGGTATTGCCGGAGGATTCGGAATCGGAAGATGGCATGATCTTTTTGGATCGATCCCCCGCCGAGTCACCCATTCCTCCTCTTTTGCACAATCAGCATGCCTTCTTTCGAGACGAACCACATCGACTCATTGATTCTCCGAGTCGCAATCGCATTCATGATCATTCGCACCATCAGGATAGTATGGATATGGAAACGAGTACGGACGACCACAACCAAAACAACAACAGCAACAGCAACAATACAATTACGCCCACCAAGAATGCAGCGCCCTTGTCGGCAACCTCTCCTTTTACGAATCATCATCAGCCAAACATCACGCCTACCAAGACGCCAAAGACGAGCAACACGGAGCAATCGCGAAACTATCGAAATGCCAGCAACATCATTTACCAAGACAGCGATGATGACAATGAAACCTTTGACGATGACGTGTTTCGGGGGAATCGAAACAATGTATCGCTGAGCAGTGACGCCCTTAATGACATCAGTCGGTTTGAAGATGAGCCTCGCAATGGTGGTGGTGGTGGTGGTGGGGATGGACAAGAAGTCCGAGAGCAAGAATTTCCAATTTGTGCCGAATTTTCCGCCTGGACCCGGCGAAACCGATTATTGTTGGTCGTTTTGATTGGAATCTTTCTTTTAACTTCCATTCTGATTATCATTCGGACCGTTACGGCCGACGAGGGGGCCATTCAAGACAACCCACCCAGTCTTGCGGATACCATCAAATTGAATCGGACGGACGATGACGATTTTCAAATCATCATTGTCAATAATACCCAAGGTGGTGGTGATAATAATAACAATGATGATAATGATGATGATGTCCCAGCCACGATATCCACAACACCAAATCCCACGTCGGCACCCAACGATTTTGTGATTCCTTCACCACCACCCACGGCCCGTCCTACACTCCGACCAACTCTTAAACCACCCACTGCTGAACCCACACGACCACCCACCCAGCGACCGACACGGCGACTAACCCAATTTCCTACCATTGACCCCTTTGGATTCAATCGAGAACAATTCCTCTTTCAAGTAGCCAACGAAGCTTCCAGTGCTTCCAGCTTACTCGACGAAACAAGCTTTCAGCATCGTGCCTTTCAATGGTTGGTCAATGAGGATGATCCTTCCATATTGGATCCAGTTGCCAAACTAGGAAAGGGACATGACATTGCTTTCTATGAGGAAATCATCGACCGGTATGTCATGGCGCTCTTGTACTTTTCCACCGATGGGCCGAATTGGAGAATCCAGTACAACTTTTTGGCGGCCACGAGTATCTGCGATTGGAACGATGGAGGTGCGGGAGCGGCCACCGAGGGTGTAACGTGCCGTTCCACCTTGGATGCAAAGGGCTATGTGATTGAAGAAATTGTACTGGATGTCAATTCTTTAGACGGTATTATACCACGGGAGCTTGGTCAATACACGTCGCTAAAGAAGTTGACAATGGGGTCCAACAATCTCTTTGGTGTAATTCCGACGGAATTGGGAACTTTGCAGGAATTGACGTATCTGGGGTTACAACGAAACTTTTTGATTGGTTCTATACCGGCTCAGCTTGGAAGGTTGACCAAATTGACAGGCTTGGTGCTTCACGACAATGGTTTGAACGGCCGTATCCCATCCACATTCAACCAACTGAGCAACTTGTCTCTTTTATTTTTGGAATCCACATCGCTCACGGGAAACTTGGATCCTTTGTTTTGTGAAAGTGGTCAAATCTATCAAATGTTTTATGCCAACTGCCGAGGGAATCCTTCCTTTGTTTCGTGTTCGTGTTGTTCGCATTGCTGCTTGGAATCGGGGGTTGGGTGTGAGCGTCAAGCGACATCTCGAAACGACAATGATGGTGTGTTGAATTAAAAAGAATAGCAATCAATAGTTAAAGATGCTTCACACCGCAAGTTGTTGGCACCGGGGCTGTCGCTATAGTGATGGTGTTGTAGGTTCTGTACACTAAAATGTGATGGACGGCCACTACTGTAGGTTATAGAGATAGATCATTGATTGTGATGGGTTGATTCATTCGATTACTGACGAATGCAAAAATCCAAAGATCGCAATAAATCATCGCATATTGACAGTAATATTCTCAAGTGACGGTGATGTCTACTGTATGAAACAATAGATAATGAAAGTTTCCACATTCATCTCCCTCAATATTCTGGCAGCAGGAAGCGCCTTTGTTCCTCCCGCCCAACCTACTGTAAAAGCTGCCTCCAAATTGGAAATCAATCAAAGCCCACTGAATGCTGATCGGCAAGCAAGAACTGAAGCAGAAGGGTCGTTCCAATCATCATCATCATCATCATCATCTTTCGCCTTGGATGGACTTGACCACAATCACCATGTAAACCGCCGCTCCGCCATTGCTGGATCCATGGGAATGATGCTCCTTGCACCGACGGCTGTATCCATTCTCGCGGGTAATGCTCCAGTCGCAAATGCAGCAGCAACAACCAATACGAATGCGATCCCAACCTGGACGTTAGACAACAATGTCCAAATGCCCAAATTGGCATTGAATACGGTTGGTCTTTCTATGGCGGAAACGGAACAGGCGGTTCAATTGGCCGTCGCCGAGGGCATCACACATATCGATTTCCATCCGGGAAAGGAACGAGATGGAGTGGCCCAATATTTGGCCAAACAACAACAACAACAACAACAAGGTGGCTCATCTCGTCCCAAATTGTTTTTGAATACCAAGATTCGCAAGGCTCCCCCCGGCACCTCGGCCAAGGATGCGGCCGAGCGAACTAGGAATCAAATCGACGAAGATATGAAGGCTTTGAACGTGACGAGTGTGGACATGCTCATGCTTCGTGACAGTCCCGATTGCGACGTCATGCAAGCTCAATGGGCCGTGTTGGAAGAAGCTCTGGTCAGTGGCAAGACACGGTCCATTGGAGTCATCAACTTTTGCGAAAAGGCATTGACTTGTATATTGCAAACGGCCAAGGTCAAGCCAGCCTTGGACTATTACATGTGAGTAGCTACTACTGTATTTGGATGATTCCGAAGAGACAGTCGGAAACCACATGTTCCTCACTATATTGATCTCCTTTCGCTGCTTTCATTCCACAGGTTGCATGTTGGCATGGGACGTGACCCTCTTGGATTGCGATCCTTTTGCGATTCCAAAGGCATTCGAACCTTTGCCTATGGCGCCTTGGGCGAACCGGGACCCAATGACGAAATTTTGAAGAGCCCACTTTTGACCAAGATTGGCAGGGCCCACAACAACAAATCGCCCGAAGAAGTGGCACTCCGGTGGGTATTGCAAACGGGAGCCGCGGCATCGGTGCGTCCCAGTACCACCTTTGGACTCGGAATGGGGGCCTGCGTCGAGCCCGATTGTGGAAATGGAATTGCCAAACGAGCCAAGAGTTATTCCTGGTCGTTGACGGACCAGGAAATGGCCGAGCTAGATGCCATGACATCGCCCAACGATAACCCAACTCTCTTTTCAACGTCTGGATGTCCCAATGCCTTTGTCATGCCAAAGTAGTAGAAACGCTAGCTGCTACTATTGATGCTTGGTACCATGGTACTACTACTACCTGAAGATTAGATCGCTAAAAGCTATTATTATAGATTAGTCGCCAATAGGATTAAAAGACCCACTTCACAATCGAGATTTCCGAAATCATGGTTTTATCTGTCGTTTTACCGTACCGTACCATACCATGCTATCACATACCGGTACACTACTGTACGCTGATAAACTTGAAAGAGTAGTTGCATCATACATGTGTTCGTTCGAGTTGCAGACTGACTGACTCGAGTACTGGCGCCATGGAATGACCCTCTGCTGATCGTATGGTAATTATTGACGACAGTCATTCTTCTAGGCAACGAGTATGACCCATTGCCAATGCAACAAAATTAGATAGGGCCTGGTTTTGGCGGGAATGATTTAATTACGGATGTCGGGCTGGCGTCATACATGTGTGCTGCGTCTGCTCTTGGTGGGGATTTGATTTCTACTTCCAACTGAAACTGATTGCTGCAGTCAGGAAGAACGGTAATCGTGATAAAGAGACGAGACACACGCTACGATACTTCTATCTATCTATCCATCTATCCATCATATCGTAGACTATCACATCACGAACATACAATACAAACACCACGGCAACGACAATACCGTTGAAAAGGAACGCAAAACACACACATTGATACGACATTCTCTAACGTTTGAACCTTCACAGAACGTTCCTTCAACGCCCTAAGTACCACAAACCATCACACAACATGGCCACTCTCACAACATCGAGTTTGCCCACACGGCGGCCCTCACCGGAACACGATACGCTAGAAGAGGCACCAGAAGCCTTGTTGGCACCGTCACGACGACGACAGCAGCAGCAGCAATACAGGCATAGCAGTAGTATTGTGTTACCATCCTATTTGAATCAAAATAATCGAGGAAGCAGTCAAGGAAGCAGCAACAGCACGGTGAGCAGCGCTTCTTCGGATCTTCAATTGATGCTCATGATGGACCCCTATGGGTTGATGACCTTGCCGCAACCCACCAAGCTACTTTCGTCCAACAGCACGGCACAGACGCATGGTATGGAAACCGAGGAGGAGGACGATGAGGCATCTGAATTTCCAAGCATTATGGGAAACACTTCCAACAGTACTACGGGTACCATGGAAGAGGAAGAATTCTTCTTTGATCCGTATACGACCAATACTCTTGCCAGTAGCAGTGGCGATGCGGACGATGGTCATGACATCATGGAGGCGAAGGATCTCCTGTATTATTCCATGAATTCAGCACAAACAACATTAGCTCTCACCAATCCAAGTAGTATGGATGCTACCAGCAGTTGCTGCAATAACAGTTGCAGCGCTTCTACGACAACTACCACTCGAAAGGAACAAGCTGCTCAAGACGCCTCATTCTATCTCCAAGAAGAATTCTTTGATTCCTCCTCGGAACTATCTTCCGAAGGAGAAGCGGAGCTTGCAGCACCAGTGTTGTTTGCCAAGGAAGATGAAACGGCTGTTCGGATGGATGTAGCGGCCAAGGATATTCCCTTTTATTTACAAGAAACGGCTTCCGAGGCTTCTTCCGACGACCTGCTTCCAGCACCAGTATTATTGTTTGCCAAGGAAGACGAAACGGCGGTCCGCATGGACGTTGCGGCCAAGGACATCTCTTTCTATCTACAAGAAACGGCTTCCGACGCTTCTTCGTCTGCTGCTGAGGACCTCCCAGAACCAGCCTTGTTTGCCAAGGAAGATGAGACTGCTGCTCGAATGGAAACCGCAGCCAAAGATGTCACGTTTTATCTGCAAGAAGAGTTTCACGATGCCCAAGAAGAAGACATTATCATCATGTCTCCTTTGGAAGAAGAAGAACAACAATTTCAAGATTGTCAAGATGATGACTCAGTGGACCATGAATCATCCACCTCGTCCATTACAACACGACCAAGCTCTCCTAGTCTTCAAGAAGACTCAAAAGAAGGGTCTTTTACCGACGTTTCCTTTTATCTCCAACAAGTCCAAGAAGATGATGACACCAAGAATATTGTCGACCTTGAAGGAGAAGCATGTCCCAGTGCTGTGCCAGACAAGATTGCTTCCTTTTCCAAACGAATTGATATGGATGGGGCCATTCGACACAAGACAGTCTTTCACAAGGAACATGATGAAATGGTCGAAGAGCTACATTCCCTTGACTCTGGTTCGGAATCGTCCAGGACTGAACAGGACGAACAAGATAATGGTATTGCAACAGCAGCAGCAACAGCAGCACCCGTGCATGCTCCCGAAACTGCTCCAGTCTCCATAATAAACAAGTCATCGTCGTCGTCATCTGCTACTGCTACGACAAGGACTGTCACTTCAGTTGCCTTGTTTTCCGAAACACGAAAACAGAATTCGAGTCAACGGGTCGACATGGCAGGAGTACTGCAACCGACGCAAATCTATGGTCCCATTTTGTCAAAGGCTGCATCATCATCATCATCCAATAATAAGGATACTACTACTATTACATCCAGCAGAACGAGCAGTGAACAAGAAAAACAAGAGGAAACAGCAGCATTCGAACCCGAGACATTGGCCTCCACATTGAAAAAGGAATATGACGAGCACAGTACGGCACGAAATACTCACTCCACCACTACAGAGCAAGTGGGCTGTGGTTGTGGCTGGAGCTTGTTCTCAATATTCCGAAGCAGAAGATAAATAATGCATTGGGTCACAGCATGAATGACATCATGCATTGTTTTCATAGCTCTCATAAATTGACATATATATATTGTAACGTTAGTATTTTTACATTACCCACATCACGATGAAGCAATCAGTCAATGCAGCAGAGCATAATACCGGTACACAGGTGTTCCTGAAATTAATTCTAAAAAGGAGATGTCTGGGGGGACAAATAATAAAAAGAAAAAAAGAAGTTGACACAGATGATTGATTCAATGCATTCGTCGTCTATTACTTCTTTATCCATTGTACATTATTATTGGAACGCCGCCGCCGCCATCTTTCTCCGTCATGCCCCCAATTCATTCATTCATTCATTTTTGTTATCTAGTTATATGATATTCGAATATGATGATATGCATGTAAGCCCAGCCATGCTGCACAACATTCTATTCATGGTTGTCGCTGAAACGTCGATTGTCCGCCAGTACCATAAGTGAAAAAGGCAGAATCTGCTGAAGAGACGAATTGGATGGGTTCTCGGTATTGTACTTGTGCCTGTTGTTGTTGTTGTTGTCGTGGTGGAGGAGGTGTTTGAAATGATGATTGCTGCTGCCCGTAGAATCCAGTGACTTGATGAGAAGACTTGATTCGTTTGTTGGGACCTGAAACTTCTTCTTGCGAGTTCATCGAACTGTCATCTTCCAGCATGGAATCACTGCAGCGTCTCTTGGCAAAGCATGGTGGTGGAGTAGTAGTGGTGGGAGGGCACGAGAAGAAGGAGTTGGTTTGGTGGATGGTGTGGTTGAAGCTCATGGTGTACTTGTAGTTAGTAGTGTGTGATAGTATTCAGATGTCTTGTGGATATCGTTCAGCGATGATATTTGTGAGTGATATGTTTGCAGATTGTAAGTTTGTGGCGATGTCAAAATGTGACGACAGTTGGAGGCTGAGGTTTTCAAGAGATGCTTCCAGCGATCAATCGTGGGCTCGACTCGAAGTATTCAACGGATCTTGCGTAGTTCAAGTACGCAATTTGCCGTAGAAAAACTTCTCGATTCCTCCAGTCACGCTTTGGTCAACCGTCAGTTCCATCAACGGTCGCGTGGAGTCACACACGTTGCTACGCCGCGAGTACACTTGGGATCAACATCACCACGATGGTAATGCAATGGATGAAATTAGAAGGAGTAGCCGTACGTGTATGATTTAGCTTGTAGAACTAATCAATAGGAGACTGGTGTACTTGTCTTGAAAATTACTACATGTAGAGGACAAACAAACAACACTTTGAAAGCTTCAGTAGCTTGCAGCATCACATCATGAGCACCATAACACCCTACCACTCCTAGAGACTCGACTTTGTCATCACGAATGAAGTTTCGTCCACTTTACTATTCATCTCCATTTTACCGTGTTCCTGAAATCGCTGCAACACATGCAAATTTCTCGCCGACCTGAAACACGAGTGCAAAACGAGTCGTGGGAGGTGCGTTTTGTCCTCCCAACACTCGCTTTTTGCCTCACAAATTGGCTGTGGAAACCCTCACAAATTATCCTGTCGACGTTATGAATCGCACACGCCACAACCGAATCATCAAGATCAAAAGAACAAGGGATGGTTCTATTCATAAGCTTCTAAAGCCAATCCAACCAAGAGTCCGCCTTGTTACCATTCGCAAACGCAAGCAGCAGCAGGTACTAGCAGCAGCCACCAATAACGATGACAGTTTTGCTACCAGGAAGAAGCGTGTCCGTCTCTCGGAATCTCGAACCATGAATCGCATTGTGCTTCCCTACAAAAGTGCCAAGGACTCCTCTACGGACAAGCATCTTCTCTTCTTCAAGAAGAATCCTGCTCTTGCAGAGCTCGGTGCCTAAAGCTACATCTGGGTGTGAGCAAGCTACTACCATGTGAAGAATGAAACAGCAGCCTAAAGGAAAATATATGTGTTGAACTGAAACTAGACCCTACTTGAGCGCTATATTAGACTTGGTTATCACCTACCGGTACCTACCGTATTTCATTGTGTTATATATCATATATATCCTTTTTTGCGAAGAGTATCGAACGCGAGTGAAGAAACCACAAAGTTCGCTTTTATGTCTGGAATTCCAGTGAAAAGTCCTAGTTTCTGAAAACAATAAGTATCCTGTTCGTGAATGTCCGAAGCAAAAATGACTTTAGCAAATTTATGGTCGCTCCAGCGCATTTGAGTCAGACTCGTTCCTTCGAAGAATTATGTCATCTACGACAGTTTCTTACCAACATTTTGATTCACGATCAAAACGATCTTCGAATTCTTTTCACCTGAATCATCATCCAGGTCTGGATATATCTACATGGCTTTTGTTTGTATTCCGAACGCATACTGTATTATACTTGCTATAGAAGAAAGATGGAAGCCTACATTGCGAGTCTACTTCGCGAGAATGCTGCCACCAACCTTGTCATTGTCAGGGATGATGCTCTCATTTCCAGCGAGAGAAGGCAGTGCATGGATGAAGAGCCATCATCCTCGGATGATGAGCATTATTGGCACAGGCCGTCCTCATTCAAAAACACACCAGATGTGAACCCAGCACCCACAATTCCTGCTAGAAAAGAAAGTAACGACTCCCTTCATATTCTTTCCGCTTCCAACGAAATTCCACAACATCATGGCTTTTTGGACAAGTTTCGTGGATTAAGAAATCGTGCCTTGGGCCACAAACGCAAGAACAAGGTTAGTACATATGATGAAGGGAAGGAAAGCGAAGACGTCTTTCCCATGTCGACGGAGAATCCACACATCAACATGGAGAACACACAGAGAAATGGTTGGGATGGTGCACGTTCTCCAATGGAAAGCATTGACGAGTTATGGCAAGATAGCTCTCCACCTACATTACCACTTCGCAAAAAGAGTGAGGATAGTCTTATTGAGCAGCAATCGGAATTCACCAGTCGATATCAGCCAAGAAGGTCGTATCAACGACGAGGTTCATTAGATAGCGCGCTAGTAGTTTCACCAGATTGCCAGCCCAAAAGCCATTCTAAACGAAGAGGCTCATTGGAACATGCTGTGGACAGCACCGAACTTTTATCTCCAGAATGCAAGACTAGAAAACATTTTCAACGAAGAAGTTCACTGGATAATTCATTGTTGTTGACCATTGACAAGTCCAAGAAACGCGTCCACCGTAGAGGTTCATTGGACAATGCCATTATCCTTCCAGATGAGCAAACCAAGCATCACTTTGAATGGCAAGGAACCTTGAATAACGCGTTGTTGTCATCTGATGAGCAGACTAGACAGCACTTTGGCAGAAGAAGCTCATTGGATAATGCTTCAATGTTAGTGGATCAGAAGACTAGACTGCACCATCAACGGCGAGAATCATTGGACTGCGCGCTTTTGTCATCTGATATCGACTCTAGCAAGCAAGGTGGATTTCAACGTCGAGGATCGATGGACAACACGATGATGCCCATTAGCCAACCCAATCGTCGATTTCAACGACGAAGTTCATTGGACAACGCAATGACATCTTCCAACCATCAGGCTCAGCTCCGTTTTCAAAGACGAAGCTCCATAGACAACGCGATGGTGCAGCAGCTTATTGACCATGAAACAGTACAAGGTTTTACTCCAGCTGAGCAATATAGGCCACACGAGAACTGCGACAGCAGCGAGGAAGATGTCGCAATGGTAGCGTCAGTTATCACCGACGTGCCACTAGCTCCCGAACCTGACCGCGGCCTTAAGCAACGAATTATGTCCAAGCTGAATTCACCGAGATGGCGAGGAAAGATCGCAATGTCCTCGGATCGTTTCCGAGCATCTAGCATCCATGACGAGTACGGCTGCAAGGCTGCAGCGACATCCAAACAAGTTGCTGACGAATCTAGGTCTCGAATGCAAACAACTGCTGCACCATGTCCTCAGCGGATCAGTGACAGCCAGCTGTCTCTTGTGTCGCAAGAGTCAGGAGGACGTACATGAACATGCTTGAGGGATTGAACAACCTTCGAAAACCCTATGCTGGACGACGTCTCTCTGCTACATTTTGGGTCAGCTAGCGTTCTAGAGTGAGACTTATTTGCACCACAATCCTCTTCTCCTGCCTCCGCCCAGCTAACGATTGGTCTGATGCACTCGATTTTTGCCGAACTCTGGGCACATACTGAAAAACACAATATAATAATAGATATTTTATTAGTCAATAACACCAGTATAATACATGCTCCAGAACAGAACAAAGTACAAACCGTCGTTGCACCCTTTATCCTACTGTAGTTGGACCACAAACAAGAGTATTTTGTTGGTTGGACCTCGTTCACAATCTACCGGTAGACTTAGTTAGTCTTGGTGGGTCCAGCATCGGTACACGTGACACGTGTACCAGCGCAGTGGCCATCACTGCACGTGCCCTGCCATGCCTCGAACTGTCGACCCCGGCGCCTTGGATTTATCATTTTGAGCTCGCGGAGAATGTATGGTTTCCATCGCATGAATTCCGCTACCAGGTTTGACAGAATTATTTATCAAACACGGAGGTCTTTTCCCCCGAGATGAAAAGTTCTGTATCAACTGCTGATGCGATTTAAGGTTTCAACCCCCGTATGCAGCCTTCGCTGACTAGTCTTCGAACAGCTTAGCCCATTCAGACGGGCTTTTGAACTTCAATACCGTTCAGGCTTTGGCTTTGGCTGCCACACCGGTATCGGTGTAGCCATAATTTAAAATTTGCGAATCTCTCAAAGGAAAGAAATTCACAACAACTTTTACAATGGAAGGATACTTCTCAAGACTAATGAGAGAATACTCTGCAACAGACTTCGTCATCATTCGTGACGATGCTGCAATTTCCGAGTCTCAGCGCTCAGAGTTCAGTGCTTCGGTCGCATCCAACGACGAGGACGAAGCACCACAGCGTCCTTCTTTCGGCAACTCGCAGTCGGTCGCCAAGAACTCAGCACCTACGCTTCCATCAAGAAAGAAGAGTATTGATGATCTTTCACTGACCCTGAAGCGAAAGGGTGGTAGCCGTATGAAGCGAATGTCGTTGAATGACGAAATGTTGTCTCACGGCATCAGGAACATCGGAAGCAACGAGCTACCGAAGCTTCCTTCAGGAAACCGCGGATCCTCTTCATCCAGGCATATGTTATTTGATGATATTTTTCGAGATATTGATGCAATGCTCAAGGAAACAGCTGATATCCTTGATGAATGAGACCTCCACATCTTGAAACCACAACCAATATTCAAGCCAGAAAGGTGAGGAGCACACCCCAACGATGCGACACGCGTGAATCAGGGCACACGAAAAAGTATATTCGTCACCGCTTCAGCGACTGGGCGAACCGTGTTATTTACTTCCTGTGAACTCGGATTCATTCCAGGTTCACGACGGCATGGTGCAGCTACCGGTACACCCGGTAGGAAATGGTAGGTGCACAAGACTATCATATATTTTAAAATAATACAATAGATACAGATTTTGCAATACGACTTCCTCTGTTATGGATCCGGAGACGATTCGATTCAAGGAAGAAAACTTTGGCAGCATTTCACGTTCCAGCACATAGTAAACGGTTCCCGGTACTGTAGACAATTGTTGTTAGTCCCCGTGAGGAATATTAGTTACGATAACCGACGTCGACTACAGCTGGAATCTATGGCGACTTCTTAGGATACTATGGTGTACCTACGGATTGAGTGATCTCCTGATATGATGTAGAACGAATCTCAGAAGTAGCAGCAAAGTAATTATATCCGACTGTGATCGGTTACAGTAGAGTAGATGTTCTGGAGCATACTGTACAGTAGAAGGGGAAAAAAATTTCTGCGACCTGCCGGTGGACGGACGAGCTCTTCCAGCATCAGCAAAGCAGTGAACAGAAAGAATGCCGGATGTAGTCATCATCGTGAGTTGCCAGTTGCCAGTTGCCAGCACATTTGACGATTCATCTACCAGCAGAGGGGCGGCACTGTTACTATGCATGACCAGAATCTTCCGCCCTGAAATTCGACTACACCGAAAATACTAAAAGAGTTAACAATTACTGGCCGAATGTTTCGGAGTGGGAGCAAAAGTCATCTGAACAGATTTTCTAGTTTTTGCAATTCGACTTCTGGTCAAGATTCCAGCTCCCACCAGATAAAACATTTAAGATCCGCTTGCTTTTGGGTGTATTCTCTGAGCAGATTTTCTATCATCGGTTCGTTTCATGCACACCTCGACAGTTTCCAACCAGGTCACACATGAGTAAGGTATCTCCGTGTTCCAGTTATACCGAAAATTACGAAATCAAACTGTTGCCTCATAATTTGTGAATAGCAAAATCAAACAATTTTTCCCAAAATTCACAATATCAGATACAATCATGGAAAATTTCATGTCAAGATTGATGAGCGATTACTCTGTAACAGACTTTGTAATCATTCGCGATGATGCTACGATTGGAGAGCATCAGCGTGCAGAGTTCAATGCTATTGCCACATTGAGCCAACATCATGAAGAAGCATCCCAACGTCCTTCGTTCAGCAACCCGCAATCCTCGGCCAGTAATAACGACGCGCCTACACTTCCATCAAGAAAGGAGAGTTTTGATGATCTTTCAATGGCGTCGACGCCAAAGGGTGGTAGCCGTCGGAAACGAAGCTTGTTGAACGACGAAATGTTGTTACGTGGCATCAAGAGGATAGGAAGCAAGAACTCCCAAGCCTTTTTGAAATGAAGACACATGTTGTTTGACGATATCTTTCAAGATTTTGAAATGCAAATTGAGACTGCAGAAGAGAAAAAACCTCCAAATTTGAAACAATTGCCCCACAGGCACGAGATTCGCCACAGGATACTCGGATGTATACATACTTACGAATAGAACAATAGGCACAAAAGATTTTCCTATAATACAGTCTGTACATATATTTTGCAAAAATGCTATTTATACTTCGCATTTCTGAAATCTTTTACTCTCAAAGAACGATAGTTGCGATACCGCCCTATTTCAGTTACCGGCCGCTTCGTTCGAAAGAGTCTAGAATTGCACAGTAGTCTGATCACGGCTAAAAGAGCTTATCTATGATTGTGAACATCATCTGACGCCGACTGCAATTGGAAACCAGCGAGACTGGTGCTCTACGTAGGGTTGTTATGAAAGTAAAAGATTTCAGTGATGTGAATGTAAGAAACCAGCCATCTCCCCGTCACCCCCTGCTAGAGAGAGTACATCCATCAAGTTTTCACGCCCAGATAAGTTCCTTTGATGTTTCTGCTGGGATTCTTGTTGAATATTACGAAAAGTGGAAGAGGAAGACGATAGGGAGGACGACGACCTTCCGATGGGCAAATTTTGCGCTGATTGCGCGCGTCGGTGCTTGTTATTCGTGCGTCGGCCCGTAGTGCCCATGGCCAACCCACCTTCCTCAGGATCACTGTCAATATCATCGTCGCTTGGATGAATGGGACTAAACAAGGCAGCCGCAGCAGCAAGATTTCTCGTGTCTTTTCCTTTAGGAAATGGTGGCACCACACTTTTCTTTAGCTGTTCTATTGACCCTTGCATTTCCAACATGGGAGAAGACGGAGATTCGTCCATTTGGGAGGATGACCGAGGCGTTCTTGTGCGAGAGGAGGAGCGATGTTGGCGACTGACTTCCGAACTCGATGCCACCCTTCTCAATACGTGTGGATTTTCCAACGACGACAAAGCAGTAACCGGTTTTCGTGGTTCTCCACGAACGGGTGTCGCGTAGTGGGGTATACGTTCGTCTCTAGGACACATAGCTTCCACATTTTCGAGAGACTCTAGGACCGTCGATCGATCCCTACTCTTGGAACGATTGCGTCTGGATTGCGCCGACGACGCGGAATTCCGTCTAATCAAGGCAGGTCGGCCTGGTCTCGATGATTCTTCCTTGGGATCCTTCGTCTTCAAGGTCTTGCGCAGCAATGGCGACATGAGTTGTTGTGCAACATTTGGTTTTTCTTTGAGAATCGCTTCGAAATCCTTCTTCTTCAAAGCCTTGCGAACTGGCGGAAGTTCCTCCTCAAGAATCGGCACGTCCTCCCACGGTTCTTTCTTCTTTTTATTAAATAGTCGGTCCCGGCTGTTGCTACGTCGAAGGGTAACATCTTCCTCCGGAGGAGGTGGATCATCCTCATCACCAGTCATACTGACCATACTGTCTGTGCTGTTGACCCGTCGACCCTTGGGAGATTGTCGCAGCACAGCATGCGGTGATAAGGGCGTCAATTCCAACCCGGACATTTGTTGTTTGGGAGTTGGCGGCGAAGACCGTCGTTTGTTTGGTGAGACTTGGTCGCTCAATTCAATTTCGTGTATTTGCTGCTGCTCTCGTTTGGGCGATTGAGGGAACCGCATTTCACTAGAATCCAATCGATCCCTCTCCCCGGTAATGGGAGACCGACCCCGTTGTTCGGGCGATTTGGGCGAAAGAGAAAATTGAGGTGGCTGCGGAAGTCTCGTTTCACTGCTTTTCAGTAGTTCAGTGCTATCCATTAGGTCTTCTTCCTCAGATGAAGAATCATCAGAGATGGAATCCTTGAAGAAACCTCTCATGGAAACGGTTGTCTTCCATTGCGATGGCGATGGTGGAGGCACCTCACTGCTTGCCACCGTAATTTCTTCGCTATCATAAATGTCGTCGTCTTCCTCGTCCGATTGAAAGAATTTCTCGAGCGTTGTAACCGTCTTCTTGGCCTTCTTTCTCTTGATCTCATTTTTCTTGTTGAGATCCGAGTCGGATTTCCAAGAAGCTTTGCTGGACCGCAACATGCGTTCCCGACTGGCAGACCTTGGCTTGTCGGTTGCTGTTACTGCTGTATCATCCCCAACATCAGCAATGCTCATAGTAGACCTCCTTTCCCGACTGACTGAAGGAGGTCGACGTTTGTCCTTCTCAGCCAGAGGTATTTCCACAGTCTCAGTTGTGCTGATGAATTCCGTTTCTTCTTGATCCCGTTGCTGTTCTTGTTGTTGAGCTACTTCCCCCTTGTGTTGCAATTCTTGCTCTTCCCCATTATGATGTAGCTTCTGCTCTCCCCTTTGTTGTTGCTGTTGACCTGGCTTCTTTTGTTTCTTTTTCTTCTTCTTTTTGGACTTTCCACCTGGTCGATACGCATCCGAGCTAAAGGGATCCGCCGCTGTTAGTTTGTTGGTGGTGTTTGCAGGAGGAGAAGGACTGTCTGCAACTTTCTTTCTGAGTTCCACACTACTAGGACTGCTGGTGCTCGTTCGGCGTTTTTGGATAGAGGACGATATCTTGGAGGCAATCGTGTTTGGAACAATCTTGTCGATATCTGGAACCAAGGATGGTTCTTTGCGGGTCCTGACAGTACTCATGGCTTTTGCGACCAGAGACGACATTTTGACTTTTGTTTGTCTTGGCTTGTTGGATTCCTTGTTGCTGCTATTGCTGTTGTTATGATGGGAACCCTTATTTCGTTTCTGACGAAAGGAAGTCGTCTTTTTGATTTTCGATGTGACCCGCTTCAATCGTCTTGGTTCTGTGTGAGAGGAAGAATCCGTCTCGGTAATCACAGGGGATGACATCATATCACCTTGGATTTGACGATGCTTGAGAGGTTCCGCCGAGGCAGGCGACGCCTCCGAGTTGCCGCGGCGATGCTTCAATCGTTTCTTCAGGTTTTGCATTGGAGATTTTCCCACCTGATAATGGTTCTCAGAATTCGATGATTCTGAATGATTATTATTCCAAGCGGATTTGCTCGCTCGCAGCTTTTGGAAGCGACGGACCTTTCGGTTGATATCACCCACAACGGGTGACGAAGTGGAAGAGGCAGGAGACGTATTCCTCCTGTCCACCACAATTGGGGGATCTCGTATTCTGTCGCTTAAGCTAGTCATTTCTGCCTGTCTCGAACTGATGAATGAACTGAGAATTTTAATCACTGATGTTGACTACTTATGAAGATGATGATGGTGGAAGTATGCAGTGGGTATTTGGTCTATTGCGCTTGTGGTTGATGTTCGGGAAGTCTCTGTAGCACATGAACCCAGTCGCTTGCTGCCTTTCCTGAAAAGAGAGGTGATGATATAAGTGTTTCGCATACAGTACAATCAATCACAAGACCACGGTGGTGTTTCGAATGACGGCGTCATAGGTAAATGAAGTGCCTTAATAGACTGGTAAATTTAATCTTATTGTGTATATGTAAAAAAGTGTAGGACATGTCGCAGGTTTTTTCGCCGTCAACCAATCAGACATAATTGTTTGGTAGACTATGCAAATTCATTTATTTGGAACAAATGGTTGGGACTGTCGCACCGAGATGTTCGTGATTCGACTCTCTGGAGTAAAAAAGGAGACGGGCCGAAAAATTTGCAGCTGGCCATGTAGGGACAGGTACTAAAATACACTCACCACGTAGGTGGAGAGGGACAATGCCAAACACGACGTGTCTAAACTGAGGCTATTAGGTACTGTAAGTACATGTACTATATGTATTTTAATAAAAACAAAATAAAAATTCGAATGTTTGCTTTCTCCGAGCCAGTGGAAGGGATTCGGCTCTCCTGTCATCCCGAAGGTACTTCCTGTTGTTGGATCAGAGACATCGTGTCACATCTCACATCCGTCGGATATTGTGGGTAAACAAGATACTACGGTACGACATTGTCATTGATACAGTATGGATTTGGGGGACATGCCTGTTGCAAGCATCCATGCCAGATGGTCATTAATTCGTGTTTGCAGAAGGATACTTGTCTGTGGGTATTCCGATGCGAAGATACATCGGAATACTGCAATGAAGCTTTGTCCAATGAGAATGAAGTATTGTGGGCATGACGTCCCAACTTCTCTGACTGCGCACGGCAACACGCGATTGTGGACCAACGGATTTCTGATAAGAAAGAGCGTTTGTCGCACCCACAAAAAGTGAGACGAGTATCTCACAAAACGTTCATAAAAAGCACGATTTTGACATTATTCCAAATACCAAAAAGATGGATGATCCTACACTTGCCGAAGGAACAATGGAAGCAATGCGCAATGTTAAAAAATCCACAAAGAATGAAGTAATACGCGAGAGCAGTAGCACCAAGACCCCAACAATTCAATTCCTCACAGGAATGAAGAAGGATCTGGCGGCTCGAGTTCCACTCTATTGGGATGACTGGAAATGTCCACGAAGTCCCATAAAGGTATTGAACGCAACCTGGTTTGTCTTTGTTGTTCAATTGATTCCAGCCTTGATTTTTGCAGAGCTATTGGATCGACAAACGCAAGGAAGACTGGCCGTCGCTGAAGTTATTCTCAGTGCTGGTCTCATTAGTGTCATTTATGCATTGCTGGCGGGTCAGCCATTGGTCTTGCTGGGAATCACTGGACCAGTCGCCATTCTACTGGGGAAGTCGTATCGTTTGGCAGAAGACTATGACGCCGAATACTTTACCTTTTTCTGGTGGCTGTGCATGTGGGCTGCTCTGCTGCACATGCTTTCGGCCATGTTTGGAGTGGTCAACTTTGTGTGGCACATTTCTTCCTTTTCCACCCAAACCTTTGAGTTATTCATTGCCACCACGTTTATTTACCAAAGTATCCGTGAATTGGTGCAGGATATTCATTTCCGGGATGCGCAAAGTGACGAGAGATCGGCAGCCTACGCCTCTTTGGTGGTTGGTGCCATGACCTTTGTAATTTGCTGGAAGTTGCATTTTGCCGAACAATGGGACCACTTCAATGCTTCCTTCCGCACCTTTTTGAAAAGTTACAACATGCTCATTGCTCTTGTAGTCATGACAGCTCTGAGTTACTTGCCAGGTGTGGCACAAGATTCCGATGGCCGAAAAGGAATCGAACGAGTCTTTATTCGCCGTGATCCATGGGACTGGAGGCCGACTACAGAACCAGGAATTGAACCACGCCCTTGGGTTGCCGATCCACTGGATGGGATTGATGTCAGAGGCATCTTTGGGGCACTCTTCCCCGCGTTCATGTTGTACCTGTTGTTTTTCATTGACCACAACATTTCAAGTATCATGACTCAAGCCCCAAAGTACAACCTCAAGAAACCATCCGCGTATCATTGGGATTTCTTTGTGCTTGGTTTGACCATGATTCCTTGTGGAATCATGGGTATTCCTCCAGGATCTGGTCTTATTCCAGAAGCACCGCTTCACTCGAAATCGCTCTGTACTCGAAAATTCAAGATCATTGACGGTGTTCGCCGTGAGGTCTTTTCCGACTGCGAAGAACAACGCTGGTCCAATATGGGTCAAGCATTATTGATGTTTGCCATTTTGGCAGTGATTGTGGTCATTAGTTGGATCCCCGTTGGATGTCTATTTGGTATTTTCCTGTATCTTGGTGTCGATGCCATGCACGGCAATGAGATCTGGGAGCGCATCAACCTGATGCTCATGCGTCCCAAGAGACGTCCACCAATCCCGGCCGTTGCCAAGACCAGCAGCTGGAGAGTAGTTCAACTCTATACTTTCATTCAATTCAGTCTCATGGCCGTCACATTTGGTATTGCTCAATTTGCAACATGGGGATATGCCTTCCCAGCATTGATTGCGTGCTACGTTCCTGTCCGAAGCTTTGTGGTACCCAAACTCATTTCGGCAGAAGATTTGAAACAATTGGATCCACCTACCAGAGTAAGTGACGACGACGACGACGAAACCTCGGGAGAGTTGTCATCCGAAAAGGGACCAGATCCCACGGGAAAAGAATCCTTGGAGGACAGTACCAGGGACGCTATCAATGTTTAAAACTTGTTCCAACACAAATGAAGATTATACATAATCAACAAGTTTTGTAATATACATATACATATATAAGAGCCTTAGAGAAATCTCAGCAAAACAACAAGTCGCCGTTTTCTTTGTGTCACTACTACTGTGCCCTGGCAGGAGCATTGGCCCTTCACGATTTCATTCTCAGATGAAGACTGAGTGAGCTCTATTCATCCTACAGCGGTAGTCATTCCAGCTAGAATGCCCAGCAATACTTTGGTAGTCCTACCAGAGATGATCCAGTAAAACTACTGTACTAGAAATACTAGCAGTAGGCGTAGGCGTTTCTGATCTCCTTTTTTACAAAGTTTTAATCTTCACTGTCATTATGATTTGATACCTTCCGAACGCCCAAGTTGATTCCAAAAAGACTTTTTCGTTCCCTATGCTTTTTGCGAGGGGTGCCGTTCAAGGAACCATCCTGCTTCTTATAATTGCGAGTCATAAATGCTGGTTCACTTTTCCTATGATGAGTTTGTTTGCGATGGGTGGTCGTGGTACTAGTAGCACTGCCATGATCCAAGGTATTCCTGTTCACTGCTGGTGGATGAATACTCTTCTTCTCCTTGAAAACTGGAGGTGCTGCTGGCATATTCGGAGCGGGGGATTTCTTTCGTCGTACCGATTGTCGTACGACCCGGCGGCCTTCGGGGGTTTCCACGGTAGCACCTTGGGGTACATGCAGCACTGATCGGTGGGTGGAAGATGACAGTGGCGGTTGTGGCATCTTTTGCTGCAAAGGTGACACGCGCCTTCTTCTTCTTCTCTGATGAGAGCCGCCCCCTGCGGACAGTGGCGGCTGTGGCATCTGATGCTGTGACATGCGTCCCATAGTCCTTTTTGGAGCGGTCGTTCCTGCTGAGGATGGTGCTGCCTGTGACTTGCGATAGAAATTCATGACTCGTATATTGGCACTGTTGGCTCTCACAAATCGGTTGCTCCGACCTTCGGGGGATGAACTTGCATGCCGTCTTGAGGATGACCGAACGGATGCTCTGGGAGATTTCATAGCCGACGGAGAAAAACTCTGTCGCTTTCGTCTCGGTGGAGAATGAGTCTGTCGCTGTCGACTTCGTCTGGGTGGAGAACGGCTCTGTCGCGTTCGTCGGGGATGCGGAGAATAACTCTCCGGTTTTGTGTCATGATAAGAGGTGGATGGCGATGGCGAAGCCGAAGGTTCTCTAGTATCTCTGGGACTCTCACGAGAAGGAGTAGAAGGTGCCTTGGCTCTTGTTGGCGTTGGCGTTGCTGTTTTTGCTATTGATGTTCGGCTGCCACTGTTTTCATGTTCCTGTCGCCAATCATAGCGCTTGACAGGATCGGTCAAGATTTCATGAGCTTCAGATATCGCAGCCCACTTTTCAGTGGCGTCATCCTGTTCGTTGTTTTCCTTGTCCTGTCGACGATCCGGGTGATACTTGAGAGCTGCCTTGTGATAGGCCTTCTTTATTTCACTGTCAGAGGCATCATTCGAAAGGCCAAGTACTTGATAAGGATTATCCAACATGCTGTTTCAGTGGGAATAGTTGGGAGGAGGAGGATGCTAATTAGATTATGTTTTGCGTTAACTTTGCAAGTATCGAAGTAAACTGCGATTTATGAATTTTGATCCGCTGGAGACATGAAACATTGTCAATGTTCAATGTGCTGTCACTTCTGGTCGGATGTCATTCATTCGTGTTGTGTCATGCAGTGATAATTCCTTCATGGTCATTTTCGAATTTTAGATGCGATGCGATGCGGTATTTATTTTGTGGATGTCATTATTTCCGATTTTTTCAGTCGTGAGTGTGTGTGGTGAGTCACTGAGTGAGTGACAGTCAACCGTCGCGCATGAGGAGAGAAGCAATAATCCACAACCCGGATTTAGGTGGAGCATCGACGGGACGGCAGTGCAAGTAAGACAGAGATTAATACATATTCCTTAGGTACAGATAATATATTCTACAAGTATTGTACTAATACTGACACAATAATACAGGAGGCCTTATGCGAAATCCGTACACACCTACTAGTAGCTGTCGCCATTTTGCTTCGTTACCACACCACTATCAAGCATACGATATGGTGGGAGATGTAGTATTGTGTGCACGCACCCACTCCCAGATGCATGCATGCATAGAAAGACCAATCACCAATCGTAGAGGCAGGTAGCTCCCATTTATTCGTCCAGAGATCATTGTTCTCTGAATGATATTAATAGTTGCATTGGGAGAATGGACAGGTCGAACAAGCGACAAGATTTCGCTCGGATGGATGCTTTCAGATTTGAATTATGTCCTTTTCTTTTTCATTTTTGTGGTTGTGGTGGTTGTTGTTGTCAACAGAGTCTGCTGGGGCGCGGAGAGAGACTTGGGCTTTTTCTTCTTTTTCTTGCCATCCTTTTCTTCCTTTTTCTTCTTGCTCTTATTGGATTTCATGGATTTGTCATCATTAGCGTTGTTGTGTACCTTTTTCTTGCCCACGTTGATGCCAAATATGCTCTTTCTCGGTGGAGGTTGGGACTTGGGCCGTTTGACGACCATGTCAGTACTCTTTTTGCTACTCGTTTTCTCCCTTCGGACCTTGCGCGAGGATCCATCCAAGGAAGTGTCGCGGTGACTCTTCTTGCGGCCCGAACCATCCAAGGAATTCCGGCGCACCGCTGGTGAAGAGAGTGGAGGTGCGGGCATGTTTCCACGAGGGGCGGCTGGCAAGTTTCCGCGAGGTGCGGGGGAGGGTTGCGCCGAAGGTTTCAACCGCACCGATTGTCTCAAGACCAAACCGCGGGAGGTTGACACGGTGGGCAAGGGACCCTGGGGGACATGCCGTGTTTGGGACGGTGTAGCGACACTCGCACGTCGTTTGTGAGTACCGGCGCCCGCCGACAATGGCGGTTGGGGCATTTGCATGGACATGCGCCCCACCGTTCGTCGTTGCGAGGTTGCGCCTGCGGACTGTGGCACCCTCGAGTTGTTCTTGGCCCGCAAGGTTCCAGCATTCAAGCTTCGAACACTTCCTGTCATGTTGATACTATTGGAATCGGGACTCGCCATTCGTTGCTTGTTGCTCCAATTGCTGTTGCTGTTGCTGCTGCTGGGAGACGAACTGGAGGGACGCCTTATACTTGGTCGTACGGATGCTCTGGGAGTCGATTGCATGGGTGACGGAGGTGGTGCAGCAGCATACGATTGCCGCTTTCGCCTCAAGCTCACTGGAGAAGCAAAGGAAGCTCTTGTAGACTCAGACTCCTGTTTCTTGGCCATGAATTCAGCTCGTTTGCTCGAGTTGGAGACCGGGTTTGAATACTGATACGAGGTGGAAGACGTTGACGAAGTGGTGGATGGCGGTGCGGCATTTCGAGAAGGACTAGCAGGTGCCCTTGCTGGTTTTGTGGACGTAGTTCCGCTACCACCATTCTCATGTTTCTGTCGCCAATCGTAACGCTTGACAGGATCGGTCAAGGTTTCATAAGCCTCTGAAATTTCAGCAAATCTTACACCTGCATCCTGTTCGTTTTCCTTGTTGGTCTGACGATCTGGATGGTATTTCAGAGCTGCCTTGTGATACGCTTTTTTTATATCACTTTCAGAGGCATCCAGAGGAAGTCCGAGCACTTGATACGGATTGTCCATCATGCTGCTTTTTAAAAGGCACAGTGCAATGCGAATCGCAAAGTGTCAACAATTAAGGTTGAGCTTTCTGATGCTGATGACGATGCTGATGACTGATGAGATTCTTGTCAGCGTTGTAGTGATAGTTCAATCGAATAACTGTTTGGTGGTTATTATTGAGTTGGTTTATGGTTCCGGCATCAATGTAATGTTATAATTATATCTGTGCCTATATTATTTCGAGCAGGTGACTTTTTTTCTTTCCTGTAAAATCTCAAAATCTGTGGATCTCCAAATTCTGAGATTTCCAAACCCATTTTTCGCGAGCCGACCCTCCGATATTTGTTATTGAATCGCCTCTGATTGATATTTCGTGTCTTGGTTGTTGACAAACACATGGTCTTCAGGCGCGGTAAAATACTTTTCTCTTAGGCACCGGGGGCAATAGTGTTATAAATTTAGATAAAGGAGTCGCATCCAACACGTTCATTCGTTGTCTGTCACGTCACTGCTCAATCCAAGCAAAAACTTGGCTCACGCAGAACACAGTCCCAACCTTCATTTAAGTTTTAAAATACTAGCTAGAACCGCCATGTACCCTCCTCGAGCCGGACAAGAAGGAAGTACTGTATTCTCAATGAATTGTGACTATGCCCAGACCACTAAGAACTGTATCAGCAATCAGCACCATGTTTCTCATCCATTTTTGTCTGTTTCTACTGCTATCCACAAGAGACGTGGTGGGTGATGGGGGTACCTGGTAGTAGGTACCGGTAGAGAGGGAGTCCATCACCAGCACGCATGCCCGAAAGACGTTTTATTAAAAAGGCGCGCGACAGACGGACCATATGGGTACTGAATACAGGGAACTGATGGAACATCACAGTCCCCCTCCCCCCGGTTCTTCACGTCACCAATAAATAATACGAAGAGAAACATTTGAGATTTGCGAACATTTCTCACAATAGAATTGATCGCAAAATGCCGCCACCTATCAAAGGTCAGGATGGATTGAATGAATGGAAAGATAGTGGAAAAGTAATTCAAGCCATCGCTACACGAAATGCTGTATCCTTGTCCGAGCAGAAGGAAATTACAAGACACCATTGATAGAGGTGATGTCTCTCGTCAGTCAAACTCCATAGCGAGACCGAAATCGCTACAGGAATGTGGACAAGCAAGAGTGTCTCTTGTAAGCCCAAATCCATAACGTTACCGAAATTGATGTCGTTTGAAGACTGAGTTGTCTTCCGAGCAGAAGTAAGTGAGAAGGCATCACAAGACATTGATTGATAATGCTGGACATCATCATGTCTCTGGTGGTGGCTGCACTGGTGCTGCTGCTTGTCATAATTTGAGCTTCATTGCAATTGGAACGCGATACTTCTAGCCAAACCCACATTTTTTCTATACTCATCATGTTGGACAATCCGTATCTAGTGCTCGGTCTTTCTCACGATGCATCCGAAAGTGACGTCAAGAAAGCATACCACAAGGCAGCTCTCAAATATCACCCCGATCGCCAGATCAACCAGGAAAAGAATGGCGATGGCGCCATTGAGAAGTTTACTGAGATTAAAGAAGCTTATGAAATCTTGTCTGACCCTGTCAAGCGCTACGATTGGCGACAGCAACATGAGAACGGCAGTGCAAGAGCAACAAGAACAACAGCTAAGACACCTTTCAGTTCTTCTCGCGTACCGCCGCCACCCAACGCATATGATTACACAAGTCCGGTATCCAACTCGAGTAAACGAGCCGAATTTATGGCCAAGAAACACCACACCCAACATGAATCTAACAGAACTCCCTCTGTTTCTCCAGGGAGGAGTGCGAGACGAAAGAAGCGACAGAATCATTCTCCGGCGCCACGACGTTCGCCCATGCGTTCTCCAAAAGCATCGCCCAGATCCGTACGACATCCTGCAAGTTCATCCCCTAGCAGCTGGGTCAAGCCACGTGTGAGATCTAGTAGTGCCAATGTACGGACCAAGCATTTATCCCATTCACCAGTCTCTGTAGGCGCTGCCTGCTCTCAACGAAGAAATGTGAGACGCTTGTCGATGCCACACCGGCCACTTTCGGCTTCACCCCATCGAAAGAAGCCCGATATGGTGCTACAGGATGTACCGGAAGGAGTCTTCTTGCCAACCATGGCCACCGCCAATGGCAGAGGCTTTCGAAAATCGGTAAAGAGAAATTCTCTCCAGCCCGCACTCTACGATGACAGGCATGATTCACCCCGCCAAGTCTTGCGACAATCGGTTCGAAGGAATTCTCTACAGCCTACACTCTACAATAGCAGGCATTCTCCCAGAAACATTCCCAAACCACCATTGCGCAGGAATTCGTTGGATCATGGCGTCCATGGTCGCAAAAAGCATATGGAACTAAATGAATCACCACCAATCCGTAAGAATTCGTTGGAGGATGCTTCGTCTCGCAAGGTCAAGAAGACGGAGAAAAAGACAAAGAAAAGGAAGCCAAAGAGTCCAAAGTCCCAACCTCCTCCTCCACCTCGAAAAAGCATGTTTGGAACAAAGAGCCTGAGCATTCGAAAGATATTTACACAATGATAATAATGGTTAAGCACAGTGACAAATGTGAAGCAAAATCATACTATAGGATTGCTATTATACTATTGTGGTAACTTGATTCCAAAGAAACGTTCTCGAGGTGGAGGAGGAGGCTGGGACTTTCCTCTGATCTTGTTGACCTTCCGAGGGGAACCATCCAACGAACTCTTTCGCATGGGTGGTCTGTGCTTGTGGCGACCGTGGGTACCATGATCCAATGAGTTCCTCCGCACTGGTGCAGTGTGGGTCGAATGGCGACTACGGTGCACATCCCTATGGAGTGGAGGTGCAGGCATATGGCCACGTGGAGCGGGCTGGGGTGATTTGCTCCTTACAGATTGTCGCAAGACCGGGCCTTTGGGGGTTGTCATAGTAACGTTTTGCCAAGGAGCACCGTGGGGTACTTCAAGCGATATTCGGTGAGATGAAGCTGATAGTGGCGGCTGTGGCATCTGATGTGGCATCCGTCCCACAGTCTTTCGTTGCTGAGCGGTGGCTCCTGAAGAAAGCGGCGGTTGCGGCATCTCATGCCGTGACATGCGTCCAATAGTTCTTCTTGGGGCGGCCGCTGCTGCAGAGAATGGTGTTTGGGACATGCGATGGGCATTGTTGGCTCGTCTAGTATTGGCACTATTCGATCTCACACGTCGCTTGCCCCGCCCTTCCGGAGAGGAACTTGTATGATGCCTTGAGGACGATCGTACGGATGCCCTGGGGGTATGTATGGTCGATGGCGGCGGAGAATGACTCTGTCGCTTTCGTCTCGCACTCATTGGCGAAGCAAAGGAAGATCTGGTACTTTCATATTGAGCCTGATGTTTCTTGTCCATGAATTCGGCTCGTTTGCTCGAGTTGGACACCGGATTTGTGCCATGATCAGAATTGGATTGCGCTGTCGATCGGGCACTGCCTCTGGGACTAGAAGGGGCCTTCGCTGGTTTTGCTGGGGCGGAATTTCGGTTACCATTCTCTCGACGAGGAGGTGCCCTTGATGTTCTGGGTGTTCCATTGCCATTCTCGTGTTCACGAGCGGGTTCTGGCGGTGATTTGGGAGTTGTTCGTTTTCCATTTTCGTGTGCCTGTCGCCAATCGTAGCGCTTGACAGGATCGGTCAAGATTTCATAAGCCTCTTTAATCGCCGCAAATTTTGTAATGGCATCTTCGTCCTTGTTTTCCTTGTTGGCCTGGCGATCGGGGTGATAGTTGAGAGCTTCCTTGTGGTATGCTTTCTTGATATCACTTTCAGATGCATCTTGAGAAAGGCCAAGTACTTGATACGGATTGTCCAACATGTTTAGAGGAAGGGAGAGTTGCGAATGGAGAAGAAGATGCTGATAAGATTTGCAAGTCCCAAGGTGCGATTGCGCTGAGGAAATTGTGTGATACTAGGGCTGAAATTATGAAATATCTTGGGTCTGATCAGGAAGCAGAAGTTTCAGTCGTGATATTTTGTTTCCTAACAGAGGGTCCACACGCGCGGGTACACGTACGAGTTACAACTGCCTTTCCAGGGGGAACTTTTTATCAATCAATTTTTTCATAAATGAGTAGTCATATTTGTCGTTTCTATCGCAAAACTTTGCCAGTATGAATAAATGCGACTTTATTCTACAGTATGGGTATACAATACACGGTGATAGCTTCAAGTGTTTAGTCTTCGCTAGAATATCTAGCAATTAAATCGTTGCTACTGCAGTATCTCGATTCCAGTCATATTTACCCTCGCCATCCTCGTCTTGTTGATCCTCGTCTTGTTGTGAAAAGGACGCGAAGCACCGTGATCGAATGAATCACCTTTCCGCATGGGTGATAATCTATGCTTTTTGCGACCGTGGTTAAGATCCAACGAACTCATGCGCGGTGGTTGCCGGACTTTCTTTTGCTTTGAAGTGGCGGACATATTGTCATGGTACAGTGGAGGTGCAGCCATGTCGTACTTGCCACTACGGGGAGCAGGCCGCGGGGATTTGCTCCGTACAGATTGCCTCAAGACCGAGCTTTTGGGAGTCGTTGCCATTAAAACACTCTTCTTGGACAAGGGAACGCCTACTCGATCATTCAACCCGTGCTGGGGCGATTTTCGATGAGTGGAAGGAGCCGAGAGCGGCGGCTGTGGTAGCTGCTGCTGTCGCTGTGGCATGTACTTCTTTCTGTTAGAGTTGGCGTCGGTCGACAGCGGCGATTGTGGGGTCTGCTGCTGATGCTGATGGCGTGACATTGGGGATCGTCTGGTTCTCTTGCTCGAGTTAGAGACCGGTTGTGTATTGGATTGATATGAGGTGTTGGATAGCGGTACCCCCGCACGTCCTCGATCCCGAAAAGGACTAGCTGGTGTCTTTGAAGCCTTCGATGCCCTTGTTGCTGGTGCTGCTTTCGGCGTTGACGTTGGCGGTGCTGTTGTTCTGTTGCCGTTACCGCCGTGTGCCTGCCGCCAATCGTAGCGCTTGACAGGATCGGTCAAGATTTCATAAGCCTCTTTAATCACGGCAAACTTTTCATTGGCATCCTCGTCTTTGTTTTCCTTGTTGTTGGCCTGGCGATCGGGGTGATATTTGAGAGCTGCCTTGTAGTATGACTTTTTTATTTCACTTTCAGATGCGTCATAAGAAAGACCAAGCACTTGATACGGATTGTCCAACATGATGTTGTTCTAGCTACAAGTACGATGGTACAGTGTATATTGCGAATGATGAAGCAAGATGCTGGTGAGATTTGCAAGTGTCAACTGCGATGTGGAAGAAGACGCAAATTGTGATGCAAATTACAGTTCAGTGTGTTATACCGCTTCCAGTCGTATGCAAATACCGGTACGGTATTGCATCTACCGGAATATTTCAACCATCTATACTATTTTAAAAAATTGATCCTTGACATTTTTCTCAGCGCGGTTAAATACTCAAACTGTTTTGTACATAGCGATTGGATGCTAATTGCCTCCGTGGTGTGTCATCTCTGCGAATTATACTCCGGCCGAGAGGCATTCTATCATTCTCTCTGCCTTTTTACACCGAACTTTTCGTCAATCCCATTTCAGGACGCTTATTTCAATATTCCTAGGTTCGTACAGTAGTCCTACGGTATTTTTTATATATCTTATAATAATTATTATTCCACATTATTATATCTGTCGTCATAAAATTTGAATCACCTTCAAAGATCAATAAAAAATTTGAATACTCCTTTCTCTGATCAAGCGCAAAATAATGACCGGAACAAAACAAGTAAACAGAACTGTGGAAGACTTGGGCAGTGCCATCACAGGCAGCAAGAAGCGAATTTCCTGGACTTTTTTGTTTGGCGAAGAAGAACGCACCGTGGTCCTTCTTTGGAGCAAGAACTCGGGAACGCGCCAAGTCACCGAAGGCGGCAATAAGATTGATTATGTTTATGAAGAAACTAAAACAGGAAACTTTTTCTTTCACAAATGGGATTCTCGTGACGTAAAACTGCACATTATTGCGTCGTCTCGCACTCCCGCCAAGTGCAAGAAGGTGCTCTGCGACAATTTTATCGAATTCGAGTTGATTGTCAATGGACAACCTTTTTCCAAGTTGCCTCATCAGGATGGCACACCCTTGCCATCGGAAAAAGGCCCCGGTCCGCACGGTATTTTTGATGTTGTATACCCACAAGGATACGACGTCAACTTTACAAAGGAGGCTCCATGTCCCTCTCACGGCAAAGGCGACTTGCATTCTGTCGTATTGCCGTCATATCCCCCAATTCCTGCACACTAGATGCTGCTGCTACTGCTACTGCTGCTGGATACATTTATTCCAAGTGATAAGCAACCAAGTACTCATAAGAACTATCCCACGAAAAGTCACCTAAAAATCGACAGGCTCGTGGAAAAGTACGAGTACCACGTATCCAGGATGACGTATTACATATTAATAGTCGAAACTAAACCAAGCATTTGTATACCAGGAGGACCAATGCCTGGCTCAACACCATAGTTCTCGTCCATTGCTGCCTGTTCGCACTGCTATCAATTGGGGACATGGTGGGGGTTGTAGCCCCTCCTCCAGCGACAGGACTGGCGGTGGGTGCGGCAGTGGGTGCTCGTTCGCAAGCGTTAGACGTTACCGTAATCTCGACTTCCCTGGATACAAATTGCTCTTCATGTGGTGGTCGGAACAAGGTCAAATACACGTTCAGGCGGGCTTCTGTAGTGAATGTACCAGATGACGTGTAGGTATGCTGGATTTCAATGGTGTTGTCTTGGTTAATGTTGAATTGACACTGTCGGTCGTACCTCTCAAACGATGGTCCCCAATCTACCAATGGTTCTACACAATATTTGGAATAGACACCATCGCTATGGTCCAATCGAAACTGAATTGTACTCGTTCCTTCTTCGCCGACAACCGGACAAGCAGGTGTCCAAACTGATGAACGAATGAATGAATCAATCAATCAAAAGATACCAGTCAAACCACAGTGCCAATCCAACCCGCAACCCGCAATAGAAATAAACAAATGGAAGCGGGTCAAAAATCAACAAGACAATGTAATGTGTTGACAATGAAGAGGGAAAAAATGGAAACATGAATGAGTATCTTCGAATAATGGCAGTAAGAAGCAGGGAAATCAGGATCGGCCGGATCATCATGCCACGAATCATATCTCACCCTGCAACTCAAAACAGTCATTACTGTCAAAGCATTGCCGTCGAGCAGTGGAAGGTTTCAACACCAGGAATAGAGTGGCGATAAGCAGGATAAGGGAATTCATGATGATGATGATTCTCTTGTCCCAACAAGATGCATACGGTAATATATATTATAATAGTGTCATGGTCATTATTCTGTTTATTTCGCTTGTCTTATCTGACGTCAGTCCTGCCTCCGTAGAGAATGTTTAGTCTGTCTTCCATCCGATAACGAGCCCAAAACCGGTTGATGACTTTTGCGAGTTGTCAGAACTGTTGCGGACTGAGAACGCATGCCGTGAAAAAGACTCTCTTATTTGCCAACGCTCTGAGCTACGTACCTTACACCAATAACACCAACGGGAACTCTCAAGAATCACAAGAAGCAATCTCCATTGACATCAATTCCAACATGTCTGACCAGGATGCTTCCAAGGATACTGTTCCAACCATGATCTTTGTGGAAGACAATGAGCAGGAGGATCATGATCCAGAACAACAAAGAACATGGAAAGTCAAAAAGCCCATCAGTTCATCCCACAAGCACCGTGCACAAAACTTGGTTCTTTTTTGCTTTTTCTGTGCCGCATTCCTGACGGTGATTGTTGTGGGTGCGGGGGCCTACATTTTGCTCGACACTACTAGCCGCATGAAGAAGAATCATGATGATAGCAACAATTCAGAAGACAGCTACGAATTCCCCATTGACCGCATCGACGATTTGATTCGCTTCAACAATACCTTCAATCCAGCCTTGCCACATAGGAATATATTCAATACTACTGCACCTTGATTGGAGTGGGCATGAATTGCTTGGTCCTTTGTTGTTTCTGAACGATGCATAGGAAGAAGCTTCTAGTCGTGGAAATTTCTGGCTGTAAAAGGTGCTATGCATCCAAACTGTAGGGGGATACTGCAGGACCGTCTCGGATACTACCTACCAAGTCCTGAAAGTCAATACGATCGGGGTATCAAGCAGCCCTTCATTGTAAAAGAAGAAGAAGCAGCCACTCAGAACTCAAAGAGTAGAATATGAATCAGAAGCAAAGTGGATCAGATGGGTAGGGTAGCATGTCTTATGATCATTCATTTTCTGAAGCCGTGAGGTCTCAGATATCGAGTCCTGCAAATCAATATGATGAAAGATAAGAAACAGCCAGCCACTAGCATGTAGAACTCAAAGATGCAAAGAATGGCAACAGACGGGTATAGTACAGCACCATCTCTTATGATTATTCACCCTCTCAAGCCCCGGCCTTGAGCGCAAGCCTTTGGAACACAGCCCAAGAAGTCCTCTCCCACACAAGAAAGTTTTGACATGCTGTATATATGATTACTCCTCCTGAAGACGAGGAACAAATTTCCGCTGCAAGGTACAAAAAGTCGCAACAACCCCCTTTGGCTAAGATAGCGGCCGAGAGAAGCTAGATGGAACAATTGAACACTGCACTCGCGCCGCCGACTGCACTCGCGTCGTTGGAGAAAGCACAAGCTGGAACGAACAATTGGACACAATGGCGGCCGGCAAACACAATGAACTTTTAGCATGATAAAACTGTTGGGTATATCCAAAGCCTGTCGTGGAAACACGCCAATTCGAGGAATTCTAGAAAAGAGCAAATTGTGACTTCTGTATCATTCTTACTAGTTCGTGCAGCGTTATATTATCACAAGAGTGATCCATATTATCAAGAATATGTACAATGAATGTGGCAACCAAGAGGAACTCGAGATTTCGACCATTAATGTAATAGTTCCTGAATAAATCTCAATCAGGCATTTTAGCTGATGAAGGTGATACAGATCTCGATGTAGAGTACAGTCTTGTCGACATCCTGCTGTGATTCTCTCCCAAGCCATCTATGTGCATCTGGCTAGTATTTATTCCACCACTCTTGTGGTTTCGCTTGTGTGATTTTCTTATTCATTCATTCATTCATTGCAGTCTTCTTTAGCAGATTATCAAGATCCCGGAAAATGTCTTCAAACAACATTTGCCTGGATGGTGATCCATAATTATGTTGTTCTTCAAAAAGGTTTGAAAGTGGCTGATTTCCAATGTTCTTGATGCCGTGCAACAACAGGTCGTCATCCATCGAGGACCTTCGTTTGGGAATGTTACGCGTACGACGACGGCCATCCTTTCGCTCGAAAAGATCATCCGTACTCTCCCTTCGTGATGGTAGTTTCGGGGCGGGGTTTTTGGTAGGGCAGTTGCCAAAGGAAGGACGTTTGGGTGTATCCTCCATCGATGCAGTGACAGCTGTAGTGAACTCGGCACGCTGATGTTCCGCAATTCTAGCGTCATCACGGATGATTACAAAGTTAGTTGCAGAGTAATCTCTCATCAATGTTGACATAAAAGCTTCCATTATTGGTGTTGCTTTTTGTTGTTACTGTTCAGAAGGAAATAAGATTTTATGTTTTGGATGTTCAAGTTTTTTGTATGTCTACTAGCTAGCCGGTAGGATAAACAGGGCAAAGATGTCATTGCACAAAGGCCAATGAGTTCGGGAAGTTGAGTTCGCCTCTGTCGTGGTGTCGTGGGCCATTCAAAAGATACCACGCATGATGACGGATGCACAAGAGCGAAAGAGTCTCAAATTGAAAATTGCCAACGAAGGACGGCGGACGAGCGAATGCAAAATAAGGTGGCAGATCTTTGTCCTCATTTTGGGGAGAGGTACCGGTATTGCCTTGCCACCCCCTGATGATTTGCAAGACTGAGAAAACGCGACTGACTGAAAACGCGACTGTTCGTGTGTGGAATAAGGAAACATGGCATTAGGTTATTATCCTATTTGCTTTTTGTTGGTGTCTTATCGTGGTATTTTGAATTTGTTTCCTAGAGCGGAAATTTTTATCGAGATTGAATGAATGAGGGTATCACTGTCGCCAAGACAATGTGATGTGTATACGTACTGGTACACGTGTACCGGTACACATTGATAGAATGACTGACTCACTCAATCTTCCGATATTTAAAATAAAAAGATTTCCGTGGGTGGCTGTATTGAACATTATTTATTTACAATAGTGGTAGCATTTTGAGTAAATCAAAAGTTGAAATCTATGAACCAGAAGGGCTAGCCTCTAAGACTGCTCTTGCTCTTGGTTCCAGAGTCGGCAAAATCCGACTCGCGTTTCAGTTTCGGTTTCCCTGTTCTTGTGAAAAGGATTTGCATTTCGATTCAAAGCTCGGCCGGTCACGATATCCGGGCACATTTTGAAATTTTTCGACCTGTGTTCGAGATCAGATAGTGATACTGGTGGTAGTTTTCATTTATCTCACTCTCAAGACTTTGGGTTGGAATTCGCGATCTCTCAATTTATCATTGTAGACAGCCTTCTTCTTGTTCAGATTCTCAAGGGCGTCTCCCAAAGTCTTGCGACTTCCGGAACTGCGAGCCTTGGGTGGTCGGTTCTTGCCATTCTTGTTGGTTGCCTTGGACGACTTTTTGCTGCGTCCTCCAAGTTTTAGTGGAGAAACAATCTTGTGGTGGTTGCTCTTGACATCTTGAGCCATGGTAGAGGTAGTAACCTCAGTGACTTCAGTGCCGACAGAGGCATCATCTTGTTGGACCTCCTTTCCTTGTTGGCGTTCAAATTCTTCCTTGGCCATGGCAATGTAAGCCTTGCGGGCTTCACGTTCATCGTACTCGGCCATCTTGTACGCAAGAGACGCAGACTGAAGAGAAACCTGAAGCGACACTTCGCGGAAGGAATCCCAGTCAGCCTCGTTACCATTCTCAGCCCATTGACGATCTTGGTCATCCATGACTGCATCAATGCAAGCATGAACAATCTCATCCAATTGGGCCGAGTTGGTCTCGGAAAAGTTCTCGAGTCCGCGGTAAGTGGTGTTCTTCTTGGGTCTTCTGCCAGCTTCCATGCGCATGACAATCTTCTCGTAGTCTTCGTACATGGCACGCTTCTCTTCACCAGAGTACCAAGAGGCACTCAATTCGGAAGGAGTAAAGTCGTCCTTGCTTTCAATGGTTTCCACTTGTGGCGTATGATTGAAGCGAATGCGCACTCTTCGATGAGACGAAGAGGGAGAGCTATCGGAATCATTACTACAATTGGAGAAGCGATCGCTGGCTAGCTGCTCTTGCGGTTGTTGTGATTCTTGTTGTTGTTCTTCACGCATGAGAGGAGCCATTGTTTGTTTTATTAAAATTGTGCGGTACAATCGAGCTGCACAACTTTTTGTGTGCGAAGTTTGAGACATGTTCAAGCCCCTCCTCGCTGGAACCGCAACCGAATCTAGAATCCCGTTGCGGTATGCAGCTTTCGCATTTTTCGGAAGAATACTGTTATCGAAGATTTTACTTAGAGAGCGCTACAAACCTAAGCCCTCTCCTAAGCCCTCGTGTTTGCTGAAGAGAGCTTCTGGGTGTTTGGTAATTAGTGCATTTTCGGATTCATTTAGAGATACCAACAGAATTGTATCTTCTTAAACAAAAGCGCTATTTCCGAAAATGGTTGGTTGCGAGAATGTACCGGAGGGGGTTGTTAAGTGTCTACCTACCTGAATAGTTGGTACCAGGCATACTGGTGGTCGTGAGCTTCAACTGTCGTCGCTGTACAGATTTCTGATGCCACGTACGGTAGCTCCGCCTTTTTTCGCATAATGACGCAACTCCCAATACCGGTACATCGAGAACTAGAATTTACTGTAGGGTTCTCCGATACTTTACCATTTGTTAAAAATTAGAATCAAAATCCTAGTAGAAAAAACCGCATAGCTTGATATCTCGAGAGACATTGATATATCTGCTCCTTGGGCATCTCGTGGAAAACATTTAATGAAATGGCATAATAAAACAGATAAATGACACAGGAATAGACAAGCTGTTTGACGAAACACTTCAAATGTCCATTCATTTACTCGTGAGATTTCTTGAGGAGAAAATCACTAAGTGAACGACAAAAAATAAGACCAGTATTGTTCGAATTTGAGTACCGTACCGGACTTTTGACACTTGCGTGTGTTCCTCCATTCACTCGCGAGATTTCTTCAACTACGTGTCCCAACACCGTACCATCAACGTACCAATACCGTACCGACAGTACAGCTTTCATGCTCAATTTCAGATCGTAGATCATTTTTAGATTCCATTACGTGGTTCCGGAATTAGGTGTTCGCACTATGACAACTCAGAGAGATATTGTAGCTGGTACCTGGTACCAGGTACTGTGCCCAAAAGTTCAACGTTGCTTGACCGATTTGTTGCTCAATTTTCCAATTGGCAAGCGTTTCTGACATTGATTAAATTGTTGGCACTACCACGTGCGAAAACATTAAGTCACTGACAACATTCACAGATCAAACAGAGGCTTTATAATAATTTTTTTCGGGTATTCTAATAAAAGGAACTTAAACAAGAGTGTTTCTGCACTGAACCTTGTTCCAGTAGTACTCCCTTTGGAGATTTTAAAAAAAAATGCGAAACACATAGGTTACAAGTACCGGTACCAGTATCCATTGGAATCATGCATACACCGGTATTACGCCTCTCGACAAGAAACCTGCTTTCTCATTGAGATGCTAAAACAGGAACCAGCTCCAATCACAAGGAAGATCATTCACAGTCCCGATGATTTCCGGGCTCAACAGAGCTCCTCTTCAATATAAAAAAGGTAGCTGCTACTGCACTGAGCCACATCCAGTACTCCCCACTGGCAAACTTCTTTTTTTTTCAGCTGCGGCTTGGTGTGTCGCTGGCACTTCTTGTCAAGAAACCAAACTAAAAAGTGCAAGCAGGGCCTGCCGCCGGTGGCGCTCCAAGAAGAAGACGGCCAATCGATCGAACAGAAACAACTTACAAGGCATAGTGTCTAATTTGAAGCAGTTCATGCCTCCGCTGATGTGCCGAGTATTGTACCAGGTGGTATTAATAACCGGTACCGTTATGGTGGCCTGTGGCGTGACCTGACCCTCTTCCGTAACGTGACTGATTTGACTTCCAACTCCCTACGGTAGCACATTTCCTATGATACTTTTTGTTCGAATGAATGTAGAGCTTTGGGCGAGGGTCAATGATAGTCGCCGATCTCAGTCAAGCTCAGATCGATCATGCACCTACTCAGTGGCTGTTGCCTCAGTCTCCCTAGCATGCACAGTCACCGTCTACATCGTGCCTACTAGTAAGAACCTACGCATAGTAGTTGTTTCAGCTCATCTACTAGCTGCTGATCAGAACCAGAACGACAGCACCTTACGGGGCTGGACCTCTTCTAGTACTCCCTTTGGACGACGTGAAATCAGACTGCATTTTCCAATACCAAATACCACCAACTAGCAGCACTGTACCGCTCCAAGAAGATCGTCCACACAGGTAAGACAAAAATGCTACATTGCATACTATTTAATGTCCAGTTTAAGAATTCCATTAACGAGACGACCGACTACCATGCTGGTTTGCGACATACCTTACGGTAAAAAGTATGAGACCAATCTGTTGTAATTTTCGCTGATCAGTAACCAAATTGGGTTGTGGCACCGTCGTCTCCAAAGTCAGGAACTATAAGAACACGCAGGGTTGAACATATTTGGAAGTGCTACTACTTGGTGGGTATGCTCGTTTGAGTTGCCTTGCAATAGAGACTCTCCTCTCTAAGTTATGAGATCTATCTTTATCTTCGTTCACAGGATACTACACATTTTGCTCATTTGTGAAGATGCAAAATAATATTGCAGTCAGCCGTGAGGAGTTGGAGGGCTTCTTGAAGTTCGAGGAAGATAACATCTAATGTCAATTTCTGATCTTTCAAGGCGTGGCCTGATTTTGTTTCCCCCTTGAAATTGATGGCCGATAGGCGCTTGTAGCATGTTTTTTCACCGCTGGTGGAACACGGTTCAGACCTTGTTCTTTGCTTCCTCTTCGTCTTCAGCTGCAATTTTCCTCGCAAATGCTTCAGGTCTCTTGGAGATCTTCTGGCACATACATGCCAGCATGTCTGATACATCCGTTGAGGACTCGTCCCCGTACTTCTGAAGTCTATCAACAGTGTCGTAGAGGAGCTCCTGGATTTGTTGGGCTTCCCTTTTTTGTTTGGCCATGTGATGTTCGAGCCCGCGGAGCTCAGCGCCTTCAATGAGATCGCTATCATGTTCAATGATAAGAATGACAGCCTGGCATTCTCTTCGGATAGTCTTGAAGTCATCAGGATGCATCCAAACACCATCTATCTCTTCGTCGCTCAGATCATTTATGTGGGGGATCTCATGGACCCGATCGTGCCTTTCGAATCGGACACTTTTCTTCTCGGCTTTTTGTGGTGTACCGGTAGGAGACTTGAGATCGTCGAAATCAAACTCGATCTTGTCGTAAGAGGAGTTGAAAAATGGATGATGTTTTGCGTGTGTACAAGCTACCATCTTGTAAAATTATTTTGGTTTCTCTATAGTCTTGGTCTGTAAAATTGTGAGAGTTTAGATTTTCAACCAGCCGGCATTTTGCGTCGAAATACGCAAATAAAAATGACTTCGGTGAATTGAATCATTCTATTCATTAGATGTAAAAAATTGGTTCTGTTCTTTTGACTGTTTCCAAATTGATCCAATGTGGAAATGTGACCAAAATAGGGCATTTTAAAATGCTCCTCGATAGCTGTACCCGCAAGTTACATAAAGAGACACACAGGCGATTGTACGAGCAGAATTCCATTGCCGTATGACTGCGCCCATTAGGTTAGCATGGAATGAAGCTTTTGTCTGCACTCGTCGAGCTCTCTACCCCACATACAGTACTCGAATCTTTTGAAAAAAGCGCTTGATCAGGACCGGAGATGATGTCTCTCAATCTTGGCGACCGAGAAAGGGAAGATGCCAATAATGAAAGCTGCGTTCGTGTCATCATGGAACTTTAGTCCATGATACAGCTACCCAAAGACGTTACGGTAGTTTTCTGTCTCGGAATCGTACTTTTGTACTACTAGTACGCAACAAAAAATCAATGGAGAATTTACAGACCGGTATCATTCTTCTTCTTTGAGAAGTAGGTATGTACCTGGTACGATGATCATTGAAATAGACCACTTGGACTAGAATCCCGTATCCAAGTTTGACTCACTCCTCGATGTGAACGGCAAGACTAAATATGAACACTAAGTAAAATCCCGCCACAATCACGAAGCGACAGACTGTACCAACAAATATTTAACCACGAGTCAATCGTCTTTAAACAAAAGCGAGGATGCACACAAATATTGAATCGTAACCAAGATCCAAGATCCAACAACTGTTGGTTGAATACCAGATCGATGACATCTTGTCATATATTTCCTCTTCTCCCTTCTCGTATTATTTCACAATCATGATGAGAACAAGCACCATCCTTCTTTTCCTAGCACTGTTTTGCACTGCCGAGGCCCAAAACAACGGGACCTGTAACCCTATCAAGGACGAAACATCTTGTTCAAGTGCAGGTTGTTTCTTTTGTCCTTCCTCCAGCAAATGTCGAGTCGCGGAATCCAACTGTCCTGGAGGCGGCGGCGGTAACAATGGAGGAGGAGGAGGAGGTACGGAAGAAGAAGAAGACAACGAGGAGCAAATGCCCATTGTCAGCAATGGCACCTGTAATCCCATCAAGGACCAAACGGCGTGTGAAACACAGGGTTGTTTCTTTTGTGACAAACAACAGTGTCGAGTCTCAGAAGACCGCTGTCCTAATGCCTCGGATGAAGGTACTTGCAACCCCATTCAGGACCAAGCATTCTGCGAAGAAATCGGCTGTTTCTATTGTGCTGAAGCCATGAAGTGCCGTGTCTCAGAAGAACGTTGTCCTGCTCCTGATGAAGACGAAGAAACGGATGCCGATGGAGACGAACCAGTAGGTGATGGTTCTGTCACCAATGGACTTTGCAATCCCATCAAGGCTCAAGGATCCTGTGAAGAATCTGGCTGTTTCTTCTGTACCAACAAAAGCAAGTGCCGAATCTCGGAACAGCGCTGTCCTGGATTCAATGGTGTTGCGAATGGACTCGAAGACAATATCAAATGCAACCCCATCCGTGACGCAACTGCCTGTGAAGACGCAGGATGCTTTTTCTGCGAAGACAAGGGACTCTGTAGAGCAACGGAAGCGAAATGTCCTCCCGGAGCGGGCACTGCATTCGGAAGCAGCGAGTGCAAAACTTTCAAAGGAGACGAAACTGGATGTTCCGATGCCGGATGCTTTTTCTGTGGTGGATCGTCTGCCCAGTGCCGTTTGGATGAAGCCGAGTGCCCTGGACAAGGTCGCAGCAGTCCATGCAACGGTTTGGAAGAAACTGGCTGCTCCACTTCGGAAGACTGTCTCTGGTGTGCCGAAGGCAACGTATGTACCTCAGCACGTGGTGGAACCTGCGCGTCTGCGGGATTGCCTCCTGGCAATCTCTGCAAACAATACACCACCGATGCCGATTGTACCTCGGGAGAAACTTCCAACTGCCGTTGGTGCCCAGGCAACTTGAAATGCAAGAACGCTGAAGACGAATGTGATGATGGTGAAGAAGGAATCAGAGGAAATCCATGCAAGGATCAATCCACTACGGATGGTTGTACCGGTGTTGAAGGATGTCTATGGTGTGAAGGCAATTCCAAGTGCAAAAAGGCCGAAGATGGTTGCGATGATGAGGATGAGGACGGTGATGCTGACGAGGACGTAAACGTCGGAGCTGTCGATTGTACCACATTGATCTTTGGTCCAGATTGCGAGGCGGAAGCGTCTTGTCTGTGGTGCCCTGACGAACAGACTTGCAATGCAGCGGACATTTTTCTGTGTGGCGTTGCATCGGCAACGGTGAGAATGGATATTGAATACGGTTCTCCTGCGTTCAAGCTTAAGAATGAAGGATTGGGTGAATCCGATCCAAATGCTGTCGAGGTTGCTCTCAACTATTACTTTGAGGTTGCCGAAGATGGTAGCGAAATTCCGTTCAGTTTTGTCGATGTTCAAAATCAAGGCTTTAAAGTTTCCCAATCACAAGGCGTCTTCTTGGGTGTCCTGTCCAGAAAGGCAACCTTTTCTGCTGATATTGTAGGAGTGGGATCTATGGAGCTGATTGTCTACAAGATACTAGAAGATGGAACAATCACCACTCCTTCCGGAGAAGTCTTTGATGTTACGGAAGGCGGTACGTATTATTGCTATGTGTGAATTTTGGCACTGGCCGTTCTAATTTTGTCACTTCCATTGCTTTGTCATACATATACATAGACGTCAAATTCAATGTCAACTTGTCAAACTGGTCATTCTGTGATGAAGATGAAACTGGCATTTGTGCCGATTCTGGGTCAGCTGCTTATGTTGATATTGCAATGACAGTGAAAGGAAGTGCGGAGGCTCCAGAGCAAGATGAAGCAGACGGGTCAATCTTTGACTTGGGTGGTGGCGTACCGATCCTTCTTACGAACCAAGTGGAAATTGATGGCGTCATTGATGCCATGCCACCAGGCTTTCCACGAGTCGAGCAAACACCTGCCGAAGGCGCGTTCTTTGTGTTCCGATTTCCTCGCTTCGCCAATACCTTGGTGTACGATCCCATTGTCGGGTCTGGAACACTCATTGTCATTGAGGATGCGACGCTACCGCCAGTGACACCGCCTACCGATGCACCAGTAACAACTCCAACCAACCCACCACCGGTACCAGCGCCCACAGATGCACCAGCAACAACTCCTTCTGTCCCATCACCGGTTGTAGCTCCCACTGATGCACCGGCAACGACTCCTACCGACGCACCGGTAGTAGCACCCCCCACAGATGCACCGGTAACGACTCCTACTACCACACCGGTAACAGCACCCACCACCGCACCACCAGGCGGTGATTCTGGTGCCAACACACTCGCACTTCTAATGCCTTTGGCTGTGTGTCTTGCCGCATTTTGGTCTTCAATAGAATAGATACTAAAATCTAAAATTCGTATTCCTCTTAGACTTTGACAAAAGTGGAGTATCTATATCTATTGAATATGATCTATCGTCATTGATTGGATACGTTTATATTTTGTTTGCAGTTGAAGTTTTTCTTATTGAAACTACTTCAGCCCCTGTTATTGTCATTGCTGCGCTTATGCGATCGCGCCGTGCGGCGTGCGGAGATTGTGGTCAACTAACATCATCGATCGCACTCAATATCAAATATATTACTTGTACGGTACCACTGCAACACTTGCTGTCTGTCTCCTCTTGTGCACGGCACCTGTACCAGCCTGCATCAAGCTAGAATAATGATGAAGCCAAGAAATCTGAAAGGAATTATGATTCTCCTTTTTGTCTTGATCTTGGGTTTTACCCAAAAGCAAATAACCTATCTTCCATCAATCATGACTCTAGACCATGATTATTCGGGGTCATCTTGCTTTCACTCCCTTGCTGGCCTGTTCAACCACGAGCTGAAATGCAACTCAACCTCGCCAAGCGAGGGCCAGAACCCGCTGGATGTTTTCATGGGCTGCTTGAAGGAATCTTTAAATGCAATCGATCCTTCCTGCGGTTCCAAGATTATTGATCCCAATACCCTGCTGTCGTTGCACAAGGGCAACACCATTCTCTTTTCGCAGGAAAACTCGTTCCTTTGCCAAGGCATCCAAGACCATTTGTTACATATTGGTTTGGGGGTCGGGAATGTGCCGAGGCCTGAAGAGCCCAGAGAGAAATTTTTTGGGTGCCTCGCATTTGCACATGAGGTGATGTTATGTTGTACCTAATCTTGTTTGATGAGGAGGTGTATGTATGACGGTACAAGGTGTACCAAAGCAAGCTCATTGCAGTATGATGGTGTATATATGTATATTTACATCTAGGTCAACAATTCAAAGTATGGAGGGGACGGCTCTTTTCAGATATGACGAAGCTCATCAGGAATGGAGGAGTAGCCCCCCCCCCCCGCCCGCCCGCCCCGCAAGGTAGAACAATCCTCTCCACTCGCAACGGAACCGCCACCCTTTCATATGAAAATGAAAGGGACTCGGTGGTACTGTAGAACTACATCTTTGAATCAGTATGATCTGTGAATGGACTCTCTTCCATCCACCATTTAAGTGCAACTTCCATTTTTCACTTCGGCTGCAAAGAGCTTGGGGACACCGAGAGCTATTTGGCAACTGGATTGGATTTGTCGCCAATGTCGGTGGTATCATCACTGAGTATTAGTAGGACTGGACGCTGGCTAGATTTGTTGTATACGGTAGAAACTATGAAACTCAATGCAAATAGTTTAAGTGATTATTTTGACTGGAGTACAAACGAAAAGAAGTATAGTATCTCCGGTCTGCTTTCACTGGAATCGAATCTCTCTTTGTGTATTCCTGCAATATGTATATCGCACACACAATAAGCGCCCATCATGGGGTGTAGTCAATCATGGCTTGCATGGAAATAAAACCCGTCGTTCCTCATCGGCCTCATCTATGTATGAGACTTCCCGATGGTTTCACAATATTTTAAAACTTGTAGATACAAAGTAAATCACAGATCGCCCCAACGCATTCGATTCGCAGTCAGAGCCACCAAGTTTATTCACACGAACAGCCAACACATGGGGTGGAAAAACCGCAGATAAATATCACAATCTACTGTAGATGGAGAAGGCTTTATACAGGTACAGTGGCCGATGGCTGATATGGTGGGGGCTAGCCAAAAACAATAAATATATATACTGGCAACCAGTTATTACTCCTAGTAGATGTGTTCACAAAGTGATGGTACATCAGCATGAATCAATTTGACATGCTGTGCTGTTGGAAATATAGCTATATTCGTATTGCATACAAAGTAACGAGTGATTACATTGTTAGCAATGCTACTACAGGAGTATGAATCAGGTTGACTTGTAACATGTGTAGCCTTTTGGTTCTTTGCGTCCATTACATAAACTGTCACGAATCGTGCTGAACAACACCAATGAAAACTGTTACGAATCGTGCTGAACAACACCAATGAAAACTGTTGCGAATCGTGCTGAACAACACCGACAAAAACTGTCATGAATAACGCCAAGCGCTGCACCAATACAGACGAAAACTGCAGGTGCTGCAACAGAAAATGGATCAATGAAAAAGGGTGACATTTTCAACGTAGATCGAGAGAATCGCTTACATCAAAGAGCTATGCTATGTTAGCGAAAAGACTACAATGAACTGGTCCATATTTGAACGTATGGCTGCTGAAGAAATCATACGCAGCACACGACAAACATGAGGGGAGAGAAACCCATTCAGAGGCGAGAAAAGTCCATTCAGTCGCAATGAAACTATGCAATGAAACTAAAGACCAAGGTTACCGCCTTATTCCTACAACTGAACAACAACAGCATGAACACGATATGAACAACTGGATGAGCAATATGAATGGCAACATGAACAGTATTAACCGCAATATGCAATTGCCGCAAAAATCAACATATGCACTGAATCTGCACAACGATGACAGGAGCAACAGGAGCCAAAACAGAGGAGGAAAAAGACCAGGTACCAAGACCAAGAAGAGATCACCCTGAGCAATGGGGACAAGCCCTGGTACCACCCAAGTTACTACTACTTCACTCTGGGTGAGCTACAAATAATGATCGACCAACAGAAGGAACATATGTCAAATGAAAGAAGAGCATACCGAACAAGTCATGATTGCTGACAAGACAAACAAGACGGACTATGAAAACGCAACCGCCTGAATTACGAGAAGAAGTAGCATCACTACTATGATCCAGCAACGTTCCTGCTGAAGGAGCAGCAGCTACACAGATATCACAAGTGACTATGGGAACTGCTGGAGCTTCTGTAATGGGCGGACGCAATCGACAGTCAAGCGGAAGAGATTGACTTGCGATATGCCTTCAATCGATATAAGCAGCCAGCAAAGTGCCATGGAATTCAAGCACTGTTCAACTAGGAAAAATCTCAGTGGCTCACGAAGATCCAGTAGATGACCCAAGATCCAATGAAACCAAACTGAGGCAATTGGATCCTATCATGCAATGAATGAACGAATGATGCACGGTGCAAGCGGCAATGGTCAATGGAGGTAGGCAATGGTCGATGGAGAGAGGTCCTTGCAACAAATTGAACAAACAGGAAACGCAGGATTTGCGGATGTGCCAGTGAACCAACTTCAGTACCCACTGAACGACCAACACATTACAATCGACGCAAGAGATACTATTGGAATCAAACAACGATGATATTGGGCTAGCACCACCAGCACCAGCAACTACAGCAAACAATGCAAAAGCGAACTTTTCGAAAGCAACAGCACCAAACCCAGACCGCAACAGCACCAGCAATGCAACTCAATCCGGCAGCAACACCACACACACACACGCACAACGGCAACACTGGCGACACCAACCGCAGCACCAACTACTAGATGGCAGAAAGATCTACAGACATGGCATGAGACGCAGCCTACACTTTGAACTTGAACTGAGACAAGATTGGCAACTGCAAATTCCGAACCAGGAAGGGAAACATTGACTTGTGTTTGAACAAGAGAAGCACCAGCCAACGGAAGAAGAAGAAATTGATTTCTCAGATGGTCAACATGGACCACTATTCAACAATAATGCCAAAAGCAAGGTTGCAAACATGAAGCTGAATCGGATTTTACAGTGGCCAGATCTCGCATTACAAGTGATGGAAAATATGGCGGAGAACAAAGGACCAAAGAACTTCAAAGAAGCATGGAATCACCCAGGCAAATATTGGCGCAATCAGTTGGGGGGAGAATGAGATGACGCCACAATTGATGTTTGAATGAGATGACGCCACAATTGATGTTTGATCTTGACTTGGAAGACACAGAATCCAAATGCAGCTTCAACAAGTTGATCGAGGCTTAGGACGTTGATGACGGCATGCTCCAGGGTCGATGATGGCATGACTGCTCCAGGGGACTACGGAAGCTGACAACATAAACGCACAAAATTACGTCAACATGGAGATTGGTTTAAGAAGAGGCCAGGCAGACTATGCAATAGGAAAGGGCACCCAAGCGAACCTGCTTTTGACCGTTGTCTAAAAACGCGCGCGATTCCTTGGGAAAGTCAAATCTAACTACCAGGAACTTACACACAAGTACAGGATACGTATCCCAAAATTGATCAAAGAAGCCATCAAAATTGACAAAGAGAATCTGGACAAATTGACAAAGAGAATCGGGACACATTATGGCAGGACGCGACTTAAATGGAAATGAAGAAGAATACTAGTAATGATAGCAACACTAAACAGAGTGGACTTGCAATGTGCAGATATCCAGAACGCTTTCCTCACTGCACCAGCAATTGAGAGGTACTACATGGTAGCAGGACCTGAGTTTGGAGACAAAGAAGGAAACGTCTTCATTGTAAGAAAGGCATTGTGCCAATCCTGACGTTTGGATGAGGGCAGCTGTGAAGCCTGATGGGGGGGAATATTACGAATATATCCTTTGTTACGTCGGTGACATCATCTGTATGTCGATGAAAGCCAAGGAAGTGATGGAATGAATTGGAAGGGCGTTCAAATTCAAGAAAGAGAAGATTGAACCACTAGAGAGCTATCTAGGAGCCAGGTTACAAAAGAAGACTTTGGACGGATTTGGTATGTGGAAGATGCCTAGTTATGACTATGTCGTGGCAGCCGTCAAGAATCTTAAAGAAACGTTGAAAGACAACACAAGTCTGAAGCTACCAAAGAATGCACTGACGCAAATGACCAGTGTTCACAAACTGGAGATGGACGGATTGAGTCAATGACCAGTGCTTACAAACCAGAGATGGACGGATCAAGTGAAATAGGAAAAAATGATCATACCTACTTCCAAGAGTTGATTGGGATGTTACGATGGACGACGGAGATTGGACGAGTTGACATCTTATTGGAAGTATTACTTTTGAGCCAATATCAAACGGCCCCAAGAGAAGGGCACATGGAGCAATGAACGACTGAAGTATCCAACATCCTTGATACAAAAAGAGGAGCAAGCATTGAGGATATGTACTATGATTCGAGGGTGCGGAACTTTGATCACTACAAATTAGGATCTTCACAAGAGGATTTCCAAGCATGCTATCAAGACGCAAAAGAGGAAATGTTACACTCTGATCCAAAAACGAGGGAACGAAGAGTAGGGAGTACTGTATGGGTGGATGCTTTGCATATTGCCAACAAGAAGATGCGAAAGTCGCATATGGGGCATGTGATTTTCTTCAATCGAGCGCCCATTTTATGGTACGGTAAAGGACAAAACAGGGTGGAAGCGAGCACTTTTGGTCCGGAATTTATAGCATTAACATCATGCATTGAAGCTGTTTTGCATTTGAGATCCAAATTGAGGATGTTTGGAATACCTTTGGAAGGTGAACCAACACACATATTTTGTGACAACAAGAATGTGGTTATGACTGCAACAAAGGTTGAGTCGACATCAAACAAGAAGCACAATTCGATAGACCACCATTATACCAGGTGGAACGTGGCTGCTGGTGTCATGGATATGAGGGATGACAAACCTTGCTGATGCTGTAACGAAACGATTGACGCTAGGAAGAAGGGGACGACTATATGGAGAATGGACGTACTAATCACAGTGTCAAAATGGATCCCATCTTTGGAACCCATTTCGAGGGGACCAAATAAAGGTGACCGTGCTATTGAATATGAGATCGATCATGCTGTCATGCACGTGTACGATTGCTAGAGTCTGTATGTAGTAAGGACAAATCGGCCTCCAGGGAAGCACGTCGATCTGACGATGGTAACACTCTTTTTAAGAATACGGATGATTTACACTATCATCTTTTATACATACTACTTTGTAAGTCAAATGTAACATAATACTTCAACGATTATATTTATACGGAAACACATGCATGCATGCAGTTCAATTTTTTGCATACAATCCGGCGGGACAAACACTTTTTACAATTACATTATAATAATCCAGCAAAAACGAAAACACGCATCATGGCAACCACCGCAATAAACACTTCGGCAAATCCGCTCAAGGCCGCTTGGACATGGGGTGCAGGCACAGTAGTTGAATCCGAAGAGGAAGACCACGACTCCCGTTGGGAATCTGCCAGAAGCACAGCTTCAGACATGCAAGCATCTTGGGGGTGGGGTGCTGGGCTCCTACCAGAAGAAGATTGTGATGAGGAAGACGAGGGCAAAGATGAATAGGATTTTGGTCGTTGTAAAGTGCAAACAGAACCATCTCATGAAGACGAAAGTCAGCAAGTGCCAAATGCAACATCCAAGGTGAAAGAGGATGAGGAAGATGATTGGAATTTATTCGAACATCGCAAGGGTGTAGAAGATGATGCAGAAAGCGGTACTGCTGCTACATTCATGGGAGATTCCATTTCTTGTGTCTCATCTATCCAAGAACTTAAAGTGGCCGTTAGGGATGGTTCCCTGGACAATGCTCTAGAAGAAGCTCGAAGGAGTTTTGAGCTTTGCCAGTCTTTGCGATTCTCGCAACTAGTCTCGGGTCTTCCAGAAGAGGACGAAGAAAACGATGATAAGAAGAAGGCGAACGACATTAGCTCATCAAACTTTATCAGCCTTGCAAATATTGATGCGTCAGACAACAAGCCACTAGTAGGCTCTTCCTGGTGGAATTTATTGCCAAGTCCTTCCGAAGTCGATGAATCCATCAGGTCCACCGGATCGGCCAAGAGAAATAAGAAGATGAAGGATGCTCGGAGGGCCAAGGTGTTGTCCTCAATTTCCCTCTCTCTTTCCTTGGTGTCATCACCTATATCCGAGTCTTCTATTCCGGAGGACATAGCATCGGTCAAGAGTAGGAGGACACACAATCGGAAGTCAAAAAGCAAGTCTCCCAAACGATCCACCAGCTACAAGAAAAAGGACAAGCCCGATGAAGACTCGAAAAACCAAATCACTATCTCCCACTTGCAGTAGTGGTTGCAGTAGAAAGAAGATTGCCAATGAGAAGCTTGACGCTGTGAACAAGAGATTGGAAGACACTGTTGGAGTGGTTTCCACACCTGCAAGACGCCGGAACAAGAATGCCCATAAAATTGAAGGATGTCAACAAGGAAAGCACTAGACTCAAAAGTCGAAAGATCGTGCGGGAGGACCCATTTTCGTTGTCGGCCATACAAGAAGCAGAATCAAACGCCCAGGAGTAAACACAATCAGAAAGTCATGTTTCCGTACAAGCTTTGTGAAAAGTATAGAAAAATGTATAAACACACTATTGTTCATTCGTTTCCAGTGCCTGCAGCCTATATTGTCAAACTAGACGTGAACAGTGGGCGACGAGTAGAAATCGACAATCTGATCCTTTGGGAAACCACCGGTCATTAGCCAATCTCGGATGCAGCTGTCAAACCCTGGGCTGCCACATACATATGCCACCATGTTGCTTCCGGTGTGTACCTTCGTGCCATTCTTGTTCGAGTCTTCGCTACCTCTAAAATTGGCTCTCTCTTGACTCAATTCAACTTCACTTGCTGACACTAGACTTGAAACTAGCTCCTGATTCAATTTCATGGACATGCATTTGTTTCCATGCACACGCCAGAAGACATCATTAACAGCTGGCGCTTCATCCATATCATTCTTTTCATCATCTGAAGGATCACCTCTTAGACTCAACTCATCCAACGCACCCTCTGCACTCAATCTATGGGAGAAGTCAAGAGGATCCTTGCCTTGCATGTCTCCAAGTTTTCTGGTTTGAAATCGTTTGTAAAATGGTTGCTTATCACGTGGGCGACGAGACTCGGTTGTACCAGTCGTTCCTTTTAAGGCGGCAACATCGACTACCGGTTTCTTGGAAGAATACAGGACAACCCACCGGAACTTGCGTTTGAATACCTTCACATGTTCTCCTAGCCCTATCCACTCATTGTAGTTGTGCATCGGACTCTTCAATATCCAGATCAAAAAAATACTAGGAGAATCTTTCATTCGCTTTGGTGAATAAAAATCAATCAGTTGGAGCATCGGCGCGATCCCAGTGCCTGCGGCAAAGAGAATCAGAGATTTTGAACGGGGAGTTGTGCCAAGTTGCTGCAGTACCTTTAAGTTGACAGTAGGACCAAATATCGGCAAGGTCTTTCCTATTGTCCAACTCATGCACGACTTCTGCAGTTGCCCACCAGCGCGAAGGCTTATCAGGAACTCGAGAACTTCTTCGTCATCGTTTACATCCAACCCATCTTTCCTCATAGCATTGCTTTTCTGGAGCCTGACAGGGGTGTAGTAAGCTTCAAAGGTTGTGCCCCAAGGATTCGTAATGCGAAACCTGTAGGCGGAGCTCGGAATTATAACATCTTGGGAATCGATATTGGGTCGCTTTGGGGCCGCTAGATAGAGCATCACAACGGGCTTGTTGTCAGCTGTGACTTCATGGCTAGGCGTAACAAATGAAGCGTAGATAATTCGTGCTCTTCGGAATATTCGCGCAGTTACCTTCTGTCGCAAGAAGTCTACGTCATGTTCCACATCCAGACTAGTGCCACTTGGTTGCTTCGCAATATTATTTTCGGAATGGACCGCCGTTGGTAAGTATACGCTCTCCTTGTTTGCGTCCTCAACTATCGAAGCGATAACCAGAGATCGCATCTTTTGCAACGCGATGTAAGAATGCTTGTGGCAAAAACCTTCAATAGCTCGCAAGCCTTTTATTTCCCTGAAATGACAAACGACTCAATGATGAGGGCTGGAATGATGAATTAAAACAGCTGTCACTAGAACAAGCTTACGCGGATATGTCTGTTCCAGCGACTCCTTCAAGCATATCACTACCTCCAGGGTGGTGCTCGAGAAAACCAGTGAGATCCAAAACCCGACCATCGATGATGCAGAGAGGAGTTCCGAGTCGCACCAGCTCTAGGAACTTCCCTCTCTCCATCTCTTGTATCACTTCAGATGTGCCGGCAAAAACATTTCCATCATCCCATATTGTTTTGGTTGCCACTAATAGCTGACTCGCATGAACCCTGTGATTGAGGACCCTCTTTCGTATCTCGGACATTGCAAAGATTAACACAACAATTGATAGATACGGCCAGAAAATATTGTTCTTGAAAACGCCGAATATCGGCACGTCGTACCCGAACGAGTAACTGCTAAGAACAACGAGCTGAAAAAACGAGTCCGCTGGTGAAATTCGCACCAGTCCAGTATAGCAATTCCACCAAGCGAAGATTAAGATAGCATAACCAAAAATCTTGTGAAAAACATATGCCCAAAGAGCAACCCGTCGACTGACGCTGAATCCCTGGAGCTGCGAATATCTTATTCGTCCAGCTAGGAACATTGGAAGTATGAGAAATGTCAAAATAAGGCCAATGAAAGAATGTTCCTGTGTCTTGTCAGAACTTGCCCCAACTGCACTCTCTATTCCAACAATGATGGGAATCGTCAAACCACCAACAGCGCCCATAATAGAAATGTGAACTGCGAGACGCCATGATTTTGTTTTCATGTAGCGCACAACATAGATTCCAACAGGAGCGCCGAGCATCCAAAAGGCCAGCATTGTGATCCCATGATATGCAATAAGACCGGCGGAAGCAACCCCGGCTTCGGCAGCTGTAAGTATCCCTGCCTTCAAATCTACCACAGTTGACGTTCGCCTAAGGAATCCATGAGGTTTATTCTGATCGTTTGGATTGAAAGAGACAATCATGTCCATTGTACCATCTGGATTCGAGGAGATGTCAAAACAGTCATCGGTGACAGTACCATCGTTACAAATCTGTGCATTGATGGTAACCGAAGACTCCTCTTCTGATAAGCACCAATTGACAACGTCTAGCTCATAAAAGCTTGGATCATCTGCGTTTCGACATTCTGGCCTGACATTGGCACCACTTGCTAGACAGCAACTAAACATAGGCGGTGAGGTCTGACTCTCGTCACAATTCGCCGACCGTGGCACCTCACCAAACACGTCAGGGTCTACAGTGCAAATCCAAATATCTGCCCCTGCCATCTTTCGAGATCTCCATCCGATGCCCAAATAACCAGCTCCTTCCATTTTTACGTTGGCAGTAAGTGTAAGTTCAATACTACTTTTCATTTCATCTTCGAGCTCATTAGATTGATCAATAGTCCATTTCACGACTACTTCTCCGCTGCATCAACGGAAAAACAAATTAGAATTTGACAGATTGCATTCGTCGCTTTGATAACTGCAAAACAAGTGCCACTCACCCTAGCAACCCCACTTGACTCTGTCTGCCGATGCAACTCTCATCTTCGCCATTTGTCGCGTCTTCTTCGTTGCCAGAGCCATATACCCGGAAGAATGTTTCTGGAAATTTATCCATGCCGGTACATACAAGCTTGATAACGTCCGTCATTGAAGGTAGAGCAGCAATCTCTGTTGCGTTGAATTCTTTTTCATACCAGAATCTGTCTCCAGTGCGGATTCGATTGATTTGGTCCCGTGTCGATGCGGTGAGCGAAGGTCCAAACAAACCATCTGCGTTGGACGGCTTCTCAAAGAGGGTTCCAACATATGAATCGACTTTTTCAATATCGTTACCGTATAGGTTTTCCATGACGCTCACGAGGTCTTCGTTGTAATAGCCACTCGCTTCCACCAGCTCTCGTATGGTGGCATATCGTTTTAATCCAAACTTTTCCCTGGCCTGATTGTATGGCGGAATGCCAACATCGCGAGACCTCTGTACGTCCACCATGGAGGTTGCTTTGCTGTAAAAGTTTAGATCGTCCTCAAACGCATAATCAAAAGGTTTCGTGGGTGTGATGATAGCTCCCCTTATAAACTTTTCAATACCTCCAGCATTCTCGACTATCTTTTGCGGATTCTTTTGATAGGCATCTCTCATGAGGATTGGATCTTGCGAGGTTGGCAAAAAGTCTTCATCAGCCAATCGAATGACATTTGGTTGTTCCGAGTGGCCGTAGCGGTAAGTGACCCCAGCGAAGTACTCGTCAATAGAAGGATCAATGGTTGAGTTATACCCGGGATATCGACCCATGGAGTCACCGAGGAGAGCCGGTACATACTTTGTAAGAGCAATTTTCTGATATGTTGCAATGACGTAGTTTCGAGCAGCTTGAAAAACTTGCTCATCGTTGAGCCCAGCATTTTCGTTCGCGATGATCTCGGCAACATGATTGTGTAACCGCATCCAGACGACTTGCAGCGCATAGGAAGCTGGCACTGCTCCAAAGCAAGATCGGAGATATGGCTGTCGGGGCAAGAGACCATTGGTTCCATTCACCAAGTCAAATAGTTTCGGGTCATCTTGATTGCGAATTTTTTCGTTCTCTTCGACGGAATTTCCGTAGATGCATCCAAGGTCCAGAAAGGCTGTACCACTATTGGTTGTTGCACGAACTGGCTCGTTATCTTTCTTTCCAACAACGAGCTGATGGTTGTATCGAGGAAACGATTTGTCATAGTCTCGAGCAGATTCAAACTGACCAGTGACAGGGCAAAACACACCATCCGAAAAGTTTCCGTCTCCCGTTAGATCAAATGGCTCGCTTTCATTTGTTCCGGCCGCGGTTAGACTATCCGAAGACATGGTCATCCCAAATATCAGTTTGAAGTCATTGGTGCTAGTAGATGCTTTCTTTTCCTTGAGAGCTGGAAATCGAAAGAGTTCTTCCATGATTCGACGGGCCGATGGGAGACCACCATTGTCTTCACTCCGCGGCACACCTGGTCGTTGGAAGAAGCCATCTTCATCGGGTAAATATCGAACACGAGGTCCATCAACCGCACCCCATGTGGGATTCTCGATATTGTTTCCATATCCATTGTACTCGTATTTGTGGTCTTTGATGGGGATATTGCTCAGCTCTATTGATACTGCGATGGTAGGCAGAAGCAGCAGTACCGGCCAGCAAAGAAGAGCCCATACTTGACAAGACATTCCTAAAGGTCCGCACCACGAACTTTCAGTGGCAAGAAGGGAAGATGATATAACGATGGAGGATCGGCTGACTTCTTGTTTCCCAAATGACTGCACGTTTCCTACGTATCTAGTATCTTTGAGCGATGACTCTTCGAGCGATGATGACAGACTCGCACTCTTTTCGTATGTACCTCATTTGGGCCTAAACTAGGTGATACCACGACCAGTACGTACTTGACCCGTGTAGAAGAGCTGGGAAAATTCATCAATAATCGACAATCATACAATCTTCCGTTTTCGGTTTGGAATTTTCTGGCTTTGATTACTCCGACTCCCTGAAATCTTGGGAAATTGTAATGGAAGAAAAAAAATAAGCCACTCCTGATTTCGAATACCGGTAGCATAATAACAAGAACGTAATGCCAGCAAGAGGGACCGCTAGTAAATCACATGGTGGTAGCGAATGGAAGCTAAGGGGCTACCGCCGTTCCACTTCAGCCCTACACGGAGCTTTGGAACTTCAGCAGTCCTCAAGTTGGAACGACGATGATGTGGAACAGAGCAAACCAAAGCGACGATCACGAACGGAAGTGATTGATGGTCGCAAGATCACTTTTGCATTGATGAGAGAGGTGAACCAATTGCCAGAAACGAGTCGCAAAAAACGTCTTGAATCGGATTGGAGAAATATCAACGTCCAGAAAAGCAGTGTGCATCGCAGATGGGAACATGAACTTCAACAGTATCTGATGCTTCAGTCGATCCCTGTCCTCACGGTTTACTATCTGGTCGTCTTTCTCTTCATGAACATATTTTTCGCCAGTTTCTGGTACATGACTGAAGATAAGTGCTGTGATGATCCCTCCATGACCTTTGCACAGATCTTTGATTTCGCGGTCCAAACCTCTTCTACGATTGGTTATGGTGGATATTGGCCGAAAGGATACTTTAACAATGCGTTGGTCGTATTGGTAACTGTCCTTTCTATTTGCCAAGCTACTGTCTATGCCGGTTTACTGTGAGTACTATTTGACTTTAATTGATGTCGTTTGACCTTCCTTCAGGTTCTGGTTAATGAACAATGATGCTCAACCACATACTTCATTCTTTGATCCATGAAAAACAACAGCTTCTTTCGATTCATTACCCCACAGTGTCATGTCCAGTTCAGTGAGGTCATTACTATGAGTAATGTTTTGGGAACGCCTTGTTTTGAGATTCGCATTGGCAATGCCGACGGCAAAGCCAACAAATTGATCAATGTCGATGCCAGTCTCTGTGTTACGTCGGTCCAAAATTACATTGATCCTGACGACCATTCGCCTAGAAAAGTGGTGCAGACGGAAGATTTGGAATTGGCCGTCAGCACGCAGCACAAATTGAATGGGGTTTGGACCATTCGACACTTCATAGATGAAAAGTCGCCACTCCATGGCTTGCGGTTTGATGAATTCCCGGGGAAGGATATCTATAGCATTCAATTGAACGTCAAGGCCATTCAAAAAGTCACCAAGGGCGAAGTCTATAGTCAGACTGCCTACCAAGTCCACGATATTATGGTTGGTCATCGGTTTGAGGACATGGCCATTTGGGATGAAGAAACTCGCAAAGGGTATTTTGACTATGCCAAGTTGTCGAGCATCCAACCATCCTTTGTCTGGTATCCTGTGGAGGGTTCTGGGATTAGTGAGAGCGTGCGCAGTAGTACCATCAACAATAGCAAGAGCAATAGCGTCAACGGTAGCATGCGCAGTGATAGCATGCAAAGCTCGACCATTATAGAGCATGGAGTTCCTGACGACGAGGGCATTAGCAGCACCAATCTGAAATTTGAAAATGGAGACGTGATCGAGGAGAACCCCGAAAACAATGCTTCCGCCACCATGAGGGCATGAGTAAGTCATAGTATACATGTATGATGATTGGGTCAGAATCACAACTGGCAACTGTGGCTTCTATGAATGAAGAAAGATGTTCCGTGGGCGAAACTTTTGGAAATGCCAAGTAAAAGAATGTACAATTTTTCCATCTTGTATTATCGTAGGCTTTTATTTCTTTGGTCTCGTCAACATTCATTCCAATTGATACAGTGTATTCAATTCAACAGTCCGAAAAGATGTACTGAAACTAGTAAAAATTGATCACTAGAATTGAAAAGCATTCCCCCCTCTTTTTCTACTTTGTATTGTGATGCTGATGATGACAATTATATGTCAATACATATCGACAATAAACTCTCCTCATAGTAATTATTGCATCAACTTTTCTGCCCTCGCCTTCTTCTCCGCCTTGAGTTCGTTGCGGCTCGTCAATTTGACCGACAAGCGTTGCAAGGTGCTTTGGGGCGGCGGTGGTGCCTTGGCCTTTTTGAGTGACTTGGTAGCAGTGGGACTTAGAGCTGGCATACTAGGCGGAGGCGGAGCGATATTGGCATGGAAATTCAAAGATCCAAAACTGCCGTGCCTGGCATGGACCGGACTCTTTTTGGTGCGGAGTGGCGAGAGCGAAGCATCTCCGTTGGTACGAAAGGACGAGGGTCGATTGTGGTTGACTCTCATACTTCCAACCCGCCGATGACCATGAGGAGAGGCTGGACTGTTCATAGGACTGTGCTTCTTGCGCGTGACCACAGGAGAATCCAAAGGTGGTTTGGGAGGAGGTGCACCGCCAACCAAGGAGCTGCGACTGCGTCGATGAGGAGCAGAAGCTGCGCCAGCCGAAGCACCCAAGGCGGGCCCAGAGGAGTGACGGGAAGGAGTCGAAGAGTTCCGTTGAACAGGTCGTGGTCGTTGTCTTGGCGTACCGGAACTCGTAGCATGTGGCGACTTGCTACGAATGCTGTCGCGGACGCTCTTTTTGGCCGAGGGTGATTTGGGGACAGGGCTTACCATATTGGAGCGAGACATTCGGATGGATCTCTTGCTGTGATTTGAAGCAGGAGAATTGGACGCACTGCTAGCTCGTCGATGTCCCCTAGGAGAAGATTCGGGGCCAGGCTGTCGTGAAAACGATGATGGCTTTTGATTTTCGCCAGCACTCTCACTACTTCTTTGAGAGTTACTGAGATTGGAACGACCCGTGCTGGAACGCTTGCGGACCTTCTTGCATCCTTCCTTGGGTCTATTGCGTGAGGGAGGCTCACCAGCCAAATCTTGCTCACCTTCTCGTCCTTCGTCGCCGTAAGAACTGTGAAATTGGCTCATCAAGGATTCGTACGCTTCATTGACTTGGCTGAACAATTGATTCGCCTTTTCCTTGTCTTGCGTGCTCGTCTGCTTGTCCGGGTGGTATTTCTTGGCAGCTTTGTGATACGCGGCCTTTATTTCTGCTTCTGACGCATCTTTTGAGACACCCAGGATGGAATGCGGTCTTCGTTCTGGCATTGTTCGTTTCGTTTAGTGAGATTCGAGAGATTGTTTTATTTTTAAGGAGGATGACACAACTTGAAAGCTGAATTTTGTAGCCTATATCCTGTAGTCCACTGTCTTAGTCTTTGTTGTTTGACTTGTTGTTGATATCTAATTGTACACAACACAGAGTGATCTTCACAAAAGAGGGCAAATGCTTGGTTTCAATGGAACAAAAAGATTGAGGTATTATAATCGAAGTGCAGCTGTCTCGTTGGCTGCGATCCTTCGCCTCTTTGTCATTCGCGTGTCTCGTATGACTTTCAGGTATCACATGTGACGTCGCCATTTCCGTGGAGTATGCTATGCGAAAATTCCAGCATGCAGTTTTCGTTTTCGGGGTGGTTTTCTTTGGCTAACAACATCCGGGATTCAGTTTTACCTTTTACTTAGAGTAGTAAGATTAACATCTAGTCTTTAATCGAAAATCGCTATTACTACGACTACAATGTGTTCGACTGTCGTTTATGTTGAACCCAAAAGCTCGGCTCAACATTAATTCCAATAACGTACGACCGTTACAAGGAGATCGAGCGATTTTTATAAGTAACGCTTCCTCGACACACGCGTTTCCCTGACCATTCTTCAAAATCGAATTGATTGCAAAGCCTGGATTCTCCCCCATTCGACTAACCAAAATCCCGACCAAACAAAGTGTTAACGCATTCTACCAACTTTCGTTGAAATCGTATCTTTCTGGAAGTTGAATACCGAGGGGGGGTTTCGCTCCGCTTCGAATATATGATGACTTGAAACAAAACCATTCGCCACAACCATGATTTATTGATGCGACAGATGCAAACTGTCTCTTATTCCAAAAGAACCTAAAATCCGGTACCAACCCTTCAATATCCAATTAGAAAAGCTTCTATTAAAAGTGAGTTTTGATCGGAAATCGTTTTATGTTCCCGCTTTCAATTAACAGATGTCACAAACACAGATGTGTTTTCACACGGTATCGCCCTTTTCAAACACAAAAAGAAAAGTGTTATCGTTTCGCAGAACCAAAACGGGTCCCCTTTTGATGATTTGTTAATTGTTTGCAGAAGCGTTAGAACAGTTCAAGTCAAGTTTGAACCTATCCGATAACACATAGTCTGTGGTTCGGTTTCCGGAAAGTGTTATCGAATATCAAGCAACAAAATCCCACTCAGATTTATTTCGAAAGGCATAGTTTGCCCAAAACACTTATCCTCACAAAAAAGATCATGGTGCCCCAACAGTTTGCAAATCGCACTCATCATAACCTGCAAGGGCAACATTCCAGAGATCTTTCCACAGACTCACAAGAAGTTGCCATGAGACCTCACTCCTGCAGTGCTAAAGTATCCTCACAAGCAGCAGACGCCATAATGCTGCCCCTCGTTCGCAGAATGAGCCAGTTGAGTGCTGAAGATGATGACGATACCAAACTTCGTCTCCCATCCTTGGAAGGTTGCTTCCAATGCAATGATCATGATGATGATCACAGCCTCGACTCACAAGTCAAATTGGTGGACGACACGATGGTCCATGAAAACGACAGCGATGACAGTGATGATGACGATAGTATCATGTCGCAAATCAGGGTCTTGTCGGCCCTGGAAACGGCAGCCTTTCAAGATGCCGAAACTATTGTCCACGATAATGTTGTTCCTGACGAGGACAGTGATGATGACAGTCTCTCTTCCATTGTCTCCAAGGCCTACTCGGTTACCTCCTCGTCCTCTGCATCCTGCTGCTCTTATTCCGCATCTTCGTGTGATGATATGATGGTGCCTGCTGGGACGAAACGGGTGGTCTTTGTGCGCCAACACAATGAGATTCATACCATTCCAAACCGAGAAGACTTCTCGTTGGAGGAGATTGGAACGGTTTGGTACAAACCTGAAGAAATGGCTGCCATGGTAGTGGCTCGCTACAAGGAAGATGCCAGAGCCAAACGAGCAGCCAAGATGCAAGAACAGGGCCCACTTCCCATGGTAATGGATCACATCTTGCCATCAGAAGAATCCTCCTCATCAAGCTCTACCACAAACACAAGATCGACCTCGTTGCCACTGACACTCATGGCCTGCTTGCCCGCTGAGGGCTTGCTACGGGAGTCTTGCAAACCCGATGACGAGGCAAGTGAAGCACGCATTCATACTCTTGTGGATGCTGTCATGGACGAGCAAGAAGTCCAGTGGGACGCAGACATTGACGATGCCGACACGCTGGCTCAAGCTTCCTATGCACATTCCCGAGCCTGCACCATTGATGCCATCCAGAGGGCACAATTGGATGCCCTGGAAGCCATTCCATTCTACTTGGGCGATGACTCATCTACGGAAAATGATCTTTTGGATCATTCGATGCGATCCGAGACTGGGCACTGCCGAAAAATACAAGAAGAAGTCTACCAATTGAGTCCAATGGTTGTCTCGCCAAAAGCCAAGTCCATCAAGAAGAAGCATCGAGCTCGAAAGAACTCTGCTGTTGTGGAAAGCCGATGGAGTCCCGCCTCCCCCAAGAGAACTTGGTCTGGTCTCAAGGGCAAGGAACAGCAAGAAGGAGGCACTAATCAGATGCAGAATGGACGCTGGAGTCCCGTGAACACTGCAAAGAGGACATTGACTTCACTCCCAATGCCATTGAGAATCACAAGCGACCATGGCCCAGAACAACAACAACAACAACAGGAAAACAACAGCAATCGCTCGCACGATAGATCATTATCAATGCCAATGAGAATAGCAAGCAATCATGGTTCGGGTGAAATGAGCGATATTCTTAGTGTTGTATCATCCGGAAGCATCGATTCCGAATCGGAGTTTGGTGCCATTGAGTACGAAGAACGACTTGCTCCACCCACGACCGTGTCTGTGCAAAAAAAGAAGACCCGGAAAACCAAGATCTTTTCCAAGAAAGATTCCAGTAGTACTACTGGAATTTACCAAAAGGTGAAGCGAAAACTTCAGGATTCCAAGAAGAAGAACAAGCGAAAGAAGAAGGCCAAAAGCACCAAAACGGACAAGAAAAAGGTCAAGGGGATGAAGAAGGCGATCGCAATCATCACCAAGATGGAACCATCGCAATCATCTGGATTGAGCGATGAGTTTGCAGAAATGGATACCTCTGAGGTCAAACGCACCCTCGTTGCCTTGTAGGAGGTTACAACAAGACAGTATTCTTGCTACAACCCATTAAAAGGAAATATATAGCACACAAAATTTTGTTTATGAAAAAATGTAATGTGTATAATATCTATCTAGGCTTATGCGTGGGTTCTCATTATTAGACAACCATCACTTTGTTAATCTTCTTTCGTCGTGATGCGGTAGTCTTGGCAGGTGTTTCTTTTTCAGCCTTGCCCTCTCTTGCGGCAGACTTCTTCTTGGATTTTCTTTTCTTCTTTGGCGTGGTAGGTTTTTCCAAGATGGAACTGGAAGAGAGTGACCATAAGCCACTGTCACAAGAATCGTGAGAGTGCATTGAAAGACCAAGATCCATCGAATGACTGCTGGCGTTCAGAGACCTGAGAGAGTCTGGAGTGTACTTCTTAGATTTCTTCATAATGGTGCTGTTGGTGATCACAGCAACGAGAGGAAGGTGGAATGGTTCTTCTTGCGCCGCTTTATCGTGTTCATCCAAGTGTTCCTCATAAACCTTACGAGCTTCCTTTTCATCTTGCTTGGCAAGCTCCAAGGCAATTTTTCGGCTGGTCTTGGTAAGGCCTTTGGAAGCTTTGGCGATTCGCCGAGTGCTGTTGCGCCCCTTGGTCCACTGCTTGTCCTGTTCATCAAGGACAGAATCAACACAGGAGAAGATCCTTTGGTTCATTTCATGTTGTCCCATTTGCGTCCAAGCTTCTAGCCCCCTGTAAGTCGTTGATTTCTTGGCTTTCTTACCAGCTTCAATGCGATCCGCTGTTTCATTTTGCTCTTCATTCATAAAGGCAATTTCATTTTTCGAATAGAAAGCGAGATGGTATTCCTCATCGGTCATGTCTTCTCGGTGTGGAATCTCACACACCTCTAGCTCGGGAGCAAAGGTGATGCGGTGTTTGGATTCGGGGTTGTTGGAATAATGAGATATGCTTTCACCAGCAAACTCTGTGAATGAGTCTGTGGATTCTGTGCAATCATTTTCATCTTGGGAAACAACAGGCTTCTCTAGAGGTTCATCATAATCGGTAATTGCTCTATTGGTTTCCATCTGTGTGCGCATTGTCATAGTTGATAGTATAGTTGGTAGTTGGTAGTTGGTAGTTGGTTGAGTATTGATTGAAATAATGAGTGGGTGCCGTAAGGGAATTCAATCGTAAGAAAGGGGTGTGTGACTGAGTTGGTAAAAAACCTCTTTTATGCCAGTTTGTGGGAAGTGCAAGGAACCCGCAATCCGAGAAAGTTTCACCGTGGTACCAGGTGGCTTATTATATATTTGTGTAGCGAACACTTTACGCTTATTCATCAAAAGAGGAGGCGGGTACACTGATTCCGTGGTTTCCGGTCTGAAAGAAGCTTCTCGGTGTATCATTGCTTAACGGAAGTCATTGCGATGTCTCTGAAAACATAAGAGAGTGATAGATTTGTGCTCCGTGTCCGAGACATGGAATTCTCCACATATGGCATGTTTACAATTCGACCATACTTCGATATCCCGTGCTGGTGTTCAACAAAAACGGGACAGATAGATGATGCAAGTTGGAGACCCTGGTTTCTGTCCATAGTTATTGATCCAGACACTTTTTTGTATCCCTTTGTGACACCAAAATATCCAGTGGCGTTGATCAGTACGGTACCGATATTGGAAAGCCACCGTCAATTAGAGTTCCACTAACTTTTAAAACACACCCTCTATGAATCCAATACCGAACGGTACTGGCAAAACACCGTCAATTTTGAATTATTAATATGATGGCGGTTCTTCTTGTGGTATTTATAGATACTATTAATACAGTGGCCGGTAAGCAAGATTGTCCTCGTGAGTTCGAATGATGAATGAATGGCAATCATCATGGAGCTCTTATGCGGTGAAGACATGTGGCAGCAAGTTGCGTGACAGGGTTGTTCTTCTTGGTACTGACTCGAAGTGAATCAGCTTTTAATTTCAAACCTGTTGAGTCCTTTTTGGATTTCTTCTTCTTCTTGGAAGGCGAAGAAGTCGTGGGTTTTGAGTCAAACAAAGAAGGTGCAGATAGTGACCAGAAGCCATCAGAAGAATCGTTCGATTCGGGAGAGATGTCTAGATCCGATGGCTTATTTTTCGTTTCCTTCTTCTTCTTCTTCTTGGATCTACTGTCACTGCTAACAGTCTTGCTTCTGCTCTTACTTTTCTTCTTCTTTGATTCCCCTCCTTCGGTGCGAGTTGACCGAGTGGACTCCCCCAACGCATCGGCAAAATCTTGAATGAGCATGTCGACTTCGGATCGCTCTCCCTCTTCATCGTTTGCTTCAGATTCGGATGGTTCCTCCTCTTGTTTCTTGGATTTTGTTTTCTTTTTCTTTTTGCTGTCCCTCCTTTTCTTCTTTTTGGATTTCTTGGGTGACTTATTGAGACCTCGCTCCTTGGTGATTCGAATGGATGACTCTTGCCGTTTCAGCTTGCCCACGTCTTCGTCCGAGTGGTAGTCGAGGTCATTGTCGAGCAGGGCAGATCCTTCTAGGTAGTCCATTTCAGACCGATCAGTGCGTTCAGAGATATCGACACCAATATCGGAAATGGACATTTCGAACAGGTCCTTGACCTTTATGGTTTGATAGGCTTCTCGAGCCTCATTTTCATCGTACAAAGCGTACATGAGGGCTTCCTGCGTACTTCTTCTCGAAATTTGATGGGTAAGGTTGGCGATGACTTCCCAGTCCAAGTCCAGGTCACCTGCATTCCATTGGCGTTGTTGCTCGTCCATGACTGTATCAACATACATATTTTTGGCTTCCACCATTCGGTGATACCCATCGATGGCAATCTTTTCCAGCCCTCGATAAGGAGCGGATTTCTTCTCTTTAAGGCCTGTCTCTAATCGATCTACAGTTTTGTTGTGTGCCTTATTCAGGACCTCCCGTTGTTTTGGGGTCCACCAGGATTCCTCCACTTCATCTCGTGAGTACTCGGCTCTTGAAATGATGGGGTGTCTTGTGGCCATGGGTGCAAATGCAATTCGCCTAGTTCTACTTCTAGTTCTTGTTCTAGCACTATCATGGATATCATCGTATATATCGTCTTCATGAGTGGCAATTGAACATGTGTCGTCGTCCTCATTACTGCTAGCACACAATTCTGTGTGTTGCGAAACGCCTGGCAGGTTTTCGTCCTCATCCAGACTCATTGTGTCTTCTGTGACTGTCCGCAAAGATTTGCTGAACCCGCTGTAAGCGGCAATGCACGGCTGAGGGGCTTGCGAGGATGATTCATCGACCATCGCCATGGTATTCAGAAGTGTTATCGGTTATTATTGTGGTCTTGATTTTTGCGATCCGCCTCAGAAATGTGATCTGCGCTAATTATTTGGATTTCCAACTGATTAGAGGCCAATATTACGAACCTCCACACTGACTTCCAAAACGGCGTTTCTACAATTATTCTCAAATCAAATTGTACTTATTCGTGGTCAATCAAATTAAATATAATAAGGCCTGTCTTGGGTACCGGTGTACTTATAGGATCGCTACTGCTGATCGTAATACGAAAAATACTAATAAGTGGGCATAATTCCTACCGGTATGGAGGTATCCCTATTTCTCACAATGTCGAAGAGGCACCCATCGTCGCCAGTTGTCGCGACAAAGAACAGTTTCGCAAATTTTCGTTGGACTCATTATTGTGCGCGTCATGGGTACAGTACCTGTACGTGTACGTACGTCTACAATGATCACGACCCCATACCGGTAGCTGCACGCATGCAGGAAATAACCATTTTCCATTTTGAGTACGATGTCGCTCGTACCGGTAGGTACCGGTACCCTGGTAGGTGCCAAAGAGAAAATTCACTACAGTACTATTATAATGTCATCGAAGACAACTTTCACACCAATACTGTAGTGCTGTCGATCTGCATATTCCGCTATGGGCGTTGGAAACTATCATGCGTGACATTACTGACATTGAGTAGTATTTGGTTGAAGTTTGTGACAACAATTTCTTGAATTTTGACCCTTGAAGTGCCCATGAGGTACCACTTGCACAGTGGTGCTTTCGTATCTATAGCCTCGAAGAGGCAAGAGTAATAAAAGGAATAGGGTGATTTGGTCATCATTATGGTACTCTGTACCTCTGGCTTTTATTTTTATGGCTTTGCAGTGACGGCATGGCATGGATCGATTTCCGCGAAACTCGACCTTTACGACCGCAACTTATTCGTGACTTGCACACGACTTGCCAGTTGGAGGGATTTTTGGTGGATTTTTGGTGGATTTGGACAAAAATGATGATAACTTCCATGGCAACGATTATCTGCAACGGCAAGATTGATGATGTTCGTTTCAGTTCATCTCATGTGATTTCAGTTCAGACGCGAAGGATGCATCGTGTGATTCAATCACGATACTCTCGATGAATTCACAGTCGCTCACAAATCAGCAACGCAAGACAAATTCTGATCAAAATACAACACCAAGCACCACATCACCATGCCCGGATGCTTCTGCAAGAACAACACACCACACACACCCAGACGCAAGACATCAGTGAGTTTCAATGAGACCGTAGAGATCTTTGTTGTCATGTCTCGAAGTGAATATACAATACGAGAGAGAAAGAACTGCTACTTCTCGGCTGAATACCATCAGAATATGAGCCTGTGGCTTGGAGCTGTCACAGAAGGAATGAGTGTCAGCGAGACCCGAGGCATTGAGGCATTTCTTCCTAGTTCAGGGGATGAACAAGGTGCTTTGAGGGATTTGCACATTGATTCTGTGATGGATGAACAAGAGAGACAGTTTGAAGAAGGAATTGAAGATGCTTGGGCAATTGCAGAGACATGCCGAAGAACATCAGCAAAGGGTGCCATCATTGCATACATTACAGCCAAGAAAGATGAGCGAGCAGCATTCGGTGCATACATGAAGATGGACTCTGACTATAACTTGTTGTGTGTTCCTCCTTCACCTACATCCATGGATAGGGCAACGGTCAAGAGTTACTTTGCTACTTCTGATATGGAAAATCTGAGTACCCCCCTGCTGATAACTCCAGCGGCCTAGCTGATCACTCCAGCGGCCTAATGGAATCAGCTGACATGGCGTCGTTGCCGTCAGGAGCACTAAGAAGAAGAAGCAAGAATCGGTCTACTACCAAAACAATCAAAATAGCATCTCGTGGCCTGGTGGTCACTTCTTGTCGTGTTGTCACGGGTTTGCACGCATACGGTACGTTATAAACAATTTAGAATTAGAGCATTCATTTTTACATTTTCTGGACAATCTTTCTAGAATACTGCAGCTTCCAAAACCAACCCACACATACCACTCAATACCACCGCACCATGACAATGAACCATGAACCACCACCGCATGCGGCTCACCATCGAGCATGGAGATGGCGAGGCGTCTGTCGTGCGTCCGGAATTGCGTCATCTATTTTTGAATTTCCATCAACATTGCCGTATATACCGCTGACATCATGACAAACAAAAACCGTATCGGGTTCAAAGTTCATCATAGCAACAGCACTCTAATACTACAGGCAAAATATAGAGTCCTATCGAAAGATGAGGTCGTCGCTACTAATTACACTGACCTGGATGTATTGCTTCACGGCCAATGTGTTTGGATTCTCACTGCTTCCCACCGCACAAGCCTTTCATCGGTCCAATTCGCAACTCCAAGATGCGGCACAAGAAGATTCTTCAGCACCTCAAGGTAATCCCGACCGACCAAAGAATATGGTAGACACCAATACTTTCGTTGCCGCTGTCCAGGCGTTGAAAGGAGAAACTGCTGAACCCGAAAAAGAGGGAGGCAAGGAGGACGAGGCTCCATATGCCATTGGCAAATTGAAATTGCCCTTGTCGTTGGCTGGAACTCCCGGTTTGGATTTGGCCGAGGCACCAGGTCTTGTTATTGTTAGCAGTGTTACTGGAAACGCTCTGGAAGCAGGATTCCAGGCCGGGGATACCATTGTCAGCATTTCATCGAAGGCTGCCGAACCCAACTATTATGAAGAAACCAATGGTTTGAATTTGGAGGAAACTGCCAGCATTCTCATGTCGGCGGCCAACCATGCCATAGAAAATGGAGCCACTGAAGTTGAAATTGAAATCAATCGTCTAGTTAAATTGGCATATGCTGACTAAGCAATGTGTTTTCCTAAGATCTGATTTATTGATGAATTCGACAATATAAGTCATGGCTGTGATCTAAATCTCCAACAAGTGGAAGGTAGTTGACACGATAGAATTTTATGTCAGAACATGTTCATGGTACTTTCAGTATATTAGGATTATCCCATTCGTTCTTGAGCAAATCGAGATAGCTTCTTCTTTGATTGATCTTGTGGTTTTTGTTGCATTTGTTGTTGCTGTTGTCGTCTGCGTCGAAACTTGCTCTGGGGTGGTGCGCTTCGTTCTTGAATGGTATTGGTTTCCTGTATCTGTTCACCCTCGGGTGCTACGGAAACAGTCGGCCGTTCTTGTACAACCCCTGAAAAGGCAGTGGAGTTCATAATTCGTGTAGTTTCGTCGACTGTAGGTTCAGCTTGGTTGGGTGGCATCGAAACATTGTTTCGAGGTGGCAAAGGTCGAGTACCAGGAAGCGATGGAATTTCTTGGACTTGGTTTTGTGACAAGTCGAATGCGACACCTCCTGTTGTGGCGGGTGGCAATGGAGTCGTTTCGGCTGCTGGAGTGGATTGTGGGATTTGAGACTCTGGTGAAGTGGGAATTGGTAGCACTTCGCTCTTGCTGGAAGTTCCAGCAGCCGCTTGACCAGAGGATTGACTATTCTTGGTAGAGTTGGATTGAGTCCGGGTAGTTGCACGCTTCTGGGCAGACTTGTTCTTCTTGGGTTGATTCAGAAATCCCTTGTTCCAGCCTCCACTGCCACTTGAATTCTTCTTTTTGTTGCCGGCAGCTCGTTGCGCCTTCAGCTTACTATTACTTGTTCCTTCCTGAAGTCTTTGATTCTCTGATTCTTCCAATCTTGCCAATTCGTCCAAGCGTTGGGCGAGTTGGTCGTATTCAGGATCTGATAATTGCTTTTGCGGGGTGTCGTCGTAGTCTATTGTAATCATTTCTTCATCACTGCCATTTTCTGGTTGCTCTTCCTTCGTCTCACCACTCATATCAGTACCTTGTGGAAAGCTCATTGTATCCCCCTGTCCAATCTTATCCATCAGAGCTTGGAACTCTGAGGAAACATTCACGACATCACCTTTGGTTTGAGTGCCGTCTTCGTTGAATTCCTCGTGAATTTCCACCATGGTCGGATGAAATGGTATTGGCGCAGCTGCCTGTTGGCTCTTGCTTTGCGGAATTGACCTTTTAGAGCTTGATGGTGACGCTGAGGTGTTGTTGGACGTCTGAGACTGTGTTTGTTTGGCAAACGTGGAGGATTGTGTTGGTTTCTGGGTTACTGGAGCTGTTACGGGGGGTTTTGTTAGCGCTGGTTGGGCCTTTTTAAGTAGCCATTGTTTGGCATCATTTGTGGATAAGATTTGAAGCTTTTTTTCCTTCCCAGGGCGGACTTGGACGTGTTCTATGGTACGATTTCCACTTTCCGAGTTTCGTGTTGTCACAGGTTGCAGTTCACCCATTAAAAAGGCTTGTTTGGTGAAGGGAATCATCATAGGACGTCCTGCCAAAGGCACACCTTTCTCAAAGTACTTATCAGTGAGTTTTTGGCATTGTTTTGCTGATATTTCCGGTGGTGGAAGCGTAGACCAATCACTCATGGCGTTGTGTTGATACTGATGGAAAATAATAATAAATTGAAAATATAACATGAAAATTGAATGGACAGTCGAAGGACGGACCAAACACATTATCGACCTTCGTCGTACTCGTACTGTACTGTCTTTGACCAATTATTAGCTCCGTTCCACAATCATACTGTTGTTTGAGGATCTATTCAGTCAATTTAGGATAGATTAAGTAAGCGTTCACTATAGTCTACACTTTTTTCATATACAATGTGATATCCATCTGTCCGTACGAGCAACAACCTTCTGTTTCTCTCTTTTTCAATAACGGATTCATAGTCTCGTCGATTGGTTGGCTGGAACAGTACTGCAGCTCATTGCAAAATTTCCAAGTCTAGCATTATATCGTCCTTATTCTCGCGATGTAGCGTCGCCTATTCTCTTCTTCTCTGTACTGCCGTATAGGAAGCCCAGTCCAATTTGACTGAACCACCCTGAGGCTTGCGAGCTCGCCGATTGGGTAGAGCTGGCAACCTTTTCTGTTCCTTCTTCGTTGGACCCAAGGAACAAGTGATCCAAGTCGTTGCAGGTTGCTCCAACATCTTGGCAAAGGATTCCGGTTTTATCAATTGTTTCGGCACAGATAAAACGACGATAGTTTCGGCCTTGGAGATCTCGACGTTCGGAGCCTCCACGGCGGGAAAGGTAAAAATAGTTGTTCATGTATTCATCATTCTTCTTTTCCTTGAAGTACTGTTTGTCATCTGCACAACAGGATGGAGATGGCGCAATCAGGGGTATGCCAACAACAGAAGCCGTCTCCATTAGGCTGGGCTGCGTGGGGCTGCAGAGTGATGTTGTGCCCAAAATTGGTTCTTCCAGAGGTCTCTCTTCTAAAGCTTCGTCAGGCTGCGGTCGCGGTGAAAGATTGGAGCCTTGAGTTGCAATACCATTGTTCTGATGACCATTCATTGGGAAACTATCCAAATGGTAATGTCCACTCTTTGTTTCTTCATCTGTGCCTACACCACCGCCTTCCCGAGTCTCTGACGAGAAGTTATCCTCGTCATCCAATCGTCGTCGAAGCATTCGTATCCTTCGAGTTCGTTTGGCCTTCTCCACTGCATCGTGAATTGCGGGGCTTGTAGTCAAGTCACCCGTTTGTTGAGGCTTTTCACCAATCCGAGGGATCTCCAAGAGCCTCGTTTGTTCATTCAAAAAGGTATTCTCATATTCTTCCAATGGATCCAGAACTGCGGAAGGAGCACCCACAGAAGAGGCGACAATGGAGCCTGGGCTAAAGTTATATCGCGAATGATCCGGGGTAGCAACAGTAGGTTCTCCTCCATCAGCTTGTCTCAATATCCGTAGTCGTTTGGGTGTGTTGAAATCATGCTGCTTTGGACTCGTCTCACCTTGTTGCATTTGGACTGCTTCCGTGATTTCCAATGGTAGTGGTGCTAGATCTCCAAATCCTTGTGAAGGAGAAGATGGGCAAGAGAAGCTGCTACCGTCATTGTCACTACCTTGATCCGTTTCCGTTGGACCTGTGGAGTCGGACACGGAATTCAGAATTTCCAATGTTTCCTTCACAGCATTCTTGGAATCATCCGCTTGACCCTTGGACGTAGATTGAGTTGGAGGAGCAGAACAACTAGCAGCCCCGTCTTCTTCCTTCGCAATGGTAGGAATTGTGCTGAATGGTTTCAAAGTCAGGGAATTTAAGGATGCCAAGGAGCCCACGGCTGGTATAGAGGAGGTTAACATATCCAATGGAATATGATCCTCCAAGGTTCCGTTGCTATATTCAGCCAATCCAGTCTCTTTTGCTGCTGAGGCATCCTTTTCGTCCTCGTCTTCCGACCGAACTCTTTTTCCAAAATATCCAGACAGATTCTTGAAAAAGTCAGCCGTGATCTCCGTTCCTTGACTTCGTGGAGATAAATTGAAATTTTGTTCGCTCTTTGCTCCGTCCTCAACTTCCTTGAAGACGAGTGTTTCCTTGGCCACCTTTTTGCGATAAAGATGTGTCCGCATGTGGTTATTGACTGTTTCAAAACTGGGAATCACCTCTGCGATATGCCGAAATGGCGGACTTGTCGGATTGGATTCTCGACCTGCGGGCGTTGTCACCAAGGGTCCATTCTTGTGTTCCACGGGTTCAGCATCGGATTGTCCTTCTGCGTCCCTTGTTTCCAACGAAACTGGTTCCGGCACAAAGGAGGAAAGCCTGGCCGAAAAGGTTTCACATCCTTCATCCGCAGCTTTCTGTGCACGAGCTGCTACCTCCATCATCTCCGTCAGGTGAAGCTGCGTTGAAATTTCTTGTGAAATCCTTTCCAATTCCGCATCCGATTCTACTAGCGCCTTGGCATAGCTAAAGCTTTCCTCATTCATACTCCCCCGCCGACTAGTAGTGGGTTTGTGATTTTGGTAGGCCAACGATCGCTGTGAAAACCAAGGTTGTTCGCGGACTTGCTTCAGGAGTTCAGTGCGCAAGTCTTGTCTCGAGAGAGCATCCACCGCAGCTCTATATTGAGAACTGTCCAAGTGTTCGTCATCTTCTTCGCCATTGCACAGTCCAGGAATGTTCATTTCTACCAATGCATCGTCATCCTTAGCTTCCTCATGCAGGGAACTTCTCGTTCGTCTAGCCTGCATCATCTCCATTTTTAAGGATGTTTCAATTTGTATGGACAATCCAATTAAATGTCACCGCTAAAGCTTTTGACAAGCCGTCAGCTGCGCGCAACAAACTTCTCCTGAGGTCTACTGAAAGTTTCAGGAACTTTGAAACCGTCTACGGAGACCTCCTTTTTGCTTTCAACGGCTGTAGAACGAGAGATGCCTCTTGAGCCCACTGTAATTCTTCGAATAATGGAACTAGTGTAGGTTATTTATTCGACTTCAGTTGGAATGTTGGATTGCCTTCAAGGTCGCACACATCGTCGTCCTCAATGATTGATTCTGCATTACGATATAACGTCTAACGGAGCAAAACGCGCCCGTCGGCCTTCGCCACCGATCTTTTTCTGTTGGACGATCCATCAAATATGCAGCAGTTGGCGGCATGCTCCATATCTATGGTATTGTACGTGTACTCTTGGCACGCTCGCAAGCGACACGCTCCAAGGCATCTCGGCATCAGACTTCTCGAGCGGATATGACATCGTTGAGACGCGATTGAAATGACCATGTAGATTCGGGAGGTACAGTATTTTAGTACAGTAAGGATGGTCGTCCTGGAACTGGAACACCCGCAACTGTTGTGAGCTCGCGCGCCAGCCATCTCAGCACCAACTTGCCCGCGTTCTCCCGTCATCCGCAATCCCCCTTTTATTTGATGGGAGAATATCACTCTTCTCGCGGTAACGTATTTTATCAAACACGACAAATCCTTTTTCACAAATAAAAATCGGAGAAACTTTTGTGTTCGGCGACACACTTTAACAATTATCGACATCACTTTAGTGAGCGACGTCACAATAGGACATCACTTTAAGGCGCGACGTCACAATTGGACATCACTTTAAGGCGCGACGTCACAATTGGACATCACTTTAAGGCGACACTCCTTTTAATCGGCTGAGGCTGAAAATGCTACATTTTTATAAAAAAAACTCTCCCGAACAAAAAATAAACTCAAATCCTATTTTAATAGTTTCAAGTTGATGACATATTGTTTGAGCATAAACCGAGCTTCTAGCAGATGAGTCACATTAGAGGAGCAATAGAATTTCGGTAATACTTTAGCACTCGATTCGTGGTATTATTTAATATAATACTTTTAAAATAGTTAGTTGACTTATTAGCTAGTGACAGAATTCGTTTCAAATTGGTCTTTCACTTGTTGAATCAAGACGTCGTAGAGTGGGGTTTCGTTCTCCACTTTGTATTGACAAATAACGCAAACAGCTTCAAACGCAAGCTCAAAGCGTTCTTCACTGTGACGAAAGCAATGACTCGTCACATTGAATCGCTTGATCATTCCATTGAAATTCTCTTGACGCATGAGAGCTCGTCTTTTGAATAGCGACACCCCCTTGTTGTCATGAGCATTCGGTGTGCTAATTTGTTTTTGTTCCCCATTGTAACCTCGATCTCCAATTGCTTTTTGTCCACGACGACGGAGTTCCTCGACAAGTCCTCCTGTTCGGGCTACCGTAATGTCAGACGTCCCTGCAGGGTAGGGTCCTCGCATCCACAACAAACGACCTGTGCTCAGGCATATCCCAAGCTCATACATCAACCCAGCTTTGTGATATTTGTGGCTGTAGTAGCGCCTGTTTTGACTCCAGACAGGATGTTTTGGCTCCTGTATCCAGCAGTGAATGCCGTCTACCGTCAGGACCCAGATATCATCTGTGCACAAGTCCTCCTCCCACTTGATCTTCTCGTGTTTCAAGGCTCGAAGTCTCTCGATCGACTCCCAAGCCAAATTTCTTGACCAGTACATGCTGAAGCCAAATCGAGCTTCCATGTCCCTAGTGACGAGACAATAAGTTCAATCAGTAACACGGGGCGCTGCAAAAAGCTATTGCCACCACGTACGTACCTTTCTGTTGGATACTTCAACAAGTAATGAAGTGCAATCAAGAGATTCCTCAAATCAATTCGACTGCCCTCTACTTTGGCTTCTTCAATATCCGTTGTTTGCATGTCGTGGTAAATCTCGGCAGCAGTTACAGGAGATAAACCAAAAAATCCCTTGAAACGCTCAAAGTTCACCCGTGCCGTTGACTTCTGTAAACGTTTGCGTTTGTAGCCCACCAGTTTCAATCCAAGATACTGGATCCTCTCTGGTGTGACCACATGATTGACTGGTGCCTCGTCCAATTCGTCTACACCAGCATTGTCATCATTGTTTCTTGGCTGGGGGTCCTCCAACACCTCTGCCATTCTTGAAGTTGGGATATTGTGCCCAAAGATGACAAGAATGCCGAAGGTGAAAGATTGCAAGATAATTCGATTTGAAACTGGGAATTGAGTCGTGAAATAGCGAAGTGACATTAAGTCTGGAAATAACAATTGGAAGTCACTTTAAGTCTGGAAATAACAATTGGAAGTCACTTTAAATATGGAGATAACAATTGGAAGTAACATTTAACAAATGGGAAGTCATTTTAAGGATTCGGGACGTCACTTTAAGGTTTTACGGGCTTTTCAGTTTAACGCGCTTTCGACCATTTTAACACTTCTATTTTACGAGGAAGAAGTATCACCCCTTAAAATCGTGCTCCCCCTTTTTGTTGAGAACTTGGTGCTGGCCGGCTTTGACTGGCAGGTGCGCGAGCTGTTCAGAGTTGCGGGTGTTCCTGGTGACTACGCCTGGATAATTTGTTCCATCATGAAGAATAGGTTTTACCGATTGAAGGGGTGGGCCTAAGCTTTTTGTAGGTAGCCAGACTGCATCATTCCCATTGTTTGGTAAGTCAAAGTGCTGAAACTAAACCTGTACAGTACCTGCGGTCGATCAACTTCAAACTTCTGATCTGAAACAGATGCCTGCGATGACATCTTTTGTTCCACGTGATTCTCTTCTCAGCACACCAACCTACTTAAAACAATGAATCAATCGGATGACATCCTCTGCGCTGAATAGCAGTTAGCAAGCGTTAGGAACAAGAATACTTAGGAATGTCTACAGCATCTAGTTTCCTACTCACTGATTGAGCAGCCACATTCTTTGCAGTACAGTATGTTAAACTTGCCGAAGCATGGATTGCAAAAGCTGAAAAGGAGATAGCTTTGCCGCATTCTCCTACCGCCAATTTCCAAGCGTACGGTACCCGGTGCGTGAGAAGTGATGAAATTATTCCTGGAAAGAGTGATGTCATAAAACTCTACCAGAGATTGATTCGACGTGAGCTCTTCTGATACCGGAGTTAAAAAAATAGATAGGAAGGACACGTATGTTTTTTAAAAAGGTCATAAGCCCAGCCTTTTTGGGGCTCTATTTTCCTCCGATAATGCAGTAGTGGCGATTGGCAACCCACGGGAGTTTACAAAAGCCGATGCGGTGACGTCCTCCTGGTCCACCTCTGAGTAGGAGTATGGGACAATCGCCATTTTCGCTGCACACCTCAGAAGTACGTTTTGAACACGTGATAAGTAGCTGATATGCTTCAAGGGTGAATCAGAGATACGTGGCCTCACATTTTAGCATATCCAAAAACTTCCGTTTCCTTTCCACATATTTTATCTCAAACGAAAAAAATCGTATCGTATTCAACATGTGCCGAACTACAGAAAACAGCATCATCACTGGTAAGACTTTGCTCCCACGAGCCTCTAGTGTCTGATACATAACCCCGCGCGATTGCTCACTTACGTTGCCAACCACTTCTTGCTTCAGAAATCAAGTCCGATGGAGGAGGCGGTACCAGCGTCCAAACGGCGATGATTGTCTTCTGCGGTGTCGTCACCATCACTTCTCTTGCCACTGCCATCGTCTTTGGTGAGAAACTTAGCGAAAGGGTCGCACCCATCACTGTCCCAGCTCCCACTGTCATTGTCAACACCGGAGGAGCTGAAGCCATCGGTCCAAACACCTTCACTTCTCGCCAACCTCGTGCTGGTGTCAACGAGTGTGAAGACAAGAAGATTCAAATCGACAATGTTGACTGTTTGATCGACGCATTGGAGAAAATTCTTCCTCAAGCTGGAGGCAATGTGACCATGGGATTCAAGGGTGAACTCAATGTTGGCCATGAACCAATCAAGACTCCCTACTTCCAAAACGACATGTGCCCCGTCAACGTCCACTGGCACTTGGGTACCGAGCACCTTTCCGTCGGCGAATACGACGAGATGGGTGCCGGACCACACACCCAACCAGGAGACATGCGTCGCAAGCTTGCTGGAGATGAAGATGTCCGTGGCGGATTCCGTTGCCGCCATTACGACGAAAACGACGCCAAGTTCACCACCGAATACGACTGGCAGCATTGTGTCGGCATGGAAGTTGGCGAGACCTACGAAGTTCACTGGCCTCACTCTGCGGCCGGTGCATGCGGAACCATCAACCAATATCAAACCCCATTCTACGATGGTGTCCTCTGCCGTGTTGGAATTCTTGGCGACCTCTCTCGTCTTCCTGAACAAGTCGGTGTCCAAGCCCAAGTCTTCACCATTGTCAACGACGAAGACTACTTCTACCCCGACCTCATGCGTGGAATGATTGTTGACGGTGATATGGGAACTGAAATCACCAAGTACACAGGATCCACGACCGGAACCAGCCGCGACAATGAGATCTGCTCCGCCTACTCTCCCATCACTTGGCAAGTCGACCGCAAGTGCCACATGATCTCTGCTTCTACTTTCGACAAGATGTGCGCTGACATGAAGTCCCAACGTGACGACATGAGCGACGATCTTTACGCCCATGGATCCAGAGAACTTGTCGACAGCAAATTCGTCGCCAACAACCAGCACAACCGCGCTCTTCGCGGAAACTAAATTGTTTGGCCCATACATGAATGGAATATGGATTGTGAGGACAATCCTTTTTGTGGCTTGACCCCATGCATGATGCATGAGGACAATCATCTCTTGTGGCTTGAACAAGACTTTTAAACGCATTACATTAGACTAGTTGTACTTCTTAGGATATCATTTTTATTTAAAATAGCAGATTCGATTTATAATTGAGAACTGTAGTTTGGAGGAAGCTGCATGCATTTGAATTTGTCAAATGCATGAAAACGCTGAAAACGCAACGAGGGAGAAGTTTGCAGAGGCGTCATGATTGAACAACAATAATGCTTGGAGCAAATACATGAGGTGAAAGTATTGGTTGTTTAAAAATACTTGGGTCACGCGAAGTCTTTCATCTTGCTTTCAGAAGGGGTAGTCTGAAATCAGCACAATCAGGGCAGTTGACAACCAATGGACAAGTCGTTTTTGCACTTTTTGCCATCATATTGAATCCAGCTTAATCGTGGCTTCTGTGTGATCCACTCGACTTTTCCTTTGTTCCTCTCGTCGGCACCAAGCTTCCGCATCTCGGGCACCCATTTCGTAGACTTGTGTCAATTCTTCTCGAGATGACGCTTGGGTGGCGATACGGAACATGTCGGTAACCGACAACTGATTGCTGTCTTCTTCTGTTATAATGCTTGGACTGATACAATTGTCGTCACTAAAAGCCTCCATTCCAATCATGTCCTTTGGAAACACTGATATCGCAATGGTCCGATCAGGTTTCTTATTATTTTCTTTGCCATTCACCACGGTTCCACCATCATCCTCTTGCTCTTGTCCCTTCGGATCGCCCAAATAAGGTTCAAAGTCAGGACATCCAAAGCGCGCTCGTGGTACTGAAAAGAACCCATCCACCATCAGACGGGGAGGAAAGGACGACGAGTCCATCATGCAGGGGTAATTGGTAGCGAAAAAAGGAAACATGCACGAATACGAGACGCTCTGGAACAAATCTTGCCGACTCTCAAAGTCACATTGTAAATAGGACTTTCGTTGAGGAAAGATTTCCTTGTAGGCAATCCCAATTCGGCGTCCCCCACCTCCTTCTTCTGCCGATGTCATCAAAAAGTCAAACTCCTCAGGGCCCACTCGAGTTTCCATTTCATGCCGTAGCAATGGTAACAAGTTCCCTCGTGCTCGTTTCAAATCGTGACACTGATCAGATACCTTGATGGTGGCTTCCAAGATATCAGTTGGTTTGAGACCACAACCATAGGACATGGCCGCAATGGAGCCAGCACTGCTGCCACCCACAATGTCGCTGGTTGGTTGCAAGGCACCTGATTCCATCAATGATTGCAGAGCTCCCAAGTGGTAGGGAAGCAACAAACCTCCCGGTGACAAAGAAAATGCTTTCATCGATGGGGGTTAGAGGAATGGTGTCCTTTTGGAAGCACTTCTTTGGTTGATTGACGTCGTCTCTCTTTTAAATTTTTAATGTGAATGAAGTGTCATTTTCGAATGCGTGGCAGTGGTCGACTGAATCAAATAAAAGACTAATTGGACCACGCCACGACCAGTCCCAAGCCAATTATCACGATGAATTTGTCTGGATTTTCTTTTAGCTTTGATTGCTTGATTCAATTTTATTCATTCATTCTGAGGCTGCAATATTCTTCTCTCCGGTATGGGGATCCCTATTTTGTCTCATCGGGGATCATGTGATTTATTTTCATTGCAGTCCTTGAGGAGTGACCACCATCATTACTCAACCAATTTCACTCGCGGGTCGTGATTTGGCTTCGATTTGATCCAGAGAGTTCTTCGATACGCGACTATTTTCCACGTGACTCCTGCTACCGGTATATTGAACAAACGAAAAAAAAACACGAGTTGATTGATTTCAGCTGCCCCATCATCTCACAAAATCCAAAAGATCCAAACAAAAACACAACCTCAAAATGTATCCTACCAAAGTCCTTGTCGTCGGTGCCACCGGAGCTACTGGAAAGCATGTAGTGCAAATGATGCTCGACCAAGGTCATGCAGTCATCGCCCTTGTCCGATCCAAGGAATCCATGTTGAGCAAGTTGAACGATAAGACCAAAAACATTGACCGACTAGAGATCAGTGAAGGCAGCATTACGCAAATGAAACATGAGCAACTTGTCGAGCTGACCAAAGATTGCGACTATGTAGTCTCTTGTCTGGGACACAACATGACCTTCAAGGGAATGTTCGTGAAGGACCGACGCCTCGTCGCTGATGCATGCAAGAAGTTGACCAAGGCAATGCCTGCTTCTTGTAAATTCCTCCTCATGGGATCTGATGGTGTGGCACACAAAGGTGTCGACCCCAAGAGGAAATTGGGGGAGCGAGCAATAATTTTCATGTTGCGTTACCTCATCCCTCCCCACGCCGATAACGAAAAGGCAGCCGCCTATCTTCTGGGTCCCGATGGAAAGAAATTAGATTGGGTGATCGTGCGCCCGACCAATCTAGTTGACGCCGAAGAAGCCAGTGGGAAGTATACAATTTCTGAGAAGGCTGAAGTTTCCTTATTTGGCGATACATCCATCTCAAGAAATGATGTTGCGCATTTCTTTGTGGAACTGATGACGAAGGAGGAGACCTACTCAAAGTATCAACACAAGATGCCGGTCGTTGTTGGCATTCCTGAAGAGCAATCCCCTAGTCAATAGAAAATGATTCTCTCTGTGAGCTATGTATTTGTAAGACTAAATATTTAGGAGTACAATATGGATGATTCCCAAAGGGAAAAGTTTCCTAGAACGGACATTGCCAGCCCAAGGGGTCCTTGCTTAAACTCTGCGAGAGCTGCTGTTGGATGCAGAGGCCGATTCAGAGCCAACCGAGACCGAAGGAGCCGAGTCCGAAGCAACAGAGGCAGAGGACAACTTGCGGCGAGAGCTGCTGTTGGATGCAGAGGCCGAGTCAGAGCCAACCGAGACAGAAGACACCGAGTCAGAGCCAACCGAGACGGAAGAGGCCGAGTCCGAAGCAACAGAGCCAGAGGACAACTTGCGGCGAGAGCTGCTGTTGGATGCAGAGGCCGAGTCAGAGCCAACCGAGACAGAAGACACCGAGTCAGAGCCAACCGAGACGGAAGAGGCCGAGTCAGAAACAACAGAGGCAGAAGACAACTTGCGGCGAGAGCTGCTGTTGGATGCAGAGGCCGATTCAGATCCAACAGAGACAGAGGAACCAACGGAGACAGACGATAGGTTTCGGATACCACGTAGGCTAGCAGCATCGGCACCAGAAAGGAAGTAGAATACGATTGCGACAAAGGAGAGCTTCATGTTTGTTTGTTTTCAAGTGTTGTATTAGCTAGGACGATTTTGGAAATTATGGGAACAAATTACGATGTTTTGTAGGCAGAATCAAGATTCTGGTCAGAAATCATCAACCTATGACACGACCCATGTGCTTCTTGTGTCAGGATAAACATGCTTATACCGGTTGTGTTATGGCCTAGAAAGGGCTGCCAGAGAGGTTTCACTGTGTCGTGGACAGTTCAAAGCAAGACTTGTTACTTATTGTTTGAGTAGGAATGGGCGGTAAATAATGATGAAACACGTAGTATTAATTTCCAGAGAATAAGTCCGTTTTCACTTACATTGTTTTCCATTCTTGTTTCCAGCAGCCACGTTATTTTATCTAACGTAGACGAAAGCTCGAGAACGAATCATTGGATTCCTTTCATCATACTGACGACGGTCGAACGACCGTCACAATAGCATTGCTCAGCAACACCAAGTCCGATCAGTTTATCGAACTTGTGTGCGAGTATACGTCAAGAAATAAGGTTTATTTCTTTCTTTCCCTCCCTCCACATCCCTGTTGGGCCTTACATCGACGCATTCTACGTCTCTGTAAGGCCTAGTAGGCAAGCAAGTCTTTGATATTCCGCTTTGCGGAATATCAAAGACTGGCCTTTTGGAACCGCACGCTTCGCGCGCAATCCAAAAGACCAGCTTCACACCACAACCCACCAGAGTCACACCACGAAAGAATCCCTCACGGAAGAAACCAGGCGGCAGGCGCCAGTTGGCTATCTTCGATAGTCTAACGTAGACGAAAGCTCGAGAACGAATCATTGGATTCCTTTCATCATACTGACGACGGTCGAACGACCGTCACAATAGCATTGCTCAGCAACACCAAGTCCGATCAGTTTATCGAACTTGTGTGCGAGTATACGTCAAGAAATAAGGTTTATTTCTTTCTTTCAATACTCTTTCATCAAGTTCTTCGGCGTCCTCGGCGAAGAGTAGTAGATCCCAGTTGCGATCTACGAAAACTGCCTGTGTCTGTTGTCGTCCCACGCACTTTCACACTTGACCTTCAGTGCTCCTCGAACTCATGACGAAAGATACTCCGAATATTACATGTACACGTATACCTTCACTGTACCACAAACCATGTCGACATTTGGAAGAGAGTAATAGTGCTCTGGTAACGATAGATGGACTGACTGTTATTAGGAGTGCGAGTACTTTACCTACGATGACTCTCAAGCTGAAAGCAAGATGCTCAAGTATCTACTATTTGTCATGAGTCTCAGTCGACCGATGTTTGGCAGACTGTTTGGTGAATTGGGGTCGACAAAGGTTCGACTGGAATATTGATATTGCAAAAGATGTTTCAAACCTAGCGCTGATGTATTCTGTATCGTCGGATGAAATTGTCTGTGTCGATATGCCCTTTTATTTCCAGGAGGCGAAATGAGCTTACAGTATTGATGCAAGATCATTTTCAACATCTGTAATGTAAAACTAACATAACAGATCACATTGAAGATCTTCGACTAGTATGACTGTCTAAAGCTCAGAATTAACCGCAGCTTATTATTCGCATTATTGTGTCACCTACTGCTTTCACCATCATCCAGTGCCTGAAACAATAACATACCTCCCTCCCAGGAAAAAAGGCATAAAGAAGAAAGGAAAACTGGCAACGATGAGCAATCTAAGCGACGCTATTTCGATTCGCTTCAGAGAAGAGACGGACGAGGATAGTGATGACGACGGCGGGATGGAGTTCAATGCTCTCACCACAATCGACGTTGACATTCTCCACAATGGAACCAAAATTGGAAATATTAAAGCGTGGCTGATTAACCGGAGCAGGATCCCTTCTGGGTACTACTATACTGCATTTGATGGTCACTCTTTGACTTGTCAGTGGCTTGGTTGAGCCCTGATGGACCCAAATCTTGGTAGAACCAAGCTCGAATCTCTTGCTCCATACGATGACAATCGGTCTGGGTTTGTGATCATTGATGAATTTCATATGGAAAACGCTTATAAGACGGATGAAAATGTCATGGCGGTCGCCTTGTCCAAGTTGCTGAATCACAATTTGATTCTTCAGAATGCTACTATGATGATATACGTGTTGCCACCGAACTTTGCTCGACACGAAGCGAATGCGTTTTTGAGGAATGGATTCTTTCAAGATCCCGCAATTGCTCGTGGAGGCGGTGCAGAGCAGCGTATTTTAGTCGCATCCTCCTATCATACAAAGCTACCCCTCAGATCATCTCAAGAGGTGGCACAAGTCCAATTCGTCACAGTGCCAGACCCACAGATGCCGCAAGGAAATGACGAAGAACTGTTGTCGTACATCAAGAGAGAACTATCAGGGCTAGGAAATCTGAATTTTCAAACCGTCTTTGGAAAAATTGATGAATATTTGCGCAACGGCGCTTCTGTGAAAAAATCGTTCGCGATTCATGCAGCTGTCGCGAACAATTCTCTTGAAGTTGTGAGGCATCTTTTAGAGCAGGATCCATCCGCTGTAAATGCCTTGGATTTCACTCTCTGCACTCCACTTATGACTTCTGCCGCAGTAGCTGCAGGAAACTCTACCAATTCTGGCATCAAGGAGACCAAAGTCATGGATCTCTTGCTTTCTCGTGGTGCCGACAAGAGTCTGCAAGACAACAAAGGCATGACGGCGTATGGTCACTATATAAAACAACGCATGGGCTATGACGAAATGATGAGTGCGATGATGGGCCAACGAAACAAGGCACAGACTGCAGCGACATACCAGGCATCACACCCATCAGAACGTGCTGTACAAGACAAACTTCGTCCACCAAATGGGCCATCAGCTTCTGATTTGAGAGGAGGTGAAAGGCCTGGGATTATTGTGTACGAGGATGAGGGTTTCGGCAATGACGACTCCGATGGAGATTACTAGATATGGTCGTTCAGCATATCTGAACCCGAAGCCACGAGATCGAGTTTCAGAAGAACGGTGTAGTAGAAAGTGCTAGTGTACGCAAAGCAAGAGTCAAGGCCAATGCCGAAGCAAGAACCGGAAAGTGTAGATATTCTTCGTTTGGAGATCCAATCGTCTCCTGTATAATGATGTTGCGCATTGCTTTATGGAACTCATGACCAATTAGGATGCGGGCATTCTCGGAGAGAGCCCCTGAGTATTATCATTGTGATTCTCTCTGCGAGCTGTGTATTTATTTTGAAGCTGTCGAAATTGCAGTCCATGGTAGAACTTTTTGTGACTTCTGAAGGTTGAGTTTCTTCGGGTTCTATTTGGTTAGTCAAGCTAGTCAAACCATGACTAACTATCCTGCTATGGTGCTGAACTTCAAACCTGCCTCACGTTTGGACGTGCCCCAAGCCTGTTTATGAACTTTGATTTCCTCCTCATCCTCAAACAGCGTACTGCAATCTTCACATTCACAAGTTCGATTCTTGCACCTGAGTTATTCAGTTATTGGTTATAATGTGCTGTCTGTTTTCTTTTTTCTTCTTTTTTTACACCTCCCATCTCAACACTTGCTTAAATTTCCATACAAAACCCTACCATGGTCGACACTGTTCGTAATGTTGGTCTATATGTATTGTTTTTTTATTAAATTGAAATGTATAGCATCCCCATCGAGACATTACCTGTAGCATTGTGGCACCAATCGGACTATAGTAGTATGATATCTATTTCAAGGTCTCGTAATCTTGTCTACGCATCGCCCTTTGTCTTCGATAGGAGAACCAGAGCCCCGTTGCTATGACGACCATAATAAACAACCACGGTAATGGATGGCGGTGCCTTGGTTTGACAGGGCCGTACAATCGTTCTGGGGCACTCGGGTCACTCAAAACGAAATCGTCCGTGGCCTCCCAACCTTGGTTCTTGGTCCAATCCAACTCGCTTGGATCTGGGTATTCATCAATGATGGCACTGTAGTCGTTATTGGTCTGATTGTAAATGTCTAGGCAAGTACCAAACAGGTCCTCGGAAGCAACGGTCGGAGGAGGCAATTTTGGCATCCAGCCTTCCTTGACGCCGCGCAAAAAATCCCATTCCGCATAGGCTCCACCTCTGTTGTTGTTGTTGTTGATGATGATGTTTCAAATTGGATTGTGTTAGAAAAACAATGTTGCATTCATAGAATGGAGGAAAAACAAGAATAGCAGCAAACATGAACAAGGAATGTACTCACTCCATATGAAAGTTCCAAAAGAACCAACCGTGTGAAACAACGTCGTGCTTGGCTTCGTAGACCACCATTTGTGCCTTGACAAAAGTCTCCAAAAAGTGCATCCGAGCTCTCGACAAAGTTCGATTCAACTGTGGAGCTACCCCTGTTTCACCAATGACTTCCATAATGTAGGGTGCCACCGCGGTTGGGAGCTGGTCGTAGGCACCAGTCCATTCCCCCACAATCTTTTGCATCCCATTGACGTTGGGAATGGTATTGTTGGGAGCATCTCCATAGCAGCAGGCAGTTACCTCTTGCGAATTGTGGCGGCATAGATACGCAATATGTTGTCTCGGTGTAAACGCACGGCCCATTTCGAAAAAGACGTGATACTGATGGGTATCCAAAAAGGTGTTGGGTTCATCTTCCCAAAAGCCATCATTGAATCTCCAACTCTGAAACAAATCACCGACGAAGACTGACGTATCTTTCCCCATTAGATTTCGTACGATTTCTAATCCCTCATTGTAATATTGACGCAGAACATCTTGATCACAATCCAACATGGGTTCGTTCAACAATCCAACTCCAGTGACAATATCGCCCATATCCTCATCTACAATAGCATGCACGATATCCGCCAGGACTTCGACAGTTCGTGCGACATTTTCCGGTCGATCGGACCATCCCTTGCATGTGTGGGGCTCCAGGAGGTAACCAGAATTGTCAAAGCCGTTTTGGGATCCTGGTGCTCCATGTAGATCCGCCCAAACCTCGAGTCCACCAATCTCACGACACCATTTTACCATACGGACAAAGTAGGGCCAACCACCTCCAATCCATGGTTCACCATCTTGGATATTGTCACGTATCCAAAATCCCATGGGGACTCGCAAATGCGTGATTCCAGCTTCTTGGAGGTCGATCAGATTCTGTTTGGTGAGAAAGGTATCCCAGTGACGTTCCATGTATTTGCGAGCGATATCCTTTCGATCAAAGGTTTGGCCGAGGGACATTTCATCCATCGGATAGCCAAGGTAGGGGGTGGCACTCTTGGGATGATAATCAGCATTGCCATCTTCTTGGACAAACTTTTGAACGGCTCTGCATTTTTCAGGATGACACCAATTGTCATTGTCTTTGGGGGCTCCGATTTGGCCAGGATACCAACAAAAATCCCCCTGGACGTGACAACTATTGACAGCAAAGAGATACGGCGTGATGAATTGTTCCGCTAGTAGCCAGCCGCCCAAATTGACACCACGAATCCATTTCTTTGGTGGTAATGCTTCTTCGTCTTCGACTTTTATCCGTCTTTGATTCTGAGAGTTCATTCTTCTTTGTTCTTCCTACTATATATATGGCTGATGATGTTGATGACAGCTATTTATGTATGCTGATGTATTGCGATATGTTGCGATATGCACTATTGGCTCAACTAGAAATAGTTTGAATGAATGAATGATGGAGTGCCTTTACACCTGAAAAAGAAACTCAGTATGGTCGTGCGATGCCTTTTCTCTCTCGTGCAATTTCTCAATCCAAGGTGATGTGGTACCGGTACCGGTACTGTATGACGTATGTCACTGCCTGTCGGAGTCTCCCAAAATCGATCTACGCGATCAAAAATCCACAACAACGATCGTCAGCACGTCATCAATGATGTTGAATACATTTTGCGGGACAAAACGAAAACATGTATTTTTTCGGAGCAGCATTTTATTCAACAGAACCAAATGGCACCAGCAACCTTGTCTATTGAGTCAGTTACCAAATTACAAAAGGACCGTAGAGAACAGACATAAAAGCATGGTGCTACAGAAGATTGGATCCTGGACCATTGCGACGGACCGGAATCTTTCAGAACCGCTGTTGGTTTCCAACGATTGTTCGAATGCCTTGTCCCACTTTTTTCAGAATGCGTCAACCCAATTACTTTCTGTCACTGCGGAAGCACAATCTCATCCTTCCGGTTTGGATTCCTTATATGCCCAACCCTGGGTCTGGGCTTCCGGAGGCCTCGGCAACATGGACGAATGTCCTCTTCAGGTGTGTTTGGCAGGCGGAACCTTACGGGACTCCCTGGTCTTTGCCTCCGCCTGCGTCGTTCCGGAATGCAATGCCATGGATTTGGCGGCCGACGATTTCCCAGCCAAGGTGGCTCTGGCATCCCACAATCGACAAGTTGCTGCTGTTGCTGCTGCGGTTGCGGTTGCTGCGGAAACTACTAGAACATCAGCCGAATTTGAGCCAGAATTTGATCCAATATTGATCGAAAGTTATGTTTCCAGTTTCAAACGGCTTGCCAAGATCAATCGATTCTTGAAAACTGGATGGGTATGTGGGGAATACAAGGCGGAGTGGTCCTTTGGGACATTTTTATATTTGCTAATCTTGGTAGTGTTGCTCCTGTTGAGTTGCATCGGGACCTTGTTTGTTCGACCAAAATCAAAGATAAAATCTGAATCAACCAGAACAATAAGTGACGCCAACACCACAAATCATGCAGAAGAAAAGAAGGATGACGCGGAGCAACAAGCATCAATGCAAAGACAACAGGAAAGTACTAGAATACAACAACAAAGCGAATTCTGGGACGCCTGGGACATGTCAATTCATCTCAAGAAATTATGTTGTCAACGACCTGAAACGGCATTTTTGGATGGTCTCAAGTTTGGAAGTATTCTATGGGTCATTTTTGGACATGTGATTGCCATTCAATCCTCCACAGGACCAGGGTACATGAATCCTAGTACCTTTTTACCGCCTCATGGATTCACCACCACTCTGGGAGGTCAGCTCTTTTTCAGCGCCCGATTTGCAGTCGACACATTTTTGTGCATTAGCGGATATCTGGTAGTCCACATTTTGAAAACAAAACTGAAACGACAAGCCGAGCATGGAGCTAGCTGGTGGGAACTACTATACTTATTCCTCATAAGGATACTGCGCATTCTACCGCTATATGCCATGTGTCTTGGATTTTGGATGTTTGTCGCACCTCATTTGGGATCCGGACCATTTTGGTACCAATGGCAGTTCTATTTGGAGCCCTGCGACAAGTATTGGTGGACCAACTTTTTGTTTGTCAACAACTTTTTACCTTGGGGGAGACCGACGACGGATAGCTGCTTTTATCATTCCTGGTACCTAGCATTGGATATCCAGTTGTTCTTGTTATGTGGCCCGTGGTTGGTTCTGCTCTACTTGCGGTCTCAGACGGCTGGTCGGCGAATGACGGCATTGTTATGGACGCTGTCGGTTGTCGTCACGGCATTTCTCTCCTACACACGAAAATGGAGCGTCAATACGCTGGATGGAGGTTCTGCCGTCTTGTTTGACATTGAAGGATATGCCAAACCACACGTCCGGGCCCAATCGTATCTGGCAGGAATGCTAGTAGCCATGCTACCTCCGTCATCATCATCATCGTCGTCATCGTCGTCAGCAACAGTGATTTATGGAGGAACACGGACGGCCAAAGCAGCCATGGTCACGGCACTAATAGGTTTGGCGACCATGTCACTCATTACCGTCACTGGAGCCTACAGCCGTCGAGCTTGCCAATTCCAAGAGGTGCCGTCCACCAATGATTGCGGATCTTCCTGGAGTGCGGAAGCAACCTTCCTGTACACTGCGTTTGGAAGAGCCATTTGGTCAATCTGTATTGCCACCATTATGCGTCTCTGTTTGGAACGTCAGGGAGGCTTGATCGGTTCCATGCTCAGTTGGAACATTTGGACACCACTCGCCCATTTGTCATTTGGAGTTTACTTGATTCATCCCATGATCATTTTTATTTGGAAACTGGGTGATCGACAAAAGTCGACCTTTCGTGTCTTTTCCTACGTCATGGATTTCACCTCGATCACAGTGGTCAGCTTTGTATTTGCCCTCCTCGCGGCATTGATCGTGGAATTCCCCTTTTGCGCCCTGATGCGACCGCTGAGTAAGAGCTCTACTACTAGAGCGACCACATCAGTTCAGGAGGAAGAATCATCGCCATTGGTGGTGGTGCAGAGTATTGAAAGGAACACATATGGCACAGCCGCAGTTGCGACATGATAATCAGAGGTTTCAGCATGAGCCATTCATTCTTCGTCTTGTTGCCTCTTTGCCATGATCTTTTTGCATGACGAATGAATGTCGTAAGTTACTTATCTGGTGGACCACATCCAACATTGGCTTCAAATCACCCGAAAAATCGACAGAAGCAATAACCCACAACCGAAGAACAGCAACGCTGTAGGTTGGTTCTCATTTTGTAGCTCTCACAATAGCACTGGGTTTCGCACGGCTTTTTGTTGTGAAAGACTATTTTTCGCATTCGAGTGCAGTACACTTACCTATCCGTTTTTGGACGTTTCGCAAAGGAGTTTCTGGTTCGCATTGGGGTGATTGATTCGGATTGATGACAATTCAAATGGCGATTGAACCAGGATTCATTCTGTTTCAGATCTATCTTGGTTGCGGCCTTTGACCAAATTGGCGTGAATTTTCCAAGGCTTTTGTTCAATTCAACTACTCACTGGACGCGCCGCCGGTTGGGATCCAAATAATAGGGTATCATCATCATGATGGTATACAGTGCCCGTACGTATCATAGTATCATATCTTTCATAAAATAAAATTTTCAGTTCAAATAAAAAATCGACCTGTTCGACTACATTGGCACGTGCGTGGCATCATCGAATTATAAAACAATAAAAAAGAAAGCAATTCAGTAGGCAAGGAGGGTTCGTTCGTATAGATCTTTACAATACCAGCTTCCCTCTATTCAATCGTATTTATATACATCCAATGAAGCGGTCTATAGCACTCGCCCTCATCGCTGGAGTAATTGGAGCTGATGCACTTCTGCCTTCTCAGAGTCCTCGCTGTCAGCTCACCTTAATAAAGTCTACTATTGTGGATCAAAAAGAAGGAGAAGCAGTTGCTGAAACGAATGATGAAGAATCATCATCCAATAACAACAAGCCAAAGAGCCAATCGTCGTCGGAATATTGGAGAATCACCTCTTCTACATTCCATCCACAAACTCGACCCTTAACGTCTGAATTGACTGAAGCTATGGAAATGAATATCCATCCGAAAGAATCTCAAGAAGAATTGGGCAAAGGTTTAAGCATTGAATCGGACTGGCGAGAGAATTGGTACACCTACGAATCACCAGCAAGTGATCCCGATTTGATTGATAGTGATACCGGGTACAGCGAGTACGAGTGCGAAGTGGAAGGAAAGCTACCAGATGAATTGCAAGGAACTCTCTATCGTAATGGACCTGGCAAATTCGGGGTGAATGGAGAACGAGTCCAACATGTGCTCGATGCCGATGCACTGGTTTACAAAATTGACATACCAGCACCAGATAGTTCAGGCCAACGAAAGGTCAAGTTCCTATCACGCTTCGTATCGACCCCTCAGTTCGAAGAAGAGCAAAAGGCCAAGAAGTTTCTCTATCGTGGCACTTTTGGGACCGGGCCATGTTTCGAAGGGTTAGACTCGAGGGAAAAGAATGGGCTCAACACGGATCCCTCCGAGCCTTCGGCCATTTCTAAATTTGTTGGTGGAGCCTTTAATACTGATATCAAGAGTAAGTCAGTCAGTCTTGCTGACAGCGTTATGTTGTGGTAGGGTCGATGTTCATTTCTCACAACTCGTGTACTTCTGATTAGATTCCGCAAATACTCAGATCATTTCGTTTGGAGGAAAGGTGCTGGCCCTGTTTGAAGCAGGATTACCCTTTCGTTTGGATCCAACTACCTTGGAAGCGATGGGAGAAGATACCATGGGCGGGGCATTGAAAGCCGCATTACCGGTCAAGCTAGGCAAAGATTTGGAAGAATTTGAGCCAGACTTTATTGGTGGATCTGCCGTAAGTACATGCACCACAGCTCTTACGTTTCAGCTTTTTCGCCAATTATACTCACCTTCTTGCCCTTTGCGTTCAATGTATGTATCATAGCACACGGCACACCCACAACGATGTCCAAATGGCAACTTGGTCGGCTGGTCTTGGTCACAACTGCCAATGAGTAAAAGTTTGGAGGTAACATTCACCGAGTGGGCGGAAGAAAACTTTGACCGATTGGCAACCTCCACCTTTGAGATTCCAAACTGTTCCTTGGCACCACACGATATGGCCATTACTGAGAATTCCATCATTTTCATGATCAATGCACTCGAAATGAACCAGCTCCCATTCTTGCTGAATCTCAAAGGCCCCGCTGCCAGCTTGGCCATGGATGGTCGCAAAAACGTCAAAGCTTGGATCTTTCCACGGCCATCCTCCAAAAATCAGTTTGAACCATTTGTGGTCGACGTTCCAGCATGTTTCTCTATCCACTTTTCGCATGGATACGAAGATGAAGAGACTGGGAACTTGGTCACCTACTTTTCCGGATGGCCTCCATCCGATTCCAAAGACTTTTTGGGAGCATGGGGTGGATTCTGTCCCGAATTTCGTCAAATTCCACCAACCTTTCTCTGGAGACTCGAGATTGATCCAAAGGAAAAACGAACTGTCTCTCTTGACATTGCACCAGGATGCCATAATATTTGTACAGAACACATGCTAGTGCACCCCAATTTCAACACCAAGAAATGCGAGAATGTCTATGGAACAGTCTCCAATGTGATTGGTGACAGTACACCGCCCAATGGATACGTTCGACTGAAGGTAGAAAGCGGCAGCACTGAACAGTTGCAACCTGGAGCACCAAATGAGGACGTCGATGCCTATTGGTTTGGAACACGGTATTTTACGACCGAGCCCATTATTATTCCCAAGGATGGAAGTGATCCCAATGACGAAGATGCAGCATTCCTCTTGGGCGTGGTGCGGGACGCGGCCAAGCAAAAGAACTTCCTGGCTGTGTTCGATTTGGAGAAAGACTTGAAGGAAGGTCCCGTTGCCAAAATTTGGATGCGATCTGGTGTTCCACACGGAATCCACGGGTGCTTTGCCAAGGACAGCAAAGGAGGGTCGTCCGTTTTCTGTTAGAATGCATATAATAGGATAGAGTATACCCAGGATTGTACTAATCTGAAATCGAATGAAATACTGCACAGATCTGTTGGACTCGTTCGAACATAATATAACGGTACGGACAACGCTTATTTGGGAATTGTTTCGTACGACTGAAGTCATGCGCGTCAAAGAGAAGGTACAGTATCGCGTACTAAGCATCATCCGTACAGAATCTTGCCAATATTCTCGTTTGCCTCCATGGTCACTTTGCTCTGCAAGACTTGAGAAACGTACCAAATGAATCTATCGTGAATCAGTCGCATAAACCACATTCACCAACATAGATCACAAAAAGTATACAAGAAGACAAGCATGCCACCACAGGCTAGATTCGAGGGCGTCGTCGAAGAGGAACCATCACCCTTGTCCGAACGAACAAATCCTTCGATTCGCAAGGTTCCTGCCAGGTTTCTGCTCGTAGAAGACCCTATGAAAGCCCCCATGAATCCCGAAGAAGTTCATCTAATGAGGAGGGGTGAACGAATGATGAAGCAACCAAAGAACCAAACTAAGGATTCTCCTATCAATTTCCGTGGCCAAGCGAAATCCTTCAAAGACCAGAAGAAAAAGAAGAAATTCACGAACAACTTCTTTCAAAACATCGGAAAGTCAGGTTTTCGCATACTTCCAATACCCAAGAAGGAGTGAAACGAATGCGTCAACTATGTCTTCGGTGAAGGATTCTTCCAGCATACGTTGATATGTTCGGATCAGAATATAATATGAATATGATCCAATCCCCCACCAATGACTCGTCCTGTTCGTTGATGACAGAAGAATATATACCCATTTCTAGCTTCAGAAAGCCTCCCAATGATGAAAGCTTTAGAATATTTTGCAAATAGAATACACATTAAACGATACATTTCGTACGCCTATGTGATTATGCCAGAATTTATCCCAACAGTATTGATTGCTTCAACCCGGAGCATGATATATCACGGGTGGGGTCTTGCAATCTACTTTGTTATATTCACGAAGCACACGTTGCCTATGCTAGGAAGGATACTACTTTCAAAACGAAAAGAGATATAGTAACATAAAATTGCCAATTATCATTAAGAACGGCCCTTAAATGAGATCCCCAGCTACCATGGCCGTGGGTTCTTGATTGATTGATTGGTGCCCACCCCTCGTTGCAAATTGCATTCGTCTAGAACGAATTCTAAAGAGTTTCAAAGACAAACGCTGCTCCATGTTTGGAGAAGTCCCAGAGGAAAAAAATGATGTCAGACCCTCATATGGACATTTCATCACCTGGAAACACCAAGCAATGGACTAGCACCAACAGCGAGCTTGGGCATCTTGAGAGCCTTGGTGACGCGTCTGGTTATGGATTGCGTTCCCTTCTTGTTTACTCTCGTTCCAGATGAGGATTCTCTCGAACGGACCGAGTCTGCCTCGGGATGACTTAGATCAGAGCAGATCGATGTGTGATCACTTGAATCGAGACCACTCGAGCCTTTCGAGGACTTGGTCTTCAATTGCAACTTGGTTTTCTGTTCCATACGCCTGTATATGTTTTGGGCGTCTTGCTCATCTGCTATGGCTTTCTCCAAAGCCCAGGCGACACTGAATCTTGATACTTCTTTGGAGACAGCTGCCAAGCGATCGCAGTCATCGACTTCTTCCTCCCATTGGGCGTCTTGCTCATCCATTACAGAGTCAATGCATTGTTCGATGGAAGCAGTAGTGATCTCCTCGGCTTCCTGTGTGAATCCTTCTAGTCCTCGATGGAAAGATTCATTCTTTGATGACTTGCCAGACTCCCATCGACTAGCTTGCTTGTAGCATCGCGTGGTGATCGCTTTGAACTCGGGCTTGGTGTACCAGTAATTCAGGATCTCTTGTTCGGTGTATTCCTCCCGGTTACTTATTTCCAATACAGAATCATGCGATGGATTGAATTGGACTCTTCTCTTGTTTGTACTCATGTTTGATGTTTGAATCTGCTTGTATCTGAATTGTGTGACTTTTTGGGAAAGGGTTGGGCTTGGAAATTCGTCCAAGAGCATGAAGAATGTGGCGAATGCCGATCACGTCTCAAAAACAATTATTGACATTGCGAAAAAGCGATCGCGATTTCCTGTTCCGAGCTAAATACTACATTAAAATAAATAAAAAAGAAAGGCATTTTCGAAGCAGTCGAGCCCAAGAAACGGTAACGAAGCTGTACATTTAGGTAACGGCACCACAAAGAAGTCATTTTATTTTCTCCCAACGCACAGTTTCCCATTTTATATGATATATATGTATATATTGCTTCCGTGACCGAAGCTGAGTACCACCACAATTTTTGACAATTCGGATTGTCGGCAACAAATAAAAAATATTTCATGAAGGTGTCATAGAAAAAAGCGATCACGATTTCGTGCATCCGGAGGCTGTGATGTGCCTACCAGGTACCAGTAGCTACCAACATACGTAATCCCATTTTTGTCATAATGTTCTTGCTCTTTGAAACCGCTTTTTGTGTGAACGACAATGTGGGTTGGGTGACGGAATGAAGAAATGGCGCCTTGCAGTGCTACCGGTAGCTAGGTGAAGCCGTTTGAACCAGGTAGGTTAAAGCAAGGCAACTTTTAAATTCGCCTTTCGTGCTCTGATGGCAAGTGACCTGTCTTCGCTTGTAGTAGTAGTATACAATTGCATATCACCACGAAACAGCGCAAACAACAGTGTCAGTGATACTAGCAGCTATATGGGTGATATTTAATAAAAAAAAAGATCTGCCAGATTGCCAATTGCCGCAGTAGCTGTTAAAAAAGAATGACTATTGGATACGACTCCCAAATATCAAAGTTACGGGTTCTTGATTTCGTTTTAGATTGCCTACGTCTGGTATTGCAGTTTCAAAAACGCTGCAGGTACCAAGATATACCGTGCCTATAGGGGAGCGAGTCTTAGAGGGCTTGAAAAGACGACTCTGCAGGTACCATGATGTACCATGCCTGGAAGACTTTGTAAAATATCAAAGCCCCGTAGATGTACGTCTCATCTGCTACAAATCATTGGAGACACCTTTCTATATATTGTGACGCTGACGTGACGAGGGAGCTTGGGCATTTTTAGTGGAGGCTTGGAGGCTCCTTTCGTCTTTTGGTGTTCTGTTAGCCGGGGCGATTCTGCACCAGGATGGCTCAGATCAGAACACATAGACGTATGGTCATCTCGTCCATCCTCTATTGATTTCGAAAGGCTTGTTGGAGACTCGCATTTCAACTTGGTCACCTTGTATTTCTGTTCCATATGTTTGTATATTCTTTGCGCTTCTTTTTCATCTGTCCGGGCTTTCTCTAGAGCCCAACTGACGCTGAATCTCGATACTTCTTCAGAGACTGCTGCCAAGCGGTCGTAGTCATCGACTTCTTTGTCCCATTGGACTTCTTGCTCATCCATTACAGCGTCAATACATTGTTCGACGGAAGCCGTAGTAATCTCCCCGTCTTCCTGCATGAAGCTTTCTAGTCCTCGAGGACAAGATTCGTTCATTGATGGTTTTCCAGACTCCCATCGACGGGCTTGTTTCTGGCATCGCTTAGCGATTTTTCTGAACTCTGGCTTCGTGTACCAGCAGTTCATGATATCCTGTTCAGTGTACTCCCCCAGTGACGGGATCTCCAATACCGAATCATGGGCTGGAAGGAACTGGACTCGTCTTTCGCTTGAATTCATTTTTGATGTTTGTTTCTGCATGGTTCGAATTTATGTGTGATTTTGCGAACGTGGATTGTGAGCGGTGAGCACATTATTGAACTTTAAGCATGCGGCATTGTTGATTGCGTGTACAACAAACACTTATGGACTAAGGAACAAAGCCAACGCGGTTCCTATTGGCAATTTAACGAAAGGCGTTTGAATCGACGATCAAGGGCCTTTAAAGCGGTAACCAAGCTGTTACATATGCAACATGGATCCGCCGAGATGTCTTTGATGTTTCTTCAATAGATATAATCCCAGGTTTTGTGTGTGTTGTGCTGCGGCGAAGGAATGGCGCGGAATTACATATTTTAATCATGGGCCTGAGTTCCTTTCTATCCCGAACGTGCTCTACAGTATGTGTGTGATGTACTCGATATGGCCTCCAAGAAATGGCGTTTTCTATGTGAAGTACTGTACCTGCAGCTGCATGGTTTCAGAATCGTAAAAGGCGTCTCTTTGGTGTTGGCATGTTACTTCGTTGAACCTGGTGATATGGATCACGGAGATCACCACGACTAATAATCAGTGTCCATGAAACGAACAGCTTACAAGTGTCAATGCTACGTTCCTACGTCCTTCAAGAAGCTACCCACAACTACTAGTAAGTATGTTCACATCATAACGAAACATAAGCTGTGGTAACAATTGTTTCTAGGAGATAGTCAGATCTCAAATAAAGATGATGAATTTTCATTCAGAAATGCTGCCATGATATGTAGTAGGTACTAATAAGTTTTTAATTGATGGACATCGCGTGAAAAAAAATTTAATCAAACGAAGCTGCAGGTGCCATGATGCAATGAGCTGGAGAAGAAATACCATCCCCCTTTTCTGTATATGCAACCTTGCATGCTATGGAGAATCCCTTTTAGCATGCTGTGCGACTAGTGCGACAAGGGAACTTGTTCTTGGACAACTTGAGAGCCTTGGTGAGGCGTTTGGATCTAGTCTTCGTTCCCCTCCTGTTTTCTATACTTTCAGATAAGGATCCTCTTGAATGGACTGAGTCTGCCTCGGGATGACTTAGATCAGAGCAGATAGACGTGTGATCGCTTGAATCGAGTTTCGAGCCTTTTGACTTAATCTTCTGTTCCATACGCGTGTACATTCTTTGTGCTTCATCTTCATCTGCCCGGGCTAGCTCCAAAGCATAGGCGGTGCTGAATCTTGATACTTCTTTAGAGACAGCTGCCAAACGATCAAAGTCATCAATGTCTTTGTCCCATTGGGCTTCTTGCTCATCCATAACAGCGTCAATGCACTGTTCGATAGAAGCGGTAATGATCTCCTCGCCTTCCATTGTGAAGACTTCCAGTCCTCGATGGAAAGAGTCAGGCATTGATGTTTCGCCAGACTCCCATCTGAGAGCGTGGTTGTAGCTCCTCCTAGTGATCTTCTTGAACTCGGGCTGAGTGTACCAACTGTTTAGGATCTCTTCTTCGGTGTACTCCTCTAGATTGCTGATCTTCCACACGGTATCATTCTCTGGAAGGAACTTGACTCTTCGTTCAATTGCCTTCGTTCGTGCATTCATGTTTGCCGTTTGGTTGTGTTTGGTGCTGAATTTTTTGTGTACTTTGCTTGTTGGATCTGAATGTGAGGGTGGGATCCCTACTGCAATGATTGATTTCAAATCGGCCTTCTTTACGTTTAAAACGCTACCAAAACTTTCTTCATGTTCTATAAGTGCGCAAACTGAGAAAACCATTTTGGTAGCACGTAATCAAATTTTCTCAAATTCCTATCGTTGTTTCAGTCATGAACGAAGACAAGTACCGCGTTTCATGTGTACGGTTGAAAAAACTGTTGTTCCTCCAAAACTGCCGCGACGAAAGGTTCGCAGGCTACTAACCTGTAGATTGGGTGTGCGAAACGTTTTAACACATCGTTAACACATCGAGAACATGAACGAAGAAGACGCTCGCAATTCATCACAGGTACATACGCGATGGTCGCGATTCGCTGTGCAATGTAATCTGGCCGCCATCCTCACTTCCGGTATTGCGGGCCGTGATGAACGAACGAAAAGACGTTTCAAGCTGATGGAAGGCTTTGAGACTTTGCACTGATGACAGGTGTATTACATCTTTCTGGTAAAATACAGTATACTGTAGTATCAAAGCATTGAATGGCTTTCTGAATCAATCATTCCGACAGGCAGACCTCATCCCACGCAGCCACATTTTACTTTATGGTCCGGTACGATAAATCCATCTGGCACTCCTGCCTGCGGGGCATTCCTGATGGGTTAGTGACAAGGAGGTGAGTGAGTTCATAAAGCGCAACACAAAGAGATGAAAGATGTGTACGATACAGACAACATGTTCTGCAGGGTAGGCGTCTTCAGATCGTATCATAAAGCAAACCACAAGCTGGGGTACAACTAGGTTCTAGAAGGAGATGGTATTGATAGATCTCAAATGCAAAATTGTCATTTATCACTTAGAAAGTCCATTATTGTTGGACGTTGCGTGTAACAAGTGTATAAAAATGTAGCTGCAGGTGTCATGCATAATGCACCAGGCTGCAGAAAAATGTCGTCCCCTTTATGTACATGCGTCTCGTTTGGAGAGCATTGAAGAGTTATCATGCAGCGCGACTGGCAAGACCAACGATCTTGGGCATCGTGAGAGCGTTGGTGAGGCGTCTCGAAATTGCTTTCGTTGCCTTATTGTTTCCCTTAGCTTGAGACAAGGAGTCTCTTGTGGAACGGATTGATTCTGCCTCAGGATGACTGAGATCAGAGCAGATGGATGTATGATCACTCGAATCAAGTACATTCTTCTTCGAGGAGTCTCTCGACTTGAGCTTCTGTTGCAAGTTGATCTTTTGCTCCATAGCCTTGTACATTCTGTGTGCTTCTTGTTCATCTGCCACAGCTTGCTCCAAAGCATAGTTGACACTGAACTTTGATACTTCTGCAGAGATTGCTGCCAAGCGATCAAAGTCATCAACGTCTGACTCCCATTGCGCGGCTTGTTCGTCCATAACAGCGTCAATGCATCGCTCGATGGAAGCAGTAACGAGATGCTCACCTTCCTCTGTGAAGATTTCAAGTCCTCGATGGAAAGAGTCAGGCATTGATGATTCGCCAGACTCCCATCTGAGAGCATGTTTGTGGCTTCGCATTGCAATTGTCTTGAACTCTTCCTTGGTGTACCAAGAGTTGAGGATCTCTTGCTCGGTGTAGTGCTCCAGAGTATCGATTTCCAAAACTCGTTCATGCTGTGGAAAGAATTGGACTCTTCTGCTGTTATTAGTATTCATGTTAGCTGCTGGTCTTTTTGTTTGGATCTTGAATTTGTGTGCAATGCTTTGTATGTGAGTCTGCGCAATTGGATTGTGAGCTCCGCTTTTTCCGAGTGAGAAACTCATTTGGCGATTTGAAATCGGCTTCTTTCACGTTTAAAAAGATACATATGGACGGTAAAGAAACGAACAAGACTGCTTGCAGTATCCCTAAGTGAATCGAAGCCAGTCGCAGCACTCACAGTTTCGCACAAAAACACTTATCTGATCTCTTATCGTGTTTCGTTCCCGAACGAAGTTGAATGCCAGATGTTAAGTTGAAGCGAATTTTATTATGAAACCCGGGATGAAACGTTCGGATGTTTGAGTAATTGATGGAAACCTTTAACGGTCAAATCAAACGAAGAAGCGGATCGCAATTACTACATATGCCCAGATGTTATGTAAAAGTTGCACAGGTAATAAGATTTTATGATCAACGTTCTTCTGCTCACGCACGTCTGGACGTTAACGCTTCGTACGTGCGTCGGACTGCACTCAGGTGGTAGACGCGATGTTTTACGAACCGGTACACGGTACGTGCAATTTTCACATTCAGCAGTACAGCGCTGTGGTAGTGTGTACTGTACCAAATCGTATCTGTCTCTTGTTTGTCTGAGTGCAGGCAAACCATCATGGCGGGGACACGGCTATGGATATCCGTAATTATCTTGGCAGAGTTGATTATCCTAGCGCTTCTGTCTCTCTACTATGGCCTTTGTGTGCAGAATGACGATGTCCTGTGTCACGCATTGGACGACCAAAAGAGCAATCCTGGCGCTCTACGCCCATTGCCTCGGCCGTCTTGGTGGTCTACAACCTTGCACATTCACTTGGTGATGGAAGAATCTTCTGAACAAAGTCTCCATCAATGGTCACAACGATTGGAGGAATGGATGGATACTTGTAAATTGGAAGACTTGCCCTATTTTGGATCCACCCAAATACACATGAAGGTTGTACCCAGAAGTAACAAACTGTGGGAAATGGTAGAGGGCGAGTCGGTCAAACTGTTGAAAAATTCATCCATATGGAATTACTTGCCGGATCGTCAGTTCGATGGCGTCTCTGCTGCTTATGACAAAGACTTGGATTGGATGTTGTATTTACCAGCAGAGCAGGAGAAACTGTCTGATGATGAAATACCGTCGTGGCTAGCTTGGAAACAAGGATCCGAGCAGCTAGTGACAGTTTTCACCTACCACTCTAACGATGAGTTTGAAATAATGACATCCTTGACATCTTTGATTGGATCCTGGCTCGAAAAGTCTGCTTCTGATTCGGAGTCAGTTCCAGATGACGAAATGGCTGAAAATGATTACCTCCGCAACTTGCAATTTACTTGGCAAAAGGCCATTATGCAAGACTTTGACGATTGGAAGATGCATTTGACTCCAGACGAGCGAAGTGAAGTCTTTCTAACCCTGGGAAAAACGTCTCATTCATTTTCGACTCGACTCCAATCACTGCTACAAGCCAGAGCAATTTTGGAGGGCGCCATGGGGCGAAATAAGGATACAATGACGCCAGAGTTTCCTTTGGAGCACTACGCAGCAGTCTTTCTCCCTCTTCTATTTCCTCTATTGCTGCCTCTCTTTACATCATTTGTCAAAGAGCTGAAACGTTTCAAGGAGAAGGTCAAAACGAAGCGCGAAAAGGGAAAAGATTCAATGCAAGTAAAGGTGGTAGATGGTGAAGGTCCAAAGGAGGATTGAACACGTTCCAGAAAAGAAGGTGGATGCAGGCAAAGTGAATGATATTCGGAATGAATCTTGGGGAGTCTTTGGGTTCCAGCTCGTCCCCTCTTTTGTGAGGAGAACGACTTTCCGTTCACATTCTAAAAATCTCTACCAGGCGTTGAGCACCGGTTGGATCCTTGAGAGGTGGTGTTTCAGTTTGTTACTCCAAGCTTCTACAAATTAAATGGTGACCTACAGCATTGTATAAACTTGGTCAACTTGTGTGCGTCGAATGAGTGAATGGAATGGACATTGTTGGCAGGTGAACAGTGGTGTTTCTAAAAATCTAGAGACATGATTGCGGTCGCTCAAAACTCCAAGCATTACTGTACGACGCAGGATAAAATAAAATGGCAAGGGCTTCGCTTTGAGCGCTACTACTTGTATTCTTGGAGATCATGGGAGGAAGGAGGAATAAAAGCGGTATTTTGATCATCTGAGCCATCTGGAACTCCCAAGTGTCCAACATCCGAACCAACAGACTGAACACGTTTGATTACCTCTAATGAATCGGTGTAGTTAGCGTTCTCTCGAAGCGAAGCGTTGTGTATGGCACATGCCGTAGATACATTCTGGATGGTCTACTGGTGCAGTATGATAGAGGCTTCGGGTCGGATTCATTCTGGAGTTCGAAAATGCGACCAAAATCCAAAATTTCATGCGTCTGATATATAAAATATATCAATTCTGCGCGACTGCTGGCTCACCCAAGACCGACTTCTCGTTTTCAAATGAGATTCAACAGCACAAAAACAAAACAAAGGACAACATGAAAGAGTACAAGACTGATCGAAAGGTATCCTTTGAGCCAACAAAAGATACCATAATACTGGTGTCTGGAAGAGAGGATTTCACTGATGAGGAGAAAAAGTTATATTGGTATTCTGCGCTAGAAAAGGAAAAAATGCACGATCAATGCTTCAAAGATGCCATGCGACTGGAATTAGAGGAAGTCAAGAACCCGTCGTGTTATCGTGGAATGGAACCTTTTACTACAGAAGGAGAACAGTCCTCGACAAATGCTATCAATGCATGCATTGATGCAGTTATGGATGAGCAGGATAGACAATGGGAGAGGCGCGAAGACGATTATGATCGTATCGCCGCAATATCACAGGAAGTCTCAAAATGCAGCGTCGATCGAGCAATAATGCGAGCCATAGAAGATGCAAGAGAAGCTATAAGGATAAATATCACTCCTAAGCAAAACGTGTCTGGAACATCAGAACATGCCCACAGATCATTGTCCTCTGAACCTGGTTTCGAAATGAAGGAACCGGTGGTTACAAGAAAACAACGAGAGATTTTTTCAATGATGATAGAACATGACATGATCTCAGGACACCGAAGAAGAGGACGAAACAAGAAAGATTGCAGGTATGATTCAGACAAAAGCAGGGCCAATAGAAGAAGGCTCCTCGATAACAGAATACCGTACAAATGCTACTAGTGTCATCAGCGCGTGACATGACGCGGTTCCTCTTCTATTCAAAACCATAACCCAATATCTATAAACGTTGTTGTGTACAAGAGTTTTGCAATGTTGGTTTCGTAGTGTTGTAAAATTCTGCTAGCTGAGAGCGAGGAAGCTGGACCATCTGAGTCTATCTGTAATTGTTTTTAGCTATAATTAAGAACTTAGGCTCGGATTGAAAGCGAGGAAGATCCACCATTAGAGGTTGGACTACCGAACCAGTTTTTCTTGTTGCCATGACCAATGGAGCATCGGTAAAAGTTCACTGCACTTGTTGAATTCAGATCTGCAACAGCACCAAACTTCTGTGACCTACCTGTGTTACCAATCCATGTACAGTCTTCAAATATTGCGTCGGATCCGTGATGAAAGAAGGTCAGGCTTGAGGAAGTTGCTCCTGTGAAGGTTATTCCTCTCACTAACACATTTCTAGCGCGGGGTCCAAAGGCTAAATGAGTTCCGCCGACATCCACCGTGCAATCCTGGCATTCCAAAACGAGGTTTGGCGCATTCACAGTAACCGGTCCACGGCGGGCAGTCAGCGTCTCTCCAGGGCATATTCGAAAGATCACATCTTCTTCATAGTATAGCAAGTCATTTTCGTATACAGATAAATGCCTGCCATCAGTAGCAAAGTAGGAAGACCATAGTGCCAATCGCTCTTCGCCAATGGAATTCGCTTCGTGCATTGCCTGCTTGAGTGTACGCCAATCATCAAATCCTGACGATCCGTCTTGACATTTCGTTGGTTGTATCATGGGATCCGGTGGTTGAACCTTTGGTTGCACTCTCAGCCATTCTTCGTACTGTGCTACAAACCTCTTTGCTTGAGCTGTTGATAACTTTGGTGAAGATCCATCTTCCTGTTCTTGATTCTCAGGACAACTGTCTGAACTATCATCTCGGCTACATGCTGCTGCTCCAGATGTACGATCAGAGAAAGTCATCTTGATTCCAAGAGGTGTTGATTCTTCAACAAGCATCAATGCGTCGACTGTCCCAACCGTCTTAGCCGGTAATACTCTTCCGACATTCTGGTAGTTTGGATTGGATGCACCATTCATTAATTTGTTTGCTAAAAGAGTTGCATCATCAAAGGATGTGATTCCACTATAGGTCGGCGTTAATCCAAAATTCCTTTTTGCTGCAGAAACCCCAATATGACTTCCGAAAGCAGACTTTTCATAGTAATGAACGGATAGCGTCATACTAGCAAAAACGCCAAGAAATGCGCCGAAAGTAATCAGACCAAGCAAGGCCAAACACCCCACGCCAATATCCCTCCAAGAAACGTTTAGACCCCGTGCAATTTCGGCAAGAATCACATCGTTTCGCTCATACGGATCACGACTGGCAGCACTGGAACCAACAGGATGCTGCTGTGATGATTTTGTCGAATCCTCATTCCGATTCTGCTGCCGATTTTGCGAAGCATTTCCGCCGCGACTCCTCCTATTTCCGCCCATCTTTCCAGCTCTGGTGATTTAAAAATGGTTCCTTGTAAGCATGAGCAGTATTTGGTGAGTAAATGACGCAGCTTTTCTCGTGTCTTTGTAGTGCAGTCCGCTCGATGCGATGTGTTTCAATGGATGATTGATTCAAAACACAGCGGTCTGTTGAGTCGAAACTAATCGCAGGTGATGGCGGCCATGTGATGTGAAGATTATTGAAGTTGAAAGTGTGGTCGTGGATGGTTATTCCAGATTCTGCATTCCTCCATGGAAACTAAACAAATAAACACTGACGTCATATTAGTTGACCCGTTTGATCTCTTTGAATCGGATGTCAATGCACGACTTCTCTGACCAGAAACATCATCTGACACTCTGACACACAAGATCCAAAATAATTCCATCACCGCTGTGGCATCATTAATTCTACTACTGTAGACATCAGAAGACATCAGAAGACCCCAATACTTTCATCAAAATGCAGCTGAAAGCCATCTATTTCATCACTTTGCTAGCACCAAACATTCAACATGTCGTATCCTTTTTGCCACAGCAACATGTTCCATCAGACACGACCGTCCAGCATCATCAAGAACAACGTCACCAGCAGCAGCATCCATCAGTCTCGACGAATCTCTCACAACAGGCCGCTAGAAGCATTCCCAGAGGTGGATCGGCTTTGAATATGTCTCCTTCTTCCATGGTCTCAACCATCGTTTCTAGTATGCAAACTGGTCCTTGGGGGATTTTGGCCTTGTCAGCTGTGACTTGGTCAGTAGTCCTTCCATTGACACTCTACAAGAAAATCTATGGAATTGGCGTGGCCTATGGATTCAGTGTAGCGGCGGCTGGACTAACCATGCTGAAGGTTCTATCGACGTCTACAAGTAGTCAATCTTCTCTCCTATTGGCCAAGGCATGCATGTTCTATGGAGCGAGGTTGGGAAGCTACCTTTTGCGTAAGTGCTGATTGTAAACTCATATGGCCCATATGTTTGTCATCAAGATATCAATAAATCGTTCTTACACTTTCAAATCTAGTCCGCGATTACCTCCGAAACAGCAAGACAACGATCAAGAATGGATCCATATCAAGCCGCATCACATTTTCGGCCAGTCTCGCACTCTTTTACGCTCTCTTGACCACCCCAGTGCTCTATGCGCTGAGAAGTACAAATGGTGCTGTCGATAGTTCCATCAGTATGGCTGGTGCATCTCTTGCTTGGACAGGTGCCATTTTGGAAGCAATCGCGGATCTACACAAGCTCATTGTGAAGCAATCCTCATCCGAGAAGGACGGCAAGAAATTTACAGGACCAGACACATGGACCTACCGCATCTGTCGTCACCCCAACTATCTTGGAGAAATGATCTTTTGGACTGGGCTCTTTTTGGGCGGCGCTGGGTCCTTTGGAAAGAGTATCCCAGCATGGCTTGGCTCATCATTTGGTTTGGCAGGTATTCTTTCCATCATGTTCAAGGCGGCTTCAGGACTCGAAGGAAAGCAAACAGAAAAGTATGAAGGACAGGAACGATACGATACATGGAAAGGCAAAGCGAAGTACTCTCTCATTCCCTTCATTCGATAGATGAATATTTGCTTATGTGTCTGTGGATTTACCGAGAATTGTAGGGTACGGGACTCAACCCATTTTGGAAAGTACATATTGAGAGTTCGTACCGCAATGGAACGTCTCATCTCTGTCCTTATTTTCCAATGGTAAGAATAAAAGCAATATATATTTATAAGAAGAGCGGATATGTTATTTGCCGAGGAAACGAAGATTACTGTGTCATATTTTACGTCAGTGGAAGTTACCGACCGCCATTGAAACCACTGTCATTTGAGTCTGAACGCTTGGAGAGTCCGGGCGTTCGAGCACTCTCCCAGTTTGCGTCAGAGGAAGTGACCAAGCGCCATTGAATGTATGAGGCACTAATGTCACTAAAGATAAAACGGCCTCTACCGGTCTTAGCGTTGCAGTGAGAAGAATCAATAAGCGTGAAGGGCCCGAGCTTTCGAGCACCCGGTACTCGGTATCCTCCTCGATACTGTGCGTCAGCCGCGGAGGTGACCAGACGCCAATTCATGCGAATTGGAAGCACCAATGTACCGGTAGTAGGAACGACCAACCAAACACGCCCTTTGGGTCATCATGTCAGAACAAAATTTTCAATATTTTAGAACTATCAAACGCTTTTGATCATGTCGGCATTTTGCATTACAGCTCAATTGTGTCCAAATGTACTGCACTGTAATTTGTCAAAAGCGTCATTATCATTGAGGACAAAAAGACCTTTGGGAACTTTTGTGAAGTGCTGTTATTCGAGCAGCATTTTTTAAATTAGTAGGTATGCAATTTTCTGTCCCCCGTTTGCTCGTGAAGTTTCTATCGCACCTGGTACTGTTCGAAATTGAAGCAATGTTGGTCACGGTGTTGCGCTTCATTTCCAATGATGGAGTACTCGGACCAAATACTACATAGAAGCCATTGAGATAGTACTGCTGTAGCAACTGGTGTTCACCATCAAGATACTAACCGGTATCTTGAATCCTCTCCATATATGTGCTTCAAACTTGCGTCACACTGATTGAAACAAGAGAGCTTGAAACAGGTGACCCGTCCTCCTCCTATTCATTCGACAAGACCGGTACCAGAGGTAGACGTTCCCGTAGGATTGATGATATCAATAGGACATAATGATTTCTGGATTTTCCAAGACTTGCATTCTAGGGACTCAACAATCCTTGGGAATAGTACCTAGTACACATGTACCAAGCATCATGATGAGATGTGCAATGGCACTGCTACCTTCTGTGGTGCCATGGGAATAAAAGCAATTTCTTGAGGCACGCGTATATATTATACGAGTATATGACACAACACTGCAGCGAAGTCAAGTAACAAGTAACGATTTCTATCTACACTTGACTTTTGAATGTTTTCGGCACCTGGCTGATAGTAGTTATTCTTTATATATATCGAAAGAGTGAAAATAGTACCGTGTACTACTCTTTCATGGATCGCGACAGAGGAACTCCAGCAGAAACCTGGCGCCAACCGCGAGCGCGACTGTACGGTATCTGACAATGTGCAAGGCTCCATTACCATGAAGGAAAAAGCGGCCTCCTGCGTAAGGTACCGAACTGTACATGGAGAATGAGAAAGCGAAGAACGGACCTTGAGTGAAGAAGTGTCACTTTTGCAGAGGCGTCATTGTCATGGAGGAGGAGAAAACGACCTGTAGAACTATTTCATCATCACCAGTGAGCCATTATCCATTTCGAACCGAAACTTTATATCTGGACAGAGCAGTTTGATACTTCCTAAGCGAGACCGTGACCAAGCGCCTAAGTTCCAAAGGCGTCATTGTCATTATGGAGAATATGGCCTCTGTCATACAATTGGAAACGAAGAATTCCGATACGTGATGAGAACCAGCGAACCGTCAAATGCTTTTAAACTAGCAGCATTTTCATAATACTTCCCAGCCACAGCAGAGCTGACTGGTATACGTGCCTTATCTCTTCCATCATCAATTGGTGCATTTTAAAATACAGGGAGAAAAAGCATTCCGTGAGCATTGCGACCTGTGTGAACAATATTTTTCATAACGGTACTGGTACCCGTAGCTGAAAAGAATTTCGTTTGCAGTTCAGGAGATAGAAAAAGCTTGCGGGAAGACTTGAAGGAAGCACGATAAAGTCGCCACGCATGTTCCATTGAAATTGGAGCTACATAATGGTTTCTGATCAACGCGCTAACTGACTATTAAGGGACGTTCGTGGCCCATTCTGCACTATTCTGCACGATATTGCTTTGAGGCTAGAAAATCCGCCATACTTAAATGATCTGACCGCCAGGACCGTTTCTTTGCGAAAAAGAACAGGCGAGGAACATGGCAACATCTGTTGTTTGTGTGACAGTTTTGTTGGCTGCCCGAAAGAATCTAGGCTCGTGGGCAGAACTTTGTCAACCACAAGAACCTGGCACTAGTGCGGAGGTCCTGCGAAATCTCCACAGACCGACCTTTTCATCCTTTTGTTTTCCGACATCATCCCAACCTCACCCACATCACTCATTTACCCGGCGAAAAGATCATAAAAACACACCAAACTAAAAAGTACTCCAGAATGCACATGAACACCTTCCAAGTCCAAGATACTCACTTTGCAAGCGGTAACCGATCCGAACACGATCGTTTTGATTCTGCAATGTTCGAACAGCCTTCCATGGTCAGCCTTGAGTTCCCATCGCTCGCATCTGAAGCCATCATCAACAACAAACGTTGTGCCTATCACCGCAATGCTCCTGTATTTCCACCTAAGCGTCGCAAAACAGTGTCACCTCTTCCCGAAGTGAAGGAAGACAACAGCTGGATAGACAACTTCTCGCTGCTGGATTCGTTCAGCCCCGAAGACTCTTACAACCCTTCCATTGTTCCCGAATGTCCAACGAATCATCATCTGCAACAAGAACAAACCTCTTCTGTTACTGAGATTATCAAGCAGGCATTGACCTTGTCCTCTGAGGATTTCATGCATGATGCACCACAGGTTCCCATCATTCCTTCTACAACCACACAAGACTTTGCCAACCATAACAGCAACAGCAGCAGCAGCAGCAGCAACAATGGCTATCTTCACGATTCCCAATTGCCAACTGGTATGATGTCACAGCAGACTACTATCATGCCTCGTCTGCATGTACGAACCATCAGTGAAACCCAGATGGCCGAGATGAATGCCTCTACTAATCCAAGCGCGGTATCCCTACGTGGTGCTGCATCACCAGTGGCATTGCCTCGGCCAATACCATCGGTGGATCCGAGTGAGTTCACCATTTCCAAGCTCAAGCACAGCAAGGAACCAACGTAAGTTTTAATGTCTTGCTCAACAGGCGTGCAAAATAATCGAACCAGGATTCTCACCTTGTCATCTCCTTTCCCTTACATCATCAGATTGCTCACTCTGACATCGTATCCATACCGAGTTGTCTATTCCAATGAAGCCTTTTCCAAGATGAGCGGAAGCAAGACATCGGTGATTGGAGACTCGGTATTTGATACCTTCAAGGTGGAAGGCACCCGTCTGCATCCATCGCTAGCTACCTACCCAACGCTAGTAGGTCGTTTGGACAACGAGGTTGCCTTGGTCCCGTCGTTTACCGATGATCAAGACAATCAATACTCGCTACGCTGTGGTATCCAAGCATTCCCTGTAACCAAGCGAAACGACTCGAATGCATTGCGATATTATGCCATTCGCTTCAGCCCGCTACAATTTCCTCATTAGAGGATGGATGATGTGCCTCTCTACCTATACTTCCACAGCTTCATATTTTTTCCAATCATCGCAGCACCATGATGATGCTTGTCCTTCCAGGCTCTACTATCTATCTATTACTACAACTCACTCCAAACTTTTTGAACCCATCCGAAAAATTGTTTGTTCTAGCTATAAAACGATTTACATAAAATCTAAATACATTTTCATATATTTCACATTGTAAGAGACATCCCACGAGTGCTTACCATACTGGTATTTTAATTCAGTATCCTGCTCTCGCCACTGCCTCATTTGCTGACTAGTCCGACCAATAACTGATGACGATCAGACTTGATCAGAAGTCAATGGTGTGAGGTCTTTTAGGAGCGCCCGAGGTACAAAGAGCGAACCATGCCGCGAAGCGCGAACCGAAGAAAGCGGTCAGGCAGGCGTGGGATATCTTTGACTAGCCCGATCGATAGTAGTTACAAACGATCGAAAGACCAAGAACCAAAAATAGCAACATCACATTGTCATCATGGCTGCCAGTAGGGAACATACAACGTTACTCTTTTGGTTTCTGATAATACGGTTTGGTTTTGCGTGGCAAGGCTGTTCCAACGAATCATCAGTTCATGGATTCTGTCCAACTGGAAATACCTGCTGCAGAATTCACAGTGATCATGATACAGGTCAGCACATGGTGAACAATATCGATGATGACAATGCTGAACATTTTCAGTTTGGTTGTATTCCAGGGGACATGGGAAAATTCAATGGCACCTGCTGCAACGATGGTGGAGGATGTCCTATGGGCTATAAATGTATTGTCGAAAAGAGTGTTGGTACAGCAGATGAATCATCCAAAGAACATTTCTGTCAGGCGACTCCTTCAGCGCCAATGGCAGATTACATTACCCAACGATTGCCACGCTATCGTCTTTGCTCAATCAATGACGAGGACGACGAGTCACCACTGACACAACTACATGGTCTAGGCATATCCTCGCAAAGTGGCGACGAAGGAAAACTTGCATACTATTCATCTCATGGGCCAATTGATAGACTAGTACCTTCAGCTGATTCACATTGGATTCAGACGGTATGGATTTTCATTCATGGATCTGGACTAAATGCAGATGACTACTTCTGTTCGGCGTTAGCAGCCAGAAAAGCTCAAACAAATTATGATGAATACAGCGTGCTGGTGATTGCTCCTTGGTTTTCAGAAGATGACGTCGCAAATCAACCACCGTATCTGGTTTGGAGTCATCAAGATGCCCTTCACCCATGGCGCTACGGCGCGGATGCCGTGAATCATAACATCAGTTCCTACACGGCTCTCGATGTCATGGTAGAAACTCTACAGAACAAGCTCGGTCCTGACGTCAAGATTGTCATCAGTGGACACTCGAGTGGAGGACAGATGGTCCAACGATGGACCTTTCTGACAAAATCATGGAACCACAGTAATATGAAGGCTGTCGTGGCAAATCCAAGTTCTTATCTCTACTTGACTCCCTTTCGAAGGATTGATGGGAGCTGGCGAATGCCACCATCGTCGTCCATTCTAAATGACTGCCCACAGTATGACATGTGGAAGTGGGGATTGGCAGACGGTGGCAATGAGACGGTCCCATACCGGGATCGAGCATTGCCCAATGATTCAGCGGCAGACAAGCTCATTGACGAATTTCAACACAAGGACGTTACCTATCTCGCAGGATCTTTGGATATCTGCAACGAAACAGAACCGGATCTCCTACTTGGTGATGATGATGAGGATGGCCATGATCAACAACAACAACAACACTGTCATTCCCATGGCCTCGAAACGACCTGTATGGATGAATTGCAAGGACATACTAGAATGGAACGGGGTAACTTGTACATGGAATCCTTACAGTATATATGGGCAAAGTCGACGACTCATTGTCACAAGCGAATGATCGTGCCGGGGGTAGGGCATGACCACTCTCTCATGTTTAATAGCGCAGTTGGAATGGAAGCGATATTTGGCAAACAGCAGCAGATGGGACATTGCACTGGTGCTGAAAGTCAAGATATATTTTCTAGCTGATCGCAAATAGCACAAATGGCGCCATGGCGCCAACGCTTTCATCACTTTTTATTCTTCCGTCTCAGCGTTTATGATTTTTGTGTTCGTCATCGTCATTGTTTCTTCCTGAAACATTGCTAGTTCATTACATTTGCAAGACAACAGTGCGCATTCTATTCCTCTAATAATCTTTTTTATTTTTAATATTGTAGTCTTTGGTCTCAGAAAAATGTTTGACCACGGTTATTGTCTCTTAATCTAACGACTATTCCTCTTCTTCTGCATCATGCATCCACCAGGCGTCGACTGTGCACTTGATGTCCCCAGTTTGCACACCACTTTCGACTAGCGCCTCGTCAAATTTCAGGGTGGTAATCTTTAACTGTTTCAATCTCTGGGCTTCTTGGTTATCCTCCAGTTCGTCCGCCAAGCTATCTAGTAGGCCGCTCAGTCTCCTGGACGGTTGTTTTGACAATTTCCCTCGAAATGACTGTGCAGGCGCGCCCATTCCTCCTCGGCCAGGTCTAGCACCGCCCATCGGACCTCCGCGTCTGCTTTTGTCAGGCTCCTTTGTCACTTTGATCAAAGATGCAAGATTCAAAGTGAATGAGCCAAGAGGCTTCAGATTACTATCTCGTTGATCGAACACCGAAACGTGCATCAAGGCGCCCGACAGGTCCAGAGGTCGGTTGTTTGTCTTGTTTTTCATTCCCAACTCAAAATGGATCTCGTCATTCTTCCATGTTGGATTGAAAGTTGACTCCATGACGCTGGTCCCTGGCCACTGTGTTGACAAGGGGTTGAACTTTGAGCTTCCAACGTCGCTTTTCGTTCTGCCCGGTTTTGTTCTTGGGAATGATTTCTTTTGCCCAAAGCTTTTCCATGCCGATCTTTTCCTGGATGAAGCGTCCAGTTCAAGAGCATCTCTCGGAGTGGAGATGAAGGACACAAAGGGATTTGGCTTAACAACTTCGTCGTCACTTTTTGGCTTTGTTTTTTGCTTGTATTTTGCGCTGTAAAGGGACAATTCAATAGAAGTAAATAGAATGTGCAGCCTTTCCTTTTTCAGTGTTGGCTGTCGAGGCTTGAGATCCAGCTTTTCGTTCAACTGGATCTCAAAGGCTCCTCGAACCGGCTTGTGGTCAGAAGACGTGAAGTGAGTGATTGGCTCATAAAGCGAAACTTCCAAGGAATCCTCTAGTTGATCGATCGCCTTGTATAAGATACGGTCTGTGTACGACGGAGACCTCAAGACATTGTATGCATAGCCGTCTTGACGCGCAACTTTGAAAGTTGGATCAAAGTTGCAATAGGGAGTTTTCCACCCAGCAAGGCATTTGTTATCAAGTAGCGCATTCGATAACTCATCATGCCGATTTAGCACACTCCAATTCCTGGCTGCTGTCAACGCATGCGATGCTTGGATATGTTCGTCAGACCCAGGCTCGAGATGTGGTAGCTTCGTTCGGAAATTCAAGTCTCCCATAAAGAAAGAGTAGTGGCTTGCCATAGTTGGGTCAAAATTAAGTGCTGTGACAGAAGAATGTGCAGCATTGAAAATTCTTTCAAAAGATTTGCATCTTTTCTCGAATTTGTGCTCTCCTTCCTGTAATTATGGATCAAGTTTCGCGTGTGAATCGCACATATAACAGCAAGGGCGAGAAGACATCACAAAAAGAAAAGAACTTACATGTGCTTCGAGGTGAGCACTCGAGAAGCAAAGTCTTGTTGCACCATTAACTGCAACTTCTGTCACAATACCTCCCTTGTTTGCAAGGTTGGCTTTTCCTGTGGGCTTTGCCTTGACACTCAAGACATCAAGTTTCACAGAAGTTTTCAAGTAGTAAACCATTAGTCTCATCTCGCCCAACTGATACGATAGAGCTCGGTCATACGAAGGAAGCTGTCCTTCAAACAGGAAATGAAGTACATCGGTATCTTCCCACTTTGCCATCGCACCATCTTCTGATGGTGATGTCTCTTGTCGCAAAAATGGCAATTCGCGCTTGGTATGATTCCTTGCTGACATCAGAGTTTTCACTGCTTTCGATGTCTTCCGGGCAGCTTTCAGTTTCTTCGCCCCTTTTCCCAATGCGCCTTTGCCTGCCTTCATAGCACCCTTGCCTGCCTTCTTCGCAATAGATAAAAGCTTACTTTTCTTGGCTGACGCCTCATCCTTCTCTGATCCAGCCAGTGATGTCGAGCTCTGTGGTGCGTCATCGATATCTTCCTCGCTTGATCCATTTCTCCCTTCGTCGTCAGAATCATCCGCTTCGTCATCCTCGCCGTCTTCATTTCCGTCGTCTTCAGAACCCTCGTCTTCGCCAACATCGTCATCTGAACCTTCCGAATCAGACCCTTCTACCGTTCTTGAACTCCTTTCAGATCCAACCTTTTCAGGTTCCTTAGCATCCGGATCTTTGTTAGGATCAAAGGTTGCTTCTTGCATTCCAATCACAATAATTTCAAAGTGTCCTTCAGGACCTTCCTCATAGTACGGCTCTGGTTCCACAGTCTCGTCGTTGTTTTCCCAATAATCTATTGCGCCACCTTGGACATCCCCATCATTATGACTCCCCTCATTCTCCAAGTCGTCGACTTCGCCAACTGCATCAAAAGCACCATTGCTTTTGGATTCCACCACTTCTGAATTATTCTTTGGATCTTCCTTTACTGACGAAGGCTCCAAACCAGCTACACTATCGCTTTCTTTCTCTTGAGATTGTGCAACGGCATTGAGTGGCTTCACCTTGTTTTTGCGTACTTCTTTCGAGTCCGACGCTGGTGTCGAGTCTTCAGCATTCCGATTGAGATCATCGTCTACAGCGGATTTTGCATTATCCAGCTCGGGATTCGTGACAGCATCTGAAGCGGCAGTCGTGTCGAGAGATTCTGTTCCTTCAGCAAGCCTTGAGCCATTTCCATCTGACTCCGCAATGCTTATCTGAGAGGACGACGCATTTTCTTCCGACTGAGATGGTGATTTTGGCGAAACATTTATTGCAGCTGGCATAGCCTGTAGGTAAATGTTGTTCTTCTGTGGTGTTTGCGGGGAAAGCGAACTGCTCCCTTGGTCTGCTGATTTCTTTTTTCTCCGTCCCGATGGACCAATTGACCCTCGGCTCGTCATATCCTTTGTTGCTTTTTGTTTTTCCCTTTCTTCCGTTTTTGTTGCAGTCTGCTGGACCAGGAATGTTTCACTAATCGTTGATGCTTTATCCGGTGCCATACTTCCCAAATGAAGATTTTCCCTAGCCTCTTGATTCTTCAGCTTTTCTGCTTCTGCCAATATTCTCTGTCTCTCATGGAAGGCATCTCCAAAGGCAAATCCATCCGTTTGCGATTTCTTAATCGAATCTTCGATTCTTTGTCGTATGGAATCCAATTTCTTTGATGATGCTGTATATCTCCTTGGCATGGCAATGCCATCACTATTAACCGACCTTTGAGAATTGATCAATGGATCAATGTTGTCTTCTGTTTCTGTCTCCGTCACTTCAGCTTCTTCAATCACATCTGTTTTTGTAGAAGATTCCACGGTGTCTGGAACAGCAACATCCTCCGGTTCTATTGCTTCTGTCTCTTCATTCAGCTTGGTCTCTTCAATAGCTTTAGAAGGTTCAAGTGATTCGACAACCTCGGGCTCTGCTTCGTAAGAAACTTCTGATACTTCAGGCTCTTCGACTACTATTTCAGGCTCAATCTCTGGCTTCTTTTCCGACAATTTACGTAAGCCCCTCGTAACGTCCAAAGTATCCTCATAAATGACACTTTGGTCGTCGTCATCTGCCTCCTCGTCGACAGTTTCAACAGTCATTTGCGAAACAAACGCTTGGCTTTGGCTCATTGCTGGAAGCGAAAAATTTTCGCTATCCTCATCCAAGCCGAGGCCATCGATATCTTCACTGATCGCAAATAGGTCACTTTGTCTAGATCGAGCGGTTGTATAGACAGCTCGGTCGGTAAACCCTATATTTCCATCATCCTTATCTTCGCTGGGAAAATTGAGCATGACAGGATACCTTCGCGGGTTGGTAAGAACATGGCTCATGTTTCCATTGACAGGGATCCATTCATTCAATGATAATTCATCTGGCTGTGCGTTTCCGAGATTTGCAGAACAAATCAAAATGCGAACAGAACCACCTGGCTGGACAATGTCATGGACAATATCTTGGACATCATCAATCGGGAACATAAAGGGCTCATCCGGTCGAATCTTGGTGTAAATCTTCTTCTTTGGCACATGATTGGGATCGCCCATAGGAGACCCGGGCCTTGGCACACTAGTTGCACTACGTGTGCCTGAACTTCTGTCTGAGGCATCCAACCCAGCACGGGTGCGTGTGCCTGAACTTCTGTCGGAAGCATCCAACCCAACACGGGTGCGTGTGCCTGAACTTCTGTCTGAAAAATCCAATCCATTGCTACTGCTACTGCCAAACGCACTACTACTGCCAGAGTCTCGTTTCTTTTTCCTTCCCATCGGTACTGGATTTGCAGCTCGTGTACTTTGCGCTTGTCTCCCTCTCCCACGTCCAGGGCCCATTGGTGCTCTTCCAGACGCGGAAACTGGAGCGCCTCCTTGGCCCAATACAATCTTATTCTTATTGGGGGGAGGTGCAAGGGGAACCTTTCGGCCATCGGCAGTAACTCTTCCAGAAAATACGCTCCTCCCTCCCCGACCACCAGCAGCTCGACCACCAGACGATGCGAATCGACCAAGTTGGGCCCCATATCTATTCTTAAGACTTGCTGGCATCTCTCCAATAGACTCGAATTCTCGCTGTTTCGACTGACCACCACGACCTCTTCCTCCTCCTCGTCCACTGGAAGACCGAGGCGGAGGGGATCTCCCGCTCGATGGCCTTGTCGGAGATTTTGCACTCACACTCCTTGGTGGAGGAGACCTTCCATTTCTCGATCCTCCCATACGTACCGATGGAGGCCGTCCACGTGGGATGTCCTCCGTAGCCATGGACCGCCGCTTCGGAAGTTGCATGTCATCTGTTCCGGTGGGTCGCCGTATTGGAGGTGGTCGTGCGTCTGCCGCCATGGAAGCCACTCGTCGCCCAGGCATTCGGGATCCACTGGCAGGTCGGTCTCCACCCAAACCTCCACCCAAATTCAGTTGCGAGGCCTGAGGTACATTTGGATCATGTGTTTCGTCAGTTGCCACGGAGGCAACTCTTCTTCCTGGTATTCGATTGCGGTTGGGACTTCGTTCTCGGACTGGTCTTCCATCGGCAGTTGAGACTGTCTGTCTTCTCGGATCCACTCTTCCAACTTGTGGTGGCCCCATTGTTGGGCCGTTGTTTGCAAAGCCTACTCCTGGAGGAACTGCGGGTGCATTTCGTGACGGAGCTGGGTTACTTGGACGTGACGGTGGTACTGGTGGATGTTCTTCCGTTGCCATGGACGCGACTCTTCTGCCAGGCAATTGATTCCGAACAGGGCTCTTATCTCTGGCAGCTCGTCCATCCACTGCAGTAGACTGCCTTCGATCATGGGCCACAGCGCGTTTATCCTTGAAGGGAGGCGATAAGGTGGGGGGTAGCGGGCTGGTATTTGATTTCGTTTGAACGGGTGATATCGGTCGAATATGCTCCTTCTTGGCCCCTTCTGGAGACAGCTTCTTTTTTAACTTGGCGGCTGCAGATTTCTTTTGCTTGTTAGGCGAGGTAATATCCACCACAGGAGATACCGTTGGGCTTTGCTTCTTGGAAGCACCTCGTTTCGGTTTTTCGTTAATCAAAACGGGCGAATGCGACCGCGCACGACTCCTGTCCCCAGCTGTGGTCGATCGACTTCTATCCGAAGGTGTTGTAGAAGCAGTAGCTGCCTCATTCAACGAGTGCAGTCGTTTTAGTGGCCTGGTAACATTGGTGTTTCTGCCCTGAACTGATCTGCCTGATCTGCCTGAAGTCGATTTGGGAGAGCTTGGACTAACTGCTCTCTGTGGTTTTTGGGCAGCCTTTCTATCGTTCATGGTGTCATTTTGGCTTGGCATAGATTTTCGCTTGTCTGAGGATCTTGCCGCCGGCGGTCGAGTTGCTGTCACTCGTGACGATTGAGGCTTAGGTGGTACCAATATTTCAATACTGGAATCATCACTGTCACTGCCTTCTTCGCTGCTACTGATATCTATTATCACTGAAGATCGCCCACGCCCAGCAGTCCTCTTGTCGGATTCGGATTTACTAGTTGGCGCGTTTCGCTGCCAATTCACGCTGGATGGTTTCACTGTAGTTGAAGGTGTGGAATTGTATCTCTTAGCTTTTTTCTGTGGGTGTGGGATTGCTGGTGCTGGCTCGCTACCTCCTCTCCTTGGCCTTGGCATCTTCCATAATGGGCCTCCACTTCCAGCTGAATCATCCGATGAGGCAATAGAAGCCGACGAACCTTGTCTGATTGTGCTTGGTTTCGTTCCAGAGTAGTTTCTGCCAGGTGACAAAGATCTTATGTTTGTGACGTTCTTCTTGTTTCCTCGCATCGATGCTGGTTTGGATGAATCCAATGTCCTCACTGGCTTTTTGGCCGCATTTCTGGGCGGCGTTAAGCCTCTTTTTTTGGGCGGCATGGCGATGAACCCTGAAGAATCTTTGGTTCAGCCTATTGGTTGAATGATGAAACTACCTTCAGATATTTTTAGGAGAGCCAGATTTTGGATACTTGTCTATATGAAGTTGTTGTGTGGTTATCTAGAGTCTCTATGGTGGATACGCAGTTTGTATAAGTGCCTTGTATGTAGCTCTTTCGGCGCCTTATCTCATGATCCTGCATCCACTCCAGAAATATTGATTTCGCTTACACTGTCTATCGCTGGCTCGGTCTCGGATCAGTCTTGGGTCGTCGGTGCATGCTTTTTATTTTCCGACAGTCCGAGCTGAAGTTTCTGGGGATGACCAACAGGTGTCCTCCAAAGTGGGTTGCGAGAGGTCTGTCCCCAAAAGAGAGTGATTCAGCGCAAAAACGACATCATCATAAAATTCATCCGTCATTCCTGAAATCACTTCTAGTCACAAACACTGTTGTATGGACTGCGGATAAGAATGCTGCTGAACTCAACACAATTGTTGGTGGTGATCATCGCTATCATTACCCCACCACAGGCAAATGCTTTTACCAATACAAATTTGGCCTCTTTAATGCCAAATTCTCATCATGTTCTTCAGGCCACCACCACCACGACGATGACGACTGCTGATTCTGCCTTGGAAGAAATGATAATGGAACCTCCTCCAGTGGAAGAAACCAAAAGGGATTTCCCTGACCTTGAAGCAGTCGAAAGCTCACAAGAATTACTTCTGGAGGAGCAAAAGGAGCAGCTACGAGAAGAAATTGAAGCACAACAACGTGAAATCGAATCGCAAATCGAGCATCTGAAAACAGAGAAACAACAACAACAACAACAAGAGGAACACAAAGGTCCTTCCATGGCAGCCTCTCGAGCTCTAAGGCTCTTTGATATTGTATTCAATGATATTATCGCTCCAATCTATACCACCTTGATACAACGAGGCCTTCCACCGAATGGCGATTGGGACCAATTCTGGGGTTTTCCATGGAATGGAAAAACTCTGGCCGACCAATGTGTGCTAGCACTCGAAAAGATGGGACCCACCTATGTCAAGTTTGGACAAGCACTGGCATCTAGACCCGACATTGTTCCACGATCCTTGGCACAATCCTTGCGAACACTACAAGACTCGATGCAACCCTTTGATACTCTCATCGCCAAAGAGATTATTCAGCAAGAACTTGCAAACTCTTCCGCTAGCCATGAGGAAGATATTCAAGCCTTGGTGTCGAGTTTATCAGATCATCCCGTGGCCGCCGCCAGTATCGGACAAGTCTATTCGGGTCATTTGGCCAATGGTCAAAAGGTGGCCATCAAGGTTCAGCGTCCTGGGATTCGTGAGATTGTCCAACAGGACGCTAGTTTGTTGCACACCATTGTCCAAATGGTGGAACCCATTCCCGCCCTTCCAGGCTTGCAAAAGAATCAAGAACGACTGGTGGAGACGAACTTGAAAGGGGCCGTCGATGAATTCATGTCGCGCATTGTGGAAGAATTGGATTACCGAAATGAAGCCAACAACATTCAAACGTTTCACCAACTCTATTCGCATCGTCGGCCGACCGCGAGCAGCAATCGGCAAAGGAGTAGTAGCAGTAGTAGCAACGAAAACAAAGAGCACGAAGAAGACAATCGAATTGAAGTGGTCGTCCCAGAAGTGTACATGGATCTGTGTACGGACCAAGTGATTGTGATGGAATGGATTGAGGGCACCCATTTGGTAGACCTGGAAACCGATAGCAGTTCTCAAGAAAGTCTCGCACTGATCCAACAGTGCATTGAATGCACGCTTTCGCAGCTATTGGACACAGGAGTTCTTCACGCGGATCCACATGGAGGGTGAGTTCGAATGATTGATGAAACTAATTTTGGAAAGTTCCGCCAAAGTTTTCGTCCCTCGACAACTCATAGCTGACCATTCCCTCTTTACTATTGAACAGAAATCTCCTGAAGGTTACCGATACGTCGGGTGAGCAGGAGATTAAGCGATTGGGATACATTGACTTTGGATTGCTCAGTACCGTTCCGGTCCAAGTTCGGGATGGTCTCGTTTGTGCCGTTGCCGAGCTCGTCTTTGCGCGCAATGTCACTGCCGTGGCCAACTTGTTTGGTGAATTGCAGCTGTTGCCGGAAGACATTGTTTCGGACCCATCCGAACGAATGGCACTGACCGTGGAATTGCAACAAGCCATGGCCGCATGTCTCAAATACGAACCGGTACCATCCTCATCTCCAACGTCTTCCACTACCATTCCATCACTCCGCTTTGACAAGTTGCTCGATGCTTTGACGAGACTTGTCCCAAGATTCCGATTTCAACTCCCGCCATATTTTATCAACAATGCTCGAGCCTTGGGCACCTTGGAAGGAATGGCGCGAGAGATCAATCCGGACTTTAACGTCTTGCAAACCATGTATCCCTATATTTTGGGTCGACTCTTGTCCAATCCCACCAACAGTCCCATTGTGGAAGCCACGGTCCAATCGTTGATTCGATCCCCAGTGACGGGGAAAATTGATATGCAACGAATCAAGAAACTCGTGCAAGATGCTACCGTCCTGACTGGATATTCCAAGAAAAAGGTGATTCTGGATGTCCTCCAATCACGGAATGGACCTCGACTGGCCAAGACTGTTGCCAAGGAACAACTGAAGCAAGCAGTGGCACGGCGATTGTCCTTTGTCAAGAGAACGAAGCGCATGCGGCTATAAATAAAGCTATATATATATATCTGTGTAAAATAAAAATACGTAGGACTACTTCAATTTCAAAAAGTAGATTGATATTGTTAGAATCATGCCTATTGCTGCTGCCGTGGTGTAAACTAAATGAATGAAATGAATGTGAATCCATCATATCATATCATATTGTATTTTTTTTAAAAGTTGAACCATCCCTTCTTCTTTTCTGGTTCCTTCTTCTCTTCCACAGGTGCCGCTTTGGGCTTCTTTTTACCAAAGAGTTTTCCCATAAAGTCGGCATCCTCATCGACATACCCTTGATCCGCATATGGGAGTCGCAAATCAAATCGACCTCCATTGTCATACTTTCCTCCCACTCCGAATTCACCTCCCACACCAAAGGATGGCATGGGGAAGGGAATGCCTCCAACCTTTTTGGGATCTCCATATTGATCATTCAAATCCGAAATGGTACCCTCTGCTCTTCGCTTCTTCCATTCCGTGAGAGGATCCTCTCCCTTGGCGTAATTCTTGGTTTGCCATCCCCACTTGTCATCCCGTTCCTTGCTGGCCGCTTGACGACGAGCTTCAATGTCTCTAAAGTATTGGTCTCGTTTGGATTTGGGTGCACGTCGAGCCTCCAATAGTTCTTGTTGCTTCTGCCATTCGTCATCCAGTCGATCCCGTCCCGATCCTCCCGTCTTGAAGTTGTCAAAGAGTCCCATGGACAATTGTGTAGACGAGGAGGATGTCAAAGAGCAGGAAGCTTGGGGAACAAATGCATTGGTAGTGGCTACCAACAGACTTGCGGCAGCGGTGGAAACGCAAAGGACATTGTTCAATACCTTCATTCTGATTTTGATTGATTGCTGTCTACCGGTACTGTGAAATATAGTTGAAGTTCAGAAATGAATGCAATCTGTTGTTCAGCTGACATTTGAGGAACGAGAAAGTTCTGAAAAATCACAATATGGGGACTGTCATAGTCCTTTTTCTTGGTGACGTATATTCCTACAGTAATGACGTGTGCTGTTCGTCTGTCATAAGATCCGTGTCATCTGCAAATCGTACTCAGCCACTTTGGACGGTTCTGAGCCATTGAACCTATTTGGCGTTTGCTCCGACTGAAGTTTCCAGACTTATTGCAGTTTGACACGCCAAAAATACTTACTTAAGAACTGCCGAAGAGTGGCGAACTATGGCGAAGTACTTCATTCCACGTGGATGCTGATATGTCCCGCATATGCTGAAGTACGTATGCGATGTGCTGCGAGAGTTTGTCCGTCCCAAGTGCTGGTACTGTATTGCAAGTACAGTCTGTCTCCACCCTACAGTATTGCACAATTTTGAGATCGTGAAAAGCTTCCGAAGTATCCAGTATCATCCACACATAATATTATATCAATACCAGCAACCACACACTTCGAAAATGGCTCCACGAACTGCACTGCACCTTACCCTTGCCTTGGCTGTTGCCATGACAGGCGAATTTGCTTTGGGGTTCACTCCAAAGGCAAACACCAACATGCCCCCATCTCCTGCCAGTTCCACCAGCTCAACAACTACAAACTCGGCCGATTCTGTGGTTTCTCAACACATGCTTAGCAGCTTTGGCCTTGAGAGCGAGAGAGGGGACAAGACTCAAGTCTTTTCAAATTCCGTCTTGGCCAGTTGTGACATTCTCCCATCCTTTCGAACCGCGCACGGTATCCTTTCACCCGAAACGGTTTCTCGCATGGCGGAAAACACTGATTTTGGAGAAGGCAACCAAGCTGTCTCCAGATTTCTTTCCAGATACCAAGAGACCGGACCCATGTCTTGTCTAGATATGCTTTCGGACGCTGACATTCTTCCGCATTTGACTCGCGCGATGAGAGATATTCTCTAAAGAGTTTGCTTGCTTATTTGCTAACTTGCTATTCTTGCAAAAAGAGCCCAAAAGCTTGCTGCAAGACTCCAAACTGTCGTCAAGATCTGAATGGGAATTTCTATTCAGAGCTTGATGGCCAGAGAACGCTGCAAACGACACTGTGGCGCTCCCTGCACCATGGGACATCCTGCTGATGTTACGACTGCCATGGAAAAGACTACTGAAGATATCCACCAAAACAAACCCAACACATTCATTGTACACCTTTACAAATTCACACTCTCAAACACAACTATACACTCTGTATACTCTTTGAGTGGATATCTTCTTTATTGATAACTCTAAAATTGCCTTTAACTACCTTAACTTTGATCCTTCACATACATCACATTTCGTTTTGAAACACACACACACACCCAAATTTGACAAGATACGTTTCTTCCATATGCTGGTTTTCTTTGGTGGATCGCAAACTGACGCAAGCATCTGCAGACGACAGAGGTCCCGTGATTTTTATGGAAGTTTGTCTATGGCGATCTGCGGCGATCGGTCTTTCGACCGAATAGTAAAGAGGGTGGTGTCAACGAACCTTCTTCTTCTTGTTTGCAACAATAAATTCCCCAAATATTGAATGAATCAATCCCCTCCATCAAAAAATGATATGTCAACCCTTACATTGAACATGCGATCGTAATAAGTTTAGAATTGTTTCCTAACCTATTATTATAGTACCTACTATGATGATGATCTACAAAACCCTAAATTCTACCTACAGTAGTGCTGCACTACCATCAGCTCCATCTGATGGCACTGTAGTTAGTAGCACACTTGTTATATGTCATATATTCTTCGTTCCATTGTTCTTCACATTCAAAATTTGGTTGGCACTTGGCTGCTGGTTGGATTGGCATTCTTTCCACCTCCGCACCACCACCAATTACCCTCCTAACAAATGTGTTCACTTTGCACCTGGTTTTGAATCCTTGCCATTGCCTGCATGAACCTTTTTTTCTTTTTAACTCTTTTCACATTTATTCTCACTCCACTTTCACACTTTTTATTTTTTTTTCCCTTAGAGGAGCGGCCTCATCATCATCATCATGTTGCCCAGGGGAATGACATTGGGGACCGCCCGAATCGGCATGGACGATTGGAGGGCAGAGGACCAAGTGGCCCGCAAATGCAAATGACTCAGCACGTACAATTCCTTGACGGGATCCGGAGACGGTGTGAGCTGTTGCGCCGAGACTCCAAAGGTTTGACGACACAAGTTCTCCCAGAGTTCGTTGCGATTGCACAAATCACGCCATTCGGTACAAACGCAGGCGGCTCGGGCCAAGGTGGAGCCGTCGCAAAAGGACAGAATGTTGGGAATGACATCATTGAGCCGGAAAATGGGAGTAGGCTCGGAGGATTTGTTAACGGATGACAACTCGGAAATCAACCGTAGATTGGCCATGATTTGATGATGGGTCAAGGGAATGTGAATGTGATCCCGTGGAACCTGGTGAAAGTGTTTGGAATGAGACGAATGTTGAGCGGCATGATATCAGCTTCTGGCTACAGGATACATGCATGCATATACTCACCAATGCAAGTTCGTAGGAGGAACAAGCAGTTTCATTCTTGTTTTGTGGTTCTTGGTCATTATTTCGAATTCGTTTCATGATGATGATTGATCGATGCTGTTTGAAGAATCCTGAGGATAGTATTGATTGATTGCTATTGATACCTTGTATTTATCGCAGGTTGCTAGAAGTAGCTGTTTGTTGCTTCAAGCTATGGATCCAATGAATGGAATTGGAAAGGCGAAGTCTTGCTGTGCAGCGCGATGGTAAGAATGACAGACAAAAGTTCTGTTGGAAGATGATTTCAAAAAGATCTTGTGTCTGGGACCGACTGGTGACGCCGACCAGAGTTCTGTCGGAATTTTTGAAAATTGATTGGAAGATGGATGCGCGCGTGCCTGCATAGTTAGTCGAACGAATCTAACATACAGATGCCATGAATTTATTTGCTTGATGCATCGCCCATCAGCCACATCATTCATTTCATCAACGAATTGAACTTGCTTGCTTTTTTTCTCCCATACAATGATGCAGAGAAAGCTATCAATATGTTTGATCTTCCTTGGCATGTTCCTGGGTGATCAGTGCAATGGATTCGTCATTCCAACATCACGATTTGCGAGCCACACAACCAGAAATGGTGCGGCTGGTGGTGGGGAGGTGCTGGCATCTTCTTCATCATCATCATCATCCTTTACCGCATTGTCGGCTGCCGCAACCGTTAGTGCCACGACGGAAAAGATTCCCAATCAAATTCTCAAATTTCAAGAACCCACGACCAATGTGACGGTCATCTTGGTGGGAGCCATGCACTACAATCCATCCAGCATTCAGTTGGCCGAAGACACCATCGAACGCCTTGCAAGCAATCAACAATTGGCCTCGGTCATTGTGGAATCCTGTGACATTCGATGGAACAAGACTCTTGCTCTATATGAAAAACAACCTTGGCTCAAACAGATCCTCAAGAATGAAATGGTTGCCTCCAGCGATTTGGCTCGACAGTATAAGAGGCCAGTGATTTTGGGAGACCAACGCATCAACATTACTACCGACTCGATCAAGGAGTGCTTTCAAGAAACCGTCATGGATTTGAAGTCACCGCCTTCCGGTTGGAAACGATTTGCTTTGGATGTAGGACAAGCCGTCGATGAAACACGTCCGTTTGGCGGGGAAGGCTACCTGAGTGCCTTTGCCTTTTTCGATCCCCAACTCATTCTAGCATTTCCTGTCAGTCTGGTCAAGTATCCACTTTCCTTTTTGGTCCGAGATCCAGTACCAACCTCCATTCTGTTTTTGGGATTCTTTGGATTGAATTACTTGGAAGCGAGTGGTGTAGTGGGTGGTGGTGGTGGTGGTGGACTGAGCACCAGCACTGACTTTGCCTTGGAGGCCATTCAAAACAATGAAGTTCCCATCACGGATTGGATAGTGTCCGTGAGCATTGCCATTTTGGAAATAGTCTTTTTTGCTCGAGCTTTTCTAAAGCCACTGTTGGCGGAACGAAATCAAGTACTGGCCAGGAGTATTTTGGATCAATGCCAACTTTTGGCAGGTGCTCGGACTAGTGGTAGTACTTCTGCAGCAAAGAACAAGACTCCATCCAACTCATGGAGCCTGCCTTGGCCCTTTGCGGGTGACGCATCGCCACAGTCCAATAAAAAGGCTGTACTTGTGGAAGATAGTAGTACTAGTAATAGTGAGATTGTGTATGCGTCGGGCAGTTCGGCAGACGTTACGACTGATGGTGGTGGTGCTGCTGATCAGACGGTGGTTGCCATATTGGGAATGGCACATTGCAACGGCATCAAGAAATTGCTGCAAGACGAACTAGTAATATAACATTCTATTAATATTAATAGTACAAAATATATTGCAATACAAAGATTGTAATTTGATCATTTTGGTACACGTTCTATTGGTTATTGTTGACATTTGTTGCTTGCATCCGTTTGATCACACAGTTTGATTGTACATCTACTCTATTGTTGTTGATATTGATTTCTTTTTCTTTTTTGTTGTTGTTGTTTGTTTGTTTCTTCATTTTTGTTCAAAAGTCGTTTTACGAAAACTGACCTTGGCGTGGTGGGAATAGGGTGTCATTCCACAATTCACCAATGTGCCGTTGGTTCCACAATCCATCCGTGGCTGTGAAACGACCAGGCTTGATTCCACCAACGGTGATTCCATTAATACCTCCCCAGGCAAATCCCAAATCGAACATATGCGTATTGTCATTGAAATACTGGGACAAAATGGAAATGGCAGCCTCATCAATGGCAAACTCTTGAACATACAATCCGATTCGAAGATTGAATCGTTTCTTGTACATTTGCAAGGTGGAATAGTAGGACATGGAAGACTCGTCGGTTTCCTCGACATTTCCAAAGGATTGGATTTTGTAGGCAGACTTGATTTCATTTGGATCAAAGTTGGTGAGTCGATTGACTTCGTCCGGTGATGGATCCCAAAGGAGGGAACCAGCATTGAAAAAGACACTGTCGCCGTCACGAATTCTGCCCTCGTTGCAGGCCTTTTGCAAGTCTCCTGCGGAATGGCAGAAAATGAGTTCTTGGACCGGTTCAGCGCAGCTAATGCTGACATCGCGGATTTCTTCCACGAAAAAGGAAGCAATGCCTTCGACTCGTATACCCGCCTTGCGAAGGGTATCAATCGCCACACTCCAAATGTGTTTCGGGACATGGCGAGATTTGACATCCAAGACGAGTCCGACTGGTTTCTCGCACTTTGTCAGTTTGGAAAGCAACCGAATGGACTCCGACATTGTGGAATCGGGACATTTGGATTCCGCCAGATCCAAAAGAGATTTGGACTTGCGGGAGCGTCCCTTGGTAGAATTCTTTTGCTGCCCTTCTTCTTCTTCGATATAACATGTTCCAAGTTTCATGGCTTCCGCAAAGACTGCCATCCACTGACGGGCATAGATTCCTCCACCCAACGTTCGTCGCGTACGTTTCACACGGGAGTAATTGTAATTCTTCACATACCCCGTTTGTTCCAAAAACAGTTGGGTCAGATTCCCGTGCGCAATCAGCATCTTGTCTACCATTGCCATGGCTCGTTGATCCAATTCCCGTTTGTAAAAGGATAGAATCTGCCGGGCTCTGTCAGACTTGGGGTGGATACTACTGCTACCATCCCTGCAAGCCACAAGAAACTTGTCCCGTTCGTCCAAAACGATTTGCACTCGTTGCACCAGCTTTGGATCCAAAAAGACATCCCATTCCAAATTTGGAATGGCGTGCGTTTGACCCGAGTCCCCGTATTCCAGTTCGTGCACCGAGGCATACGCCGCCACCACGGGATTGTTTTCCGCCCAATGGATCAATCGGGACGCCGGTGCCGTGACCACACGTCGTGAGATTTCGACATACACATCTGGCATCAAGAGACGCAGAATGCTAATCCAATGGGGATTCGATAAGAGAAATGGGGCAGCTCCGAAATAGGCACCGTGCGCATAGGGCATCTTTTGAATGGTAGGAAACAAGACTTGATCGTGAGCAAAGGACTCCAATTGCTCTGTGGGCATGGTCGAAAAGGTCTTCTTCTGCAATTTCTTGAAGGTGGGTGTATTGGGATTGGACCCTTCACCCGAAGAGCTCGATGAATAGGAATTGTCCGAGCCCATGTCGTCGTCATCTTCGTCATCGCTGGTGTTAAAATTGTTGCTCGTGACGCTGGTAGGGGACGAGAGCAATGGCGACCCTTCCACCACACTGGGAGAATCAGGCACACCATCTGCCGGATCATGGCTGGCAGTCCGATCCAGGCTGGCCCTTCGCAATCGTACGTTGTTGTGGTGCTTCTTGGCAAATCTGTTTTCTGCTTTTCGCAGTGTCTTGAGGACCCGTTTGTGACGTATGGACAAGATCATCTTTCCCAATCGTGTCGATCGATCCGTTTCCCGGACGGAGCGAATACGACGGGCCCCATCCTGTCGGTAGGCCTTGGAACCATAGGCAGCACGGAACCAAACATGTCGTCGGCGTCGCACCATTCGGTAGGACGCCGCTCCAGCCCACAAGGAAAGCACGGCTCTCAATATTTCCCAGTACCATTCCATGACGGATTCTCCTTCTATTTTGGATGTGGTTGTGGTGGTGCGATAAAAGGCTTGCATCCAAATCATGTTAAATCCATGAAAGACAATGAGATAGGCACCCACCGTAAAGGCAATGTGCCCTAAAAAGGAGGATGTAAAATGCGTCCAACCAAATACCTTGCCTTCAATGGCCAGCTTGATATCGAGAGGAACCAAATCTTCATAGGCATGCGCTTCCATTTCATCTTCAATCCGGTCCATAACATGTAAAATCTAATACAATAGTATGGTAGGCATGGCGGTGAGACAGGATGTCAACGGAGCATACTTTCTTGTTGTGTGCATGTGTATAACTTACCGGTCCTTCTATTTGATCCAGTAGGTCTGCCGCACTATGGCTCTTGTGGGTACTACTCGTATTCCTAGTCTTAGGAGTCTCCGGACAATTCATACCCCCATCTCCTTTGGTTTGGCTGCTGTGGTTGCTGCTGTGGTTGCTACTACTAGAATACTGCGGGTGGTGGTGGGTCATGTTCCACATGTCTGGTTGATTGGGAGTGTCTGGAAAACTATCCCTGGGAGTCCGTTCCGGTGAATGAAGCAAGGCATGTTGTTCTGAATTTGGTTCTTTCAGGAAATCGGGAAGGTCGTTCTCACTATCATCACTCATTTTCATGTGAAAGTCTGAGGAAGCAGTATGGCTAATGTTGAAATCTCCTTGTCGTTGTTCGTCGTGTTCGTCTTGAGAAGAATCTTCATCAAAGACAACTGAGTCCATATTTCTCCATTTGGGCGTCAGTTTATTGCTGAGGTTGACAACACCTGTGAGTTCCGACATGATAACGATGATGCTTGTATCGCCCTTGTATATTTGGTGATTCCTGATGAGAAGTTGTTGGTATCTTGCTGCTATAACGGTATATACTGCAGTTTTTTATAGGTTTCCGTTGTTTATTTCTCGAGTGAGTCTTGCGCAGTTGATACGAAACTCAAAACTCTAGCAAAAAGTGTCAACACGTAACAACAGTTGGTGAATTTTCAAAGTCGATTCTTTGGAATAAAAGTTCGAATGTGTGTCACGATTGAGACTCAATCAGTCAATGTAGAGGAGAGAGAGGCAGAGGTGGTGATCACCTGAGATAGAGCAAGAGTAGCAAGAGCAGCAAGGGTTGCCTTCTCCTACTCGTTCAACAAGAATTTTTGTCTTGTCGTGCCCAAGTATTTTTTATTTGCGCTTTGGTCAGATTCAATCATTTAGTTTTATTCGTTCCCGAGAGGCAAATGATTTTATTCCCATCAGATTTGTTTAGGTAGGAAAGATACGTAAGACCTCGTAGCAGGCGGGATAACGAACTTCAGATTCAAAATTTAAGTGCTGAATCTCCCAAAATTCGACGTTTTACGCGAAATCACAAGATTCAAAATGTTTCATGTCCCGGGTCACACGTGGTGGCAGTTTGCACGAACGTCACCCTTTTTGCCTCCGTGGAAAATTGGGAAGTGTCAAGAATTTAGCGCGTTATTACTTTTTTTGAATGGCATCACGACAAAAGATGCAATTGCACCATCTCTCACGTATAAATGAGTTAATGCATTAAAAGTAAGAAATGTTATGGTCGTAGCCACTACTGTAGCTAGGTAGAAGCATAGAAGTAGCAGTATATGATAGGAGTGAGGAGCGCCGACGTTGCGTAGTACCTGCCTCTACTAGAATGTGAAGGGGTATTGTAGACAGCCAAGGATACGATTTTCAGCACATGTTATTGTGTAGATTCATACTGTACCAGGTACCGTATATGAGAAAGTTGGTATTCGACGTCATGAATTTTTTTCAGTTTTGAGTGATTGAGTCTGCCCGTCTGTCAGCCTTTATCGGTCGGACCAGTCAAACATCTCACATCCATCATTTTTTCAGATTTTGAAACAATAAGGTCAAAAGTTCGTGAGGTGCAACTAAAATATAATATTATTGTATGACTTCTGTCCACCCAAACAGTATGGACGACTTTGGGCTCTACGTCTTGTCCAACATACTCTCATTTCTTTCGGAAACCGCAGGATGCTCCTTCTTGATCACCCAGCAAAAATGGACTCGTCAGATCCTTCCTCTCTTTCGCCCACGCCATTTGCAACCGCCAAAGGATGGACTTCGAATACTGACAGTCGATGGTGGTGAAGCAAAGAAGAAGGAAAAGAAAAAGAAGAATCGGCACAAGTTTGTCGTGGCTCCAGTGCACGATGCGGCCACCCGACTGGATCGTTTGAATACCCGGCGCTGGAAGAAACGAAAACTACCGTTGACTAAGAATAATAACAATAAGACGACCCGACAAGTGGCCTCTGGCGAATTCCAACATCCCACGGCCTTTCCTCCCCTTTTGCAATTTCACAGTCCTACTGTTAATAATGCCTTTCAGCCTGGAATTACACTCTTGGCATCCTATCCGCGGTCTGGAAATACACTCTTGAGAAGTTTACTAGAAGGAGTCACGGGTTTGGTCACCGCCTCGGATACTCGGGCCGATCGGACCTTGTCGAAAGCCTTGGCGGAACAACATGACCTAGTAGGAGAAGGATTGTGTTTGCCACCCGTTACCAAAACGCATTGGCCCGAACGAAAAGGCTGCTCCAAATTCCGAGCCCATCGCGCGATATTGGTGGTCCGCAATCCATTCGACGCCATTGTCAGCTATTGGAATTTAGCCGTTACCAATACCCATACGAAAAAGGTGACAGAAGAAGTCTATGAACGCTTTGCTACCTTTTTTCGAGATTTGGTCCGGAACGAAATGGTGGTATGGTTGCAATTCTTGGAGTTTTGGGTGACTCGCACGGAGATTCCAGTGCTCTTGGTGCGATACGAGGACTTGATTGGAAATCCAAGGCAGGAGCTGGAAAAAATTCTCAATTTCTATGCTCTAGGAAGCTCTACTGATGGAAGAAGAATATCAGCAGCACAAGTATGGAAGAATCGATTGGATATCGTCGTGGCAAATCAGGGTTCGCTTGGATACCAACGGAAAAGTAGTACATCACAAAAGTTGGAGCAATCAAATAAGGCATCACCATCCCCACTACCCAAGCCAAACGACTCGACTACTTCCAACTCGGCCAAACCACCAAAATCTTCCATTGGTAGATCTATTACCACCCGGTACTCTCCAGAACTTTTGCAAGAAATGCACAAATTGGACAGGGGGGGTTGGTTGAAACGATTTGGGTACCATGTCTTTGATCAAGACTTTCCAAACAATCTGCAAGATTTGCCACCTCTGAGCCAGAATTCTGCTGCTGCCATTCATCATGATAATACTAGCAATCAGCAGGGGAAAACAGCAGCAGCAGCAGTGGCAGCGGCTACAGTACTAGTCAACCATCCCGAAATGGAATTGCGAGCACCATCGTCACCCTATGGACGCAAAATGACGGATTGGAGAAAAAAGTACACCAAGAACGACACGGAACCCTTTCCTACAGTCGGTTCAAGATGATAGAACAATACAAAACTTGCTAATACATACCGAAATATATTAATAGTTCTAGTCCTAGTTGATAGAATACAAAACTTGTTTATACATCGACTTTAAAAAATGTGCAGAAGAAAAAAATGAATGAATCGAGGAGGGGGCAAGAAATGGAGCTATATCTCGCCATGGGCGCTCAGGCTCTCTTCCAAGAAGCCTCTTGCTCCATTTTGCATGGCATTGGAGATGAAGGCATAAATGCCGGCCCAAGACTCTTTTAGTTCTGGTGTCCAGGCGTCTCCCAAAGTTGTTTCCAACGTTTTGAGCAACGCTTCTCCAAGAATAGGATAATGTGCGTCCACCATGTCGTATTGACAGTGGCGTGCGCCCAGCTCTTCGAGTGCTTTTGAAACGGGCTCCATATCAGGACCCATCATGCCAACACAAGTGTCCAGCATGTCGATGACGCCCTTGGCGTGAATCAAAAAGCCGATATTCTTGGAAAGACCTTGATCGTTCGTCTGTGATTTGGCAAACGAGAAGAGTTGCTTGGTTTCCTCCGATGCTTCGAAGATGTTTTGGAATAGCAATGTGCCAGCAACTTCTGAATAATTTGGAACCTTCTTGATGGTATCCCATGATGTATAGACAGCTTCCACATACTTCATGTAGTTGACGTCACTTTCTTGCCAGTGATCTAACATGCTATCAGATCCAGAAGTTGACAAGGTAGCATCATCGCCATCTTTCACGAAACCTTTGCTCATATCAAATGAAACCCTCCTTCCACACACGTTGCTCTTGAATACTGGTGCTGCTTCCGGTGTTTCTATCGATTGCTGTGTGCTCCACGAAGAACATGAAGTCTTGCTGTGGTCACTTTTGGAGGAAAGCTCCTCTAGACTTGGACTTTGCTGTGCCTCCCTTCGCTTCTTCTTCAATTGCTTGTTGGCACCAGAAATCATGGTCTTTGAGATGAATCCAATAGCAGTTTTCCAGCCTTCCTCCACTTTTGGTGTCCATGCGGTATCACCCAAAATGGATTCTAGTGCCGAGAGCAATACCTCAGTAATAAGGTTGAGGTGAAAGGGACGAACTCCATACGAAATATGCCTTGCTCCCAGTGCTTTCAATGTCCTTTTCATAGGGACAAGGTCTGGCATAATCATTGAAAGGACATCCTCGAGCATCTTTACAACAGCTTTTGAATGAAGCTCGAACGTTCTGCTGTTGTAGAGTTCCTCCTTCTTGCAAGCAAATCTGGAACCGAAGCTGAAGATATTGAGAGTTGATGGTGCAGTTTCAAAGATTCTAGTGATGCAAAGTTTTAAGTTAGTACACTGAGTCAATAAATCAACTATTGCGTGGCGACTGATCAATTCTTTGGTCTTACTTTTGGAACATCATTCCTCCGATAACAACATCGTAGTCTGGGATTCTCTTCACGATATCCCAACTGTCAAAGATAACATCAGCGACTTGAAAGTTTAATTGATCAACCATACTGTTTTATTTCGCTTTCCGCAATGGATGAATTTATGGGCACTAGTCGTTTTCGAGAAGTTTGGGAGGGATGCAAAGTTTCTTTGAATTGACACTTTTGCATTCCACGAAAACGTGAAACAACCGGTACAAGGTACGAAAACTACCCTCCTATAAGAGGTTCCTAGTCCAAAACGTATTTCATACTTAAGCATATTTTTAAAACCTAAACGAATCTTGAAGTTGAACAATGAGAAATGAGAATTTGAGCACCTACTTAGAGAGATTAAAAAACAGGATTAGCCATTGTGCAAGGAATACTTCGATCAGCGAAAAGTTTCCCCGCAGAGGGAGCTGACTAGGGCTTTTTAACACGTGTTTTCAGAATGGTGCGAAGCCTTCGCGTCTTCGATATCTCCGACACAGTGTAGTGAACGGTCTAAACTAGAAGGCCATTCTCAAAACAAGGCCATACACAGTGTAACGAAGGGACATAAACCCGAATTGCTAAGGCATGTCGAATCCGATGTTCTGCGCTTGATAAAAAAGATATTCGACATCAGGTACGTACACGTGTACCTGGAACCCAGACGGAATAGTGCAGTACAGTAGGTAGGTAGATAATGCTCATATTTTTTAAACGAAGCGGACATGCGAGTGACTAGTCTACCTAACACAGCAATGATGCGTGTGGATTCGATGTGATAAAAAAGATATTCGACAACCAGGTACGAACTAGGTTCGTAGTAAAAGACGGAATAGAAGGTAGAGAATGCTTATCGAAAAGGACTTGTCCCTACTTACTCCAATTAACGACACTGTTTACGGAACGCTGATATTGGAAGTCCATTCCCAAACGAAGGCACTCCTCCAGTGATGGTGGATTCACAAAGGAACAAAGTGTTTCCATTTTCGGATATCCGTGGAGAAAGTACAGTACCTTCCCGCCTTTTAACCACAGTGCCTTCGACACCGCCTCTAGGAAATGCTGACACCACAAAAGAAGTCCATTCCCAAGGCACACGTAGTGTAATGAAGGTCCACAAACCCGAACTGATATAATATCAGTGATCCAGAAGTATCCTGTGCTACAACGGTGCCGACACCTACAGTATAGATCAAATAGAGGTTGTCTTGTTTTTATCATGATATCATCTTAGCTCCTGGGGAAAGAGCTTCCTTCGACTCACCCTTTGCAACAAGTACTTGTGACTCCGAGAAAAAGTGTTTTCTCCACGTGGGTGTAGGGCTAGTCATTTTCCTGCGTATGTGATCGCGTCATGAAACTCGATTGGAAGTCTCATCTTTATTATGAGGCATAGTCGTACTTTGTGGTGAAGTAACCATATATGCGTTGGAGCACCGTGGCAATCCAGCATTCGTCTCTTTGCTGAAAGAACCGACTGTAAATTCTACAGTTCCAGCTGATCCTCTAGGCTCTCTGATATCGACTGTTCCGCTCCATTCAGCATAGTCGTTGATATAAAGGTGAAGATTGAAACCCAGCCTTGCTTTACGGTTGCTGTCCATTGGTCCCCCAATGCAGTCTCCAATGTCTTCAGCAAGGCTTCCCCAACAATCGGATAATGCGCTTCGACGACGCCATATTGAGTATGCCGCGCTCCCAAATGCTTCAAGGTTCTTGTCACTGGTTCGAGATCTGGGCCGAGCAGGTTGACGGCGGCGTCAAGCATCGCGACTACTCCCCGTGCATGCCTAAGGAAGGCCGGATCCTTGAAAATTTCCTCATCATTGTTTTTGTACAATGCAGAGAATGCAAAGAGATCTTTTGCTTGTGGGGCGATGTCGAAAATGCTGGTGTAGCAGAGCAGGAATAGAATGAATCAATGAATGAATCGTTGAGATGAATGAACCGTGAATTCAACTATTTGACATCACACGAGATGAATAAATACTTACTTTCTGAAAAGCAACACCCCTGCAACTTCTTCACAGTTTGGCATCTTTTTCACGGTCTCCCAGGATGTAGAAACAATTTCCACCATCTTGGAGTAATCGACATCAACAGCATCATCTTCTTCGTCTGAACTACAAGAAGTTGTAGTTTCCGTTTGGTCATCCGCCGCTGGCCCTCTAGTAGATGGCGACTCGGACCCATCCTCGCCGGTCCGAAGGCATTCTGCAAGGTCTTCTAGTCTTCGACGCGCTGCTGGTGTTAGAGCTGAAGATTCTTCCAGCTCTGTCAATACTTCACCAGGTATGGATACTCCTCTCGCTGTGGTGTCTTTCAATGTTGGCACCGGTTCTCCATTCACCTTTGCTAGCCGAGCCTTGCGCCGATGCACCTTATCCATCCGGCGGTTAGATCCCGCCAGCATTGCAGTTGATAGGAATGCATAGATCACAGTCCAACCTTTCTTGACATTTGGCGTCCACGAATCGCCCAGTGCAGTTTCCAATGTGTGCAACAAAGCTTCTCCAACGATGCCATAATGAGCTGGCAAAACGCCATATGCAACGTGCTTGGCGCCCAAATCAGCCAAAACCTTGGCCGCGATTTCGAGGTCAGGACCAAGCATGCCGACAGCAGCGTCGAGTGTCTTGACGACTCCCGAGCTGTGTGCCTTAAAGGCCGGGCTTTTGTATAGCTCGCCTTCTCTTCCAACAAACTCTGAGCCGAAGCTGTACATGTTCAGAGCTGGTGGAGCAATCTCAAAGATTCTTTTTAGGAGCGTAAAGAAGAGAAAGATGAGTGAGCTCAAGCACTCTTTTGTTTCATGACGAGGCAAAGCTGCGGTGCGCCTGATGAGCCTGCGGATACAATGCACACTCACTTTCGGAACAGTATCTCTCCTGCAACAGCATCGTAGTTTGGTATCCTTTTGATTTGATCCCAGCTATCGTTCACTGCATTCACAACTCGAAAATCGATATCCTCCATCTTGTATGTTGAACTATAATCTTTTGTGTGTGGTGTGGCGTGGTCGTGCGCTTGCTTTATTGTTTGTGAGCTGTTTTGGAAAGATTTGTTCCGGAAGAGGGTGGAAGAAGTTGATTGCAGTTAGAAGTTTGTGTCGTACCGGTACGTCTTCTTATGCAGCTATCTGGTAGTACTTATGTGGGTTGTGTAACTATTATATCAGCGGGACCTGCAATCCTGATAGCGATGCATTTTAGTAGAATAAGCGCAATATGTAATGTCGGACATAACTTTCGCTTGGTTCTGAAATCACGAGTAAAAGTGGGAAAGAAACTATTCCGATTTAAGAGAAGCACATAATCGCTCGCGACCAGGGTTCTTCGTGAATTCTGCGGGAAGTTTGCCGTCTCTACCACCGGCAGTCCTGATGTCTACAGTAGTGATTGGAATTCTTTCCCTTTGACCACGTGAACGTGAACGTCAGATCAATCAATCACGACGTGATCATTCCCGATTAGAAAGATCTGGTGATGGAGAAGTGGAGAAGCAATCTCACCAAGAAAACGTAGAAAGGAGAAATCATCTGCCGAAACGGCCCACTATGCGTTGACTCACTCATCAAAACAAAACGACGAAAGGACAAACAAATAATGTCAGTGCCAAAAGATAGACTCCCTCTTCGAATGATCAGTACTGTAGTTCGTGGTTTCCAACGTGGAAGCACGGACCTTGGCATTCCAACTGCCAATTTAGATCGAGAGTCTGGCAAGTTTGGAGGTGGCAGTTTTGACGATTTGCCAACGGGCATCTATTGGGGATTCTGTAGAATTGGAGAGGGCGAAGAGTCGTTTGTCTACAAGACAGCCTGCTCCATAGGCTACAATCCCACTTACAATAATACATTGAAAACAGTCGGTAAGTCATGACAATAATTGATAGGAATGACAGGCGGACTGACTCAGACTGATGCCAGATTTGCGATTGTGTATTGCACGACAATTTTTACCTGAAGCTGTTTCACATTCAAGTTATCCTGACAACAAGCAATCAACTCATTCATTTTGTTCCCCTTCAACTCCTTTTCTTTTCCCTCCCATTCCCATTCCAAAACACAATTATTTTTAAAAATCTTCAGAACCACATCTGATAGCTCCGGAAACTGACCAACGTCGCCATGCATCCACTTGTGGAGAAACTGTCTTGGGTGAATTCTATGGACAAACGATCCGATTGTCACTGGTAGGGTATCTGCGACCAGAGCTACCATTTGAAGGGCTTGAAAAGCTGGTTGCTGCCATTAAGAAGGACATTTCCGATTCAGTAGCCTTAGGGGATGGCGCGGATGAATTGACCCTAAAGGAAAAGTCTTGGGTAGCTTCCAAGGAGGATATATAGTACGGTAGACTAATACTAGTATATAGAAACGATGGCTACTGGTTCATTGCTCTGTATCAAACCTTCCCAAGAAATGTCAGAACATTCACAATGACAATGTCTGCACCACAATTGAGCCGACAGAGTTCGCGAAGGCTAAGTATTTCCCCAGAAGGATCTGACCTCGTACGATCAGACGCAGTGTTGACGTAGTCTTCTTCTTCGTCGTCGTCTTGCAATAAAACATCAGTCTCGCGGCATTTCTGTTTCCAGAGTGCTTGTTCCACAATACAGACCGCTTCTCCCCGTTCGAACTGTGCCAGCTTTTGAAGGAGTCCAATAATTTGGCGACGTCGTTGGACGGGTCGTTCCGGGTCTAGTCTATGGAGGAGACTAGACAAAACTTCTCGCTGCATCTCGGGTACCAAAAAGTCCACCCGACGACCAATGGCCAGTCTCAGCACGCCCAAGGTGAATTCAAACAATTCATTTGGGAATTTGACACAATCCAAAGGAGTCATGCCCCAAATATCCTTTTGATCGATCAATATGCTAGCGCTTTGTGGCACCAAATTCACAATCGTCTGCAATAGCTCAATTCTCGGGGCCGAGGACATGACTAAAATATGTATTGGTGTCATTCCGAGTGAGTCCCGACGCAAAAGATAGCTCATCATTTCCGTATTGCTGGCGGTATGATACCGATCTCGATAATGATTCCCAGCACAACGTTGTCGGGCCGCGTGCACCATTTCCTCGATCCACTGGATCGATTCCGTTGTGGAATAGTGTGATTGATAATAGCAGAACCGGTGCAATTTGTAGTTGTCATATTTCCCGTCTTGCGGTTCTTTTCCAAACCGCAGTTCCAGCATACCATCCACTCTCCTCGCGTCGTCAAGCGATCTGAAGGATGTCAGTGCTTTGTCTAACAAATAACAATCCTTGAAGCGAGTTGTGGAAGCGAGCTTTTGAGTTGTTGTGATCCATTCCGATTCGTCCCCCTCGGTATCAAAATAAGCGACCTTTTGTTTCGAATGTCGTGCCACGTCCAGCGATGGCGGAAGGAAAATGTTTCTCAAGTCGGTGCAACCGGCAAAAGTTTTTCTCATCGACAAACACAAGCCGGTATTAATATTATGATAGTTGCTTTTCGGTGGCATGTCCACTGTCTTGAGACTCCTACATTGGGAAAAGGCCGAATCTCCAATCCGTTTGGTGGACATGGGAATCTTGATCCGTGATATGGATTTGCAGAGTTCAAAGGCCGACTCCCCAATTTCCTCCACCGTGTTGGGAAGTTTCAATTCCTCCAAAAGGATACATCCATGAAAGGCATAGTTTCGAATCACTTTGAGGCCAGTGGGCAAGTTCAGATACAGCAGTCGAATGCAGGATTGAAACGAAAAACTGGAAATGTCCGTCATCAAGGGTGGTATGATGACCTCCACGAGGGACTCGCATCGTCGAAAGGCTCGTTTTCCAATCCACTTTAAGCCTTTGGGCAAATCACATATCTGCAACATTTTGCATTCTTCAAAGGCCCGGTCTCCAATTTCTTGGGTCGAGGATGGCAGGTACATGTCCTCCAGTTGGAGGCACTGATGAAAGGCCCGTCGACCAATGACTTTGCAGACTTGGAGTGCAGCATCATTATTCAAGACTTCAACCTCGATCAATCGTTGACAAAACGCAAAGGCGCCGTCTGGAATCTGATGGACCGTGGTTGGATCAATTCGAACATGGGAAACGTGTTGCGGAACTTTGGTGATTCCAGAAGTGTAAACAAACCAGACTCTATCATCAACAGACGAGTGATCGCTCATTGTTCTTGTAAGTTCTTACACCAGCAGCAAAGAAGGCCAGAGCATTGAATTTCCATGCAGCTGATGAATGAGTTACAATAGATGAGGTATATAGACGAACAATGACTTTTTCTTTCAATCAATTTTTTGAGTGATCATGTCAATTTTTCTGATTCATTCGATTCGGAGTAGTCGACCCACTGACATCACCGAAAAATAAAAAATAAAACCCATGCGATGACCTGCTCATATCGCGTAATTCAAGTTGGTGTTCACATCGATTGTGCAGACTATAAAAACTCAAAGTACAACTATGCATCACCTCAGCTTCTTCAATCTGTTCCAGCTATCGACCCTTCTATTCAGCTTGGCTTTGCTGGCTCAACTCCAACCTGGTGATTCACTTTCATCACCCAAAATAAGTGTCAACCGACGAGATCTCCTTCAGACGATTGGATCTGTCACAGCGGGAGGACTCCTTTTGGGTGACACGACGACGAACCCGCAAGCGTCAATAGCAGCAGCAGCAGAAGAAAACCTACAAGGTCCCATTGCCGTCCTCGGTGCCAGTGGCCGCACCGGTGCACTCTGTGTGGTAGCGTGTTTAGAGCGTGGAATTCCCGTCAAGGCCTTGACCAGAACGGGATCTTGGGATTTGCCGACCTTTGCCAGTGAATTAAAAACGGATGGCTTGTTGTCCGTTTCGTCCTGTGACGTCAAGGACTCCTCAGCACTCCAAACGAGCCTTCAAGGTTGTCGTGCGGTCATTTATGCGGCATCCGCCAGCAAAAACGGTGGCAATCCCAAGGCAATCGACAATGATGGTGTGGTAGCTGCTGGCAAAGCTTGTTTGGAGGCCAGTGTGCCACGATATGTTGTCTTGTCTTCGACGGCAACCACCCGTCCCAAGAGTTTGGGGTACAAGTTCACCAACCTACTGGGAGGTATCATGGACGAGAAGAGAAAGGGAGAAGAGGAAGTCATCAGTCTGTTTGGCAAATCCTCTTCCTCATCGTCATCGTATACGATTGTCCGACCCGGCGGTCTGGAAGAACCAAAAGAAAACAAGGTTCTAGGAGCTTCCACGCTGGAAGTATCCCAAGGCGATGTCTTGGCTGGAATCATTAGTCGTGCCGATTTGGCAGAAGCAACAGTCGAGTTGGCCTTGTCCAAGGCAACAAACGTCAAGAACACGGCACTCGAAGTGTATTACACGGAATCGGCTCAGCCCTGCGAAGGTCGTTTCAAGTCACAAATGAAAGATGGGGTGCGTTTGCATGGGGATACCTACGAAGAACTATTTCGAGGAATTCAGCCAAATGTGGATTACTTCACTATCCTACCGAGTAGACAAATTGCAAGAGAATCATCATCGCCGGCACACCTTACGCCAGCATGGATAGCACAGCTCGGTCGTCCGTACCAATATAGTTGAAAAGTATTGTGATATAACGTGACGATCTGATAGGAATCCAAATTTTAGATTGTATTATATTAGCTTCTATTTCATTAGCGGTGACAGCCCGTGTCATGAAACGGGTGTCTCTACTTGCTGTTTCAGAGATTTCAATACCTTCCGTGCAGCAGTTCGACCAGTCATGAATGCCCCCGCGGTCGTCGCAAAGTATCGTTCATGCGTGGCTTCACCAGCAAAGAATACTTGGTCCTTTCCAATCGGTTGCGACAAGAAGTACCGATCGAGTTTGCCCATCTTCACCTTGTTGAACGAATAGGCTCCCATTGTGTACTCGTCAACGTTCCACTTGGTCACAACCACCTTCTTTGGCATGGGGATCTCATCACCAAACATGGATCGCAATGATTCCATGGCAAAGTCACGTATTCTAGTTTCATATTCCTCGGGGTCGATATCCGCAAAAGCTTCTTCGGCGGCATCGGCTAAGGAACCTTGGAAAAAGGCAAAGAGCAACGGAAGGTCGCCATTGTGTTGCCTTGGATTCATAAAGACAAAATTGGAGTCCCTTTCTTCAATGTCACCCAATACTTCAGTGTCGTGAGGCCAAAACACATCTTCCTTGGACCAGAACATGAAAACCTTGTTCATCTTGCCCATCCCAAGTCGACGAATGCTCTTTTGAGTCCGTCTTGGTAATTTTGGGAGGAAGGAGATTCGTTCCGCCTTGAGAACGCCAAGAGGAACAGTCACAATCACCTTTTTCGCTCTACAAATGACAGGGCTTTCATTTTTACCAGCAGAATAGTGCACATGGATGTCATTTTTGTCTCGGTAATCGATGCAAGTCACTGGTGCATTCAATTGAATTTTATGATTTTCTTGCAGCCATGAGGCAAATGGCAGAGACAACGAACTGTGACCTTGTGGGACGAAGTAATCATCCGTATCAATGCTTCCTCCCAAATCGTAATCATCATTCCACCACCATAGCGAGTGATCCTTCAGTAGGCCCGAGTATTCCATTTCGATTCCACTTCGAAGGAAAAATTTGGTCAGTTTCTTCTCTTCTTCTTGAGTGCCAAGTTGGTCTAGGAACATGTCGGCGCTTTTCTGCAATGGTTCATCATAGTCTGTGGTCTCTTGTCGATGAGCTTGGACCGAGAAGAAGCCTTCCTCGAATAACTGTTCCCGATACTCTTCGACCTCGTCATGGTCGTAACTCGTACCGTTGTGGTTGTAAATGATAGTGTCGTAGGTGGAGAGGGGAGTCTTGACATTGTATTTCAGCGCCAACTTGTTGAGAATATTCTTGGAAGCCCCATGGAGCCACATGGCTCCCATGTCAATTTGCACTTCTTCACCATCCCACGGATGGGTCTCCGTGTAGGCCCTTCCTCCGATATGTCCTTTGGCTTCCAGTATTCGAATGTTTTCCACGCCACGCTTGGCCAATAGATTTGCTAAGAAGATAGCCGTAGGAAGCAAAAGAATGCAGGATTTTAAAAGCGGCAGTGGTAAGTCACTGCATCGTTCAAAATGTGTAATATCAAAGTGCATCTCTGGATGATGACGACCTACCTGCTGCAAGTCCAGCCCACCCAGCACCAATGATAACAGCATCGAAAAGAGTCTCGCTTTCTTCTAGACCATTATTTGCCACATTACTATCATTTTCCTGGTTCGATTGCTTGGAGGCTCGCATGACACTAATGGCTGCATGCTGAAAAGTCACATATCCTTTATGCTGATGATGACGATGATTCGTTTGCGTTTCATCAAGTGGGGACGTCACGACCCCACCACTAAGGCCGCTTCTATGATGGTTCCGGTTTAATAAAGTAAATAGCCATGACGTTTGTGTAAAGACAAACTTCATTGGTTACTCGTGTGTGTGGCGTTGAAGAGAAGGTTTGCGACAACAAAACAACATGATGATGGATGCATTGTATGATGTGGTATGCTTAGTCGATGTAGTCAAATGAGCAGTAATTATTTTACCATCGCACCTCGACCTTATTGACACCATGGATATAACCATGGAACGCCTTTCGTAGCATTTTCTGTTCTATATTTTATATATCTATTTTATACATGAGGAAAAAAATTTGGTTCACCAATTTGATGCCTCTCTTAACGATTTCAGCACCTTTCTCGCCGCAGAACGACCTGCCATGAATGCTCCAGCAGTAGTGGCAAAATACCGACGATGCGTGGCTTCACCAGCAAAGAACACTTGATTCTTCCCAACTGGTTTGGCCAAGTTGGTCCTGTCGTGCTTGCCCATGCCTACCTTGTTGAACGAGTAGGCGCCCAAAGAACAGTGGTCCACATTCCATTTCGTCACAATGACCTTTTTTGGCATTGGAATGTCGTTGCCAAACATGGTCCGCAGTGACTCCATAGCCAAGTCTCGTATTCTAGTTTCATATTGCTGGGGGTCCGAGTGGGCAAACGCCTCCTCGACTTCGTCGCAGCCTTGAAAAAAGCCAAACAGCATGGGCAGGTTGCCATTGTGCTTTTGTGGATTCCGAAACATAATGCTAATGTTCCTCCGTTCCTCAATATCGCCCAGAATTTCTGCATCAGGTGGCCAAAAGACATCTTCTTTGGACCAAAACATGAAAATCTTGTTCATCTTGCCCATTCCAATCCGACGAATGGCTTTGTGGGTCCGTTTGGGCAACTTGGGTCGAAAGGCAATTCGATTGGCCTTGAGCACGCCCAGTGGGACCGTCACAATCACCTTTCTCGCTCTACAGGTGATATCTCTACCACCCTCACGGCAGCAGTACACTTGGATAACCTCCTTGTCTTGATAGTCGATGCAAGTCACTGTAGTATTCAATTGAATCTTGTTGGTTTCCGTCAAATAGGACGCAAATGGCTCAATCAATGAACTGTGTCCTTCTGGAACAAAGTACCCCTCCGTACCAATGCTTCCTCCTAGGTCATAGTCGTCATTCCACCACCATAACGAATGATCCTTTAACAAGCCCGAGTATTCCAGCTCGATGGATGTTCGGAGAAAATATTTGGTCAACTGTTTTTCTTCTCTTGTCGAAAGTTGATCTAAAAAGAGGTCGCATGCTTTCTGCAATGGTTCGTCGTAGTCGGTAGCTTCTTGTCGTTGACTCTGAAACGAAAAGAATCCTTCTTCGAATAACCGTTCCCGAAGCTCTTCGACTTGATCTTTGTCGTACCTAGTGCCCTCCGCCTTATTGTAAATGGCCGTGTCGTAACCGGAAGGATCCGTTCGTATCTTGTATTGGAGGGCCAAGTGGTTGATGATATTTTCCGAGCCACCGTGAATCCACATGGCTCCCATGTCAATCGGTACTTTTTTGTCATCAGCCCACTGGTGCATCTCCGTGTAGGCTCGTCCTCCGAGGTGTCCCTTGGCTTCGAGGATTCGAATATTTTCCACCCCACGCTTGACCAAAAGATTTGCTATATAGGAGGCAGAGGCAAACATCATTAGAACAAATGCAGCGATCGGTAACAAAAAAAACCCATAGAATAGATGACAACCAAAACAACAAACCCATACCTGCTCCGATTCCAGCCCATCCGGCCCCAATGATGAGGACATCCAAGATTTCTTCAGATGATATATCATCATCATCATCATCATCATCATCATCATCATCATCATTGTCTATAAGATCTTCTTGTCCTTCCTGACTGGATTGCAAGGACGCTTCCATTGCTCCTGTCGTCTTGGCACGATGAGTGTTGGGCGATGTGGTGATTGGTGGCAATGCTGCCACTATTACGGCCATTCCATTGCCATTCTTATCATTGATATAGTTACAATTCCCCGCCCATAGAAGAACTATCCATGCCATATGGGTGACAAATCGGTGATAACGATGATGACGATGATGATGGTGATGGTGATACATGATGCAGAGTTGTTGTTATTGTTGTTGCGGAGACGAGAGAACTCATCGGAAGACTCAATATAATGCGGTTGTTGGATTTGTTGAATGAAAATGATGGGCTATGTTGAATGTGCCGAATCGAATGGATCAACTCGGCAAGTTGATCCTCGGCATACTGTACCCGGTACAGTACCATATATTGAATGTGTAGCATACAGCTGCAAACTGACTGTAGAACTGTGGTATGAAGCGACACCCGTATGATACATTTTACAGTACTAGCGATAGCAAAACGACATAAAGTAAGGATAGCAACTAAAAACTAATTAGAAAGAACACTAGTTTTGCTCGCCCTCACTATCATCATCACTATCATCTGCTGCTTCCATGGCATCTCGAGGAGCCTGCACTTGAGGAATCATTCTTGGATCGTCGTCATTGTTGCCGTTGTTGGCATTATGGTTGTTGTCACCACCACCACCACCACCGACATCAGCAGCAGCATCAGCATCCAATCGTTCTTCTCGTAGTGGTCGTCGTTGACGATGTCCTTGTGGATTCCACATGGGAAAAATGGAAAAGACAAAGCTTCCTACAAGATAGTACATTCCTTGAACCATTGCCACGGCAGGATTGACAGCGGCAGGAGCATCCCCATGTTCATTCTCAATGGGCGCCACTCCACCCACCAGCAAATCATTTTGTTGCCACCAACGACGAGCCGCCGCTGGTTGTGCTTCCCCTTGTGCTCGTTGGTTGGGTCGTCTGAATCGTGGAGGAACGGGATTGGGTCCCCGAGGTTGGTTGTTCTCCCTTTCGTTGTTATTGTTATTGTTGTTGTTGTTGTTGTTCCAATTATCCTGATGATCATCCTGATCGGGTGGTGGAATGGTAATGTTTACTTCTCCCTTCCAGACACGGCCCGGTACATTTTGTTTCCAAAGAAATTGATAGACGTATTGTATGTAGCGAGTGTGAAACAAAAAGCCCAGCATTAACAGGGCGGACACCAATAGGATTTTGGGATCCTTATTATTCTTGCTGCTGTTTTTGTTCGAATTCTTGGAAACCCGTGCCATTACTACCGTGGTCATGAACACTAGCTTGAAAAGCAAAGCGCCATCAATTGGTCGGACATAGTCTCGACTCAATACCCAAAAGAGACGAGTCGTTTCGAAGAACCAGGCAAACACATTGGGTTGGAGTTCTTGAGGACCAGCCGCAGCGGGAACAGCCGCAGCAGCCGCCACTGGTCGATTGCCAAAGATTCCATTTGCACGTCGTGGTGCCTCTGCATCCCGAGGCGGTGGAATGGGATGTGCGTCTCGCCGAATGATTCGCACGCGACCGGACGCGTCCTGTTGTTCCCTTGTCCTAGTAGCAGTAGTAGTAGAAGTAGTAGTATCCTCACTTGCTCTCAATTCCATGTCATCCACCTTTGCCGTCAAGACTTGAATCTTGTCTTGCAAGGATAATATAAGATTGGTTTGCATTTTGAGTTGTTCCACTATCATGGTGGCATCCGAATTGGACAAAGCGCCACTGGACGTAGTGTTGTTGTTGTTGTTGCTGTTGCTGTCGCTGTTGTTATGACTAGCATTGTCTGCTGCCGTGTTGGATGCATAAGCTGCTGCTGGCTTGCCATTACGCTCTTCACCTTCTTGTTGCCCTGCAGGTGATTCTTTCAATTGGGTTCTACGTTCCGTGGTTGGAATCTTCTTCTTCTTCTTCTTCTTCTTTTGGACGACTAATTGCCGTAAGAATTCCATAGAAGATGGGTCCACTGGACTAGATTCAATTCCAGAGGCTCTGAGGATGCGTTCCAGTTCATCCTCCACTGCTGATTGGGAGCCCATTTCAGTCATTATCTGTTTGTGAACTTGTCTTGTGTGCAATGGAAAATGGAAGACAGGTTCGGTTTGGTTCCGCTGTTACTGTAGCGTGTTACTGTATGTTGCGGTCTTCAGTCGTCACAAGCGTTGCTCCGGGTTTCGATTCATTACATTCGAACTAGTCGAATCCTATTGGTCAAAGAACAGCCCAGATTGACAGGCAGGCAGGCAGAGCAGAAATAGTCCAAAACTAAAGTTCATACGCACGCAGACGTCACTTCCAGAAGTAGAAGCTCCTGGTAGAAGAATATCTTTTTCCCTTCCACCTCCGATGACACATTTTTTTGCTGCAGATCAAAGATGAAGTTCGTTTCGCTCCTTACCCTTTGCTACTCCCTCGTTGTGGTCAGCGGCTTCCAGCCCAACCCAGCCAAGACTTCGGCTGCCCCTGCCGCCTTCCGCTCCAAGGCCGTTCAGAGTCCACTCTTCCGCGATCCATTGCAAGTTCGTGGTGGAGCGGTCCCAGGTTGGGCTGCCTACAATGATGCTCTTGACAAGACCCCCTTGACTGCAAAGGCTTTGACTTCTCTCGTCGGATGGGCTCTTGGTGATTTCTTGGCACAGGTACGAATCACAGAATGATTGACTCTTGTGTGTGCGCGCACCCTTGTTTCATTCAATTAGATGTTGGTTGTCTCACTCACCATACCTTTATTCATGTTGTTTCGACAAATTACAGATCTTCATCTCCGGAGGACCATTTGACATGAAGCGCTTCATCACTCTTTCTGCATTTGGTTTCCTTTATCATGGACCATCCGGCCACTACTTCTACAACTGGTTGGATAATCTTGTCAAGGGCAAAGATTCGCTGTCGGTTGCAAAGAAGGTTGCTTTTGACCAAATCGTCTGGTGTCCCATTTTCATGTCTGTTTTCTTCACCTACCTTGGATTGGTCAATGGAGACTCTTTCTCTACCATTGGAAACAAGATCAAGAACGACTTGTTCACGGCATGCCAAGGGTCGTGGAAGGTTTGGCCCATTGTTCACGCCGTCAACTTCAAGTTTATTTCCACCAAGCACAGACTTGTTTTCCTTAACGCTGTGCAAATCGCATTCAACATGTTCCTTTCCATCATCGGAAAGTCTTAAAAAAGGACTAAGCAATCATGTTGAGTGTGTGAACCCACTCACAAACAAGAATACTTGGAATGATGAATTCAAATGGTAAATCGAATTTAGCTAGATTCATTCTACCTATGATACTTGAAATATAAATAATAGTACGGGGCTGCTAAATTGAAAATCCTACAGGAGTAAAATAAAGTGCTATGGAGGAGAGTCTGTAGTTCAGGCTTTGTCCATCACTTTGCAGACCCAGTATCAGTATCTTACAATTCACGGCATGTATCCATCTAGTAGATTCATTGGAATGTCTGAAGGTTTTGAAGATTTTTTGGTTGCAAACTTCAATCAGAAACCCGTCTGTCCGTTGAAGATAAGAGCCCCATTCTATGGGCCTTTTCAAGCATGTGAAATCAATTTCATTTAAGTCCCTTTTTTACGTTCGCTATTAATTAGCATTAGAAATATGACACGTTGCTATTTATTTAGTAGTAGCGACTTTACTTACTGGGAGTTGGTTCACTCGGTTTGCCGTTGAGACTTTTTTGGATTGAAATGAAAATAAAGTGTGGGACTCTAATAATCGACACATCTGACTGAACCTGTCACGCGGGAATGAATCGATTTCTGACACCTTCGATCAATGATCAGAATTTACGCATCAAAAGCCGGCGGGTTGTTCTTTCAAGATGGCAAGTGTCAATCCTCGTAAGCACTGTGCCGGAGTCTACGCGCAAACCTCGCGAAGATACTCCATCAATCGTCCTCGTAGCATTTCAGCGTAGGTACCGGTAGAACTGTTCATGTGCCGGATTCGATGTCAAACCTCAGGAAGATACGATACCCATCACAGAAAATCATACACCGTTCCCATAATTTGGATCTTTTGACTTGCAGCAAACTTCCTTCTTCCCTTGTGTGACTTACTTTCTACACAACTTGATTTGATCCATCATCAACCATCATCAATCCTATTCTATCCCACATTACGCCAGAAACAACAACAACAACAACCGATACCATGATCATGAACAACTCCAACAACGTTTCTCGTCGCGACAGTGACCGTTCTGAATCCTCTGAAGTTCATTGTAAGTGTGCGACTATTGGACAAACTGCCATTCATTCGTGAATTCACACATTGACATGTTGATTCTCACCGTCTTTGTCATCATTCTTAGATGATTACTCCCCGAAGGACGACTCCAAGAATGTCACCGAAGCCTACTGTTCTTCTCTCTTGAAAGATCTCAAGCTAGATTCCGTTCCTCAAGAGTGCCACACCTTTGCCTCCTTTCGCACTGCTTCTGCCTCGCAAAAGAAGGAAGAGGCCAATCCCTTTGCGGGCATGCCAGCCAACCAAGCCTTGAACGCCAAATCGGCTCGGGCGAATGGACGCTTGAATCAGGCTCAAATCATGCGTCGCATGTCGTCGCGTGCCCGACCTAAGGATCGCTCTTGGTTCTAGATTCAATTCATTGCATTGCATTGCATTGCATTGAATTCATTCACACTTCAATTGCCAACGACAGCAAGCAACATATGGTGGTATTGGAAGAACAAAAAGCTGTATTACACTCTACCTATGCTTGCTTGCTTGCTCGCATTCATTCATTCATGCTTCACAATCAATCCCATTCTTCTTGGAAAGTCTGGAAATGTATACGTGATTCAAGCATACATTCCACAACAATCGTTCTTCTACTAGAAAATATAATGCATATTACTATTATAAGATGATGCGCTTCTATTACTTGTTGTTGCTCTTCTTCTTGTTCATGGAAATTAATAATGCGTTACTCCAAGAAGAAGCCAACAGGGAGTCCTATGGTGATTACTACTACTGATGGTGGTAGCTATGGCTGGTACAGTACTGTACTGTACTGTACTGTACTGTACTGTACTGTACTGTACTGTACTGTACTGTGCTGTGCTGTGCTGTGCTGTGCTGTGCTGTGCTGTGCTGTGCTGTACTGTACTGTACTGTACGTATTACTATAACACCAGACCAGTTTCTCGCAATGTTCGTTCACTTATTTCTTTTATTAATAAATACTATGTTGCAATAAATCATCTCGAACTTCATGGCACATTCTCTTTCTGCTGATTCATATAGGATACAACAGCTACGACTGCTAGTACCAGACCAGTCATACCAATGCAAACCATCCCATAGAAGAGGTAACTGTACGGTTTGCGAACAGTTCTATCAGCAGCTATCAATGGATCCCCCCACTCGGCTTCTAGCCCAGCAAGATCCACATCCTCGCCCTCAAGATCTCCACTCCGTTCAGATTTTTACGAAGGCGACGATTGAACATAGGCGTGACGAGCGAGCGCGAAGGCATGATAGATGTTTCAAAAAATACAATGTCACTAGAAGTATAATATAATATATTATTGAAATAACGTGATTTCTTTAGACTTGAGAAGACCAACTGTACTTATCTACCGATATCATTCATTCACAGCAACACTTCGGCACCTCTAAAGCAGCACACGATTGTTCCCTAGTCTATATTTCACCAATCCCTCCTCCTAGTTTGTTTACATTTACATTTACATTTACATTTACATTTACATTTGCATTTACATTCACTGACCAAGTAAGGTTTCCCAGAAGACCCACCACACGTATGATTGGGTGAGGCGCGCAACCAGCGTCCACGTATACTGTAGTTTTTTCCTTCTTCGGAAGTTCATTCTGCAGCTGTTGCGACCTTCACGATATTTTGTATCAGAGTTGATGGAAGTGGAAGTGGAAGAGGACTCCGACATCAATGGTGCCAACCCTATTGTAAGTAGCTAGCACAGTTTGTTGAGGTTCTAGACCGCCAGTCAAAATGAAAAAACCATTGAAAAATCAAACAATACGAGGATGAAGGAATACCTTCATGTGTAGCCCAACGCATTTTCGAATAGCACTAATAATCAATAGCAAGTTTTCACTCGGACAGATTAAAAATTATCTCATTATATGTCCTATATTATAATAATATTATTATTAATATCATCTCTGTTCCTAGGCCAGCTTCTTATCATCCAAAGATAATGATTCTTGAAAAGAGCTAAAACAGGCCTGATTGGGGTTGGATCGATTTTGAATTTGAATCCAAAACACATACAACAATGGGCTGGTACGAAAGCTACGCGGAACTACGTGGAATTTGAAAAAACACGGAGGCACGGAGTAAACTTGGAGGCAAATTTGAGATTTTGGCGATCCGTGTGAAAGTTGTATCTCCAACCGCATCATCTCATGATTTCAGAATGGACTCCTTTACTACACCAACTACACCAACTACACCAACTATCAGCATGACCAGCACTATTATCAACACTATAATATCAACAAGTAACAACAACAGCAACAAGGCAAGATCTGCAGCCCTTGCGCCCGTTCTTCGTTCTCCGAAAGTTTGGTCTTCAGTCAATCCGCGACGATCCATCAACAATGTCCGGTTTGACTTCAATCGAAACGAGACTCGGTTGTATCTTCCAGATGGGACAAGTAACAAGTCCAGCAAGAACAAGGCCAAGCGAGCTGCTACTTCCGCCCCACCACAGTCGTTTTCAGCAGGAGATTCAGGAGAAGAGGCAACTCCCGAATTGTCAACAGGTTATTCTTTGAAGCATCCCGACAACGTTGAAGATGACGATCCAATGGATGTCGATGAGCCATTGTCTCCAGAGGCCAAGGCTCCTCTCAAGAGAATCGCTTCCACCGCTCCCTCTTTTGCAAGATCGTCCAAGCGCCGCAAATTGGATTACTTGTCCATCGTTCCCTCTGCCCCAAGCATCATTCCATGTTCGGTTCGAGAATGGTCTCAACGGGTAAACGACCGATGGACACCTCCCGGGCCTCACAAAAGAAGCCCGCCCTCTGCTTTCCTTCCTTCTTCTAGACCTACCAAGCGATCAAAGATGGATTCGGCTATTCCAAATCCTTCCACGGAATGGACTTCAGTCAATCCACGACGATCCGCTGCACTAGATGAACTGGACGATCCAATTGGCTACCTTGTCTCGGTCAGGTTCTCCAAGCGTCGCAAGCTGAAGCAATCTACGCTTCCAACTTCAATTTCAGAATGGGCCAAACGAACGAATCAACTGTTCTCTCCTTTGCTCGCTGTCATTATTGAAGACCCAGAAGAAGAAGAAGAAGACGACGAGAGCCACATTGACTCGTCTTCTTTGGATGGATTCAACAATGATGACGCCATTGCCTCTGAAGGTGGTCCAAACATCGCCGCCTTGATGAAGGATCCTTTCCCTCTACGCTTTGATCTCGAGCAATGGAACGGTGCCATTTTCGATCTTGCCGTGATCAAGAAGAAGAGGTCGAAGGCCAAACGTCCCAAGTTGAAGAGGAAGGCAAAAGCCAAGCGACAAAACTGGACTTTCACTGCTAGCTTCTCTGTCATTGTGGAACATCCAGAGGAAGAAGAAGATGACGACGACATCGACATCGACATTGACATCGACTCTGGTGAATCAAGCTTCCTTACCTTGGCCGAGGATCCGATCAACGATGTCAGCAACGAGGAGATTGCAGCACCACCCAGGCAATCTGAGATCGTAGCTGAAACAGACGACGATCTTTCCATCCTTGCTACTACTGATGATGACACTAGTCATGCATCTCCAATTCTTTCTATTCCTGAAGACGGATTGGGATCTGGCTGGAGGACATCGGGCGATCGATATAGCCTTCGATTGGCCAAGCTTTTGCAAGATCAGAAGGATGCTTCTACGGCAGCTTTGGGATCTGGATTGACGGAAGAAGGAAGACGATTCAGTCGTCGTGTGGCAAACCGAAGAATAAGTGGTGCCGATTAAGCGTAAGTTCATTGATGTATGCATTGGATTCGGAATTCGTATTTTGCCCCTTCTTTTCTCACCTTTTATCCTTCTAGTTTATTTTTGTTTGCGATTTTTTGAAGAGACAGAGTATGATAATAGTGTGCAACAACAACACACACACCAAGAGGAGTTATATCTGAATCCACCCCATAATGTCAATTTGACATGACGACGACGAAGGCGTTACTTTGCATTTCTACTGTTTACAGGTAAGCTTGACCATATCGATTGAATATACCTTCTGTTCTACCACCTCACCACTTTTTCCTTCCGTCCTTTTACTGATATTTGTACAGCATTTTGGGTCTGCGAGTCTGGATGATTGTATTATTTTTTTCCCTTCGTACTCTTGTTTTCTCACACTCCCTTAGGGATCCTTCGGATGGCCAGTGTTTCCTATGCGATTCTAGTGGATTGGTCACTCACTAGAGTCAAGTAGGAAGCATTGGTCTGTCGATATTATGGCTTGCTGAGTTTGGATTGCTTCCCTCCATCGTGTGTTTGGCCGCCCAAACGAATCGAATCGTTGAGTGGGACGGCGGTGGGAATGTGGTCGAGCCGAGGCTCATAAACGCAACTGAGATTGGCAAGAACCCAGGTAGACCGGATCTCTGGAAACCAAATCATGAGCCCTCGGACCTTCAACTCTTTGATGCTGGCCTTTTGGTCGTCGAGTCAAGAGGTCCACGAGGACAGTTGGGATGGGACATGATTTGGATTGTACTCTTTGTTTCTACAGTATTTCGGATTGGTGCACTTACAAAGCATTCATCATCATCTCATCATCATCAAGCTTGTCGAGTGGAGCTTTCTGTTATTTCGTTGGATTCAAAGGCAGCAACAACAGCATCATCATCATCATCAAGGTCTTCTTCATTTTTTCCCTATTGGATTCGAAGGCAAACAATGTGGAAGTCTCCCCTACAGAATATCAGTATCTTTGGCCCATCACTGTAGCTCAAACATCAAGCATGGAAGAGCAAGTGTTATCGGTTATCCGTGTGATCAGCTGTCGTTGCCATTGGCAACTTCGGTGGAGCACGTCGTCTTGCGTATGGATGGCACTGGACTGAACATCTAACAAAGGGAGCAGCGGAGTGAACCTTCAATCCACCTTACTATTTATTATACTACTACTACTACGTTGCCATGAGACTGGCATATCTGCCAACGTACAGCATTTACACCGTCGGAGTTGTTGCGGATGAGAAGATGAAAGCGTATCAACGATTGCACTGTGTCGTATTTCATTGCGGATGAGAAAGGAAGGCAAGTATTCGCTGGGCTCGTGACCCCACCTACCTATTGTTTTGTTTTGTTTTGTTTTGCAGACTCCAGATCCAGCAGAAATGAGTAACGTCGAAGTATAGTCATGTCCGTTGTCATATTCAAATTAGTTTTCCTTGTCTTTTGTTCTTGCTTTCGTAACGCTGGAATAATTCGATGCCACTGATGCGCTCCTAACAATGAAAACAGATGCAACGGCAGGGGCAGCAGGCAAACTGCTATCGCTTCTCTCCAGCCAATATCACTTTCAAGACCATATTTTTCCTTCGCGTCAGCCAAACCCGACTCGTAAGGCTTGGGGAGTACTCCCATTGCCTCCGCCACGTGGAGCAGCTAGCAAAATATGCTGCCAAATTGCTACCATTATTCGTGGAATGATCTTCAGGCAACATGGAAGAAGAGCAAGGTTTCAGGTCGATGTCGGTTGCAAGTGGACTAAAGGGGGCGTAGCATTTGCATCAGCTACAGTGGCCTTGTTGTTGTTGTCGTTGTTGTTGTTGTCTCCTCTTCAGAAATCGTCGTCGTTGTTGTTGCTGCTGTCTCCTCTTCAGAAATCCAGCGGTGTCTATCCATTCGATGCCAACAAAGCATACCCTTGACCAACAGACTGTTTCCAGCTATCATCGAAATAAAAATAAAAGCCATCGCATCCAAAAAGGATATGTCCATACTGCTTCCTGCCGTATGACGTATCCGTTTACACCATACCGGGCATGCGCCAAACGCTCCAGATCAGGGAGTGCCCGAGGGAGTGCCAGTTATTCGATTGTATATTTATAAATATATCAGCATTTATATCTCACATATATATGTATGTATCTCGTACCATAGGCATAGTTCAATCAAACTGCATTTTGCTGTAAAAAACCCAAATGCAAGTCTGATGCAGAATCATCCAGCTTGATAGTACCATCAGAATGAGGTCCCAAGCATATAGTCAACAGTCCATCAGGGCGACCATCACCATCCCAACTTTTCTCTACAGTTCACTTATTTCTTTTATTAATAAATACTATGTTGCAATAAATCATCTCGAACTTCATGGCACATTCTCTTTCTGCTGATTCATATAGGATACAACAGCTACGACTGCTAGTACCAGACCAGTCATACCAATGCAAACCATCCCATAGAAGAGGTAACTGAACGGTTTTCGAAAGTTCTATCAACACCTGCCTTGCAAATCAGAACGTGAGACGAGTTCGAGTAGTTGTCGTTGCTCTCGACGCCTCGTTTCGTTATCTATGATTTCTTGCAGATCTTCCTTGCAGATCTTCCTTGGAGATTAGTCCTGTCAAGTAGCCAAAGCGTTCGTGTATAGCCTGCTCCTGGGGACTGCTGGACTTGGATTTGGAACGACGCCTTCGGGCTCGACTTTTCCTTCTTTAGAGACTCGCCCCTCTCATGCGCTCTCGTGTTGGACTCTCGCTTCTGGAACTCCAGCCGCTTGAGGTTCCACTGCTCCAACTGTCGTCCGTTGAACTCTCACTGCTTGAGGAGCTGTCACTCCATGGACTCGAACTTCATCGTCGGCTGTGGCTCCTACTTCGGCTTTTTCTTCCGCTGTGGCTCTTGCTTCTACTTCTACTTCTACTTGGGCTCTTGCTCGTTCTTCGGCTTCGCTCTATTTTTCGGCGTCGTTGTCTTCGTTTTCGTTCGAGATACGCTCGTTCTTCGGCTTCTTCGTCTACTTGTTCTTCAGTAGCCCATTTCATTTCGTCGACCATTCTCTGCATTTCACGTTCGGCAGCTTCCTCGGAATCGGCTTTTTCAGCGGCTTGGCGCATTTCCACAATCATTCTGTGCACCTCTTGTTCCGTGAGCTCTTTCGATGTCTCGGAGTCTTCGCTTTCAGGAGCTGCCTTGATGTCAGTGACCATTTGTTGGGCTTCGTTCTCGGTGAGATCCTTGGGTTTGACAGGTTCTGATGCCGTTTGCTTGGCAGCCAAACGGATCTCTGCGACCATTCGTTCCATTTCGTCGCGGGTGGAGCCGTCCTTTGTCGAAGAAGTGATCGAATATGAGTTCGATGGGGTGGATGATGACATTACGGACGCTGGTGACTCGTCTACCGTCACAAAAAGTGTAACGGAAGATTCAGTCCAGCGAATGATTGGGGAGCTTCAAAGAATGTCAGAAGACGGCGATACTGGTAACGATTCAGCGACTTCTGCATCCGCAGCCATCATTGGATCAGGAATAATGTGAAATCGATTCTCATTCTCCTTGATAAAGGTACCTTCAATTTCATAGTTGGCTTTTAGAATGTATTGCCGCAAATTGGAGGCGGTGGCTGGACTCAAGACTTGCTCCACAAAGGCAACTCCGTGCCTTTCAGTTTGTTCTTTGGCTTCTTCCGGTGTCATGCTGGGTGTCACAAACAAATCTTGAATGGAGTCGGAGGAAGGCTCACAATTGGGCAAGTACAGGTGCTTCCCGATGGCATATGGAAGCGCCAAGGTAGGGCTGTGCACATAACAGAGGTAGTACAAGGATGGTTCATGATGAGGATGATGATTCTCCTGTTGTTTCTGTTTCTGTTTCTGTTTGAATTGCTTCCAAGACTCCTCGTTCATGATTTGAATTGGTGCGAGAGCAGTCCAACCATGCACATATTAAAATTCAACGGAGGGGAGTGTCTTGGTTGTTAATTGAGATCGTGTCGTATGAGGCCAGGTGTTGAGCGGCAAATCAACATACCGGTAGGCGGGGTGAGTCGAGAGCGGCTAATTTAGTGTTTACATGTCATCCTCCTCATCATCACCCACACCATAACGGACATCATCACCCATCATGGAAAAATGAGGATTCTCATAAACTTCGAGATAGACGACGCCGTTCCAGTATCCTATGATCCTATTGGAGAAATAGCGTTTTCATTTTTTGGGGGTGCGAATGAACCAGGATTGATGAAGTTATGAGGAGCTGAAAACGTCAATTTTTGGCCTGAATGTCACTACTTTCCAGAAACGAATCTCGACATGATAATCGTACAGATGAAGAGCGATAATGGAAGGTGCATATTTTCCTTGGATTGAAGATTGCACAGATGCACTTTTGGCTTAGAAAGATGGAGAATTGACGGAGATATCGGCGTCGGTGTCGTACAAGAAGTCGATGCGAAACAGAATTTTTTGGGACCTTCATTTCCGCCGTCACCGTATTGTTACGATTCTCATCACGTTATGTTCACTTATCGATTGAGTCGATTTCGTAGTCGAGTCAGTCAGATCCGATCAGATCAGATCAGATCAGTCAATCGATCATCCATCATTGATTGCATCCATATCCATCATCGAATCATCGAATCATCGAATCATCGAATCATTCAATAATACTGTAGATTCCATATTCCAGACTGTATTCGACTAGTTAGACTGTACCACTTTGGCGATCATGCTAAAATGCGCATAGTTGCACTTTTCAAACCTGCTTGCGCACTTGAAAATATAACGAAACGTAGGTTGCCAAAAATACTGAAAGTTCTCGAGTTGCATTGGTTCTTTGGTGTACAAAGCAAGGCTACCACTCATATTATATTATAAAACACAAGAAGACAAGCGAGAATAAATAAAGTCACAGACTCACAAGCTACACATGGTATTTTGGAACAAGCGTGAAAAAGCAGAAGAAAAGAAGGAAGACGACCATCATGCTCTCACCACCGACATACAAAACAATCACGATGCCTTTGGCCGTGAAGCAGAGAATACGGATATCCTTACGGAGTTGAACACGGATCAAGTCTTGGATGTTGTCATTATTGGTGCTGGATGGGCTGGCATTTCAGCAGGTATGTTTTGTCTTTCAAATACTGCATTCACTCATCACGCTGATAGTAGCATCCAACTTATTGGTTTCCTTCCTCAGCCGCCACTTTGAAAAAGAAGGGCATTGAGAATTTCCAAGTCTTGGAAGCCAAGGGCTACATTGGTGGTCGGTCCTTTACCCACCACGAGCATTGGGAGGGCCAGGATGTTCCCTGCGATTTGGGTTCCATGTGGATTCAAAACGCCAAGGGCAACTTGTTGAACGAGTACATTAAAAAGTACAAGATTCCAACCCATGTTTCCAAGTACAATACTCGCATCTATGAGGAAAATGGAAAGGGTCCAATGGATGACAAGAAGTACAACAAGTTGGAGGAGGAACTCTACGAAAAAGGGTTCTACAACTGTCAAGCCGCTCGCCAACAGTTGGCATGGATGCGGGGAGACGAACCACTTTCTAAAAGCCGCGACTTGTACCTTGCAAAGCTCAAGAAAAAGCCGCTCAAGCAAAAGCTCGCCAAAGTTTTGATTCGAGACTCGATTGAATTGGAATACTCCGGGTCTTTGGAAGAATTGTCGCTGGAGCACTGGAATACGGATTCCTGGATTGGTGGGTCCAACTCCCACGATCATTTTGTCATGACGGGATACAGTTCGCTCTTTTATGCCTATGCCAAAGATGAAGGCCTAATGGACAAAATAGTTACGAATGCTCCCATTTCCAGTATCAATTCGACCTCCAATTTGGTCAAATTGACCTTAAAAGACCAACGATCCATCACGGCAAAGAGGGTCATTGTAACGGCGCCCTTGGGTGTGTTGCAAGCCAATGCGATTGAATTCATCCCAGCCTTACCCAAGAGCCACAGCAAGGCCATTCAACGACTGGGAATGGGAAAGATGAACAAGGTTTTCATGTTTTGGAAGTCGGAAGATGTCTTTTGGCCCATGCCAACCACTTCCAAAATTGAAGTTTTGGGGGATGTTACGGATCGAGACTCTACCTTTTTGTTTTACAACTCGCTCTCCTTTCATGAGGAAAAGCCGGCACTCTATGCCTTTTTCAAGGGTCCACAGGTGGAACAGATTGAACTGGAGTTTGGTACTACCGATCCCGAAATGTATGAAGAAAAGATTACTGAACTGGCCATGGAATGCTTGCAAAGCATGTTTGGAAAGGATGCCGTGCCTCCACCAGAAAAGGTGGTCGTTACTGGATGGTTGGCAGACGAGTACACTCGAGGTGCCTATTCCTTCAACAAGGTCGGCATGAAGTCCAAAGATCGGGAAGTCTTGACTTTTCCCATTGCCGATGGCAGGATTCATTTTGCCGGAGAGGCGACGCACGAAAAGTACTTTGCCACGACAACTGGTGCCTTTCTGTCGGGACGGAATGCTGCCAAGAAGGTGGTCAAGAAATTGTAAAAGAAAACGAGTGCAGCATTTACTAGAAGATATAGACATGTGTCAATGCATGCTAATGGTAATATCAAGAATCCATTGAAATGTAGGAGTAAATTGTTTTGTTTTGTATATATGAATACACCATTGCAATGAACGAACGAACGAACGAGCGTGAATGAACGAACGAACTACAGAGGCTTTCTTTTGGTAACAAGGTGGACCCGCCAAGAGGTTTTTGACGACACTCAAAGTAATGGCGACTGACTGTTACGTTATTTCATATAAGCAGGACGAACAACATCAACGAGAGACTGACTGACTGCAACGAAGGAAACAACAACAAAACAGTGAACCCACTAATAGTCTCATCTTGGTGCCAGAAGCGACATGTCGTTTCATGAGTTCGCTTTCAATACGAGAAATCTTGAGCAGAATGGTGAGGCAGATTGCAGTAGTACCTAACACCCATATATATATATAGAGAGAATTTGGACCCACCAAAAGGTCTTGACGAAACAGAAGAAAATGGTGATTTGTTCACAATTGATTCCAAAGTTTCTGAGAGGAAGACAATGGACCTACCAAAAGGTTTGAACGAAAAATTTCATCGAAGGAAAGAAGCACAAGGATGTAAAACAGAAATAAAGTGGACCCAAACTTGATTACGAAATCATATTATGGTGATTTGTATGTATTATTACAATACCGGTAGACAATTCATTCCAAACTTTCTGACGGCAAAAACGTGGACCCAGACGAAGAGAAACAAAATGGTGCGACGAGCAGCATCTTGGACCCGAAAGCTACTGTACACGTGTACGTGTACGTGTACCTGGTAGGACGTTGAAGGATTTATCCTCGTGACAACTGACAGCACCACCGACAGTCGCGTATTGGACTCTGTTGGTCTCCACAAATCTCCTCGTTCATGCGTTCGCCACTCGCCACCATATATAATATATCTTGAGCAGATTTCTTTTAGCAGATGGCAAAGATGACACCGACTTTTCGGGCAAAGTGGCCACCTGGTTCCAGCCAATAATGTGCGTAATACGTGTCTTTCTTCAATAGGAAGAATTTTGGTGATGTCAAATCTCATTATCTAGATACTTAGGAATGTTCCGTCGTATTTGTTCTTTTGTCAGTATCGGTCAATCAGTGGTTGAGGCAAGGGTGGCCGTCGGCACATTTTGGCACAACAAACCACATATCTGTACCAAAAATAAGAGCAAAAGATTCATCATAAAACTTGCAGAAAGATTTTGGACAAGAAACACACCACAGGGCAATGATCATACCTGCCAATCTTTCGTTGAAGCGACCAGCTCCCATGTTCCCTGAGCTCGAGATCAACAACAAAACCACCAGTATCACCAAGTGCCAGAGATGGAGGATCCGACCAAGAAAACGTTCTCGTTCCGAATACCTATGCGACAGTCCGAAAGGAGTATCATCGGATGATTGGATGGAACTCGAGTCCATGTTAGACGACGACTTGGAGCTTGAAGCTCTTCCGATATCCTTGGAAGCAAATGAATATGTACACGAAGAGGAGGAAACCATTCCCAACAACTTCACAAAGATGAGCCGGACGTGTAGTGTGGAGGATCTTAGATCCACTCTGATTTCATCGTCAGCAGCTGCACCTCGATCACGATTGTATGACGAAACCTCGTTCATCAGCTCTGGTGAGGACAAGCGCCACATTATACCCACCGTACACGAGGAGGGGAGTCCCATTGCTATGACTATGGGCTCGGAAACGAACAAGGGAAAAGATCATTCCGAAGCAGAGTAAGTCCTCATATCCGCTACGTTGCAAACAACACACAAACAAACACACACACACGCACACACGCACACACATACACGCACAAATTCAAAACTTGCACTGACAACCACATCTCTTGTTATCTTTAGGCTGTTGACGTTGACTTCCTTCCCATTCCGCATCTTCTCGGCGGATGACAACTTTTTCCGTTTGACGGGTTTGGCATCCAGCACCGTGGTCGGTGAACCACTACTAAGTGTGTTCACCATGCAACAGTCCGAACTTGGGCCACGCATTATGGATAGCCCTTGGGAATATTTTGGTAAAGATGGCAATACTGTGTCAGTCCCCAGTGGACAAGGAGGAGTGTCAACAAATGGCGCTCCCGCTAGCAATATTACCCGCACCATGAAAATAGAGGCAGTTTGGGGAACCTCCCAAGACCAGAAACAAACCGCACAAGTTTCTCATTACAGAGTGACGCTACACTAGGTACCTACAGCACAACAATAATGCTATATTTGAGCTATAATTTTTTTTGCATGAAAATACTGTAGCTACTGGGTACTGTACCTGGTACCGGTGGTCCTACAGCAATTTGTATATTGCATAATATATATAGCTATCGGCACCGGTATCGCATCACTGGTTTCTTCTGCCGATGTAAAGGACACCACACGCCACACGTGTACCGGTGGTACCTGTTACTTGCCATTTTCTAAAAGGTATAGCTTAGTGTTTATTTTGAAATTCGCTTGAATGTTCATTTTGGGGAGACTTCTGATGATTCTTCTTCTCCATAAGGAACTTCTTATCAAAAGAGAGACTTCCTCTGTACTATCATCCTACCAAGTACCCGGTACCTCCTACCGTAGAAGGTGCCAGTACAGCAGGTGTACGTCCAAACGTCAGCTTCCGATCGAAGGGGATGACGATGTTTTGCTAGTACAGGTCCGTGTGGGAATCAAATACATCTTCGTGTCATGAATGAATGAATCGAATCTTCCCACTTTTTGACGCACTTTTTCCACATCACATAAAACTAACAACACCAAAATGACCAACGCAATGATATTGAAACGACCAGCTCCTTTGCTCTTCCAAGAAATTGAGAAACCAACGAGTGTGAAGAGCCAAGAACAGGAATGGCCCAACATGCCGGTACGAAAGCGTCAAAGGGTTGATTCTACGTTCACAGCCAATAGCTCCAAAACTGTGACGCAGCACGATTGGCTTGAGCTCGACTCGATTCTGAATGGCAATGAGATTGATACGATTCGGTCAGAAGAAAATGTCAGTCCACTATCATTGACACCTGAAATTTCCCAAGAGATGCACCTACCAGAACCCGAGTGGATACCGACCACCAACAGCCGCGATGACCAACGAGACGAGGAGATGCCTCCCGTTCTGACGCTATCCACCATACCAGAAGAAGCCGACTGCATACCGAGCACCGCCAACCTTGTACCTGATTATCACAATGTTGTGGAGGCTCAAGAGGACGAAATTCCGACTGTCAGCACCACACCAACAGCTTGCGGCCCCAAACAAACCGGTGACAAATCAGAGTGAGTCAGAATTAACCATGGTTCTTTCGTGATACAATTGATATGATTCATTCATTCATTCAATATTGCTCACATTATATGTATCAATCTTTCTTCTTGTAGACTTTTGACTTTGATCTCATTTCCATTTCGTGTGCTGGCGGCCGACGAAAGCTTTTACCGGTCATCGGGGCTATCATCAGCCCGTGTTATTGGCCAGCCACTGCTCAGTGTAGTCAAAACTGGAAACAAGCACATCGAAGCCAACCCACAACGCATTGTGAACACACCATTGGATTTCTTTGATGAGAATAGTGAAAATCATACTGTGATTCTGCCCAATGGCCAGGAGCCAAAGATGAAAGTAGAACAAGTCGTGTCGAAAGCCCCAGGACTCAACACTCCATTTGCCCACTACAAGGTGGTATTAGAGTAGACATATATATATAAAATTAGGGGGTCCAATGAACTGCAAATATTTAGAACAGTCGCAATACGTGTCTATTTCTGACCCCACCTAGCAAAGATTATGGCCTACTTTCGACCAAAAGTTTTAGTTTAGTCTAGGTGGTCCTTAGATCCGCCCCGTTTCATTTTCTTGTACATTTTCTGTTCGGCTTTGCTGAGCTTCTTGAACTCTTGTTCTTCCGTCCACTCAATAAAGTTATCCTTGACCCACAGTTCAAGTTTGATCATTGCTTTTCGATCTTCGTCAGACGCCAGCTCCCAGTGGACATGACCCACAGCGCGTTCCGTCAGGACGGCACGTTCTTCCTCGTTCAATTCTTCCTTCATGAGTCTTCGGTACCAGTACTTAGCTTGCCAGTGGAGACCGCTGGCAAATTTGGCTGGGAACTTGGCCAAGCTGACAATGAACAAGTCTTCCCATGTTGGCTTGTGGAATCCTGCACCAAAATCTTCAATGTTCTCGACCATCTCTGTAATAATGGGACGAAGTGCTTCTTGTTCCATGAGCTTCTTTTCCTTTGCACTGATCTTGATCTTTTTGGCTTTTCCTCCCTTTTTCTCTGTTTCTGCTGTGGCATTATTGGCGGTGTCTTCCTTTTCTTTCAAAATAGCAAGAGCATCCACTCTGAGTCCCTTAGACTCGGGAGTCCCCCCCATGCTAGGACTCCAGTCTTCCACAGCGGCTTTGATGAGACGATTGGCGACATTTTGCCATCTATTCTTTTGGGCGAACCATGTGTACAAATTCACGAGACCCAACAAAAAGATGACAATGATCGTAACATCGGACTTTGGAGCGTATGCGAAAATGACACCAGATCCATACTTGTTGAAGTAGGCTTCTTGGTTGAATCTCATGAGATCATATTCCTTGCGTTGTTCAAAGTCGGTCAGCACTTCATAGGCGCGTGCAATTTTCTATATAATAGAATATAATATAATATAATAGCATCAATCAATCAACCGAAAAGATCCATCATTTTCAATGACCACAACAATAAAAATAGGTGGTGTTAGGAATGATGATATTGCAAAACCAATCAATAGTAACACGTAACACTGCTGCAAGTCAAGACACGTGATTCATAACTCACCACAAATCGCTCTTTGGCATCCTTATGCTTGGACTTATCCGGGTGCCAGGCTCTCGAAAGGGCACGGTATCTCTTTGTAATTTGTTTTGTGGAAGGACGGCGATCGGTTGCCCATTCTCCGTAATCGAAACCCAGAATCTTATAACAATCGAACTTTCCACAGAAGATGTTTTGCGGATCATAGTAGCTTCCCCAATCTGTGTGTCCCTCGGCATCAAATTTGTCTTCTGGCGGTTCTGGCTTTTTGACGTCTTCCGCCGGTGGTGTTGTCTCGTCACCTTCCGCAGAGACCGAAACAAAGAAAAGAAGACAGAGAGCGAGGCGAAGAGCGGTTCGATGAAGCATGTTGGTTGACAAGGAAAGAAATCTCGTGTTTCTATCCTATTGATTGGAGTAATCGTAAAAACCTTGTCTGGATCCTAAAGCGATTAGTTCAATAAAGACATTGCGGTCTTGGAATCAAGGTCATCATCACCCGAGATTCTTGGTTGCCAAGACGCAGGTTCGGACAGATATAGTTGCAATATTGAATGTCGGAGGACGACAAGCAGACGAGACATCTGGATTTTTGATGTGCTCGGATGATTTTAGCATCTCTTCATACCGTAATAGTACTACCATCAAGATATCCATAATGCCAGTTCCAGAAGAAGACACAGAGGCTCCAAATAGCCAAAACGGATCCAGTCATTGCAAGGAATGAGGCGAGACATCACCTCTCTTGGCGAAAGAAGGACAAGAACCCATCACAGCTGATCGTGATGATGATGATGATGCTATAAATCATCATCATCAAGATGTTACTGATAGTAGTGAAAAACAAAGTGCCTGCATGGCGTTCTTGACCCTCGCCATCTCCATTCCCGGGTTGGTTGGTATGTGATGCTGGCCGGCTCTCGTCGTTCCATTGTTAGGTGGAACGGTGACGAGCGCCTCTCGGCATTTCTCTCACATCATCAACTTTGGCGTGGACTTGATTCTTATGGGAGGATTGTCCGTTTACTTTTGGTATCTCGCCTGTACCAAACGTCAGAATTTGACAACAACAACGACAACAACAACAACAAAGTGGAGGAACACATATGGACCAGCATTGTTGGTCACCATGGGCTCCTGCTTGATCTTGGCGGATCCCATTCGGCATGTCCTTCAGGACAATGAAATGTGGCATGCTCCCATGTACATTTCGAACTGCCCAGTCCGAGCCTTACAGCAACCCATCCGAGCTTGTTCTCAATCTTCCGATTGTGGGGCACATGATTATGGAGGGGGGTTCTTTGCGGATGAAGCTGGAACTGACTGCTTTACTTGTTGGGACAATGGAATGTGCAGCGAGGGCGCGGAGACCTTTCGTTGCCTTTCGACCATTGGCTGGGTGGTTACCATCTTTTGCAGCTACATTGGTTTTGCTCTTTTCTTTACAGGTGTCTTGTGGAATTATGATTTAGTCACCAAGATTAGGAGGAAGTGGAAAGCCTTGACCTCATCCTAAGACTACGCTACCAGCCAACAAAGGTTGGCTGTCTGTGCGCTCCATGGAATCATTGAGAATGACAATGCAATAATCAGATTCTTCTTTTTCTGAAAGCATTTGAAGAATTCAATGTTCATTGCAATGCGCAGCGAAGCCTGTTTAACATAACCAAGCGTCGAATCTAATAAATTATGATTTATGAATGCACGATGATCTTAAAAAATAGGATAGCTACTTATTGCTTACATTACATATGCAACAAAATTGGACAAGAGTCCAGCGATAAGAGATATTGTTCCAAATACAATGAAAAAAATGCTCAGAAAATAGTCTCTCTTTGTCGGAATAACTGTTTCGGTCCCAAGGTAATCTTCGTTGTTCAGCGATAAGCGGTGTTGGGCTGCCAACCCTGCCAGCCGTTCTTGCATTCCATTGGACCCATGAGATGCTATTCGAACCCAGAGTGGCATCAATAGCGGATACCACCACCAAGGCTTTGGTCCAGATAGTCGTTGCGCGGTGGAAGATGGGTCGACAGCCATGTTGGTATACGCTCCATCATCATCCGTACTGGCATCAGGCGGAGTTGAGGGATTCGATCCATCCAGGACACTCCCAACATATTCTAGGAAAAAGTCACCATTGATTCCCAAATATACCAGACCAGGGCCAATGTATGCCAAACAACATCCACCCAACGCACCGGTGATACTGAGCACTGGACCCAGGTCATCGACAATCAACGCCGGAATCAACGTGGCGAGATACAAGATCCAGGTCCATTTGACTCTTCGATTGGACAAAGATCCCAAGAAAGAAGAATTGTCCGACACAGTATCACCATCCATATCTCCATCATATAGGAGCTTCATAATGACATGTCGAGCCACAAAGGCTTCCATAGGATAGGTGAAGAACATGGTAAGAGCAAGCAAACACCTCGCAACGGTGCCCTCCCGAGCTTCGTAGTCAAAATTGTTCAAGACGTCTCCTTTGGTCTCATCTAGAAATCCAAGATATCCAGTGATACCGAGAATGGCACAAAGAAAACAGGCCGCTACCATGGATAGCATTGTCACAATACTCCATCGCTTTGTCGAAAGTCCTTGCAGGCTACCAGAAACGATAAACGCCGAGTGCTGACAGGTCATGGCTGTTGTCAGTACTCCAAAACCAATGAAAAATCCATAGCCAATCACGTCGTCTTTCATGATCGCCACGATACCACCATTATTGGCAACCGTTTCTTGATAGGGCGAAAACATGGCAATAATACCCACCAGCACAATGTCCGCCATGACAGACAAGGCACTAGTATAAGCTAGACTCGACATGTCTCGCTGCATCGAAAGAGGAACAATGACCACCAAGGAAGCTACCACCATTACCAACTCGCTTTGCATAAATCCTCCAGCACCTGGATCATCGCTAAAACCAATAATGATTGGAACTGTATCCTTGATGATGAGCAGATAGGCAACCATAGCTCCATATGCTACAAACAACATGCTAGCAAGAATAAAGTGGCCACCAATCTCTCCAAATGGTAGCGAAATTAAGTCTTCAAACGTCAATACATCAATCGCCTTTAGCTTTGGATGAAAATGCGCCAATTCCACCAACATTCGAAGAGTCCTGTCTGTAAAGAAGGAAACCAAGACTAGCAGTATCACTCCTGCTACGAGACCCGATTCTTTCAGAGCGTAGGGAATGCCAATAATACCAGCGCCAACGACAGAGTTCACAAGGTTGGAACACGCCCCACCAATTTGCGACTTCTCCTTTGGCAGACTGAGGTTGGATATTTGCGTCCTTGTTGGTGGTAGCTTTTGTTTTTGTTCTTCCGTCAGCTCTATATTAGCTGTTCCCTCCCCACATGTTTCGTCCACCACATCGTAGAGGTCTGGCATTGTTGTTAATGTTGTTGTTGTTGTTTCTAGTGATTAGTAGGCAGGAGGTAAACGCACTCCATTACAATAACTCTCTTCAACAACAAGTTCTCATTTTTGTTGGCGACCAATAATAGCGATATGTGACGTCTTTACACATGTCATTTTTATGTCCTATACGACAAGGCGATTGTCATATATAATAATAAAAATTACTGTGCCGCTAGCAAGGATAAAGCCGCTAGTTTCTGTAATATAACTATTGCAAGTATTGAGAAACAATATGGATGGAAGCGTTGGAGAAATGGAAGTAAAACAGGTATTTTTCAAGAATGGAGTGCATGTTTGCCACCTGCTGGATGTAATTGCTGAGGAGACTTGACGAAGAAGATGGCTGAATGAATGGTCGTATCGCAGCACATGACCAAATAATTCAAGAAGAGGCTGGCTGCCATGCCTGGATGGCAAGAAGACAATATTGGATTCCATTTCTTCCTCTAGTACCAAGTTTGCTGGAAAATAAAACAGCGTTACAGAAAAAAACAGCTGTTTCGACATGTAAGAACAATGACGTTTGCCTCACCACAAAACAGCTGCGTTGAAAAAGACAGAAACAGATTCATTTTGTAGGGAAAGTCGCAGAGGGAACCGCCCGTGCAAACTAATATCATCGTCGTTTTGCTCTTATTGACAACAGGCCCATCGAAACCAATGCCACATTTCATGTGAAGAGAGGAATCAACTAATACAGTAGACACTGATTGAAGCTCTTGATTGTTAGTGGTGTACTTCGTGATCATAAGAAGTCTATTGCTAGTGTACAATTAGTTTATACTAGATTTGCTAGAAAATGACAAGGAACTGGTTTGAGGATCCTCTTCCATTGCAGACGGTGCATTAGATTATTTTTGGATCTTTTGGTCTCAGTTGCTGTCTCCTTTCCCATAGAAATCTTAACCATAGTTTCCAGTGATCAGTTCGTACATAGTCAAAGGGTGTGAATCCTCTGACATCTTCCAGCAGCAAATGTTCGGGTGCTTCTTTTATGAGCAACTCGACAAGTTCAAAATTAGGTTCCGGAGTCCAACAAGCATCATGGAGTGGAGTGCGGAAGTAATCATCCCGAATGTTCAGATCCACCTTCACATCGAAAATCAGAAACTTTGTCATTTCTGTAAACGACCGCCGGCAGCTCAGATGCAACAATGATTCCCCAAATTTGTTACTCGAGTTGACCAGTTTCTTTTCTGCATGCAGTTGCCTCAACTTTTCCATGTTGTTTTTCCGGACATTCGCCAAAAGCTCTGACGTATACGAGGAAAGCATGGCTTCTGTCGGCTCTGAGAAGTTTTTCTCAGCGGAAGCCTTGACCGCGTCGAGATCGAAGCCATTGGCTTTGAAGGCGCTCTTCACGTAGTCGGCAGGTTTGATGACAATGTTTTTCGCAATCGCCCTCCGCTTGGCTGGATTGCTGAGGTCAGAAGTTGCAGAACGTGTCTTGTTGCCAAGAACGTTGGCGTTCTGAGTGGAGACTGGCATGGAAACCATGGCGCTACCTTGTATTTGATGTTCGTTCATGATTGAAGGCTTGTAAATTTGTATTTGTGTGTATCTCTGTGTGAAACACCACAAGTTTCGACTTTGGCAGCTGCTACAATGATGGCAGTTTGTACTTCCTGCTGTTGGGCAACATCTGTTGCAATTTTGGTCAGATTGGGATAACACGTGTTAACCAGGCGTGACGTGTATCGCCATATGGCGTGGACAGCTTGTGTGACGACACTGGTTCAATAGTGAAAGTTTGCCACGCATTTCGAGCGAATTAAGGCATAGAGGAGAAGTTTGGTGCCACGTCAGCTAGCCTGACTGATCGAAAGAGCAGTCACGTCCAAAATTCAATATAAAATCCGGTGGTTCAAAGGATGATTAGGCACAAATAACGACCATCGTCCAATCAAATTACAACAGGGTGTATGACGTTACCGCTGGGATTCGTTTTGCGCTGTGAGCTTTCGTTTCGCGCTGTGTTGGTTTCTCCGAGTTCAACAATAATAAGGTGGCCAATAATAAAACATGCCGAAATATTCTCACCAAGAAAGTGGTGATGCGAAACAACGGAAGGGTTTGAAATTCGAACCATTCTTCAACAGCGGTCGCGGTGACTCTCCAATGTTGCGCTGGAAGAGACTTTCGTTCACAATCGTATGCATTCGCATTTACGATGATGTCTCCAACAATCAGCGCGCTGGTGTTTGCTGGTGGCGATGCCGGTTTTGTGATGTGTTCCGTCATCTGAAATGTGAGATGTCACTAAAGGCTCAAATTGATTCTTGGACAAGAACAAGGAATCTGAATTGCTCCCAGAGCAGCGTTAATCCTATGCTACAAACTACGACAAGACAATGGGTCTGAATTGATCCCAAAGTGCAGTCGATCTATTCCCTCCGAATTCTTGAGGATTGTGGAATCTATCTCTTCATTCCTCCCATTCAACGGTTTCGGTAGATCGAATTGGATTTACCCCAAGAACGGAAGAAAATCTGGGAGTTGCAGTCGGATGCATCTATTTTTCATTCAAAATGCTCTCAAGTACCAGCATTTTCAGTTCTTGACAGCTCTGTGCAGATACGTATCCCATGGCGGTGGCAGCGGTCTTGGGAATGCTGGCATCCCTAGAGACTACGTTGGAAATACTCTTTTATGCTCTCTTGGCAAGTGACTTCAGATGGAAATGTGAAACTGTGTGGACTTTCAGCTCGTTAGACATTGACCGCACCCATTGAATAGCAATCAACAATCAACTGCACATGCATACAATAGCCTACATTGTGAGGAGTGATAGTGATAGCATGATGGTATGGTTCGTATCTACTGAGCATCAGTCAGCACTCGATTGAATGTGTAAAATTTGTGTCTCTATTACGGTATCGGTACAGTATGAGGTTGTAACATTTGTTTAGTGTATTGATTCTATTACATTATATATATTTTCTTTGTATTTCTAGTCTATTAATGGAAAGTGCAACCAACGAGATCATGCAAACACGATTTGGCAAGCTTTGGAATTGCGATGGAGAGTGCTGTGTCCATTAGGCAGCGGGGGTGGTGCATTTCACCACTTGCGGAACGTCCACGGATGGTCGCCCGTATTGCGTTCGACGTCGAACTAGTGCCATTTTGTTTTTGCCCAATGGTGGAGGGGATCGTCTCGATGATCTGGTGCTCCTATTGTTGGAAGAAACTTGTCGGCGTGGTGGTGGTGGTGGTGGTGGTGGGGTCGCCAGTGATTCTTCGTCCTTTTGCTGTGATTCAATGTCCTTCACGTGTTGTGCAAGGCATCGGGCTCTGTTTTGGGCTTGTGTCAAGGAGACTGTCGAGTGTAAATAGTATTCTTGTGCGATTTCTTCGTGGTCGAGTTCAGATGTTGTGTCGGGGTCATCGTTGTACTCATTGGCCTCATCCTCCTGTTTTTCTTGTTCATCAAGAACAGCTTTTATCGAATTGTCGACCATGATACTTTTCATGGCCATTTGTTCCCTTGTCACGATTCCGACAACACTCAAGCTGTAGGCAATTTCTGAATAGTCTTGATGGCTGATGGAGCTTCGAAGCACACGTTCTCGTTCTCGAGCTTCCGCGTATTCCGACTTGCTGTACCATAGATTGGAACGTTCCTTTCTAGGCACACGCTCGACGAATCGGCGTTTTACTCTATTGTGGAAAGTTACTTTCTTTTGTTGGGTCTCCATGATTTCGATGTTTTTAGTTTTGTGAGGTCGTCGTGAATCTATTTTGAATTTGCCCCATCAATCAATCAACGCCATATCATCCTTGCATGAAATAATAAAAGCTGCAATTCGGACGGGTCATGTGTGAATGGGAAGCGACTTCGTTAAACAGTCGGACATCAACAAAGAGCAAAGTGATCAAAATCGTCGCGCATACTTAACGACGATTTTCATCAAATGATGCTCGTCTCAACTGTGAACAAAGCCGAACCTCGCTCGTATGCAGGTTTGTTCATGCTATATCTTGAAAACATGGCGTTGAACATGACACACTGTTCGGTTGTACCGGTACTGTACTGATACATTATATGTGGAATGTTACGAAAGTAACATAAATACGGTACCGTTGCTCAAAATACATATGAATTTCGAGTCATCTGTGTCAAACGCACTGCTACTTATGCCTTTTTGGCAGTATTTTTGACGGTACCGTTGCTCGCTTTGTAACATGCCACGCAACATTTTCAAACAGAAATGTTACTCGTTGCCATAAATATTCGTGTCGTACCATAAGTAATTTTCAGGCAGGATATCCATCGCTCAAACAAAAAAGTTACTTTTCGCCTTAAATATTCTAGTAACTTTCTGACAGTATATTCCATCACAAGACAGTATTATTATCCACAAAACAAAAATTACACTTTCTCGATCCTTCGTCTTTGAGAGATGCAGGGTCAAACAACTGCAGAAGAACAAGCAAATATGGACAGTGGCGTCGTGATGGAGGAAGCAGCCGCCAATAACGACCATTCCGGCGCTGGAAGGAGGCGCTTTGCACCACCAGAAGACTAGGCTACTTGGCATTGGTATGCCATCAGAAAATCCACAGTGCCGCCCATACATTGCTGCCTGATATACAACAACCAACCAAAAAAGGAGGGGCGACCAGTTGACGATTGATGAGGCTATTATTATAGACGGTGATGGGGGCGCTGGTGCTGGTGGAGGCGTGGTGGTAGAGAACTCAACTTAGGAGACTTGTTCCAAAGCATCCAGATAAGTATCCAGCAACTGCAACAACAATTTAGTAACGTTGCTCCTCGATCTCATACAAATGTTTCAGATTTGAGAGCCTACATCCGGCATCGTGATCGAATTCTAAACAACAACATTCGTGCTTTTGGCGAAACAATTGAAGGTGGCTTGCGAATCCAACTCCAACAAGCAAATACTGGCCGCAGACTACTACTCTACCACTTCCAGCAAGCGGAGCAAATGAAGATGTTAGTCCCATCGTAGTTGCGAACATGGCTATTCTATCGGGCAATCCCAGGTCGTTAAACGAACTCTGGCGGGAGTATCAGCATGGGATTGCTGGTCGGAAGCCTGCACGTTTTTTCACGGCTAGAGAACGAAAATCTTCCAGTCAAATCTAGTATAACAGTTGCATTAGTTTTATGAATATGGTTTACATAGTATGCTGTAACAGCTGCTTGATTGCTTGCTCTTATGTAGAGATATTGTAGAAGGAAAGTTCACTGGTATTTTGTCTTGTTCGATTTTCCTCTTTGATGTGTTTCCAGTATCTTATTGACCCAAGTAAGCTGTATTGACTAGAACGACTAGAACTAGTAGCTTCATTCGTTCTCCAAACCAGTCTCAGATTCCGCATTTCCCACTCAAAACATACTGCCAATTGGGGTAAAGGATATGGCAACTCTAATTGACCCATGCGCAGTATTCAAATTAATGAGATATCCTCTATTTCTTTTGGTTTTTCTAATGTATGCAATTATGCTTGACCTAGTAGCTAGTAGCTGTGATGTTTGTTTCAGATAGGCATTGCCGATCACTATGCAGCGAGATGAGAAGTGACGCCTGCTATAATCGAAGAGGCACCCGGAATGAGCACTGCACATATTTGGAACCGCTTTCCACGACGAATCAGCGATGGCGGCGGTCCTCTTATTGATCTTGGACTGGATAGTAGTAGACTCGAACGAGGAGATCGTCTTCGCCGGTTTGGTAATGCAGCTATCAGTTCTTCTGTGGGGTCTGATAGAATTGTGTGAACATGCGTTTCGTGGGTCATGGCTCTGTGTTGTGCCTGCGCAAGGGATGCTTGTGAATGAGGTTGGTATGCTTTTGCAATCTGTTCGCCATCAAGTGCTAACTTTGCCGTTTTGCGGTCGTTGTACACCAAGAATGCAATTTCTTGTGCTTCTTGTTGTTCAAAGACAGCGATTTTGGCACTTGCACCATTGTTGCGCTTCCTGGCGGCTTCTTCAAGTGTCAAGATTCCTTGAGCATTCAAATTCCCTTCGTTCTTTTCTGTTTTTCGAATGTAGCATCTAAGAGATCGTTCCTTCGCTCGAGCTGTCTCATAGTCTTTGGGCGAATACCAAAGCACGGAAGGGTCTTCATCCAGAAAGCTTTCGACGCTTCGGCTCCTGACTGCCTCGTGGAATGTCACCACTTTCTTCTGCTTCTTTCGTCCCGCCGTCTCGTCTTGGTCCTCGTTTACCTGTTGATTTGTTTCCTTTCGGATTTTCGTGATTGGTAGTTGCGACATTTTCAGTTGGTCTTGGTGGTTGGTGTTGTGTGATGGAGATTTTGTGAGATTGTTGGTTGCATCACGTTTCATGATGGTCACTTTTATGAATCCATTGTCGCATTCACAGATGGCCGCGATTTGCTACGTATTTAGAGATGCCAAATATCACTCCAATATATGTAAAAACCAAAGATTTGGATGGTACACCAACGTGCACTTGTCCAAGGAAAACCAGTGCAACGTGCCATTCATTGGTGCAGACAGTCACGTTCGAGGAGAAGCAAAGTATGGATTTAAAATACAATTTTGTGCATGGCCTTTAGTGACAATAAAGTCCTGTTGAGTCAAAGACTTCCACCGGGGCGGGTGCGTTCACGATTACGCATTCCTGTACCGGTATCGGCAAAGCGGCTGGATGCTGGCTGTACTTCATTTCTGACACATCGGATGTCATGGTTTAGGCAGCCGGGTTGGCGCATGCTGACACCAGTAGGAAACTATCTCTAGATGCCAGTCGGGCCCTTATTATTTGTTCTCTAAGCCCAACCACAGATGACGACATCTTCTTCGGCAGCGTGTTGCGAGCGTTTGACTGCCGGCCACGTGAAAATGACAGCGACGGCATCGACGGATCGTGAGCGATTTCTTTCAAATGCTGTTCATGGCGGCAAGCTCTGCTCTGTGCTTCCTTCAAGGCTTGCTGGGAGTGCGACCGATACACTTTTGCGATCTTCGCCATATTCCGTGAAAACATAGACAACGAACCGTCTCGTCCTTTGCCACGTTTCCTATTCTTCTTGTTTCTAGACAAGTTGAGCCTGGCTTCTTGTACATCTTGTTCACCAAGAACGTCTAGAACAGAGTCGTCAATAGCGCGAATCTTCTTCCAGACATCGCTCTGCGTCAAGATTCCCTGAGCATTCAAATCGTCTTCATTCTGTACAACCAGACTATGATGGTGTAACGAAAGCCATTTTCGAATGGATTCTTCTCTTTCTCTAGCTGCAGTAAAATAGACGTCTGTATACCAACCACCACTTTTCTCCGCATTGGAAAGAGCAAAGACGGCATGGTACTGCACTATCGGGTTGAACGATACCTTCTTTGTGGCGCTCTTGTTCCTCGTCCTGTGTTGTGATCTCATTCTTTTTGGGATACTTGCTCCCCTTTCCTTCGTACCACTGGGCGAGCGGCTTTGCATGGAAGGGATGAACGCTCCTTTCAACATCTTCAAAGTCCAATTCTTGGAGCTGACGATAAGTTACAATTTTGTAAATTTGTAAATTTGTGATGACCGAAACATTTTTTTACGACGGTATTTCGGTCTCATTTTCTGTGTTCGTACGCAACAAAAAGACTGAAAGTTTCCCCGAAGTAACTGGAGACCAAACCAACGATGTTGTCACTGGTGCAAACGGAGTCAGCAGCAAAGTGCAAAGTATGGATATTAATAATAAACAGTTATATTTTTAATACGTGCACGTACATAGCCTACATAGCAATACAGTGTCTGTTGAAAGTATCAAATAATTCCGCCCGGGATATGCGTTCAAGACCACGCATTCCTTTATCGGCACCAAAGTGACTGGTTGACTCATATCAGATTTGGTGGCTTAGGCAGCGGGGTTGGCGCATGCTGACACCAGTGGGAAACTATCTCTAGATGCCAGTCGGGCCCTTATTATTTGTTCTCTTGGCCCAATCTTCTTCGGCAACGTGTTAATAGCTACAGTATTATTTGATAGCCGGCCACGTGAAAATGACAGCGACGGCATCGATGGATTGTAAGCGATTTCTTTCAAATGCTGTTCATGGCGGCGAGCTCTGCTCTGTGCTTCCTTCAAGGCCTGCTGGGAGTGCGACCGATACACTTTTGCGATCTTCGCCATATTCAGTGAAAACACAGCCAACGAACCGTCTCGTCCTTTGCCACGTTTCCTAGTTTTCTTGTTTTTAGACAGGTTGAACCTGGCTTCTTGTACATCTTGTTCACCAAGAACGTCTAGAACAGAGTCGTCAATAGCGCGAATCTTCTTCCAGACATCGCTCTGCGTCAAGATTCCCTGAGCATTCAAATCGTCTTCATTCTGTACAAACAGTCCATGGTGTAAAGAAAGACTATTTCGAATGGATTCTTCTCTTTCTCTAGCTGCAGTAAAATGGGCGTCTGTATACCAAACAGCATTTTTCTCCGCATTGGAAAGTGCAAAGACAGGACGGCACTGCACTATTGGGTGGAACGATACCTTCTTTGTGGCGCTCTTGTTCCTCCTCTGTTGTGAATTCATTTCTTTTGGGATACTTTCTCCCCTTTCGTTCCTAGCACTAGGCGAACGGGCGAGCATGGAAGTGATGAACGTGCTTTTCAACATCTTCAAAGTCCAATTTTTGGAGTTGACGACAAGTTAGAATTTTGTAAATTTGTGAGAGTGACACTTGTCGTGATGGCCGAAGGGTCTTTTCGCCACGGCATCTTCAATCTCGGTCGTATTTTTTGGGTACTTCCGTTAATTATTTATTTTATTAAGTATATAGCACGCAATAGTTTCCCCGAACTTGCGCGTTTCACACCTTCGCAACTGGAAAGGAGAGGTAACTTTATTGTCACTACAGTATGGTGCATACAGAGTCACGTTAGAGGAGAAGCAAAGTATGGATTTACGATACAGTGATGTAGTGACGATATAGCGCCTGTTGAATGCATGAAAGGTTTCCGCCTGGGATATGCGTTTACAACTAACGCATTCAAATCGGATATGGCTCAGTCAGCCGGGTTCTTGGCGCAGCATGCTTTTCACGGCTCTTGGAAACTGTCACCAGATGCCAGTGGGGCTCTTAGTCCGCCAAGGATGGCGCCTTCTTTGGCAACCTGCTACTAATATTAGCCTTTTTCGATAGCCGACCAGGTGAAAATGACGGCGATGGGATCGATGGGATTTCAGTGATTTCTTTCAAATGTTTTTTTTAATGACGTGGTGGTAGAGCCCTGCTCTGTGCTTCCTTCAAGGCTTGTTTGTAATGCGGCCGATAAGGTATTGCAATCTTTATTCTATTTAACAGAAATACAGATAGATTATCTCCTTTGCCTATTTTTAGAATTGGTATTCAATTTCTCTTCATTCTGTGCTTCCAGAACGCCTTCATCAGCGTAGATCTTCTTCGCAAAGAATAATTGTGAGAAACACTTTTTCAAATTAATTCTTCTCTCCTTTTACTAACTTTGCCATAATCCGCGCTTGTGTACCAAATACGAATTTTCTCCACGGTGGAAAGAGAAAGGACGGCATGGTATTCAATTCTTGGATTGAATGAAACCTTCTTTGTGGTGCTCGTTGTAGGACTGGTACTCTTTTCAGATTTTCTTTCTTCTGAGGAAACTTGTACTCCTTTCCTTCCTACCACTGAGTGAAAGGGTTTGGGTGGATGTGATTTAGGTATTTTCCACCATTTTCAAAGGGTGACTATATTGGAAGTGATGCCAAGTTACTATGTTCCAATTTGTGAGGTGTTTTTACACGCATCAATGTGGACCTGCAAATGCGAACTCAGAAATATGTGGCGTGCAAACTGACAATCACCAGCCCGGAAGGTGGAATTTACCGTACGAACAGTGCATGCACATAAAAATTACAAATGCTTTGACTGATTCGACTGAATAGTGCGCTGCTCTACTGTACGAGTATGATTATATTATGGCATAAATTATCATCGGAGGCTGACAATAAGGAAAGCATGGGGCTGTTGTCAATCCTAAAAAAGGTAGGCGAGAATCACGTCATCGAGCAATCATACAAACCCAGGTTATTTTCATTTGTGACTCTGTGATGCAAATTCCTTTGTTGTATCGAATCCTAAACACACAATAAAACAACTGAAATCTCCACTCATTTCATTTCGTCATTGTAACCAAACATAATAATGTTTACAGGTCAAAGAAAAGGAACGGGAAGTTCGTATACTGATTTTAGGATTGGATAATGCTGGTAAAACAACTATCGTGAAGAAACTGTGTGGTCAACCCATCAATACGATCGAACCAACCTTGGGCTTTCAGATTGAATCCTTGGAATACCAGAACTATCATCTGAACCTGTGGGACATTGGTGGCCAGTCGTCCATCCGTGCATACTGGCGGAATTACTTTGAGCAGACGGATGGTCTAGTATGGGTGGTAGACAGCGCGGACTTATCCCGGTTGCACTTGGTGCGATCGGAATTGGAGAATTTGTTGCAACAAGAACGTCTGGCTGGGGCAACCTTGCTGATTTGGGCCAACAAGCAGGACATTGCTGGTAGCGTACCGCCATCCAAGATCGTGGAAGCCTTGGGCTTGGAGGGAGTTCAATTCCAAAATCGTCATTGGGCCATTCATCCTTGTAGTGCCGTAACGGGAAGTGGACTGATGGAAGGAATGGATTGGTTAATTGAAGACATCAGCAATCGCATTTTCATGCTGAGCTGAGCATATATATTATTGCCGGGATGTACTGCAGCAGCAAAAGCAATACGATTTATCTCAAAGCGGTTGTGCTAGACTTGCAAAATACATTCGATTGGAATGTCTGACCATGTTGTCAGCGTGACAGGAAGTCAAAAATACGTCTCTTCCATTCATGTGCCCATCACAAGCAATATGATTCGCAGTATTGCCCAGGCACATCTTTCGAGGACATCTCTTACCCAATGATCGAAAGAAAACTCATGATACATGTGGAAAGTTTCATTGGCTTTTTCCAAGCTGCCCATCTTGCCAATTCATGATGTCAACAGGACCATTCCTCCTAACAGCCCAACCATGGATGGCATCGAGGGCAAACACAGACAGTATTAGATCTAAATTGATAGTTCAATGAAATGACATGCCTAATTTGTACACTTTTTTTGATACTTTATAATGATTATGTAACTTTTTTTGTGAGTTAGGTTTGTTCAGTTTTGTACTTTCGTGGGTGGTGGTGACGTGTGCTTCCATGTAACATGGTGTGGGTGGGTGGTTAATTCGTCAGTGTCGAATAGTATACGACTTAATGTTCCCATTGAATAGATAGAATGAATCAATCATCCAGATGATAGAGGACATCTAAAGTCTTGGAACCGAGGGAGGATAATGGTCATCCAAGCGAATGGACGCAATCCGATGAAACATTCCAGGAGGATCCTTGCGAGGTGGAGTGGGCGCATGAATGCGAGTTCCGCTCGAGTTGCTGCCAATCATAAACGGCGCCGGTCTAGAATTCTCCTTGGTGACACTGGAACGAGGGGACTGCATTTGGTTGGAGACGAGTCTCTTTCGTGTTTGCTTCTTGGAAGGAGAAGCAACTTGCGAAGTCGATGAAGAAGACCCACTTGCAGCACTACTTGGGGACGGAGGCTTGTCATGATTAGGGCGCTGACAATTCGTGGAAGATGACCCAGATTTTGATTCGTCCTTCTTCTTTTGTGCAGCTTGAACATCGTTGGAAATGGATGATTTGGCCTTTTTCTTGACTGGTGATCTCATATGGTTCGAATTGGGAGATCCAATTGACTTGACACTGTTGCTCTTGCTCTTTCCAGTAGATAAACTAGGAATTGACTTGGATTTGGACTTAGTCTTGGTATGCTTACTCGAAGAATCGAGACTGGTTCGTCTGGTAGCGCTGTTTCTCCTTTTTTTGACCTTGCCACTTTCCGGAGTGAGAAGATTGTCTGAGACTGGAGGTGCTGGGGGAGTTGAAATATCGATATCATCGAATAGTGCAAGTGCTTCCATCACCTGCTCTTTGGAAGAACCATCCTCGGACACGAGTGCAGCCGCTGGGGCCGAATAGCGTCTTGGTTGATCTGGCAAAGGAAATGGATCAATTATGGTACCCAACTTCTCCCCAGATGGGAGCGATCGCCTCTGCTTTTTAGGCTCAAAAGTAAAGGCCAAGACATCGAGCATGTCCGTCATGCCAATCTCCAAGGCGTCTGCCTTGGAATCCTGAGACAATTCCATGGATGTTACTGCCAAGATGATAGGATCCACCACTCCAAACTCGACTCGTTCGTCCTCGCTGCCATGCTCTGCCTGTGCCTTCAAGACAGCTTGCACCACTTCGAGCCGCCGGTTCTCGGACTTTTCGCGAAGCTCCATCATCAAATCTTCCAATCCCCGATAGGTGTCATCTTCCTTTGCCGGCTTTTTCTCCTCAATTCTTAATGCGAGCAATTCGAAACAGGCATCTCGCTTGATGTGATCGGCCTTTGTGTACCAGCAGTTCTTTAGTTCCTTCTTGGTGTATTCCTTTCTGGGTAGGATGCTATAGTACTCATTCCCATGGGAAAACCGAACCGACCTTTTAGTTTTCTTCTTCTTCATTTTCCGGCGTTGTCCAGTGGAAGAGGCGAAGCATGAAGGCAATGAAGAAGATGCCGATACCAGTGAAGTAGACGAGATTGTAGACGCTTCAGATCGACGACGGGGAGGCGTGAGCGGGGCCTCAAAAGAAGAAAAACTTGCTCTACCGTCCTTTTTCAATTTCGTAATCGTGGTTCCTTGATGAGTCACCGTACGTTCCGCCTTTAGGGCTTCAATGTAGCAATCCTCAGCATCACTGTCATAGTTGGATGAAAAGAGATCATCGTTGGTTTCGTAGTTCCCAAGTTCTGAGCCGCTGTCTTGGGAAGGAAACGTCATTGTCTCGTTCAGTTTTTGTGAGTGTTGTGTGAAAAATGAGAAAGCAGTTTCATAAGTTCCAGATCCAAATTTGTGCGCATGAAACGCGCAAAATGGGATGATTGATTGATTCGTTGGATCCACCAGACGTTCAATTTGTGTGGTATACGGTACTGGTACCAGGTACCAGGTACCAGGTAGTCTCTCCTCTACCCATACTGGACTTGAGTTTCGTCCAAATCCACCAGCCATAAGGAATCATTTTCATTACAATCTTCCAGAGGCAGCCATTTCAAATCCTTAGCTTCCATGCCACAGATTTCCTTCAAGGTTTCTAGATAGATCTCTCGTTGGGCCCGATCCGATTGGGCAAACACCCAAATCCTTGGCCGATGGAGACTACTACTATTCATCAGAAACTTTGTCCATGCCGCCGCGCCTTTCGCGACTTGAGAATTTTCGAATATATCCGCCATGACAAACAGGTCAATATCTTTCATCCAAGCATAGGAGGAAGGGAGTGGCCGTGGCGACGACGACGACGACGACGCAGCATTAATCTCAGAAACAGAATCGTCACCTTCCGAAGCTTCAGCAGTGGTACTGAGGCCCAATAACATTTTTGGATCTTTTGTTAGATCCAAGACTTGCGTCGTTATAACATGTTCCAAGCCTTGATCCTTGGCTGCCGCTTGAACCAGTTCCAAACAAAATTCGTCGAGGTCCGTTGCCACCACTTGAGAGTAGTGATTGGTGTGAGCTGCAGCCAAGGATGGCAAACCAGGGCCACATCCAAACTCGCACATTTTCCATTTCGTAGAGGATGCCATCTTTTCACCATTATCGTTGTTGTCGTTTGCAAACAAACCACCATGGCGACTGTTCGGATCGTATCGCAACAGAGCTTGGGCAGCAACTCGAGCGGATGGCCACACTTGTGTCGCCAAGAAGTTATCCCTGCTCGAGTCCAAATCCAAAATGGAGGCAATCGAATAAGCAAAGGGTGAGGACTTGCTGATAGTAGTTGAAACAGAGGAGCCGGCATCTGATGGATTCAGATGCATCTTGTGAACAGCTCGTCCTTGAACTGTGGGGCCTGCAGTGGACAAAGCATGACTGTTTACTAGCAATAGTACAAATAGCAATGATTTTAATCCCAATAAAGATAGTGAGGGTACGAGTAAAGGTTGGCTCCTTGCCCTCATCCCATCGTTGTGCGCGATGGAACAGTATCAAAAAGTATTATCATGGACCTACAGTATGTGCGGTGTCGTGCGATACTGTGGGCATGGGCGATTGACAGACGTCATCCTCAAAATGGACTGATATGACTTACGTTTAAAATGTCAAAATGGCAATCGTATGGCACTCCTTTTTTACCAACGGAAGAATGAATTCAATTCATCCTCTCGCCTTGCCACGTAGAATTAATCGAGCCCCGTCGTCATACATCAATCCACCAGTACCGATAGAGGATCACATTTAGCTGATCTCTAGTCATCAAATGCCAGAATGACATTGTTGTTACTGAAGTGTATACTTTAAAGCCACTAGTATCATAAAGAAGCCACTTGTTCTTACTATTGCCTCCTCATCATCCTCGTCCTCGCTAGGATTACCAATGGTACTTTCTTTTAAGCATTATATAATATGAGATCGTTTCGGAGTGTTTTGGTGCATCTTTTCATCTTTGTTTTGTAGACAACACCTTTGCAAAAGTAGCACGACCACATGATCCGACCAGCCCGAGGTTGCCATATATGATCATTCTACACCGAATTTTCTCACCTGAAATATCATAACTCTCTCGCACTAAATGAATCATCATCAATCAAGCGAGTCGGAACCAAAGCGATGCGAGCGAGTCGGAAGAAAGTGGAACCCGTTACCTTACTGCTGTATGTACCTACGGTACTGCGATGTGTGAACGGATGCCAGTACCGTACGCAAAGTTAGAAAGAAGCCCAAAGTAGGTCATTCTGATTCCAGCAAAATGAATTAAGGAAAAGCATATGTCGTAGGTATGAAGGTACTGGAACCACAATCGTCATTCTGACAAGTTAAAGCTGTCACTTGGCAACGGAGTATAAGACCATGAATCAACAATCTCATGGAAGCACGACACTTAATAAAGACAAAGCCAATCCGTCAACTAGTGTGACAGGCTTTTGAACTTGTCCATCTACGATATCTCCATTCAGTTTTTAGTTGCCGCTATCAGCAACAACAATCACAACAGGGAGCAATATGATCTTTGGTTCTTCTTTATTCCAATCGAAACACTGTGATATTGAGGAGGAGAAGGAAGACCTCGGTCCTTTCTCATCCTATGATGACAGATGCAACGACGATCTAAAAAGTCACCTTCGGTCCCTTTTGGACCGATACGATGGCTCCACCAAACACAAAGAGGTAATTGATGCGATTGAGAGACTCTCCACACTATCCCCTTACACAGAGCATAGTCCTGTTTGGCTGGATCTCTTCATGGGAGAGTTCTTTGCTCAAACGTCACCAAACTTCCCTGGTAGACTTCCTCCAGCTCACGAAGGTGATACACGAGTCCAGTATACTCTCGGTAAGCTTTCATTCAACACATTCCATCCCAGTGACCTCGTTTGTACGCTTCTAGGTGTACGCAATGTCATAGCACCTAAGCTTGATGGCACCTTCACATACGATTTGATTTGCGACATCATCATCCATCATGCGGATGGAGATATTGAAGCTCAGATCTGCAATGAGTCGTATTGCTGTAAGGACGACGACGAGTCTAATAGGATTCATGTGTTCTTCACCGGATCAAAGCTATCTCCGGCGCCTGCTGTATTCGAAAATGAATTTAAGATGTCCCAGTGGTCGAATACTTTTAATGAAGCGACACTGAAAACAGCAGCAGCCGAGAGGACATATTTTGGCTGGTTTCTGCATCAGCTTCTGAAGCGCATGTTGGGTATGAACGTGCGTGTGGGTGAGTCGAATAGCTTCCACTTGACGTTTAAGAAGCCATTTCAGGGACACATTGATGTGTTGTATCTAGATGAAGAAATGCGCATCACGAAAGGAAATCGAGGGACCCTGGTTGTTGTAGAAAGATTACAACTGTAGATAGATGAATGTAAATATTAGAGTATTGTTACCATTATAATTGATGCACTCCTTTTTCAAAATGGATTGTTTGGGCTCGATGCATTCGTTGCTTTGGATGTCACTTTCTTTGTTGTTAGTTTTGTACAAGAAGAATCGTCTCGTCACCCATCACAAGGCGATAAAAGAATCCATAATCCACTACAGTCCATAGCGAGACGAGAGTGGACGAAGTCGGGGGAACAATCACACTGTAAGATCTCTCATCATAGCAGCCAAGATGCATAACACTTTTCGCCACGCGTTCTGTGACATCCGCCAGAGAATAGGTTAACAGAGTCACCAATGCAGTAGACGGAAATGCTGACGAATCATTCAATTTTCACTTTTTCAATGACCTTTCAATGTTTCCTTTGAATTTGATGCTTCGAAGCCCCTGCCGTTGATTGTTTCCTCTCTTGTCAAAGTGATGGCTTTCGAAAACAACCGAGCAGAAACGCCAAAAAGAGTCGAAAACTCGCAACAGCAGCCGCATCAGACACACCACAAAAGTGCACGTACCGGTGTACAGTACAGTCGTTTCACGACAACGGAGTCCCGCGATTTCCTTGCGTGATGTGTGTGACCTCGTCGAGTTATTTTAATAATATATCAATTTGAAAACGAAAAAGCTATTGTTGGCTTTTTCTGGTGCATGATATTCAAACAGTACTTATCTTTCGCTTCAAAACTTGATCCAACATCCATCCAAAGTATGGCCTTTCATCGGATCCCGCTTCCAGCAGCTGAGGGGCCGCTTCATTGGAAAGTATTTCACCACATGTCACCTTGCACGACCTTGCCGTCGAAGTCTTCCTCTGCGATGATATCAGCAGTAGATGGAAACATTTTTTGGCAGTGAAGCATAGGCATATGATTCTCCATTGAGTGGAGAGTCTTCCCGGGATTGTTTGGCAATGCTTGGGTACAGAAGTCCGTCCACAAAATATCCATCCTGTGCTGGGGACTTCGCAACTTGGATATCATGAAATAAGGGTTTGGTGCGCCTTGCTTGACTGGAAGATTGGCTGATTTTTTTTCTACACCAACCATGCTTCTAGAGCAACGGCTTGTGGTATTATGTTATCGAAAGCTTCACAATAAGGGATTTTCTGGAGACAGATGTGGTCTATGATGCTGTTACTTCGGATCAAAATGAAAGATGTGAGTGAGCACCGGATGGTTTAGTTGTGAAACTGAAGATTTGGAGCTTTCAAATCCAAGTAGTTAACGGAAGCAATGTCACAACTGCAACTCGAAAAGCTTATGGAACGCTTATTTGCTGAGTTTCGTTTTGCCACGTTGGTCAAATTTGTGCTGACATCTGTTTTTGGGTGTCATTCTGACGAAACGATTTTTTTGGTGGCATTTATGTGTTCGGACTAGTCGAACTTTAAATCTTTTTACGAGTAGAAGAGGAGTTGCAGCGGGTACCAGTACACATGCACCGGTATACCGGTAGATGTATACCGAAGCCAAAAGCACAATTGCGAATGCTTTGCAAATGAGTTTGATAACGAATTTCACCATAGTTGGTCGCTCTGATGACATTCAACAAGATTTTTGATTTGCTTCTATTACAGCAGACAGTAGAGGAGTTACAATATCTCGTAAGCAACAGATCCAATTTCCCCAAAGCGCACCAACGAAGGGACGATTCTTAGTACTGTACCGTACCGGTAGTAGATAGGTACAGTATGGGTGCTGGAAGAGTGTCGCCCCGAATGAATCAAGCCGGTCATGCTTTCGACAGCCAATTGAATTAGGGGATATTTGTGTTATTTTGAAGACATGAAGAAGGGTCTGTCTCATAATTAAAAAATAATAACCTGACAACCGAAGCATTTCATCTGCCAGACATAGCACCTCCAGTCAAGAAGGAACTGATCTATTGAACTTTGATCGTTTGTTCGTTCACACTATCAGCAGCAGTAGCTGTAGCAAATACAACAGCACAGCAAGATATGATCTTTGGACCTTCATTCCAAACAACCAGACCCTGGGACAAGCAAGAGGAGAAGGAAGATCCCACTCCGCTACCGCCGGACGATGAAAGGTGCAACGATCTAAAAAATCATCTCCGGTCCCTTTTGGACCGATACGATGGCTCCACCAAACATGAAGATGTAATTGACGCCATTGGAAGACTCTCCACCTTATCCCCTTACACAGAGCATAGTCCTGTTTGGCTGGATCTCTTCATGGGAGAGTTCTTTGCTCAAACTTCACCAAACTTCCCTGGTAGACTTCCTCCAGCTCACGAAGGTGATACACGAGTCCAGTATACACTTGGTAAGCTTTCTTTCAACACATTCCACCCCAGTGACCTCGTCTGCACATTGCTAGGTGTACGTAATGTAATAGCGCCCAAGTCAGACGGCACCTTCACATACGATTTGATTTGTGACATCATCATCCATCATGAGGACGGAGATATTGAAGCTCAGATCTGCAATGAGTCGTATTGCTGTAAGGACGACGACGAGTCTAATAGGGTTCATGTGTTCTTCACCGGATCAAAGCTATCTCCGGCGCCTGCTGTAATAGAAAATGAGGTTAAGATGTCCCAGTGGTCGAATACTTTCAATGAAGCGACACTGAAAACAGCAGCAGCCGAGAGAACATATTTTGGCTGGTTTCTGCATCAGCTTCTGAAGCGCATGTTGGGTATGAACGTGCGTGTGGGTGAGTCGAATAGCTTTCACTTGACGTTTAAGAAGCCATTTCAGGGACACATTGATGTGTTGTATCTAGATGAAGAAATGCGCATCACCAAGGGAAACCGAGGGACCCTGGTTGTTGTAGAACGATTGCACTAATTGCATGTGCTATTAGAGTAAATACTATGGATCCAATCGATAATACTTTTTTTAAATTTTTTTTTGCAAGCATCACATTCAAGATAGATTGGTTGGATTCGAGTCGAAGAAGTGTTGCTTTGGGATCCCAATGTCTTTTTTTGCTATTTCTATTGGAAGCATCGTTCAATCATCCATCACAGGACTGGAAGAGAGAGCAACACCCATCATACATGGCAGAGACAATGGATGAAGTGGGAGGACAATCGAATTGTTGTTAGATCTCCCATCATAGCAGCCAGGATCATGCATCAACAGTTGCTATTCGATTGCATCCGCCAGAATAAGTGCAAGCAGCGTCGCCAAGAAAATATACGGCAATGCTGGTATATTTTCCCATTTCAAAACACTCTATTGATCGCTTGATAGTTGATGCGTCAATGCGTCTGGGTGTTAGCGATTGTTTTCTCTCTTTGTAAATTGATTGATTTCGAAAACAAGCGAGCAGAAACGCCAAAAAAAGTCGAACACTCGCAACAGCAAACACATCAACAAATCTGCTGTACCAGTACTATTAGTTACCAGTTCGTACGTACCGGCACAGTCGTTTCGCGACAATGATGGAGTCCCGCGATTTCCTTTCGTGATGTCGGATGCGTCGATATGCCAAATAATAATGTCAATTTGAAAACGAAATGTCTTATTTGAAGAGTCATTTGCTTCCCTCTTCCTGCCGTACAATCATACTCAGAATGCGCTGGAAAGCTTGTTGCTTGCTCCAAGAAAAGCAACCCGAAGCATCGTGCCCTTCTTGCATCTGCTGTCGCCTCCAAAGTGTTGGCTGAATTGAAAATCTTTCACCAAATTGGTATCTTGTCGCCTTTCACCGCAACTAGATAGAGACAACCATGTGCGGGTAAAAAGTACCTATTTGTGTCACACTGAGAGAAGAGTTTTCTTGGGGTTGCGAAGTTGGCAAAGCTTGGGCAGTGAGCTCCCTCCGAAAAGTATCCATCCGTCATGGGCTTGGCATTTGTATTGGCATGCAAATCAGAGTTGCCTTAGCCTTTCTTGATTGGAAGATTGACTGAATATTTATTTTCCTTCCATTCTTCCAAAGGGGCGGCTTCTGGCATGTTGCTTTCGAAAGATTCCAATGATGAGATTACATAGATGTGGTAGATGATGTCCTTGGGTGATGACAGATATGAGTGAGCAGATGATTTTGTGGTGAAACTGAAGATTTGGAGCTTTCAAATCCAAGTAGTTAACGGAAGAATTGTCGCAACTGCAACTTGACATCTTACGGAACGGTTTTAAGCTGGCGTTCGGCCTGCCACGTTGGGTCAAATTCGTGCTGACATTCGATTTTCGGTCGTCATTCTGACGAAATGCTTCATTTTGGTGGTATTTCATGTGTTCGGATTATTCGATTGAGCAGAAAACCACTTTGTTGAATCATCTTCTTGAGGTCATACCTAGAGCCGAAAGCACCTTGCGAATGCTTTGCAAATGAGCATGACAACAACCTTCACTATCATTGGCCGCACTGATAATATTCATCAAAATTATCCATATGTTTCTATCAGAGACAGCAGAGTTGCAATATCGAAACAGCAGATCCAGTTTCTTCAAATGCCAACAACGAAGCATCCACAAGGAGCAGAGATTGCGATGCGCAGCCACACAAATTTTGACCTAGACTATGCGTTTATCTTTCCGCAATCTCCAGTAGATGTGGTGTCTAGTCAAGTCATAAGTGGCATGATTCCGACTTCAAGCTCGTTCAAACCAATGGAACAGGCCTCAAATGTTCCAACACCAAAGCCTACGAAGCCTACATGCTCTGTTGCCGCTGAGCCTACGAATCGCTTAGCATTCCCACTAGCAACAGACATGGATGCCGAGAATCTCTCTCCATATCAGTGTTATCTGCGTGAGCAGATCGAACTCTTTGAAACTGAAAAGGATGACATGGCCATCAAGGCTCAAGGTCGAAATACTCCTATTCAGCTTGGTCAGGTTGGGATCAGGTGCCGCCATTGTGCCCCTTTTGCACGATCCAATCGGGTCACAAATGGGGCTCATCAGTTCTCGATGAGTGTTAATGGAGTCTATAAAGTGGCTCTGAAGATGGGTCGGTTGCACTTTCGTGACTGCCCAATGCTGCCCGAGAAGGTGAAGAAACGATTGCTCGAACTGAAGCAGCTCCCTCGCAAGCGGGGAAGAGGAAGGGAGTACTGGAAAGAGACTCTAGAAGTCCAAGGTTTAGTTGAAGATCACAGGTGCCTTCGATTCAAGCCATGCCCATGGCCTGGGCAAGGTTAAGGCTGGGGAATTATATGATCCAACAACTGCGATCTGATAAGAAAACAGGTACATATATCCCGCCTTGCACATTTCTAATCACTATGTTAATACCTGAATCGGAGAAAAGACACACCTCGGCTTATAACGCATCGCCGCCCTGTACATAATGCAACGGTAATGCCTTTTTCTTCTTCAGCCAGATGATTTCAAAGTACATACATTGAAGCAGATAACTAAATTTATAAATTGTACATACTATCAGCGCTCAACTAAAAACTTCAGTTCCTTCCATCTACAATATATCCGTTTTCAGTTGACAGTGTACTGCGGTTCCGCCTTGCATTTCTTTGTCTTCGAAATTTGAAGAGGAGCAGTCTGACGACACCAAACCAGGATCAGCTGAGACGGGAATGGTTGCAGGGCCCACCTATTCCTGCTCATTCGCCATCAGTTCTCGCTTCAATGTAGAATCTACCGAGATATAACTGACTTAGTTGTGCAGTTTTGCCTACTCTTGATTGCTGTTTCGTGAGATAACCAGGGGTGGAGTCTCGTAACGTAGCAATTTTGCTTTTCATGGGACATTTGTCCTTAAAGAAGGTGCTGATAAAACCCGTTGCTCATGCTTTGTGAGAATACAATGGCACCGCACTTCAATCGGTTGAACTTTGCAGCAGCTTCGCAAAGTGACGACATCCGATGCCTACCTCACCCATCAAAACCAGAGTTTTTCCTCCTCCAGCCCTTATGGAGATGTCGCATTGCTTGTTCACAAAACACCAAATGTTGCTTCCTGCAATAGATACTGATAAGGAGGCAGATATGAAGAATCCAACTTGGACATCAAATCAGCCTAATGGTCGCTTTCAGCATGGACTGCATGAAAGTAGTTGTGGACCAATCATGGTCGGTTGGCAAGCCACTGTAGTCGTGATGATTTTCGCCTGATTTTTGAATGAGCTATATCATTCTTGATCGGAAGATGGGCATAGCGTGGTCATTTATTCTCTCGCTTCGAAGGGCTTATTGGTATCAATAGCGCCATTCCTGTCCACTGCTGCAAAGGAATTCATTGTAAATGTGGTATGCTATTGTGTTTCTCAAATCTTCAGATGGTTTGCGAAATTGTGAAGTCAATGCAAAAGTGTGGAGAAGCCAGTTCAATGCATACTAATTAGAAATATCGCAACTGCACTAGAAATGTCGCAACTGCAACTCGGACAAGTCGTCTTCTATGTGCCACGTTGGTCATATTTTCACAGTTCGTTCGTCAGAATGATGCTTGTTTCATCTTTTTTGGTAGCTCATGTTTTTTGGAATGCGGAAACGCTATAATACATTATTGATTATTACCTAAATCTATTTATTGGGCTGAGTAAGCTCTTGAGCCTTGAGAGTGTTTCAACTATACTGCCTTTGCAGAGGTAAAACACGGCATTGCCAGCTTTTCTTTCCTTCAGTGACCACACAAGTTTCAAGGAATGAGGAGGAGGACGCGCAATAGGCTTCCACCTATGCGAGACAGTCAAAGTAAGAATAAAGGACGGTCGTCAAGTCTCTGCTGAGCGAGGAGGAAGACGCGCAATAGGCTTCCCCCTATGCAAGACAGTCGAAGTAAGAGTAAAGGACGGTCGTCATGTCTCTGCTGAGCGAGGAGGAAGACGCGCAATAGGCTTCCACCTATGCAAGTCAGTCGAAGCAAGAGTAAAGGACGGTCGTTTTAAGTCTCTGCTGTGTTGCCTCAAATGACCAAAATGGTCTCAAGCGCGACGAAGAGTTCCTCGAGTCATAGTCTTTACCTCGCCATGTGATAAAAGCTACAAGGCCAATCTGCCTTGCAACGATGAATGGGCCAAGCTCCTTCAAGCGTTTGCAGATTCCGTTCAAATCAAGCCGAATTCGTGGCTGCATATTCGTTCCATTATGACAATTGTACCTCGATTTCCCTTCGTGATACGCATTTCCTCGTCGAGATATAGCACGTCTATGTGTCCACGAAATGCCTTGTTGAACTCCAAGCGAAAGCTATGTCGCTTTTCCATTCGCACACTCATGCCCAGCATCCTCTTTAAAGCTTTATCCATCAACCATCCAAAGTACGTCCTCTCGGCAGCTGCCGTTTTCAGCGTGGATTCATTGAAAGTCTTTGACCACAATGACATCTTGCTGGCATCTGCCAAAACAGTGCTAGACGGCGACAGCGTTGATCCCGTGAAAAATACAGTTACTCGGCCAGACTCATCATCCTTGCAGCAAAATGATTCGTTTAGAATCTCAGCTTCAACATCTCCTTCAGGAAGGTGAACGATGGTATCACAAATCAGATCGTACGTGAATGTGCCATCCGATTTTGGAGCTACTACGTTCCTTACACCTCGTAAAGTACAAACCAAATCCTTTGGGTGGAAAGTATTGAAAGAGAGCTTACCAAGCGTGTACTGGGCTTGTTTGTCTCCTTCTCGTTTCGGCGGGAGTCTTCCAGGAAAGTTTGGCGACGTTTGTACAAGGAACTCTCCCATGAAGAGATGAATCCATTCGGGACTATGTTCTTCGTATGGGCAGAATACTGATAGGTGTTGGATTGCTTCGACAACGTCTGGTGATTTGGTGGACCCGTTGTGCAACTCTATTAGTGATCGGAGATGATTCTTGAGTTGGCTGCACCTTACTTGGTCGGATGATTGGTTGAAGTCTTGCTTTTCCTCGCAGTTAGGCAGCATGTTCGTATTATCAAGAATTTGAAAGGATTGGTATAAAAGAAGGCGATCCTTCAGTGATGCCTTTTTATACCGGTAGTGTCACTGTTTGCCTTGTTCAAGCGCTCGTGCAGCGAAAGACGCATAAGCGTCATATTATTATCGTCAGAATGATGCAAAATATATGGTGGTATCACATCTGGCATGATCAAAAGCTCAGCAAGTGCGTAGCTAGAGCAGATGGCGGTGATATTTGTTAAACAGGAAAAAGACGACACGACATTCCTTTATTTATATGATTGTTCGCTTTCCGTTTGTCCGTTTGGTAAAAGAGCTGAAAAAGCTCCAAGGATGTCTTGAGTGAAGGATGATGAGATGATAGTACCTGTACTGATAATGATGGGTTGCCGACAGAGCTCATATTACACTATACTGCAAAATCTAAACCTAAGAATTTGAAGAAGTTTGAAGATGAGGTGAACGTCGATGAGGCGAACGTCGATGATATCCTGACTCGCTAATTGTGTGGCCACTTGGAATTCCCCTTCAATCTATGGCCTGCCAATATGCTTTGGCTATTTTGACAATGATACGTTTGCTCTATTTACTAAATGTCTATTTCTGGGAAAATTGTTGCCTTGGTAAGGCTCCATCAAAAGGTTCTTCTTTCTTTTGTTTCATGAGTGCACGCTCACATGGAACATGCTGCATTGATCCGTCGTGACGATGGAATGCGCATTGGCTGTCGCACCATACAGTTGGACAAGATTTGCTTGCTTTGAGATGAAGCGGGATCAACGGAGAGCCAACGTGATAGCCTCTTGGTATGGTCGCTCACATCCAACACAGATCGTCGACCTCCTCCTCGCTTTTTCAAAGAAGGCAATGGGTCCGAGTTGTAACGGCCGATCCTCGAGGATCGCCTTCTTAAGAGTCCACCTTCTGAGCCATGAGCATCGTCAGGTAGAATCATAATGCGGAATTGCGTTCCCTCCGATTCGGCTCTCTTTTCGCGAATGAGATCGTTAAGGAATGAATTCAATGCACTCGTCCTTGGGGCATCCAAATTCTTCTCGGTGCAGCTATCAGGTTTGCTTTTTGCGATACGTCTTGTCTTGGTGCACATGCTTGTCAATGTTATCGCTTTCTATGAGGCTGATGGCTTTCGTTGTGTCTTGGTTGGTGGAGATTTTATGGACTTCTCCTAAAGCGAGTTCTTTTCTAAATTTTGTGACAGAAAATTTTCAGTGATTACTGTTCGTTCGGTTTGGCAGGCGCCTCCAACGGCAATGACCAGGACGGTCTTTTGGCCAACCAACACCACAATTCTGTTTCCACCCAATATCAATTGGGTGATCATTAAGTGTATATATTCAACAACAGTCATTTTCAGAGAACAACCATTGAGAAAATATACGTGCAAGACCCACCGAAACGAAACTTGGTTCGTAAACAAGAGTCAAGGCGATCGGAACCAAGTTCTACTGATCAACGGATGAAGTGGTCTTGGGCAAAGAAGGCTGAGACATAAATCCCATGAGGAAGTTTACCACGTGTCATGAAAGATTTAATCACCTGACGGCGTGAAGGTCTCCCTTCATGTTTCCTTGTGGTGATATATTTTGAAAATTTGGTCTTGCGAATCTGTTGAAAGAGATAAAAGAGCGCAAGTTTCTCTCGCGGGCAACTTTGTACCTACTGAATCAAAAGCTCGTACTGCACAGTACCAGTCATGATGACTGGTACTGTGTACTGTAGTATCGTGCTCTTGGCTTCTTGGTTGGAATACTTGTACGATTGATTGATTCAGAGCAAATTCTGGAATTAATGTAGAAATTAGAACCTTCGACCCCCTCCGTCTTTGTTCAGACGAAAGCAATGTAGCTGCTCCCAGAAATAGCCTTGGACTACAGCAACAACCATTTAACACATGGCATTCATTGCACTCCGTAATAATGCGATCGACATGCCAAAACAGCAACTTCATCAGGCTCTACAGTAGCGTTTTTGGTTGTGTGGAAAATATACTATGCATGAGACTTTGTCATCGGTAAAAGGCTGGTGCTAACACCGCGCTTCTTTTGTGCCTTTGCATGAGTAAAGGACATGAATCCACCAAAGCTGATCAATATACCAAGAACTCCCGTTCTGGTAATGTGATTTGCAAAGAGAATGCTGGTGATCACAATTGCAAAGATACGGCGGATGCAGTTTAGTGCGGCATGTTGTACCACCGAAATGCGAGACAGCAAATAGGTCGAAGCCAGGCTGAAATGACAGAAGATCAATGAATTGTGAGGAAACAAAAAAGCAAGAGAACAACAACATCAAGAAATCAAAGAGTCACGACGTACTTGTAGCTAGCAAACGCCATGGCATTGACTGTTGCCAATCCAACATAATGGACCAAGACTCCACTTTGCATCAATCCAACATGCAATGATACTTGATAGATGTGCTGCAAGATTGACCGTCCTTCCCATAGAATAGCCGGTATTCCAAATACTAGGACACCCATTTGTTGCATCCTGTATTGTAGATTCAAATCGTCCATCAGAAAGCTTTGGTTGCTTTTCTTTTGAAACAATTTCTGAAAGAGCCCACGAAAAGAAAAGCACAAGTTGGATATCATGACAATGGCGCAAGAAACGAGCGAAGCGGTCATTCCCAATCCACCGTCTTCATTGTTTTCATCAGTCGTTGTGCTGCTTGGAGAGTTCCCAAGTGTCGAAAGCACGACACCACATACAATCAAGGCGAGACTCGTCACCTCTTTGCGATTCAAAAGTTCCAATCCCCAAGCAACCGCGAGTACAGCACTGGTGATGGGTTCCGATGCCTTGATGGTTTCGACAAAGGCCGCCGAGGCAGCCTGAAAACCAAGATTGGTGCAGTAGAATCCCAGGCTAAAGCAAAAGCCGGCAAAGCAGAGATATCGGGCATCTGGGTGTTGGAGCATTTGCAAATATGTTTGGAATCTGAATGTCACGGAATTCCGAAATGAATGACAAGAGTTAGACAACGCTCCTCAGTCAGTCATACAGATAATACCATTCCTTCGATGCTGAGCAGCTTACATTGAGGAATTGGACGGCAATGACGGTGACGAAGAAGTGTCGCAAAGACTAGTCAACGGTTGGACCCCTGGACTCTGGAGACATCGAATGCTGAGCAAGAATCGCAAAAAGAGACTCCCCAAAAGCAATTGTTGAAACGTCAGAATGATGGGTGCCACTCCTCCGATATGCAGGTAGTAGGCCGATTGGTCTCCCATCGGATCCGATGGTGCCGACAACAATAATTTGGAAGTGGAAATACTAATGATACCCAGCGAATACCACAAGGCCACAGCCACCACTAGGGTTGAAAGATTCGAACCTGAGAGCTTGTTTTCTTTCATCACGGTCGTAGTATTATGGAATAATAATTGCCATGTCGATTTTCCAAGCTTGCCTTCGAATAAAAATAACAAGAAATTGGACCAAATACTGTTGCTGTTGTTGTTGTTGTGACTGGCTCTTTTTCTTCGCCGCCGTTGTCGTGTGGCACGTCCTGGAATTGCACGGGTGGAAGACGAAAACGGCTGGTGGTGGTGTCCATGTTGGTTGTGGAACTCTTCGTCCTCCATCTCATCTCTAGATTCGTGCAAGACGGCCATAGAGTAGCCCTTTGGGATCAATCCATCACTATGTGATGGTTGGGTCCAGCTTCTCTCGGGAGACGAAGTATCATGGCTTTGATTGTAGTTGATTTTATTATCTCCTGATTTGGAGTCATATTCGACTTCTTCTTTATTATCGTTGTTATTGCTGTCGATATTTCGAGAGGCACCGGCAGGAGTTGAGGGGCGAGACCTTACATTACTATTGCCCCTACTAGATGGGCTGGATCGGAGCATAATGAGCTGCAAGCAAAGCCCGTTCTTGTGTTGGTGTTGTGGGTAAGTATTTTCAGGAATGACGGTTATTGCTTCTGGTCGTATTTCAATTGTAGTTTTTTGAACCTCAGTAGTCGAATCAATCAGTCCAAACAGAGACCCACTAACAGCCGATCAACATGACCTACGTATGTAGAATCAGTACGAGAAACCATCGGCATCGGCACTGCAAACGTCATGCGCGGCGAAGGACCAACCACCATGAGCCGAGCAGCAGCTCTTGAATCTCTGCAACGGAAGTAGTAGTGTTAATAGATTGATCATCATCCATTACAACATGACCAAACTTTCTTTCGAAAACGTCGGAGAGTTCTCCGAGGCCCGAGCCAACGAGCTCTTCGAGTCTCACAAGAAGTACTTGGAATGGAGAAAGACCGAATGGGCCACTCGTGGCACGGAGGCTCTTGCCAAGCGTCAGGCTGCTCGTGCTGCCAACCACAAGACCTGGCGTCAAATGAAGGGCTTCGATCTCATGAGACACGAAATGAACCATGCTGGAAACAAGCCTTTTGTGATTGGAATGGCGTAAGTTATTTTTTGAAATATATCATGCATGTTGATTGAATGCCAATGGAAGATTTGCAATGAACATAAAAACATCCAAGATTTCTCATTTGGATCCTCATTGATACGCGATTGGATTCATATCGCTCCATCATTTTCAACTACGCTCTAACGACACTCCTTACTTCTTCTTTTCTTAACACAGCGTCATGAGTGGAGTTTACTTGTGGGCCTTTACTTCCCAATCTGCTGAAACTCGTGCTGGCTCGGAGTACTGGACCAAGTACCACATGAAGAAGTAAAGCTACATTGGCAGTGGTGATGACGGTAATATCTATACTGGTAATACACAAGAGGCAACCCGCTTTCCTCTTTTGATTAGTCGGGAGCAATCGATTGAAATGGCTTTAGAATTTAGTAGAACTTGAGCTTTTAATGATTCCTAAAGAATTTCATTCGATTTGGCTGCATGCATGAACTCTTTTTCCATCGTAGCCCTGGCGAACGTATCAAGTCGTTGTCTTTTGATAGTAACAGCGAGTTCTTTCTCGCGCTGCATGGACTTTTTGTTCAACTGAAATGACCTCCTCCTCTGATTTCAAATGTTTCATTTGTTCATTCATTCCTTTATGTATTAATGGAATGGGTGAGTATGAAAGACAGTACGAGATTAGACCACTCTTTCTAATGTATGTAAGTCACGACTGCGGATATTGTTTACATTACATTCTCCTCTATTGTATTAGCAGGCTACTGTTGAAGGCTCCAAATTTCCAGCCTTCGGCTCCAACAGAGAACTCGGATAGCTGCAGACTTGATGCAGCGCTACCTTCTGGGTGCGCGGCAGAGCTAGCCATTCAGGCAAGGCGGCTCCTCCAGAAAACTGCATGCATTGTGGAAGCAGGTTGCATTCTTTTCAGGCAAGCGCTCGACTTGAAATTGCCCAAAAGTCAGCTGATGCGAATCTTGCGCCCGCCTTGTGCTTGGCTTCACTTCTGGACACTACTGGATTTCTTTTGCTTTAATCGGATATGCGTCATCGTAGTAAAAGTGACAGTTAGCAACGTCTCCAGTACTTTATTTCTTGGGAACTGTTCAAGTTTTCGAAAGGGCGTCAGATGGCACCCTCTTCAATCTTGTTCGCAGCATCGGTTATTCTAGTGGCGACACTTCCACGCCTACCAGATGTGGTAGGCGCACCTTCCATGATCCGCTCCACAACTGTCACCCACTCGTCTCGATCAATGGTACCATTGTTATTGGCATCAGCATAACTGACCAAGACACGGACAGTTCGGAGATTGGTCTTGACACCTGCTTGCAAGAGGCCATCCAAGAGATCTTCGGGACTGACTTCGCCATTCTGGTTCTTATCAATGATATCAAACATATCCACCAAGGATACGTGACCTTTTTCAGACGCCTGTCGCAAACTTTGCATTGTCTTGCGCCATTTCCAATTGCCAGAAACAGCAGCATTGACAGAAAGTCCAAGCTCAGAGACCAAGAAAAAGATGATTCCGAGCCCGATCATCCAGAACAAGACCGCATTTGCCAGCAGTGTGTATTTCAAGAATCTTTCAGCAGCAAAAAAGGAAATGGCTCCTCCAAACCAGAAATTGAAGGTGATGATAGATAGAACAATGCCATGGTCGACGTTGGCTTCCTTGCCTCGGATGAGTTGCGCCAATATCAGGGCAATATCAGTAGTAGTTCCAGTAACTGTACATCGAATCAGGTTGGAAGAATAACGTGAAGCGATACCATTTTGAATGCCAGAAGCCGCAGCAGAGAACCAATAAGCAACTACACCATAATCTTCCAGAACACTGGCAATGATACCTCCAATCAGCAAAAAGATTCCTCCCAGAATGAAAGTAGGTCCATAGGTTGGCTCCAATCGATATGGCTTTGGATCAGGCGTGGCCAGACCAGCAATTAAGCATCCAACAAAGTAGCTAAGAATAATCCCAACGTGGACTCCATACGCTTCGAACCACCCTTGGGACAAGGTTAGTCCAGCAAAGGTGAAGGATGCTGTCACACCTGTGACAGTCAAGGCAGGGAACTTTGATCCAGGCGAAGCCAAACCGGAAAGAGTAGCGCCATTCAGAAATCCACTATTGAAGGCCAAGAGTCCAGCAGCACACCCAATAAATACTCGTTTTCGTTTCAGATAGTCTGCTTGCTGCTGGGCCATTTCCATTTCATCTTTATAATCTGCCGAAGTCGACGCAGTAATACGGCCGCTACTATCCGGGCTGCTGCCTATGGATGATTGACTAGCACACTCTGGGTACTCCTCTGGATAGTGATTTTCATCTTTTGCAGCCCATTCCACGGATTTTGCTGTTTTGACTGCGGGTATAATAAGTTTCGATATCAGATCAAGATTAGGTTCCAAATCCGTCTTTGCTGTAGACTCTGAGCCATCTTGGGGGATTTGTTCGGCTAGTTCCAAATCGGGACTGTGAAGTTCGGCTCCGTCGACGCCATCATTCTGATCTCCTGGAGACGAATCAAAATCACTGGAATCTCGATTTTTGATGGTTGCATCTACAGCTAGGCTGGCTGGTTGCTCCATGGCAATTCCGATGGGCATCACATCTCCAGTGGCCGCAGATACTGTTTTGGAACCAGTCATCATGCGCTCAAGTACTGCTTGTCCAGGCAAAGGCTGAGGCAAAGGCTGAGGCAAAGGCTGAGGCAAAGGCTGAGGCAAAGGCTGAGGCAAAGGCTGAGGCTGAGGCAAACTCAAACGCAAAACAGCTGTCTCTTATTGAATTGTAGGGGTTGCTTCCGAATCAATCTGTCGGATGCGAATGTATGTCAAACCGACGAGAGATTTATTGAAGAGCGAGATAAAGTGTCGCTTCCCTTTCAATGTACAGCCAGAGAAGCTGCCTGTTATGACAACAGTTTGGTTACCCACAGATCAGACGAAGAGAATTGTTCAAGTAGTGCAACCTGAAAGGCTGGACCTGTGATGGTCTGGCTCCTCTGTCGCGCAGTTTACGATTAATTTCGGGTATGCGTTGCATTCCTACCAGCTACAATCTGATTGGATCAAAGTCGTCTTTGAAACGTCACAAGTTTCTTTGGTGGTATCCGGGTTCTCGGTTCTCGACTGCTCCAATGAAACAGTCCCGTCTGCCCTTTCTTCATACTTGTGACTTGTGAATGAACAGTTTACGTCCGTCCAATTGTCATCTTCATCAATTTGAGCACCTCTAGAGCTAGTTTTCTTGTTCTCAACTGCAAGGAAAACTGCTACTCCTAGTACTCCTAGTCCTAGTCCTACTACTGTAGCTAGTAGTACTAGTACCAGTACTAGTGTAGTAGCAGTGCACTAGTACTAGTCTAGTACTACTACTAAAGGAAAGATTCCGCCAATTCAAGTCAAATGATACCAAAGACATAGTACACTCTCTAAAGAAGGGGAAATATGTGGTAGGCAGTTGTGTTTTGGTGATATCTACCGTACCGGTACTAGTACATCGACATTTTGGACTTCCAACACGCACATGAATTCCACGACCTCACGCCGAATACAAAAAATAGTCATATTTATCATTTCGGATCTGCATTTTTTATATATAGGGCGTCCTATTTTATAAATATCAATGCGATGGTGGCGTTTTATTTTTTCCCCGGTTGTCTACAAATTCGTCATCCTGCTTTTGCTTCCGACACGCAAACTTCACCATTCCGGTCATAGTAGCACTGAGCATCCTACCGTACACACCAAGCTCTGGAAATGGAAAAAATAATTCATATCGATGAAGAGACTAAGGAAGAAGTTTCCAGCTATAGCTTCAACAAGATGGCAGCACCAGGTGCATAATTCGGCAGAGACAACGAAGTCGCAACCTTACGATCAGCCTTTGACCGAATGATGCAGGCAAGACCTGGGAGCGCTACGACTGTGGATTCCAACTTTTCAAGCTTTTTCTCTCTAAATTCGAGCATAGACAAGGAACTGGTGCTCATCCAAGGGTCCAGCGGTGTTGGCAAGTCAAGCCTCGCAGCTTCGATTAAGAATGATGTGGATACTCTTGAGAATGCGCTTTTTGTAGAAGGCAAGTGCGATCAAATGACCAATAGTGAACCTTACGCTGGGGTGGCAAATGCTCTTGGAATGTATGCCAAGCACTACAATCGTCTCCAAAGGAGTCAGTCGCTGCAGTGGGTAGAATGATCTCGAATGATCTTCGGGATGAAGTTCAAACTTTGCTTCCGCTGATACCGGAACTCAAAGAAATCATCAAATACCAGAATGCGAGACGAAGTACGATTCGAGATGGTATCAGACAAAGGCAGGAGAATAGCCAAGAAAGATTCAAGAACGCTTTTCGGCAACTGAGTAGAGCACTGAATGCAGCCTTCTCTCCCATCGTGTTGGTGTTGGATGATTTGCAGTGGGCGGACATGTCGTCATTACAAGTCATTGACTACCTTGTCTCAGATATGCAGAATCCAAATCGGCTCATGGTAATCGGATGCTACAGATCTGAAGATGTGTCTAGGGCGATCGAGGAACTCAAGACAAGACAACTCAGTTGTCCGTTCCATGTGACCGAGATCGAGCTCGGCAACTGTCAGGTGGATCATGTACACGAGATGATCATGTCGATATTGTCCACTGAAAGCCAATCGATTACTCAAGATCTCGCTGCGATATGCTATAGAAGGACTGTCGGCAATCCTTTCTTCGTGACCCAATTCATGATAATACTCCAGAACGAAGCTCTGCTGACGTTTACTCAAGATCTCGCTGCGATATGCTATAGAAGGACTGTCGGCAATCCTTTCTTCGTGACCCAATTCATGATAATACTCCAGAACGAAGCTCTGCTGACGTACAATCCAAGCTCGATAAAATGGGAATTCAATGTTGATGAGGCAGAAAAGGCCACAAAGTTTACGTCAAATGTAGTGGACCTATTGCGAGCTCGCATGAAGAAAATGCCTGCAAAGGTGCAGCTATTGCTGCAGTATGCCGCCTGCATTGGGACTTGCTTTAGTCAAAAAACGATTGAAATCGTTTGGAGGGAACATGGCAACATTGGACCTGAGGAAAACGCTGACCTTTCCAATTTGCGGAATACTGTACATGACACTGGATTCATTGAGAAGAAGGGTCGCAATGGGTTTCGTTTTGTTCATGACAAGATTCAAGAGGCTGCCATGTCCTTGTCGGATCGAGTCAACTCGTCATTCATTGGCAAGACGCTGATGTTCGCCTTGAATGCAGAGAAGCTTGAGGACGAGTTGTTCGATGAGGTGGATCTAATCAACAGAGGGGATGTTGCTACGAGGCCAGAATTAGCTGCTTTGAACCTTCGCGCAGCTGAGAAGGCACGCAATTTGGCTTCTTTTCAATCCGCAAGATCGTATGTTGAGTTTGGCGCAGCCATGTTACCCCGGAACCATTGGAAAACCCACAGGGATCTAACATTGGCGCTCTATACATTGGGTGCCGAGGCAGAGCTTGCAGAGGGATACTTACGTGCAGCAGCTGTTTATTGCAATGCCGTGTTCCAGCAAAAGGACTGCACAGCAATGGAGAAGGCACCTTTGCGAATGGCAGTCATCAACATGCTCTACTCGGGAGATTCGAATATGAAGCAGAAGGCGTTGGACTTGTGCTTGGACCTGCTGAAGGAACTTGACTACACGCTTATTTACAGCAACTCTTTGCTGCCTATTCAGACATTGTACTATGTAGTAAAGACAGTGAAAACATTGTACTATGTAGTAAAGACAGTGAAAACGACGAAGAAGAAGCTGGCGGAGAAAAGTGTCGGTGTAATGACGAATCCAAGGCACCTTTTGATCATGGAGTTGCTGTCGAAAATTGCCAATCTCTCCTATCATTTGGAACTACTATTTCTCAATTCCCTTGCAACCTGTCACCTTGTCCTCAATACCCTAAAGTTTGGTGGATCCCATCTATCTGGGTTTGGACTTGTTATTGCTGGTGTCCTGGCTAGGGTGCTACTCAAGGAGGACTTTAGCACAGCTCTAGCATTTACAGAATCTGCTCTTTCGATTCAAAAGAGCATTGGTACATTCAACGAAGGGCGGACGACATGGAACGCTTACGCCTTGTGTCTGTCTTGGAGTACAACATTTGAAAAGTGTCGCCCAAAACTGAAAGAGGCCCAGATATATTGTATGCGGGACGGAGATACAGAGCATGCAATGTGGAGCCTTAGTGGAGAAGCATGGTTGTCGTACATGATGGGAAAGCCGTTGCCCCGTTTGCAGAGGGACTGTGCCGTTATTGTTGCCCATATAGAAGAGCATCGGCAACCAGAAGTTGCAGCTTTCGTCAAGATGATTTGGCAAACAGCCATTAAACTTACTACATGCCAAGGCCGTTTTTTGGAGCTGGATGGATCCGTATATAGCAAGAAGGAATATCCAAAAGCTGCGTCCCCACATCTTGGTGCTGCTCATTTTATGGAAGGCGAATTGATCTTTTTTTCAAGTTTCTTGACAGCTGCAGAGCGGGCAATCGAATATGGGGATCTGCATGAAAAGCTCAGTCCTGCAATATTCACTGGTATGCTCGAGAAGTTCCACCGCGGAGTAGCATTGTATGCAATGACAAGACAACTAAGAAAGAGAAGATACAGAAAGAGGGCCTATAAGATACGTAAAGTGATCAAGCAATGGGTGGAGGACGGCAATCCAAATGTCATACACTATGATTTGTTGTTGGATGCTGAGCATGCCTCCTTGCATAAGAAGACTTACGATGAGGCTGACGAATTCTACCAGAAAGCAATCAAAGCTGCCACTGAATTGAATCACCCTATGCACCAAGGATTGTTCCACGAACGGTATGCAGACTTTTTGTTACGAATCCAATGGAACAAGGATGGTGCCATTCATCATTTCTCAAAATCGATTCAATATTATGACGAATGGGGAGCGGTAGGCAAGGTTCAGCAGTTGAAACAAGAGATGCATGCATTAAGACTTATTCGGTGAATATAGTGTAATCATGGCATTATGTTAAATCGTACACCATTTCCACCTGTTTCATATGGTTCGTCAATCATTTCACTGTACAGTAGAGTATCCTTGATCCTCGAATAGCCCCCCAGCGTGGACTTCGATAGATTCGTCGATGCATAAAATTCTTCTTGCGTAAAGTGTTAGCCTCCGTTATTGGAGCACAAGTTTCTCCCAGAGGCCAGAAGCATCAAACGCTATTTGGAAAACTAGTTACAGTACCGTACGAGAATGGCCTCTTAGAATTAGCACTTCAAAGACTCTTTATATGTATCATAAACACGGTATCTCTGTGGTATCCCTCGTCCCAGAGGCACCAAGAACTATGTATTGAATTTTACAACTGTAACATACAGTGAATACGGTATCTGTCCCTCGCCCCAGCGGCACCAAGCATTTTATGTACTGAATTGTATCTCTGTGGTTTCCAACATCTGAATTTTCAATATAGAGTGCTTCCAACATGTCCTCTCTGGTACTACCATAGTGTTTACTTTCCTGGAGGAGCACTTTTTTAACACATCACTTGAGTTCCCATACCGGCGGTACGTGTACAACGAAATGATACAGAGAATTTTAGTAAATATTGTATGCGGTATTTCGACCACGGAGGAGTTTTATTTTAAAATACCAGGTACAGTGTACACGAGCAATTATGGGTTGGGTCACGGTTGATCGGCGAATCGGCAAAGTTCCGAAGACATTCAGTAGTTCAGTTATCGACTACACATTTTCTGATATCCTTCCTCTTTGTAAGTAAAGTAATAGCGCCCAATTATAGTTTTTTGAACGAAGTTGGAACGAAGAACAAGGAATGCGAAATAGACGAAAGCGGCATAGGAGATATCTTACGTTTCTGGTACATTTATGATTTTATGCATAATTCGCGAGTGACCGCTTTTAAAATGAAACCCTTTAGTTGCGATCGGAACTAATTCCGTTTCATGCACTGGGGGGTCCCACTCTAGAACTACTCATTGCTCCGTATGGTTGGGGCATGGCATGTCTCGTAGATGTTTCGTGTAGTCCAGCTTTGCTGTAGCTCATTGTGAACATGTTGGTAAGTGGAAGACCCTTATTTTGCGCAAGGGCATCTAACAAGGTGCTGAACTCAGCACCAGGAGTAGCAGCAGTAGTAGTAGAAGGCAAAAAGGGGATGTTGTGACCTTGCAAGAGCATTTGCATCTGTTGTAGAGACAATGCAGCCTGGGCATCGTTCATCATAACAGGTGCTGAGAGGAGAGGGGAGGTAGGTGCTGAGAGGAGAGGGGAGGTAGGAGCTGCGAGTGGCGCAGGAGGTGCCAAAGGCAAAGCACCTACTTGAGGCGAGGCAATTGGTTGCTGGTTGACCGGAGAACAGGGGGTAGTTCTTCCCTTCTTGGAGTTCTTCTCCGCCTTGGCTTTGTCGGCAAGGCTTTGGCGCAAGGCTTGCTTGGCACGCTTACCGCGTACGCGTCTTGATGGGATTGAGGCATTAGCCTCACGTTGGCTCTTTGTGGGGTTGGTGTGAGTGATCTGTCCACAGAGGTGACGCTTGTCCTTCAAGAAGCAAGGATGAGCAAACACGCAATCGCCGAGGTTGTCAAATCCGTAGTAAAGGAGTTGACGCTTGAAAGAGTTGATCTGGGTTTGACGGGGGAAGTACTTCTGGAGAAGAACCGCTTCAAAGAGTTCTGGCTGATGGATCTTGAAAGCATTACCAGATGGCATCCATGAGATGATGGATGAGAGATGAGCATTGGCTTGCATCTCAGATAAGAGTTCGTGAAGCTTGTAAGGAAACAAAGTCATGTTGATCTGTGTGTTCGACTACGTTTTCCTTTTCCAGGATTGGAAAGATTATGTGCCAAAGCGATAGCAACTGGAATTCGGGAACGTTGAAAAAACAGGCATTTCGGGCATTTAAAAATCGCCGCTCGGACACTTGAACTGGAACGAGGTCTCATGACTTCGGAAAATCCGTTTCCTTTAATTGATTTGGAAAAATTCTGATCAAGACCATGGGCTCAAACACTTTGTTCTTCCAGTGTCAGTTTTCCTTACTCTCCTTCGGAAAGTCCCCGCCTGGCAACTGGAACTTAGCCGTGTGGGACCGCTCATTTAAGCGTATCATTAAGTAATAAATGGAAGAAGGAAACGAAACAAAGAACCTTTTGCGAAGATTTTTCTTGTGAAGACTGACTCTGCTGGTGCAAATAATGATTTTGAAGGTTTCAAAAGTTTCGAATAAAAGGAATGGTCCAATTATTGACCTATTCCTCGTGTTGATCCCGAATGAAAGTGCCACTGGTCAGCGAAACTATTGCGTGCTAACTTTCACCATTAAAACACGAAAAGGAGTTTCGATCGGAAGCCGCATCGTTTCATCCGCCATGCCACTGGAATGGAGCTATTTGCAATGGTGGTCGAAAGCCTCGATCGGAAATTACTGTACAACGCTCCTCGTTTATGGAACCGGAATATACCACACCGGTACCATAGACTATCCGGCGGACTGGAAGCTGTTCGTGCCATCTGCAACCAGAAGGTGTCGAAACAAGACACCAAGATGCCTCGATCGGAAGAAGCCACATGAATCTTTAAAAACGCACCACATTATTCCACAAAACTCTTCGCAAAACAACGGTACCCTGGTACACGTACACTATACATACATGTACCGATACCGACTATACTGTACGGTATGAATGGACGAATGAATGGAAAATGGCAGACAAAACTGCATGAATGTTCCTGTGGGACCCATTCCACATTGACGCACCAAGATATCGAAGATAGATACAATGGCTTTGTAGAGAGGTATTTTTGCCAGACTTGTGAATAAGATCGCAGTGAAGGCCACCATCGACCTCCTCTCCCATGCATGAAACGAAAGAGACTCCTCCGTTGTTCCAATCAAGGTACAAATCGTATCTTCATCTCGTCGCGGAGAACTTCTTGGTTGATTTGTCATCTCACCATCATTTCCAAAGTTTTGGAAACAGAAACAACGACGGATCAAGATGTACAATGTTTCTAGATCTTTACTGAAAAAGTTTGGCAGCACTCACTTCTACATATCCGAGGATTGCCGCAGGACATATTGCAACAACTTGGATTTGGGCTTGAGTATACAGAGAGCGCTAATCAGTACAACGGCGTGTATTACTCATTGGCGTGAAGTTGCCACCAATCACCAAACAATGCTGGTCGCAGTGAAGGAAATTAAAGAAACGTAGACACTCTTCATTTCTCCATCTTCTTGCATCATCTTTTCATTGTTTTTGGATGAAATTGTGGAATGTAGGTTGTTCGCCCATCACATGTATTGTGATGAGATCACCTGTATGTTTTAATACGTGTACGATTCCATTATAAAATATACATGTACTGCACACAGAGTCAAACCTATCGACACGTTGGCGCGGGGTCCCACAGAAAGGTATTGGAAAGATACTGTAAACTGCGCTGTATTATATTGTACTGCCCGGGAAGAAGTCATTATAAAAACTTCTTCTCCGCCGTTCGAACTTCTGGTTGCATTGAAGTTCTTAAATGCAGATGGAAGTTGAATATCCCTGGTCGTTCCTTGATGAAGAATCAAAATGTGTCATGCCACTTGAAAACGAATACGGATAGCAGGAAGTGAAGACGCGAGACGACCCAGCTGTCTTCATTATGTGCGCCAACAGGCAAGCTGAAAAAATGGACCACAAGAAACGACAACAAGAGTTACCAGCACAGATGAAAAGAACCCCGTTCACTTTGAACGGTGTGAAGGAAGCTCCGACTGGATAGTATTCAGAGCTTCAGTCGTTTCGTCAGACTTTTCGAACCAGGCATTGGTCCAATTTTTCTGCGGCTAACTTGTACCGCCTCATTGTTGGCCGAAACATCGTCCAACTCGTCAACGAAAAAGACAGCCAAAGAATTCAGCATAATATCAATCAGTGTTTCCGAGGCAAATATATGACGAATTGACTTGTGATGCTGACAAAGTACCACTATAGGTCATCCCATCGACGTTCGCTGGGTCCGAAGCTCCTCGATTGTGGCTGTCTTGCTCCTTCACATAGAGAAACCAGATATAAATAGAAAAGGAGAAGGCTACTGTAATTTCCTTACAACGTCTGCAAAACCAATGCCGTACAGGTTGCAGACCTCGTGCACATCTTCATCCATTCCGGTAGCAAAAGTGCCAATCGCCAAGGATGTGGTGATGTGCAAATTAGTTGCAGAAATGTGCACAGAAGAGGTAGCGCCAGATGATGTACGATATGTAGCAGGGCTGAATGTCATTTTCATTTTCATGATATCCAAGGCATCGGAGGCCGCTTATTTGCCAATTCAAAAATGTCGGCTTCTTCCTTATCAAACTTCTCCTTGAGGCCTTGAGTAAAAACAGCGACGGCTTTGGCAATGGCGGAATAGTCAAAACCAGCCTACTTTATCCCAATGACCATTCTTCGCTTCAAGCGTCATCTGATGATGAGATTTCTATTTTTCTCTGATTATTATTTTATATGCAATGATGGTTGGTTTGTGTCACTATGGTCGAATAAATCAATCATGGCCTGCAAGTCAGCCCCACATATATGTCTGACAATACTGCGAGCCCACTTGTCGTGGGCGGACTATATATAGTAAGGCTGACGCGAGATAATTTTATAATGCCAGCAATATACTGTAGCGTGGTACCCGGTAAAACTGCGTAATTCACACACGTAAAATTCTTCTTTCTCATTCCAGAACTGTCCTGCTGCAATATAACACTCGAGAACCATGGCGGATAACTGTGAAGTTCTAGATATTCTGGCAGAGCAGGACCCTGTGAGGATTCCCTTTGAGAATACCCCAACGATTGAATACTATCACAATACGCTGCCGCGTCTAAGCACGAATAAAGATTTGCTGGATGACGACTACAACCAAGCTTGGGCCGGATTCATTACGGCTTTTATTGGATTCTTCTTGATATGGGGCTCGATGCTTGGCTTTTTCAAGTGGCGAGGACCCGAAAAGGCGGGATGGATCTCTGGAAGTCGAACAACCAAGCAAACTCAAGTGGAAGAGCCCTCCAGCAATGACAATGGTGTGTTTTCTAGCTTCCGAATACTAGCCAAGAAGGAAAGCACGGCGGTCGAAAACAAGAAGGCTTTACCAAAGAAGCAGTCAATGTTTCTGCGTATTCTTTTGTATATCACGATTTTTGGCATCATTACAGCAAATGGAATTCTATACTTTACGGGGTAAGTTGCTGGATCGGCGTTGTCCATATAGTGTATGAGATCGTCTCACAATAAAAATGCCCACCAAACTTATACATATTGCAGTCTAAAGAATCTGAGTTCAGCCACAGATGAAGGTCTAGCTACTTTAGATCAAGCAGAAGCTCAAATGAAACTGAGCGTTTGCCTGTTTGAACAAGTCATTGACCGCATGGAATTGGCCGAGAACAATACTCAAGAATTGTTGAAAAGGGCCAACAATATTTGTCCTCGAGTCCAGAATCAATTTTGCCAAGTTCTGTCTGATCCCGACTCTTGCGGAAGTGATAGTAATCGACGCCTGCTTGTGGATGACTTGTTAGGTTGGGCCGGATATGCCTACGATCTTGCCTCCGAGCAGGCACAAACCATTGTCAACTTTTTGCAATCCATGCTGCAATCCATGCAAAATGGAATTCAATTCTTTCAAAAGGAAGTCAACCTCAAAGTGCAACTACAGCTTATGCGAGACGACTTGAATGGCAAGATTGAAGCCAACCTGGTCGACACCAAGGATCAAGTGGAGACTGCTGCCTTGATGGTAACACTATCTTCTGTTCTCTGTTTGATATCGACTCTTGTGTGCATCGGTCTGTTGGCCGCTCACTTTTTGAAGAAACCACGCTTGTTGAAAGTATTCTTTGGATTTTTCATCTTTACGACTGTACTGATAATCGTGGCAGCCATTGCCATTACGATTGCAGCCTTTGTTGTGTCTGACCTTTGCATCGACGATCCCGATACCCGCGCCATTGAGCTGCTGCTTTTAAGACTGGACTTGAAGTCCGAAATATTGGAAAACGTTGCCAGAGGCTTCTTCGAGTCCATGGCAGATGGCGATATTTGCTTTGAGGAGCCGCCGACAGAGTTCCTTACAAACAGTATTGATTTCGTACAGGAAGGTATGGACGCGTTCGATGGTTGGAGCGGTTTCTTTAACGGCTTTGATAGTATCCAAGAATTAGCCTGTGGTGCCGATGCAACGTCGTTTGCCGATGTGGAAGCCTTCATGGAGACATCCATCAATGCCAAGCTCAATATCACAGCTGTCTTTCTGGAAAGTGCTGGGCAAATTTTGACATGTTCCTTTTGGTTGAAACTCTTTGAAAAGGGTCTGCACCAAGCCACCTGCTATGATGGCATGGAGGCATTGGCAACCGTCGCACCTGCCCAGTTCATCATTGCATGCTTGTGCATGCTTGTTGTGACCTTTCGTGTTGTGCTTTGGGATACTATTATCTTGGAGGCTGATGCTGGGGGAACTGAGAATCATCAAAGTACATGAACACCATGGAGGTGGATCACTTGCCAAGCGTTACCGCATATCAAACATATTCCAAAATAGGAGATGGCGTCGATGAAAGTAGGATATGAGTCATATTGGGACGGACCTTGATAGTACTCTGGACTGGGCGGGGCACTCACTCGTCACTTCAACGTGTTACCATCGCGCTTCCACGAAACGAAACGTCTGCTCCGCGAGATCCAGTGAAAAAACGGAAAGTCGGAGGATATTCCTTCCGCGCGTTGAAGTGGTTGCTCGGTGGGATCAACATCCGATTGGGTACATCCGCGAATTGGTCGCAAATACCTTTTCGGATCACTGGAAATAAAATCGGCGGAAAAAGTGCCTCTGGAACAGAATGATGAATTTTACATTCAAAGCAGTCGCAAGAAGAGGATTTGGAGCGCCTCCCTGCACTCAATCAGAAACAATTGACGGGAAACGTGATACAATACATAGGACTTTCGAGTTGTTTCATTACACATGTACTGTGTTACATGCGGTCGCTCACTTCTTTTCCCAACTGGTTGTGGTATGCGCGACCGGAGCTTGAAAGCGCTTCTTTTCCGCCCGCGAAAGGGAGGTGAAGGTCGCCGCCACCTTTCCATCCTTGAAGTTGTGTCGGGTAAATCCGCTGAATAATGCGAAGGCTGGGAACGCGATTGATGAGATCTAGTAGCTGCGTGGCCAACTTATTGTAAAACCATCGCGAGGAGCGTTTTTTCCTTTCTTTGCCGCGAAGCCAACAAGTGTCGTTGGACTACATGGATTACATACAAACCGTATGATGATTGATTCGTACAAATAAGGCCGCATGTGGCTTTTCTATCATCAACAATCAAAAAGTCGTTGTCCGTAATATATAAAAACGATCACGATGCGAGCCGCTTGCATTCATGACATGCAGTAGTATTAAATACTGTATTATGGTTCGGTCTATACGAGTACACTAATTGATTTTACTTATTCCTTCCCCATCCTTATGGGCCATACCGGTATGCCGCCGCCTCCTCCATTTGGTGACTCGATGATAATAACAAAGATCTGCAGTGTACCCGATCATTATTATGATTCCAGCTTTTGAAAACGCAGCCAAACCCATCGCAGCTACACCAGAGATAAAACCAAGACAATACAAGCGGGAAGGCGTCCCCCAGCTGATGGATCCTGATAAGGTGTCTTGAGTTAGACGAGATCAATTCTATACACGAGACAGGAACACAATCTATGCACATATAATGAGAGGAAACACGCGACGGGAAATGGGACGTGTTTTCGTTTTGGACTGCGCGTGGAGATTACATTGGAAGCTAAAAAATCAAGTCATATTCTCAAACTGATTGGTAGCAGAATTTGGACAATGGCAGTAGACAAAGCAGCATCCCAAACAGTAACATTCAATGTTGGTGGCAAACACTACGAGGTCTCCAAATCCTTGTTGGAAGCATATCAGTGTACAATCTTGGCACAAAAGGCGATGACCGAATCGTCTTCTCCAATCTTTGTGGACCGAGATCCAGACCGATTTTCTTACTGCCTGGACTATATGCGTGACAATGGTAAGGTTTTCTTACTTGAAGGTGTGACAAAGAAGGCGGTAGTAAGAGAACTCTTGTTCTTTGGCTTTGCCGATATAGACGAGTCGCTAATTGAGGACGAATTTTCAACTGGAAAAAGCGCCATGAGATTCCATACCTTACTGGCAAGAACTCATCAAGACATTGAAAACTTGGAAGCGGAGATATCTTCCAATCAGAAGAAAGTACAAATGGCAAAGCTTGCTATGCACTGTCTCGAAGAGTGTCTGAAATGCGTTGATGGATGCGTTTTTGTGCATGTCAGTTTTGGCAATTTTGGTGTTGAGCATAAGGAATGTGGTGGACTTATTGGTTGAAAAGGCTTCGCGAAGCCCATGAGGGTTCGATCAATTTTAGCAATGTCATTCATCTTTCCAAAAACAGGTACTGTCACCATACGTCGAATCAATTGACGTTCTGTCTGTTGAATCCCTGATGCAAACGAATGATGACTACGGATCGGCTTCTACTATCGCAAAGAAAGATCCTATCCAGCTCTGTTCTTCCATCTTGGACCCTTTAGTGGACCAACCAGTAAGGAAAAAGCTAAGCCTCAGTGCCAGCTGCCATTCAAACCAGCTAGTACTGCTGGAACAACAACACCATGCCTTGGAGGAGGAACCATGGGAACAAGCGAACAAGCGACAGAAACTTCGCCATCAACAGTTCGAAACTTCCGATGATGAAAGCATGGCTCGCTTCAGACCTTACCAAGAAGACCAATGGCGAATCCAGTTCAAGAAGCTCATCGAGTTCAAGCTGAAAAATGGACACTGCGGTGTTCCTCACAAGTACCCAGAAGATCGTGTACTTGCTAGATGGGTCAAGAGACAACGCTACCAGTACAAGAAACTGAACGACAACGACCCCACGTCCACAATGACAGCTCGTCGCGTTGAAGATCTGGAAGCAGTTGGCTTTGTGTGGCATTCTCATGCTGCGGCATGGCTAGAAAAGCTAAACGACCTGAAGGCTTTCAAGGAACGAACAGGTCACTGCAAGGTCCCATCTCACTATCCCAAGGATGTTCAATTGTCTACATGGGTCAAGTGTCAACGACGTCAATACAAGTTGTATTTATCCCGAGGATCATCGAGTATGACTATCAAGCGATTGCACGCGTTGGAAAGCCTTGGCTTTGTGTTTGATACTCGAAAGAAGAACAACAAGGGTGCCAACAACGAGAGGAATAATAATATGTTCGAGACACCGGCGGGCTTGGTGTGAAACAATAATCTTTAGAAATAATATGTTACAAGTAAGAGCGTACTTCAATGATGTTATCGAGATTTGCAATTATTTGTAGTGATGGTGTGTAGCTACTTCCACAAGATAGATACCGTAGCTACCTACCGTTGCAACAAAGCATAGATTTTCTGAAGACCAGTGGCGAGAAGGTTGGCTAGAAGAATTCCTTCAAGGTTTCGGTGAAACAAGCATCATGACAGCAAAAATGAGGTGTGACTTCGAAACCGTTCTCCCACAGGTGCCGGGTTCTGGTACTCGTACTGCACTCTTTGTGCTGCCGTCTTGCAGCCTACACATTTGTGAGGTCATGATTCATTGCTTTTGTCGCCAGATAAGCATCTTATTACGATGATGTATCATATGCGATGATTGGATACTGAGCCATATACCGCTTCTATTCCGGGAGCATTTGTTGCATTACCGCGCCGCTCCTTAATCTAGAGCTAATAGAACATGTCAAGTTATACCCACCACGTAGTAGACTACCAAATGGATTAGCCCGTTCGTGTTCGAAGTATTCTCCATTACATTACTAACAGTTTGCCCCTTGAAGTGTAGTGTCTGGCTTTCATGCGCCATCTCCGCAACGCTGCAGATGACAAATTTCGAAAGTGATTGAGCAAGCATGGGCAAGAAAAATAATGTCCTGCAACACGCAAAGTACAGTTACTAATATTAGCTAATCCGCGATTTCAATTGTCGTGGGAGACTAAGCAGATACGATTTACTACTTTGTCACTCATTTGTTGTATCAGGTTCATTCTTCTCTCTCCACTCATCTCTAGCATGCACAATGTGAACACCAAGGTGGGCCCGTGCGCCTGGGCCCGCCCACACGATTACACTATGCTCCGTGTATGATGAATGCTATACGATATCATTCACGTAGGTTTCTAACAAGAAAGGTGCTCAAATAAGGTTCCCGATCAGCAAAAATGGGCGAACAAGTAGTTGTGGAGCGGTAAATCGGAAATGGCACTTTATCATCCTTTTCGAATCACGACCATATGTTAGCTGTGGGCTCCACTTCAGAGTCATCGCAACTTGCGCGACTGCTCTTCGTTGTGACAGGTGGCCCTAGTGTTTCTATTTAGAATTCAAAATACGTGATTCATTGAAAGCCCACTTGTTAAATGCAAAGGTTTTTTCCATCGAAGGTTGATGAAAGTGAAACTTGAGTTGAAATTCGGGCATTTAGAGAAATCGAAACCGCCATGCGCGACTAGAAACTGCGAAACCCACGTTAATTCATGATTGCACGGTAAAACTGAGAAGTGTTTTAACACGGGGATGGCCAGGAAATCCCGGGGAGAAGAAGGTGATTTTTCTCCCTCGACCAGATCCCCGCTTTCCACGAAGTTTCAACAGTAACTGCGACGTACCGGTATACCTACAGTACGACGACTATATTTTTGTCGAGTGATGCGCAATTGGCATTGGATGGCCACCAGGTTATTCAGTTTCCGACGATGCATCTGTTATAATCATTTTTTACTTTCACATATATATAATGTATCATCCTAGGTAGTCCTAATATATTAGTGCACAATAATGTAAAATAATAGTGATAGTTTGTGCTGATCTGCTTTTGGGGGGTGAAGTTCCCTGAAAATTACCTAAAAGTCTCTGAAGAAAGTTGTTCCCTTCAGTTCTTTCGAGAAAACGGGTCAAATGGTAACCTCCATCTCGCCCGCGCGAAAACACATAATTTCGTTCATCGAAAGCAACACGTCCGCACGAAAACACATAATAAATATACGGTTTTGCAACACGTAACGGTCCGGAGCGAACGGAAGTTACAATAGGTAGAGATAGACCGTTTCACAAAAACAGAAGAAAACGCAAGAAGCCATATAATATAAACTAGGCTTTGGAAACGATGGATGACACTGTTATCACCGATCAAACCCTCAAGGGCTTCGCGAAGCCTTTTCAACAACTGAATGACTCCTCATCGGCGCCACTTTTTCATGTTCCATCACCAATGAATAAGGTACCATATTTTGTTTCTTGGTGTTGCCCTGGCCTTTCCCAAGACGAGGATCACCACATCCCTTTTGTGATCCCTTCGACGATCCAGATATGGAACCTCTTCCTTTGGGTCCAGAGGCTGTCAGGAACAATCATGGTGAGCAAAAACAGGTACTGTCACCATACGTCGAATCAATTGACGTTCTGTCTGTTGAATCCCTGATGCAAACGAATGATGACTACGGATCGGCTTCTACTATCGCAAAGAAAGATCCTATCCAGCTCTGTTCTTCCATCTTGGACCCTTTAGTGGACCAACCAGTAAGGAAAAAGCTAAGCCTCAGTGCCAGCTGCCATTCAAACCAGCTAGTACTGCTGGAACAACAACACCATGCCTTGGAGGAGGAACCATGGGAACAAGCGAACAAGCGACAGAAACTTCGCCATCAACAGTTCGAAACTTCCGATGATGAAAGCATGGCTCGCTTCAGACCTTACCAAGAAGACCAATGGCGAATCCAGTTCAAGAAGCTCATCGAGTTCAAGCTGAAAAATGGACACTGCGGTGTTCCTCACAAGTACCCAGAAGATCGTGTACTTGCTAGATGGGTCAAGAGGCAACGCCATCAGTACAAGAAACTGAACGACAACGACCCCACGTCCACAATGACAGCTCGTCGCGTTGAAGATCTAGAAGCAGTTGGCTTTGTGTGGCATGCCCATGCTGCAGCATGGCTAGAAAAGCTAAACGACCTGAAGGCTTTCAAGGAACGAACAGGTCACTGCAAGGTCCCATCTCACTATCCCGAAGATGCGCAACTATCTACATGGGTCAAGTGTCAAAGACGTCAGTACAAGTTGTATGTATCCCAAGGCTCATCGAGTATGACTTTCAAGCGATTACACGCGTTGGAAAGCCTTGGCTTTGTGTTTGATACTCGAAGCAAAAAGGTTGCCAAGAAGAATTCCTCCAAGTCCCCAACATAGCATGTTCCTTGTAAGACAATAGACATACTATTTAGAAGTCAATATATGTCCTAAAACCATGCCTCAATGCTATGCTATCCAACTTGCGATGGTTCGTAGTGGGACTGTTTGCGTCCACTTCGGTACATGGATGCTTTTACACCCCTAGAGTAGTTTATCCTTTCTTATTCGTTACAGGCAGCGCCACCACCAGCGTTGCGTCATGTAAGCTTTCTTCTCCCCTTCCCAGCTCAAATCGAAATGCGAAGTTTCGGTCAAACACAGCAAAAACAGGACTGTGGTTCGGTTTCGAAACGGTACCAGCACCAGGTACTGTGCTGCTACAAGTGCCAGGTACTCGTACCTACTGTACAAGTACCTCAACCAGTAAGCGCGATTCGATTTCAATTGTGCTGGCGTCTTGCTGTTCCGGGTATATCTCGATTCATGCAGCACACATTTGTGAGGTCATGATTCAGTGCTTTTTGGTCATGATTCAGTGCTTTTTGGTCATGATTCAGTGCTTCCGTATTGTATGCGATGATGTTGGATATGCGGTGAGCATGTTGTACCGGTAGCATACCTGGTACAATTCCAGGAGCATTTTGAATTTGTTCCATTGACGCGCCGAACTTTCTACCGAGTATGGTATATCGACCCTATAGCTGGTTTAGGTTGCCCCATGTTACCCACCATACTGAACGTGTTACCAACCATCACGATACTGCAACTTGCGTCGGATTCTTAGCAGAATGATTTCGACGTGACCGAAACAATGTCACCTCAGCACAATGGCAACAGAGAACGACCAAAAAGTTTCTTGTCTACACGGATTTGCAACCTTCGAAAAACACAAGTTATTTGAAGAACTCAGATTCCCGGGAAATCTGTCACAGGAGGGTCATAGGTTGACGATTCAGCATCCAACATCCTTCCAGCCGCGAAGTTTTAGAACTTTCTTTCTCAGTATGACAAAGCGGATCGTGCTTCAGGAGAACAAATCGCCAAGGCTACAAAGATTAGTGCTTGGCTTGAAAAGCAGACCTCGGCATTCTGTATGGATTGCGAAGAGCACGATCGCCAAAGCACAGCCGCGCCGCTTCAGAACATGTTAGCTTAGTGCTACAAGCGGTGTTTGCTTCAAGAGAAGTCTATTGCCAAAACTAGAAAGAATATCGGAAATCGCAAAGAGGGTATTGAAGAGCACAATCGTGAAATTAGAACCGCAAAGCTCCAGAACATTCTAGTTCAGCTTTGCAAATGGATATCCTTTCACGAGACAGAAATTGCCAAGGCTACAAATGACACTACTCGTCTTGAAAAGCAGATTAGTAATCGCAAACAGGTCCTAGAACCTCAATGGGAGCGAATCCATTTGGAGAAGTTGGTCGTCAGTCGTTTCATGGAAATCGTCGGAATCCCTGCAATTCAATTTTTTGTTGTTGGAGATGTGCATCGAAGTGCTGTCGCCTGCATAAGACATCACTTCACAGATTATAAACTTTAAAGATGCAACCAGAATGAAAACTGGCAAAACGTTGGCCTATAATACAAGCTATAGAAATCTAATTTATTCCACTCGATTTCTCTGTGATACACCTTACTACTTTCCCCACCCTTTTTGTCAGTCTGGCAAATTTCCGAGCATGCTACATGAGTTGTTGAAGTAGAATGGAATAAAAATGTAAATACAGTTCATCTACAGTAATAATTTAGGCAGCAGCTGTGAGATCGGTGCATCCCAATTCGATCAACTTTTGGTAAGTGACAGCAAAGTCATCAAAGAAGGCCTTCTCGTCCTTGGCGTACTTCTCAACAAAAGGGCGGAACTTCTCGTCCTTCAACAAAGCCATGTCGGAAATCAACATCATGGTACCATCACTGCCCGCGAATTGTGGGTTTCCAGTACTGGCCTTGGATTCCTTCCATTCTTTGTTCAATAGGTCAACGAAGTAAGCATTGTCGAACTTGTAAGGATCGGCGGTCCATGGTCCTTCGAATCCAGAGCGGTCAGCGTGGCACTTTCCAACAGTGTGGGCCCCACTAAGGATAACAATGTCTTGATCGTTGAATCCCATGCGGCCAAAGACAGCGCGCAAGTGATCGCTTTCCTTGTCAGCATCAGGGTGGCGTCCCTCTTCGACGGATTCGCCGACTTCTTTGGCGTCCTTGCGACCAACACGGAATGGCACATCAGGTCCTCCCCTGAGAAACGAGAGAGAGAGAGAATGAGAGAAATGTTGGGAGCATTTGATTGTAGTATGTATGATCAAAATATCCTTCGAAGACTCTGAGAAGATACAATAATGTCTGGTCGTGGTTTACTTACATTTCCTTGACAGCAACGATAGAAGCCAAGGCCCAGAAATCAGCATAGGTCATATCCTTAGCTGGTCCATTCTTGATCATCTCAAGCAAATCACGTGCTACAGCAAGTCCGGCGTTGGCACCAAAAGCGGCCTCGGACTTATCTCCAGTGAAACGCATGCAGCCGCGTGGTCCTCCAGTCTTGGTGTTCTTGCAGAAGGTACCAGCATCGTGCCAAGCCAATCGAATGAGGATGGGTCCACACTTCTTCTCGTTGACAAGGTCGGCAATGGCGGAACGGACAGCGGCGTAATCAGTTGGCATCTTTGTTTGTTTCTTTGCTTGTTTGTTTTGATAAGATGGAATTTATGGCCTCTTCGGATCTGTGATGGGTGTGATCTGACGAATGACCTGGCTTCAGCGATCTTCGAAGATTTGCGTAGAACTTTGGTCTGCGCTCTTCCGACCAATGGAATAACGCCCTTTGCTATAAGAACCCTTTATTTGACTAATTTGACAGTCTGAAAAGGATCATCTGATATCCAAACACCGCGTTCTACACCAACAGCAAAACTGACGTCAGACGATCGCATAAAGGGGGAGGCGCTTCTGTCTCACGGAGGGAAGATTTTGGGAGGCACAATTGAGGGTCTTTTTGGATGCTATGGAACATACTAGAAATGATTACCGAAATAGCTACAGTAGGTTATGACATGCATAGGCGAATGCAGATGACACTAGAAACGATTCTATCAAGTCGCCGATATTTTGCACTGCTGCTGGCCCTGAAACTACCAGGTACTCCTAGGCAGCCCAAACAGCAGTGCCAGTAGTAGAAATGAACAAAGAAAGGGGGTACGCAGTAGTTCTAGCATCTTCTACAAGAATTTCTTAGCTCTAAGCGTCTTGGAGGTCCTTGCATCCTAGCTCCAACAACTTTTGGTAGGATTCAGCAAAGTCGGCAAAGAAGGCGTCTTGGTCTTGAGCATACTTGTCAACGTAGACTCGGAACTTGTCGTCTTTCATCAAAGCCAAATCACTAATCAACATCATGGTACCGGAATCAGAATTGTACTGAGGGTTTCCTGCACTAGTTTCTGTTTCCTTCCACTGCTTATTGAGCATATCCTTATAGTAAGAATTGTCAAACTGGTATGGTTGTTCGGTCCAGGGACCATCAAATCCACTGCGATCCAAATGACAAGATCCGACAGTGTGAGCTCCACTCAAAATGACAATGTCTTGGTCGGTCAATCCCATTCGGCCAAAGACTTCGCGCAAGTGATCCGATCCCTTGTCGCCATCAGGGTGACGACCTTCGGGGACAGACTCGCTAACTTCTTTGGCGTCCTTGCGGCCCATGCGGAATTTAATCTTGGGTCCACCCCTATAGCAGGTACAGAGCGAATGCAACAAGTTATAATATTGAATGAGTATCAGGCACGGCGTTGCGTTCGCATTGGAAATATCATATAGCAGTGTATATAGAATACTCACATCTCTTCAATGGCCACAATGGAAGCCAAGGCCCAAAAGTCAGCAGTCGACATGTCAGCAGCCAGATCGTCCTTGATAATTTGAATCAAGTCACGTGCTACTGCAAGGCCAGCGTTGGCACCAAAATCAGCCTCACATTTGTCGCCCTCCAATCGCATGACACCGCGAGGACCACCCGAGTTGTCCTCTTTCGAATAAGTTCCAGCATCGTGCCAAGCCAATCGAATCAGAATGGGACCGCAGTTCTTCTCCTTGACGAGATCGGCAATGGCCGATCGAACAGCCGGAAGATCACTTGTAGCCGCAGCCGAGAGGGCAAAAGAAGAGGTGCTAGATCTTGTCGTGATAGATCTTGGAACGAATGCAGAACCATTCGAAGTCCAAGAGACGACGACAAGAAGAGAAAGTAGGCCAAAGGATTGAATCTTCATGATGTGGATGATGATGCGAATGCCGATTTTATTCGTTTGCAAATGCAAATGCAAATTTGTGAGGAAAGCGCTTGTGTTTTGGGATGATGGATGGATCGTGTTATTTTGATGGTCTTCCGATCTTTAAGATTCAAAATGCGGGTTCAGGTTTCTGATGTTTGATGGTGGTGCGGACTACCGGTACGAAGTTGGAACACTTTCGAAAAGATTTGATTTTGGTAGATGAGGTTTTCAATTATCGACTGCCTCGACCGCTCATGTAAATTCTCCGAGGACGCATGTCCGTGTTTCTTTTGTGTTCATCTCGTCACCATGAAATCATCGCACCATAACTGACGACAGCGTGCAATGGAATGAGAATAACACCCAAGTTGAGAAATATAGTCATCATCATGCTCCTTCAAGTCGCTACTAGAATACAGTCTATCAGAGCCTTTTCCAGATCCACCCTTCTTCGGCAGCTGGGTCGCACAAGCACAAGACGGACCCATACATCGACTGCAGTGCCTGGTAGAAGTCGACCACATTCGTCCTCTTGGATGACAACGGCCGGTCTTATCATGGCCTTGAGTAGCACTGCTGCGGCTTCGCAAACATTGTGTCAAGGAGATGGTGATAACAGCATCTTGACGGTCCCTCCCTTTGATGAATCTGTTCTCATTTATGACCATTACAATGGCGTGACCCTGAATTTGGAAAAGCTGTTATCGGAAACAACGAATGAGGAAGAAGAATCCGCGCTCTTTGCCAAAAACTTGGAGGGCGCCATGAAATTTTGGAAAGCGGAACAGCGGAAGGGTATTTGGGTTCATATTCCCACCTCCAAAGCTCACTTGGTCCCCCATTGCGTCAAGGAAGGATTTAACTTTCACTTTGTCAAGGACAAGGTACTGATTCTGAGTCAGTGGCTCCCGCAAGACAGGCCCTCCAGATTACCGTTGGGCCCGACTCATCAAGTTGGAATTGGAGCCGTGGTTTTTCACCCGAAAGATCCTTCTAAAATGCTGGTAGTACAAGAAAAGACTGGTCCAGGTAAGAATTATGATTCGCACATTTGCGAGGAGGAAATTTTTTTGATTGGAATGCTTGATATGGGGATATTGGCTCACACAATCTTCGATTGCTATATTACCACAGCTGCAAAATGGGGACTGTGGAAAATGCCGACAGGTCTATTGGATCCTACTGAAGATATTCCGGAGGCTGCCTCTCGCGAACTGATGGAAGAAACGGGTTTGGATGCCGTCATGGATGGTATCTTGTGCTTTCGACAAGCGCATCGACCGTCCAGCGCTTCGGATTTGTTCTTTGTATGTCACTTGACCCTCAAAGATCCAGAAGCAAAATGGAAAGCATGCGAAGATGAAATTGCGGACATTCAATGGATGTCCGTCGAGGATTATTGTGGACAGGAACGGTGGAAGGGGTCCCCGACGTATGAAACATTGAACGATACCATTCGCAAGGCATCCAAAAAGGCACAAGATTCCGAAGATAACAATATCGAAGGAATGATTGACTCTGAGATTTTGGGCGTTGGATTGGGATTTCCTGGAACCAATGCAGTCTTTAAGAGTCATCTATAAATTGATGCTCATTGTACACACATTGCCCTAAAAAACAGTTACATCTAAATATTGATACAGTCTAAAGCAAGGTCTAAATCTAACGACGCTAGTCGGACGCTAGTCGGATATATCAAAAGCCCCTCCATCAACTTCGTACACATGATCTTTGTCTTTTGGTTTCTTCTTTGGTTTTCGGTCTGGAAATACTTTGTAATAATCTTTGTCTATTCGAGCATAAAGGACGAAGCAGACGACATGGTTAGTTCATCGAGAACAAACATGTAGGGCAAAAAAGAAGTGGATTACTTACTGATGTCGGCTCCTTCTGACGCATATGTCAATCGCAGCGCATCGATACTGATCCCTTTATGAGGATTGCAATCCAACGCCTTACATGCCATCACATACATATCTTCCGTCATTGTATTTCCTTCCGTTGCCATTTGTAGAGCGGCCAACTCTGAAAAATTCAAATGGCCATCTTCATTGGCATCAAACTGTTCGTGCAAACTTCGCACTCGGTCTCGAAAGAGTTCCGCCGTCATGGGCTCAGGTGCGTCATCATCATCATTGTCATCATCATTGAAGATTGCCGTAATTTCTTCCTTTTCTGTTTCTTCTTTTTCGTCGTCGTCGTGAGCAGCCATCTTATTGGGAGGAGCTTCTTCTTTAGTTTCTTCTTCTTCTTCTTCTTCTTCTTGAGCTGACACCTTATTGGGAGGACAACAAAACATAAATTTCGAGGTGGATAGGAGCTATATACCGGTATGACGATGAGAATTGAGAATGCAGTTTTCGAAAAATGAGTACCACTGGCCGTCCGTCATCCGTGGATGGACGCATGAAGGTTGGACGTGAAAAAAAGGTAGCTTCTGTGCTTCAACCGCCGAATGAATCAATCTTTAAGCGCAATAACCCGGAGATAATGAGCCCTATTCATAAGTTGTTTTGGGTTCTGATGCAAAGACGGTGATAGTGTTGCTGAAGGCTGGAAAGCACATTGCAACCACCAGAATTCAGCACCATGTCCCTGTTACACCTCATGACAAGGAACAGGGTCTTCATTGGCATAGTTCCTCAATCGCGGATAGAGAAAAGTCTTTCCTTATCTCGATCCTTTGTCACCAGTTCCAGCAGAAGCACAATCCAAACCCGCCCGAATTCCATTGCTAGTCGGTATCTTTTAGTCTCCAACAAACAGATCCGATTCTCTACTACCAGCTCTTCTGCTGCATATGGAAATGGTAGAAGCAAGGCTGGTAACTTCTTTAGTCGGGATGTTTCAAAGGTTGGCGACCCGTCGATGAAAGCTGGTGCCAAAACCACTGGCACCAAATCCCAGAGCGCCCAACGATGGGCACGAATTGCTTGGTGGGTCCGAGCGGCACGTATACCTGTATTGATCGGGTCTATTTATAGTTTGGGGTATCAACAGGGAGTCTTGGACAGTGTTCGGAATCCCAATAAAATTCAACAGGTACGAAAAAATCTACACTTGATTCTGAACAACTTGAGACATGCATGTATCCAAATGTCAATCTCATCATTATCTTCGCCTCACATCACGTCACTTGACTTCACTTTGCTTCTTTCATAGACTTCCTTTGAGGCTTGTTGTGTGGATATGGGGATTACATCTGGCGACGAAATTGACATTATCTGGGAACGAAGACCCCCTCCCAATTTGAGCCATGTAGGATGGTTTCATTCGTTGATGGCAATGGAAGAAGAAGAACAGGCACCCAAAATCAAGGACCCACGCGCCAATCGAGTGGCCAGTGTGGGCCGGGACATTGTGCGATCGGCCCGGCAGTACATTCGGCAAAAGTTGGACTTTGCCGTGAAAAAGAAGGAAGAAGAATTGGCAATGTTGGCACGCCAAGAGAATCGCGAGATTTCGCAGGTGGAATCCTACAAGGCCATGTTGGACGATGAAGAGATCCAAAAGTGGACAGAATCTTACGAGCGCATTGAGGGATACACTCATGATGGAATCAAGAATTGGCAATGTAAGTACTTCGTGTCGCAATGGAAAGGTGCTGCTGTCGTCACAAGGAGTCTCTCATTTTCTCACAATTTGACACAGTCGTTTTGTTGCACACTGACATTCCAAATGCCTTTGTTTCGGATATGCTTCCGCAACGAGTCTTTGTTACCACTGGACTGTTTGATCATTTCGTCAAGACGGACGATGAATTGGCCATGATTTTGGGACACGAACTTTCCCATCTTGTGTTGGGCCATGGAAAAGAACGATTGTTGGTAGACTTTATGTTGCGAGGTTTGGAGATTGCAATTTTAATGTTGGATCCAACCGAAGGACTTTTATCACTGGGAATAGCTGGTTTCTTGGCCAGCTCGAGAGAAGCCTTGACGGCCAACACTTCGAGAGAGACGGAAAATGAAGCGGACGCATTGGGATGTACCTTTGCCGCCATGGCGTGTTATGACACGGAAAGTGGAAGCCAAGTCTTTAAACGAATGCATGAATTTGATGTGAAAAATGGACACGAGAAGCGTGACCTCATGTCCAGTCACCCAGCTTCCAAGGAACGATACGAGTTTGTCAAGAATATGAGTGAAGAAGTGAATCCCTCGACCTACTCTGTTTGTGGAATTTTGGAGAAGAAACTGAGGGGACGAGCATTGAGTTTGATCCCTGGCATATCACGATGATAACATTGACTAACCTGCTTGTATTATTGGTGATTTTTTGCTAATTTAGGTGCTCATCTGTGTAGTCCTAACAAGTTTTTTCACATGTGCATGACAGTCTCCAGTCCCAAGGCGCATGGTCCCTTCATTATAGGCCAAAGAATGGAATTGCTCCGATTGTTAGTGAAATAAGAACTGAACTCCCATACGCTGCACTGTTTTGAACAACTTTGGCTGGACCTCCCAAAACGTTTTCATCGTCATCCCCAAGAAGGATCAAAGTCTTGTCTTCTTCCTCACCTGCAATGCCACACTTGGGATACTGTAGGAGGCGTCGCTGTGGAGCTATATCGACTTGGGGATACGCCTGACAGGAGCTCTTCAGACATGGATAAACGTTACTGCAGTCGGGAGTCGAAAGATATATCATTGCATCGGCGCCGGTTTCATTTTGGTTTCGACGGCCATACATTTTTCGACATGAAACTCGCCCATGGCTGTTGCATTGTACGCCGTCCAAAATTGTCACAGGGCACAGCTCTACGATTCGTTCTTGCGAGTAATTGTTCTTCCTCAAGAAAGCTTCGCAATGTTCGTTGCAGACTTCCATCACCTGACCCATAACATACTCTGGAAAACTTGATCTCACCTCTTGGATACATGCTGAGGAACTGACGGATGTAAAGTTGCCACTGAAATCATACCCAGATTCGTATGAGTCCATGGTAGTAATGCCTCTTAATTCCTTTATAAAGCCAGTATCTGGGTCCACATGGAAATCATAAATATTCGTTCGACTAATGCACTTTTCGTTGATCCCATCATCATCTTCGAAACAGTAATTTCTCATCTCACATTTCATTGTAAAGTCTTTACTCAGATCCCCAGAACAGGCGCATTCATAGTTTTGTCGCAAGAAGTTATTTCCATCAGACCACCCAAAATATTTGGTAGCATCTAAACATACATCAACCTTGACATTCAGTCGCCGATTTTGCATTGCCTCGTTATCCTGGGCATTATGATGAAGAGTGTCAAATAGATCAGTCTGCTCGTCTCCGCTATGGACGACACCTCCAAGAACTGAAGTGGATAAGGATAGTATCAAAACTGTCGTCTTCATTGCATCAAATAGGAGGTTGGTCATTCGTTTGTTTGTATTGTTGTACCGGTAAGTACTTGCCAAAGTCTCATCTCTGATTTTGTCGGTGTGTCTTGTAAAAGAATGTTTTTGAAGATGGCCGTTACGCATGCAATACTTCTTTGGTCAGTCCCGAGTGGATGTTCGGTCCAAGTGGTCGGTTTCAAAGCCGCATCCTATCCTTATTGGTACAATTAATTATTGACAATACGCCATACACATACCTTTCTTGTATGGTGACACATTGATAGCTACCGGTATAAGCTATCGTATCATACACACATCGACGATATTGCAAGCTACGAAGGTATCCATGAAATAATGTATTAAAATATATGTATACTAGCTATTTACAAAAAGTCCAGATCTTGCATCAAGTCATCTCCCTCGTGACTGCTGCCTACTGAACTCACCATCCGTCCTCGTTTGCTGTGAGGGCATCAACCTGCTGGTTGGATTCAACGTGAAGCTTCAAGTCCACAAAATCCTCAACGATCTCTGTTGAGTCTTGACTACCTGCCATTTCCATTGGTAGGTACCCTTCGTAACCATCCATCAAATAGTCTTGCAATTGACTCTGCTTCTTTAGAATGACGAATCTCTTGGCAAAGGATGGAGAAAGCACCTTCTTCAGCATTTTCCAAACCTTGGGGAACCAACGAGGAGGGTTCACAATGAGAACTGACGCTACCTTTGTTGGTACTTGATGCTGTATTGCCTTCAGAAACTTGTGGGAGCATTCATTTGTGAAGTTCTTGAATGTCCACTGGTGCAAATCGATTATCAATGCAACTCCATTACGGCACTGCTCTTCTGTTAGGCTCATTTCGTTCATGACATAGCACACATTCTTGATGAGAAGATTAGTATCCATCTCTGCTGGAAAGTGACGGCAAGCATGGAAGTAGAGGACTTCGTGCTTCTTGTTCTTTGTCATGAGACCCGGTAGAGGAAAGATGACTAAGTTTTGGAACTGCTCCACCAATTCACCTTCCATTCGAAGATTTAGATGGGGATCATCGTATCTTTCGATCAGGGCTTTTCTAGCCAAGTCATGGTTGAAGTCGTAGTAGCAAGCGAAGCGAAAGATGGTGTTATCAGAGGCAGGTATGCCTGCCAATTGACATGCCAATTGCAGGTTTAGCAGACATTCCTCCTCCTTTCGGCTCCGAGGACGGTCAGAACCAGAAATACTTTCTGCTCGGGAATGGGATGAATCAGAGAGTCCACTCTGAGTTCTGTAGGACGACTCTTCATCTTTGTCTGTAGAATTTCCTTTTTTCTTCAGGAAGAGTGCTGCGTTTTGGAATATTGTTTTTGGCATGATTTGGTGTATCGATATTGTGAACGATTCAAATTTTATGAGGAAGTGTTGTTGCCGACAGGGAAACAATGCCCTTCGCCTTCTGATCATGTATAAATCTTCTGTTCGGGTCTCTAAAACTTCTGATCATGTCAACCCTTCGTTTCCCTAGGTAAAATGCTCTCAGTTTTCCAACTAAGAAATGGTCCTGCATGTCCATCAAGTCGCGTGGGGTCATTCTATCAAACTTTTCATTGCCAAAATATAATTGTTTGCTTTCTGCGCCATCAATGTAATGCCGTCATCTTTAATCAAAAGAGACGGCAAAGTAAATCCGATGAAACCAAAGACATTAACATGAATTGGTCTCTTTTTTAAAATCGTATCAAAACCCCTCCACCAAAAATATGGCGACGCTATATCATAAAAAGTCTCTAATTGTTGGTGACGGCAAAAGAAAGCCGATGAAATGAATGACACGAATAGCCTTTTATCTTGTATGAGACCCTCAAATTCTACGACTATATCGCTCTTCCTCAGCGTCTCCCCCGTGAAAGCAAAGCCAGACATTTGTTATATATGACCCCGATCCGCGAATTTCCCACCCTTTCCACCCAAATTTTGGCATTTTCCAAAAAAATAGCACCATAGAGATCCAAAATGGTCATTTTGAGAAGACGTCGCATAACGACGCCGATTGGACAGATAGAAGCGCATTGGGCTGAGGATATCAGCCCTATGCTTGAAACTAATTCGCGCCAATTTTTGACTGAGGGAGGATGAAATTCATGACTCGTCATCATCATTCACGATGGCAACGCGACGTGGAAAGAGGAACGCCAAGGAGACACCTCCACGGTCCCATCACAAGAAGAAAAGAGTGTACCTTTGTACCCATGCAAGTGGAAAGCAGTGGTGTACGGCCTGTGACTCGTGTAAACGTTGTAAAGCTCCTCCTCGGCCAGATTTGCCAAACGACAAACAATGCCAAGCCCACACTGTTGCTACATCTACAAGAATCAGGAAGAAATCAATCAACGGCCTCGAATACTGCATGCCTACTGTCACACCACAAAGGACAACCTACGATGACACCGTCGGGAAAATCCAACAGACCACAGCAGAAGACGCTCAAGTCGAAGCTGACGAAAAACTCCAAGCTGAATTGACGGCAATCAAGAGCGAAATGAAGGTGGAGAATGCCAAAACGGTCCAATGTATCAGAGAAGAATCAGAGGCGGAGGCTCTGAAATTATTGATCCAGACAAATGGCAAAGACGTGGAGCTTCCTGCCGAATTTTTCATTGAATCATTGAAGCTCAGAGCAGAGATTTTGAGGATTTGATCCGTGGAAGAGAGAATGAAAAGAGGGAGGCGGAAGAGGTCGAACATCAGCTGATTGTTATGTTGGAGAGCTACCTTTGTATCCGAGTTGCTGTGGCAGTTGATGACAACAAGCCGGCTGTTGGTCGAGTGGTGGATGTTAACCTCGTGAAAGAAGATGGCAAAACCGTCAACACTGCGAACTATATTGTCGAGTTTGATGGCGAGGTTTACTTCGAAGGCAACCGGACGGATCGCGTAGAACTGAACCAAGAACAGGTGTTGTATGCGATGGACTTCATGAAAGAAATTGAATCTTTTGAAGATGATGTTGACGAGGACGGCGAAGACGGTGCTTGTGTGCCGGTGAGTAGAGACTGGGATGAATTGGAAGAATATGTAGGCAACGTTGCGTAGGCTTGGTAATAGATCCAATGAATTACATTCCTTTTTGTAGGCTAAGCAGTGCAGTAGCAAGATTAAAATCCCATTCTGCTTCTGCTTTCAAGCAACGTGAATTTGATGTGGTTTTGGAAAAAACAGAAATCTCGGATGTTTTTGGGTTCCATTTTGGTTCCACGCAAAAATTCAACGAGGCGCCTGGTACTTTAGCAAGAATTTGCGCGCGAACCAGTATTTTCCGTACGTAATCAGACGTCTAACTCTTCGCGCACCTCTATGCGCCCTTCAGTTGAGATCGTCTTCAATCACATCAATTCTTCTTTCCACCAACAATGGTATGCCTTCAGGCCGAGGAAATCACCACCCTCGGGAGGAAAACTCTTGCATTTTGGAAGCGGCCTTTGTCGTGACCGTATCTATCTTGTTTGTATGAGGTGAAATGGACGAGTTTGTTCCTTTCACCTCTGAAATGACTGCAAAAGACACATAAACGAGGTCTGAAATTCGGTTTTTGCATGGATTTGGGACCCCACGCAGTCGCAAGGCAGTAAAGATGTCAAATTTTCTTCGGAAGTTGCTTATTATGTTATAGGAAAGACGGTGGTATCATTTGATGTGCGGTATCTGGGCTCCTACAGGACGATTTTCACACGACAATATTGAGTTGGGAATTCGTCCATCACAATGGGTAGCCGGTGTGGGCGCCCAGAGAAGTAAAAACTGAATAACATGTTATGGCAAGCATGTTTGATAGATGGACTATGGCTGGAGCGGCGATTCACTATTCCTTTCGCCTCCATTACACTACAATCTACCAAAATTCGCCAAACATGTTCTGTTGGGTTGCTTAATCTGGTCAGCAGAAGGTCAAGAGGGCAAGGCCTCATATGCAACATGTGCTGGAAAGCTTCGCAGTGACCATACCTACTCGGAGATCCATTCGGTTGCTTTTTCTATGGAATATTGGCTGAGATTTTTGAATCCGAATGTTTGCTGCTGTCGTGTCACCTGTCATCATGAGGGTCGGTGTGGCCGCCCTGGAGACAACTATACATTCAACAATACACCAGAAGGTCCCTTGGATACCTATTGTTTCTATTTTCTGGTTTCTTTACATTTTTTCGGCCTAGATCAAGAATGATCTAACAAAAATGGGAAGAGTTTTCAGTGAAATTCGGTCCAAAATGGGAAATGGTATTGGTGTGGACCGAATTTCCTCAGAATTCTTCATTCCAACATACAGTTGTCGTCCATGGGTATGTATGATGAGATTGGGGGGCTTGGAATGGGTGATTTCTACGTGCAAGCGATTCAATGGCAATCACCCTGCTACAGTGGTCAATCCAGGTTTATGAAACTTGGTGTCAGGAATCCTTCTCAGTCGCCGAGTCAGTACCCAGACACCATGGCACTAAGTTCAAAGTTGTCCAAATACCAACTAGTATCGACTTTGGGCGGTGTTTTGGAGTGCTGCGCCGGTAAATAGATTCTAGGCTAGCTTATTTTTTTCTCTCTTTCCTAAGGTTTCTCTTTGACTTGGTCGAATTTCCTTCCCTGTGATCGAATCTAGCCACTTTCGCAATTTAGAGTATGCAGAGGTCTAGTTTAGGTATATATTTATAATATCGCCGGGAAATTTATCTAAAAATGTAATCGCAACAAGGTCGTATGGTAGGAGATCGCCCTCTTACCTCTTGTTTTTCGTTTTGGTAATCACACGAGTCAAAATCGGAATTGACTCAATCGACTTACTAATTGACTCAATCGACTTGATAACGGTTTCTTTTTTAGCCGTTACACAAATGTTGTTTTCTGTAGTGAAGCCCCTCTACGACCTCCTAGCAACTTGGAATTTTTTACAAGGAATGGGCAAACTATTCTCTAGCGACCTGAAAAGGTTCTAGGTCCATAGCTGCTTTTTGAAATTTTTACTTTGTCACCAGAATTCCAAATTCCTGCCACATTTTGGGTTGGGAATTCGCGGATCGGGGTCATATATGGGCCGTTCAGCTCAACAGCTGGATGGTCACAAGTTGCCTGGTTATTAGCTATCGAAAATGATGACCTTCCGGTAGGATTAGGGCAAACACTACTGGGCTCCGACTTCCACCAGTATGGCACTGTAAGCGTGAGGCGTGGGCTCGAGCGTTGAGAAAGATACGACTCGCGCGGTTCCGAAGTATCTCCTAGCTCCCTGCTATGAAGCCACCTGTTTCATTTAGCACCAAGAAAGCCAAATCTAAGGATTGTTATCGAAATGAATTAGAACAGCCATGTTGCAGATGCAAGCAACCAACATAGACATAGTTGAAATTGATCTCGGTCAACCAATTGGTCGACTTACGAAAGCATTATTTGGTGTCACTCACATGACAGCACAAAATTAGAAGCTGCAAATGCAAGATGATGACATTTCAAGCCAACCTACAAAATGGAAGATTATGGCATTGCAAGCTAACCTGCAAAAAGGAAGACGATGGCATTACAAGCTAGGAAGACAGCCACGATGAAACAAAACTGATCGAGAATTATGAAAAGATATGCAAAAACTTCCATCAGGTCATATGACTGTTACCTGGCTGTTCTCTTTCTCGTACGTGATTGGCATATCAAAGATTAGGTTCAGCATGAATCTTCATGTTTACAAAATCCTCAACGATCTCTGTTGAATCGCGCCAAAATCCCATTTCGACTGGCAGGTAATTTTCGTAACCATCCATCAAATAGTCTTGCAATTGATGCTGATTCTTTAGAATGACGAATCTCTTTGCAAAGGATGGAGAAACCATTTTCTTTAGAACCTTCCAAACCTTGGGGAACCAACGGGGAGAGTTCACTATGAGAACCGATGCTACTTTTGTTGGCACTTGATGCTTCATTGCCTTTAGAAACTTGTTCGCGCATTCGTCTGTGGAGTTCTTGAACGTCCACTGGTTCAAATCGACTATTAACACAACTCCATTGCGGCACTGTTCTTCTGAAAGGCTCATTTCGTTGAAAACATAGCACATGTTCTTGATGAGCAATTCAGTATCGACTTCTGCTGGAAAATGACGCGAGGCATGAAAGTAGAGTACTTCGTGCTTCAGGTTTTTGGTCATGAGACCCGAACTGTTGCCTTAGCTCGCCTTCCATTCGAAGATGTAGATGGGGATCATTGAACTTTTCAGCGATGGCAGTCCTAGCGAAGTCATAGTTAAAGTTGTAATAGCAAGCGAAGCGAAAGACGATGTTCTCAGAGGCTGCTATGTTTGCCGAGCGACATTCTTCTTCTAGATTTCGGAGGCATTCCTCTTCTTTTCGGTTCTGATAGTCATTCGGAGTAGCTCCATCGTCGTGGGAATGGAATGAATCCGATAGTACTCTCGGAGTCATGGAGGACGCTCTTTTTTCTTCCCCTTTTGCATCGCCCTTTCTCTTGTGCTGCCTCAGAAAGAGTGTTGCTTTTGGGAACCTTGTTTTCGGCATGCTTTGTCTTTTGTTTTGTTGCTTTTTGTGAAGTTGTAAATGTTCTTTTAGGTGTACCGGTATACTGAATTCGTACATTGTGACTTGGTGATGACGTGGTGGTGGCGTAACGAGCTTTTAATGCCTGTTGAAGATGTTGCTATATTTCTTCTTTTCTCCCACTTTTAAAAAAAAACCACGTAAGTTTTGTCTAATATAAATGAAAACCTGGTAATGTACTGTACAATGTGCTTGAACTTTTGCGGAGTTTCAAGTTAAAAGTGTGATCTTGGAATTGGTGATGTGTACCTTGTACCGTATGGCCAAAGAGTTGTCGCGATGTGGTCTTGAACCATTTAGTGACAGTTGAAATGGGCTTACAAAAGTTGCGTTGTTGGCCTCTCCAAAGTTACCTACCACCAGGTCATAATGGTTATTGTTAGCTTCGAAACACGACCTCGATGCTTGGAATCTTCGAAGTCCAGAAAAATACTACTGTAGTTTACTAGAGTAGACGATTGAATGAATCCAAATCAACTTTAGATCCATCCTGTCTCTAGAAAACAATAACCGAAGCTAGAATAAAATCGATCATCAATTTAGAATTAGCCCATGCTGTAGTTGCTTGACTCTTCATAAATCTTCCTGTCCATGTAGTCTTCCAAAATCTCACTTGAGTTTTGCCCACCACGTGACATTTCCAATGGCAAGTACTTTCCATAACCATCCATCAGATAGTCTTGCAAGTACTTTGACTGTTTTATGATGTGAACTTTCTTAACAAGTGTTGTGGACAGCATTTTTTTGAACACACAACGATAAACTTTTGGAAACCAGCGCGGCCCGTTCACTATCAAAATGGTGGCTAGCTTTGTCGGTACTTGATGTTGCATTGCCTTGAGAAACTTGTTGGCGCATTCGGGTGTGAAGTTCTTGAAAGTCCACTGGTTCAAATCAATGAGGAGTGCAACCCCGTTACGACACTGTTCTTGAGACAAGCTCATATCGTTGAAGACGTAGCACATGTTATTAATGAGCACTTCAGTATCGGTCTCCGCTGGGAAGTGGCGGCATGCGTGAAAGTATAGCACTTCCTGATGATTGTTCTTGGTTCTGAGACCTGGAAGTGGGAAAAGAACCAAGTTTTGGAACTGCTTGATCATTTCACCTTCCATTCGAAGGTGAAGATGTGGATCATCAAATCTTTGCAAAAGGGCACTTCTAGACACCTCGTAGTCAAAGTTGTAGTAGCATGCGAAGCGAAAGATCATGCTTGAAGAAGCAGGAATGTTTGCCAGCCGGCATCCCTCCACCAAATGCAGGATGCATTCCAGTTCTCTTCGCCTTTGATGCTCAGAGGCGGCACTTTCTTGTTGGTCATCAAATGTATCCGAGACACTCTTCTGCGTAAGGAAAGAAGATGATCCCAGAGGAGGTTTCTTCGATGACTGTCTCTTTCGCTTCTTGAAAAGGCTTGTCCTTGAGATGATTGCGTTCATTATCTTGCTGGAGTGATTGTGGTCTTTCAAGTATTTCACTCGGAAGAAATTTGTGAGTACGACGAGATTGGGGCATATTCGATTTGTGACTGAACAAATAGGGTCGGGCAACGGGAGCTTTTCTCGCCATTTCAGAATTGGCAATTAAGGTTTAGTCGGAAATTTCTGTAAACATATATAAGGCGGTGGACGGTTGACATTTCTGAGCTGATTCGTCACCAAACCGCACTTGTTCTTGACGAAAGAAATGATGGGTGTAAAAAAAGAGGTCGAAGAAATAATATCAAAACGCGTTGCTCATATTTGTGAAACAGCCGTCAGGTCCAAGGGACTTATTGAGCAGAAACGTGGCGAGTTCCAAGTGATTCTGACTTCAATTTTTCTCTTCATTGGCACACTCCTGTCGCTTTCTTTTTTTTAAATAAAAAAAGACGATTTTTCAATACCGATCTGAGATGGAGCATCAACAATGTTAGATCCGCCATGAATAAATGAATTGGAAAGAATCGCGAATTTCTTACATCGAATTTTCTCCCAGAAGTCACAAGTGCAATCCCGTTCGATCAGTCGGTCTTCTGGTGGCCACTTCAGCTCCAATAGCTGTGGAAAGAAATCGTCATCCCAATTGTTGTAGGCTGATGTTCCTCGATTCTCGTCGCTTCCTTTCAACCCAGTGCCCAGAACTCCCATTTCTTGAGCAATCCTCTGCACTTGTCTACTAGCATTTTTCGTTGGTAGATCATCATCCTTCTCCTCTTCAAAGAGTCCTAAATGAGCCAAGAAATTCATGGCTGAAAAAGTGGCGGTTTCTTTCTGATTGATACTCGTTCGTTTCAGTTCTGTCCGAAGTCCATCGTCCTCGATCACTTCCATATGCAATGCCTCCAATGCTCGTCGACGAAACGCTCTTCCGAGTTTGTTATCGGACCAAGACGAATCTTTTGTCAAATCTTCTTCCGACCAGACATCGAAGTCTTCCTTCCATGGAACGTAGTCATGGGACGACGCTGACTGCTCTTCCTCTTTCGGAGTGTATCGCCAAGGGAGCCATTGGATCTTCGCACCCTCATAATTGGGATCCCCTGTCCGTGCAAAGGCGACCCATCTTCGAGCCATGTCCGAGGCAATTTCCTCGTCAGGGTCGTCGATGAAGTAGTCGCCAAAGAAATGCTTCAGGATCTTCTGAAATGACTTTGGATAGCTCGAAAGAAGTTCTGATGCAGTGGCATTTGTAGTTGTGGATACACCAGTAGCAAACTCCTCTAGTTCTCCTCGATGAGCCTTCAATATTTGAGTATATCGGTAGTCTGGTGGCACGGGTGCTTCCTCTTGGGCATACTTGCTTAGTGTGGAATAATTGGAACGAATGACATCCATCGTTGCAAAGACATATGGCAACTCCGCCGTGTGGCATGCCTTTCCCCAGCACTCTTTGTAACCTGGAACATGAGTGGGTTGTGAGAATCGGTAGACATAGACATTGTTGTTCTTGCGCTTGTACACTCGATTCTTGGAAATGAGATGTGCATAATGCCAACTCGAACACCGGAACAAGTAATCGTTAATAATGCGACTCATGACTGGTCGATAATCGATTTTCACCTTGGCGGCATCTTTCAACGCTCGTTGCTTCATGCGTTCTTCCTTTAGTCGTTTCTTCAACTCTTGTTTCTCTGGGTCTGAACGAAAGGGATTATTAAACCAGCTATTGGATTGCTCTTCGTCAAGAGCTCCAATCTCTTCGACAACAGTTTCTTTGACCGATTCTTCGGGGTTTTCTACCTCCTGTGCCCCTCCAGCATTGAATGTCTTGACCAGCTTTTCCACAGTTTCGTCTGAAACCACAAAGGGACTTTCATCATCCTGATTCGTGGAGTTGAAGAACCTCTGGTATTCGGCTTCCAGCATGGCTTCGTTTTCCATGTAGAACTGCTTTGATTCCTCTTCTTGCATTTGATCCTGTGCAGTCTTTTGGGCTTCCAATTCCAGTTGCTCAATGTAGGGACGATAATGCTTTAGTACTCTGGTAGCCGAGTCCTTGAATAGGGCCCCAACAAACATCCAATAGACAGGTTTGCTCATGGTGAGTGGAAACGCTGAATGCACAAACATTTCACCCTCGTGTCGGTTAGTGCCAATGATGATTGGAATGTGATCAGGAATCAAATGCAAATTCAACATGGGTTGTGATACGTTGACAGCAAACTTATTGGCCTCCCTTTGTTTGGCACCGTAGGCATCCACTGAAAAGTAACGAGGATGGCGGTCGAGTCGAATGATGGAAGTACCCGAACTGGTGGTAGTTCTTTTTTCCGCACCGGTGTCAGAAGCCGAAGAGGAGTAAACCGTCCGATGATGCGTCAGTGTTGGTCCCCAAGTGAAAAAATCTCCAACGCTACGGGGAATTCCCATCAAGGCCGACTGCGCCCTCATGATTTCTTCCACTGGTTCGGCTCTCAAGGATTGCAAGTCACGACAATCGACGGCTCGTCGCATGGCATCCCCAAGGAAATCTGCCACCACGACACTCCGAAACTGATATCCCATTGGATTTGATTGCAGAATTGCCTTGTGAAATAGATCCGGATTCTCCATTTGCAAATGCAATCCAATCATTACAGCACCCGCCGATTCCCCAAACAAGGTGATGGAATTGGGATTGCCTCCAAATTTGGCAATGTGCCGTTTGACAAAGTAGAGTGCTGCTCGCTGATCCATCAATCCAAAATTACCCAGCAATCCCAATTCACTGGCTACCATGAATCCCAAGGCTCCCAATCGATAGTTGACCGTGACCACAATCGCATGTTCTTCTTGGGCCAACCGACGGGCATCGTATTCGGGTCGTTTCGCGGCTCCGGTTTGAAAGGCACCTCCGTGGAACCACACCATGACGGGAAATTGGGTGCGCCGCGTCAAGGACGAGGCTCCAGCGGGTGTGTAAATATTGAGATACAAACAATCTTCGGACATGGAGTCCATGGACGCAAAGGGGTTGGCGACTTCGTCCGGAATTTGATGACAATCGGGACCGAATTGGGAGGCATCCAAGATGTGAGGTTTCCAACTGGGTGGTTCTTCCGGTGGCGCCCAGCGTAATCTTCCTACTGGAGGAGAAGCATAGGGAATTCCTCCAAAGAAATCCAGGCCTTGGCTCCGAGTTCCTTGTACCTTGCCGAGTTCTTCCAAAGAGACTCGAACGTTGGTAGTGTGCTGATTATTATTGTTACTATTATGATTGTTGTCGTCGTTATCTGGATTTGCTTGACAAAAGTATACGTGCTGCTGATTGTGGAAGAACAGAGACGCGCATATTAACAAAGCTTGGATCCAAGATTGCATTGGACTTGTGAATGCATGCGAGAAAGGGAACAATGGCTGCGTTCTGTACTGTATATATGTACTGAATTACAGCTTTGCGGTTGATTGTAGATTGTAGTTTATCGATCGTTGGATTTTGGATTTCCATCTTCCTCGTCTTCAATGTGATTTGCTATCAGTCCTTCCGGCGTCCGAGTGAAATGAATGAATGAATCAATCCAACCAGGTACACGTGTACTTCAATAGCTCTAATTATTGCAAAAGGTTTCATCACTCTCATCACATCAGTCGTGATCTACTACCGGTAGATACTGTATGTACCTGCAGTAAAAGTGATCTGATGACGGCAGTACAGCTTACTGTACTGTATTGAGCTCATCTCCTACCGGTGAAAAATGAGACCGTAGCTACATGGTGGGCATATCTTTCTATACCAATCATTGGGTTCATAATTCGATTTGATGTCATCTATTTTGATATTATATTCAATATACTGTAGTATAGTCATATCAAGATCCACTTCGCAGCAGCATCAGCAGTGCCGTACTAGGACTACTCGTAGTATTATTATTTGGTTCCACCAAAGAACTGCTTGAACTTGACCGCTATTCCTTCCATCAAGAACTTGGTCTTGGAGAAGATGACAACATCAAATTCTGGATTGGCAAACTTGGACCAAGCAGGACCAAATACATGAACACGATTGGTTTCCTTTGGCTGCTCTTCTTTATTCGTTTGGTTTCGTTCAACCAATGGTAACCCTAACTGTGTATACGGAACAATGCCATCCAGGCTGTAGAACTTCAAATCGGGATAGGCATCTTGAAACTTTTTTGCTTCTACTCCGGACCGATATCCAATCGTGCAATAAAATACAATCTTATTGTTATCCGCCTTCTTGGAGGAATCATCAGCATCTGCCTGAATAAGCTTTGGTAGTTCGTTTTGTTTCCATTCCTCAAAAGTCATGGAATTGGGTATCATGGATACCTTTTGTTCCGCATCCGTCCGAACATCCACCAACATTACTTTATCTTCTTGTTGTACTAATTCCTTCGAGGTCATGTAGGAGATCGAGGGAAAGTTGCTGCGATATTTGCGCCATTCTTCGTCACAAGCCTTCTCAGTGGGCGACGACGACTCGACTTGATCATTGCTTGGCGAAGTCTCTTCTGTCGTCATTATGTTGCCTTATATTCGTTGATTAGAGTGCAGTGCAATCAATCAATGATGCGATATATGATATGGGGTGACGATGAGCTGAACCTTTCTATGTCTGGTCCAACGTACAACCAAGAGGTTCAGAAAGAGTCCTAAAACCATGGCTTTTATATTATGACTTACGGTACGACAAACGGCATCTGTACTGATGCTGTATCAGTAGTACAGTTCAACACAATGTAGAAACTAGGTGAATGAAAGGAATATCCAAGGATGAGAGATCGAAGAATGGTAGATCTTGTCAATAACCTTACTGCCGGTACGAAACACGGCGTGTGAGGCCGCTCTTCGCTTTGACAGAGGTGAAAAATGAGCAAAAGGTTTTCCTTTTGGTCCACGCACGACAATGAATATTCCCCCAGTTTTTATTAAATACAAGGATTCTGATCAGGCAGGTATGAAAGCCCTACAGTACAAGTTTTGAAAACTGGGAAAAAGAAATGCGAAAAAGCCGGGCCTGCATGGCGAACATCATGATGCATATATAAAGTATAAAAAGTCCTGCAACCAGAATATTAATTAAAATTCATCGGATCAAGTTCAAGGTATCTGACTCACCTACCGGAAAATATAAGACTGCAGTAAGACTCGCTGCAACAATACAACAATACTCTAGTCCAAAGAAAACTCAAACATTATACCATCATGCAGAGCGCCGAATACTCCTCCTCCAATCAATGTCCCAATCCATGCTTCTCATGGCCGTCATTGAATCAGCGCTCTCGTATTGGAAATGACGTGAATCATGAAACCAACGCCGCACGCAAACCCACCGACGAACTCATCTCCCAATCGATGGCGCAGTTGTCCTTTCAAGAGCGGCAAGAGGAGCAAGAGCATCTGCATGGCGTTGCCTCCGTCGGTCCAGAAGTTCCACACCAAATTGATCAGCTACTCCAAGATCAAGACGATCATTTGGAACGACTCAAGCAAGGAACTGTCTTTCAAGAGGCAGAAGCGATGGACCCTCAATTTACCAACGATCGCTCCTTTCGGTTAATGTTCCTCCGTGGGAATCGCTACAATCCCAAAGAAGCTGCGGAACAAATGATTCGATTCATGGATACCAAACAACAGCTCTTTGGTGCCTCCAAACTGAACCAACAAATTACACTCAAGGATCTGAACGACGATGATCGTGCCTGTGTTGAAAACGGGTCCTTTCAAATGTTGCCTTCGCGTGACAGTTCCAATCGTCCTATGATGTTGGAAGTTCCAGGCTTAACAAGTTATCGGCAACTGGAAAACGAATTGAGGGCCAGGTTTTACATCTATATGGTCCTGTTGGAACAAAAGGAATCTCAAATACAAGGGGTCATTTTCATTTCCTACGGCGTCGGAAACTACAAAGAGAAATTGAATGGAGCTGGTTTTGTGGAACAAACCAGACTTTCACTGGCCATTCCAGTTTTCTTTGCGGCATTGCACTTGGCGACTGCCGATTTGAAGCATTACATCTTGATGTCTACATGCTTTGCGCTTGTGCCGGCCAAGACCCGTGCTCGATTCCGATTGCATTTGGGCAGCCATGTGGAATGCCAATATCAGCTCTCTACTTATGGAATACCCTGCTCGGCACTTCCGTTTGCAGGCTCTAACAATGACAACATTCTGTTGGAGAATCATCTCCGTTGGTACAAGGCACGATTCGTCCAAGACTTTGGGGAAAATGCCGCTGCCCAGTTCCCTTCCAAACTATCGGCCTTGTCCGCCAATGTGCCCATGCGAAACGATGTTGTATTTGGACGAAAGAAATTGCAGCACGAAGGAAATAGGAGATTTCGAGTCTTTGTGCGGAACATGGCGGGCAAGTACGATGAATCCAACAAGACCAACAAACGGCTGACGAGGGAGCATTTGATCAAGGAGATTCGGGATGCGGGAGGCAAGTTTCTAATCATGCACGAAGATACGGCGCAGGGCTTTGAAGAATTGAGCTTGGAAGACGTTCATGGGAAAATTGCCCAAGCGTTTCGAAACTATCGCAGGCCAAGAGCCATGCCCTCGAAATTTGGAACTGGCGGGGAGCTGAACCCGAATGTCTCTAACCATGATAATAGTGACAAGGGCATGCCGGTAGAACCTAGATCTGACGATGTATTGTTTGGAAGAAAACGAAACAACAAAGGCAACAAGCGCGTCCGAGAACTGGTGAGTGAAATGTCGACCGAGTACGATGTGGCCCCCAAGGCTCGCAAACGAGAGTTGACCGAATCTGTCGTTCAGGCTATTAAGCGGTCGGGAGGACGCTTTTTGCGACAGATCCAAGCGACGGAGCAATGGGAGGAGGTGCCTGATGAATATGCCCGGGGCAAGATATCCAAACACTTTCAGAACAGTCGTCGGGCCTCCAAGAAACCTTTTGGGACACAGTAGTTGGGAAAGATATGGTGAATATGATGGCCATGATTATTTTTATATAGGTATGCGAAGAACGGGCGGAGGGTGCAAATAATAACCCCACCTAATCTAGAGTCAAACCGATTTTTTCAAAAGAAGGAATGGCCATTTGAGGCATACCAAGCCAAGCATCAAGTTTTGCGCCATTGACTCGTTGTTTGGAACAAGCAGCTGACGACAAGCTGGAAATGCATATGAAATATAATTATGATGATCTTCTTCTACATATTTGACTTGGGAATTGAAATTTCTCGAAAGTCTTGGCTAAGCATTTCCGCCAAAGAAGTGGCCGAAGCTACTTCATTTGAAGCTAAGACTCATTGCCAACTTCTCAGTATTTTTAAGTACACACAATCAGCCGTTTGAAAACGCCACAGGTAGTCCCAATCATCCTCGCAAACTTTGAATACGCAGTCCAGACAAGGCATCGATGTAATGGGCACAGGCTATGCGCAGCTGGCTGAGTGAAAAGGCAGAAGTACATAGTGACTGCACTTATCTGTCATTGGTGGTGTCATTCCATGCAATTCGGCGTGAAGCCATTCTGCTTCCTGAACGTCGCCAAAGGCTGGCAGAAAGCGTGGAAACTACTTTTTGAATTATGAGTGAGCACGAAAAAGCATCGAAGTTCACTAGGTCAACAGTTTTCATGCCTCAGCTAACATAATCAAATCTTTGCACACAATGATGATCCACTAGTTGTGATTTTTGCTTTAGATTAGGAAGGGTTCAATTGCTATACTCCTACATTTTCATCTCACTGCGTTTACGCCTTCATTCCATCGTGTGCGTACATCGTCAGTTTCTTTATAGCACATTGTGACTGTGGTTTCAATGATGCGTTCTACTCTCGGTACTGTAGTACATTTTTTTGTCGTAAGAAAAAAGAACAAGAACAAGAGGAAAATCCAAAACGTGGATGCATAGCCAATCTCAAAATCTGATCTGATCAGGCTTTTTTACGAGTACATAACCTACCGAAGTCGCTAACGCGTTTCAATCCGAACCATGTGACGTAGTTTTTGCAATGCGAAAAAGTCAAAAAGCCGGGACTGCCTGCGGCGAACCACGCACCGCAATGCGAAATGGAAATATAACCGGATCAAGTAAATAACCGGTACCACCTGTTTCATTGCGACCATAGAAAGAGAAATAAAATTATCAGCCTGTCTGCAACTATACACAACAGTATACGCATCCAAAAGGTCATACAAGAGCATCATGATGAGCGCCCAATACTCACAGGACCCATGTCCCAATCCATTCTTCTCATGGCCCTCATTGAATCAGCGCTCTCAAATCGGAAGTGACATAATGAATAGTGAAACCAACGCCGCACGCAAACCCACCGACGAACTCATCTCCCAATCGATGGCGCAATTGTCCTTTCAAGAGCGACAAGAGGAGCAAGAGCATCTGCATGGCGTTGCCTCCGTCGGTCCAGAAGATCCACACCAAATTGATCAGCTACTCCAAGATCAAGACGATCATTTGGAACGACTCAAGCAAGGAACTGTCTTTCAAGAGGCAGAAGCGATGGACCCTCAATTTACCAACGATCGCTCCTTTCGGTTAATGTTCCTCCGTGGGAATCGCTACAATCCCAAAGAAGCTGCGGAACAAATGATTCGATTCATGGATACCAAACAACAGCTCTTTGGTGCCTCCAAACTGAACCAACAAATTACACTCAAGGATCTGAACGACGATGATCGTGCCTGTGTTGAAAACGGGTCCTTTCAAATGTTGCCTTCGCGTGACAGTTCCAATCGTCCTATGATGTTGGAAGTTCCAGGCTTAACAAGTTATCGGCAACTGGAAAACGAATTGAGGGCCAGGTTTTACATCTATATGGTCCTGTTGGAACAAAAGGAATCTCAAATACAAGGGGTCATTTTCATTTCCTACGGCGTCGGAAACTACAAAGAGAAATTGAATGGAGCTGGTTTTGTGGAACAAACCAGACTTTCACTGGCCATTCCAGTTTTCTTTGCGGCATTGCACTTGGCGACTGCCGATTTGAAGCATTACATCTTGATGTCTACATGCTTTGCGCTTGTGCCGGCCAAGACCCGTGCTCGATTCCGATTGCATTTGGGCAGCCATGTGGAATGCCAATATCAGCTCTCTACTTATGGAATACCCTGCTCGGCACTTCCGTTTGCAGGCTCTAACAATGACAACATTCTGTTGGAGAATCATCTCCGTTGGTACAAGGCACGATTCGTCCAAGACTTTGGGGAAAATGCCGCTGCCCAGTTCCCTTCCAAACTATCGGCCTTGTCCGCCAATGTGCCCATGCGAAACGATGTTGTATTTGGACGAAAGAAATTGCAGCACGAAGGAAATAGGAGATTTCGAGTCTTTGTGCGGAACATGGCGGGCAAGTACGATGAATCCAACAAGACCAACAAACGGCTGACGAGGGAGCATTTGATCAAGGAGATTCGGGATGCGGGAGGCAAGTTTCTAATCATGCACGAAGATACGGCGCAGGGCTTTGAAGAATTGAGCTTGGAAGACGTTCATGGGAAAATTGCCCAAGCGTTTCGAAACTATCGCAGGCCAAGAGCCATGCCCTCGAAATTTGGAACTGGCGGGGAGCTGAACCCGAATGTCTCTAACCATGATAATAGTGACAAGGGCATGCCGGTAGAACCTAGATCTGACGATGTATTGTTTGGAAGAAAACGAAACAACAAAGGCAACAAGCGCGTCCGAGAACTGGTGAGTGAAATGTCGACCGAGTACGATGTGGCCCCCAAGGCTCGCAAACGAGAGTTGACCGAATCTGTCGTTCAGGCTATTAAGCGGTCGGGAGGACGCTTTTTGCGACAGATCCAAGCGACGGAGCAATGGGAGGAGGTGCCTGATGAATATGCCCGGGGCAAGATATCCAAACACTTTCAGAACAGTCGTCGGGCCCCCAAGAAACCTTTTTGAACACTGCCGTAGTAGTAGTAGAAGTAGAGATGATCGTTGCCGAGGTTACAATAATGACCCCACCTAATCTAGAGCCAAACCATGTTTTACAAAAGTAGGAATGGCCATTGAGGCATACCGGTACCATTCCCAAGCCAATGCGCATTCCAAACACTTTTGCCATGGGCTTGCCGTTCATGTTTATGGTTTGCCGAAAAGCTTCCAACGATACGTGTACGGTACTGGTAAATAGTCTAGCTAGGTCCCTACTCCCTACAGTATGGAATAGATGATATACCATGTATCATCTTCATGTAGTCCTACTAGGTCGTATATATATTTTAGCGTAAAATAAATGTGTATAGTGTAGCTAATGCTAATGAAATGAATCAATCAATCAATCAAATCAGTCCGTTCTGTTCGGAATCAAAGCATTCAGATTCCTGAAACGCCATTTACCATTGTGCATTTGGTTGCGGTTGCTGCACTTGTGGTATCATGAGTGTTGGCAAATAGGTTTGGACGGAGGGTTGCACAAAATCAAAAGGGTTGGATGTCACGCTCAAATGAGAAGTGACACTGTGATCATCCTGCACCGAACACGAAGTATTGTGGGCCGAAGTATCCAATCCCAAGGATTTCAAGGCTTGCGACAAAGGCGAGTCATTCAAGTCCGAGTCGTAGCCTGGATTGACAGAGGACGTTGGAGTCGAGTAACCACTCAATGACTTTTGTGGAGTCAAAAAGGGATTGCTGCTCGCATTGCTGCTACTGGCGTACGATCCAATGGAACCTCGTTTTTGAGGAGAAGCAGCATCGTTCCAATTGTAAATTTGTGGTTGTTGTTGCTGTTGATGGGCCGTTGGGGGTTGCCAGCTATTCCGGGAGTGGTACGCTTGTTGGGGAGTTGGAACCATGGCCGTGGCATCGTTCCAAGAGTAATTGTAAGAAGCCGCTGCTGCTGCTGTTGCTTGGGATCTTTGTGGAGAAGACACCGAATGGGATCGTTGATACTGGTGTTGTTGATTTTGCTGTTGTGGTAGTGGTTGCGTTTGTGGAAGAGTCGTTGCCGACTGAGATCGTTGGCACTGATGTTGTTGTGGTGGTAGTGGTGGTTGCTGAAATTGAACTTCCACACCACCAACACCGTTATCAAAGACTGTCATATCTATAGAACTAGTTGGCGATTGCTGTTGCATCGTTTTCTGGGGTGGCGGAGTGTGTTGCTGTGGAAGGCTCAACAGATCCGGCATGGAATAACTGCGAGATTCCTGCCGCAGCACGGGTTTTCCACTACTCCTAACAGCAGTAGAAGTTCTGGAAGAACCAGCAGCATCCGTTCCCAATTGATAAATGCTGGGCAAATCCGAAAAGGAGATTCCATCAATCAACAAATCAAACTGTCGGGAATCCGTCGACTTGCGAGACTTGACGCTCGGCTCGGCCACCACCTTGAGCTTGTGATTGCCATTGCTCATGTTCCAATCCACTTCTAATTTTTCCTTGCGTCCAATCTTGGCCCAATGAACCTCATGCCCGTCTGCTAGAATCAATTGTTTGCCCGAATTCAAGGACCATACAAAGACCACCTCGTGTTCGGCTCCGCGACAGTCCTTGCCGGTTTTGCCCGCTTGTAAGTTGGCAAATCCAAACCTCCAACGAATGCGTCTTTTGGAAGACGCCACGCGTTTTCCTTTGTTTTGGGTTTCGCATTGGATTTGATAGACCGTGCCGTGTTTCTTGGCATGTTCGGAGATGTTCATACTGGTGTGTGTGTGTGTGTGTGTTTGTTTGTTTATTTGTATTTGTTTGTATTAGTGGTTTAGTGAAGATGGTAAGAGTTCCTGATTTTCAGAGTTTCAACAGCTGCACTATCCACTGTTAGCAACGCCCTCGTTTTCTTTGTATTTGTATGGTGGTCTCCAAATTTGTCGGAGTATAAAATATTGTACCGGGTAGATTAGATATTGAATATGGGCGAGCTTCCAACCAAAAGTGTGGGAAGCAATTTTTGCTGGCACGTGCTTCCGTTCAGACTGTATCGCCCAATCATTTTCTTTCGGCAGTTGCACGTTTGATCGCTCTTTAATTCGATTTGCGAGGGAACTTGCCATTTTTCCATAAGTAATTCTGACAGGATCGGATGCGACGTTTTGAAAGGAAGATAGATACCCGCCGATGGATGGATCAACCGATCCACACGATACCGCCACATCTTGCAGTCATGCTACATGGTACCAGGACTGGTCATGTGGGCTGTTGTCACTCGTCACACACACGCAACTACGCGTACGTACAGCACTAGCCTAGTATCATGATGAACAAGAGCAAAAACTTCGTAAAGTCAGAATTTTCATGAGGCCAGTATTCATAAGCGTACCGGTACTGTATGTGGTTCCTCTCTTTGTCATTGTTGGTAAAGTTCGTGGGATCGATGGCATCGCGGAGTTGTTTCGATGTTGCCATTGGTCCTCTTGACGACGACTTGATTTTTTTGCAGGGAGACGAGATTGACACCTTGTGGGCTACACAGCAATAACAACAACAACAACAACACCACCATCAACACCAACAACCCTTTTGCTTACCCCGAGGTTACGTCATTCGCCGTCAGTCTTGTCTTGTTGCAAAAAAATCCAACAATCCACCAAATTGGGAGTGCAGTGAGGTGTCAGGTAAGAATATCCATGAATACGTGTATATTTTTATGGTTATCAACTTGTTGTTGTTGCTGTTGGGGTTGTTTAGCTATGCTTATCCAAGGCTCCAGCATTGCCCATCATGTCGCTCAAACGACCTTGACGACTTTTGGCTGGTTTAATGGTGGTGTCCAGATTGCGGCCACTGGCAAAGCCACCCTGTCGATCGGTAGGATCAATTTCCATGTGGGCCATGTCGGCCTTTTCAAATTTGCGCAGACGACGGTTCTCTTCCAATTCTTTTCGCAACCAATGATCGGCAATGGCCAACATTTTCGCTGGATGGTTATTCTTTTTCAAATCTTGATAGACCTCGAGGTCGTGCATCTTTCCTTGCCATCCGCATTTGCCTTCATTGTTCAAGTACATGAGATGGGTGGCCCAGTCATCCAAGCCATCGAAAATGTGCGTGGCGTATAGAATGGTAGCCTTGCGTTCGTCGGATTCGCGAGTCAACCACTTGAGTAGATCTTGTCGGACGCAGACATCCAAACTGGTGGTAATTTCGTCCAACAACAATACTTTAAAGGGACGAATGAGTCCCAACATGAGTTGGACCCGACGACGTTGGCCATCTGACAGTTGGTTCATTCTCCAGTTCAGGTCAATTCCCAGCATTTCGACCAATTCGTCCCGACGTTCGGGGTAGGAATTTTGCAAACGTTCCATCATTTCGTGGACGGGAATGTCGGCCATGAGTGGAACCGAGGCTCCCACAAAGGCAATGGATGTCATTCTGTCATTTTGAAAATCGCATATATTACATTTGTTTGTGTGTCAATGATTGGATGATTGGATGATCAATGGTGACAATCATGATGGTGAGAAGCAGAAGAAGATGAATAGTTAGCAATGCATCATAGAAATAAACTAATATCAACATCAGTGCTTCAATACAATGCACAAATAACAAACGTACCCCCAGTCACAATCCAGGTAAGCTCTGTGAAAGTTCAATTTGGTATCTCTGAAAGAGTTCAATCCCAATACCTTGACTTCTTGTTTGGTCAAATGACGTCCGGCCAAAATTCTCATCAAGGTCGATTTTCCACTTCCATTGGCTCCAATCAATAGACAACGAGATCCAGTCTCGAGCGTCAGATTCAATCCCTGCAAGACGTTGCGGGCATTGGCATCAATCATGGCACTTCCGGTGTGTTGGTAGGCAAAGGTAAGGTCCTTGACTTCAATGGCATTGGGACCATAATCCTTGATGGAAGGAAGGGGCTTGGGTGGAGGAAACTTCTTTTGGGCAGTCATTTTGCGTTTCATTCGATGGGGAAATTTGTGATAGTGCCGATCAAGGAACGAATATGCTCTCTGCTTGGAACAAATGACTGAACGAAAAAAGGTGATGTGTTCGAAAAGAGGGATGAGTCACTAAATTTGTTGGCACACGTCATGCGAGGAGTCAATCAAAATGAGACACGTTCTAGTCGTATGAGTCGTCTGGCGAAATGGCGATCAATCTAATCTATCTAATCATCTAAAATCTGTACTCGGAGAATAAAAAGAAAGTGCATGTGAATGCAATACAGTTCAGTTGCCTATATATATGGTACTATCGGTATTGTTAGTCTACTTCTATCTTTTTGCAGCTGAACAAGCATAGAAACAACGTATCTTGCACCAGCTTGAAGCTGACATGCAACAAGTGGAGCATTGCTTTGGGGGCCGACAGTGAATCCCAACGATGAATGATGATGATGATGATGATGAGGTGTAACACCAAGTGCCTATCCGTTTTGGTTCTTCTACACTAGCCGAGCATCCAAATTGCATACAAAACAAAGAGGAAACAGTCCAATCCTGCGTGATTGATTCGATCCGAAGAATTCTCGTGAAGCACTTTGGGACTATGCAGTCTCAGTGTCATCTTCTAATTGTGTTTATGCCCCAACGGATGCAACGCAGATGATTTTCAAAATTGATTCCCACAAGGACCAAAACGAGTGAATGAATCAATCTAGGCTCTTTTCTTCTCACAATGATTCTCTCAAGTTCACAACCACACGTACCATCACTCGCGACAATGCAGGAGCAAATTGCCTGGCGATTGGATCCACAAATCAGTTACAGTGATTGGATCATTGAAGTCACTCGATTGACCAGCAGTGACGATGTTTTTTTTGGAACCAAACAAGACATAGTAAGTAGAACCAAAAAGGACACCTATCATGTTCACAAGGCATTTTTATCGTGCGGTCCTCGGAAATCCAGTTATTTTTATGGATTGTTTCATTCCAACCGCAAGCAACAAGATACCTATCTACTACTCGACAAGAATACTACTACTACTACTACTACTACTACAGAATCTTCCTCCATATACAAGACGACTCGAATCAGTTTGGAACATTCGGTGGCGGATGTTTTTCCCTTGTTTTTGGACTATGTCTATAGTGGTACTCTAGTGTTGTCCATTGAATCGGCCGTGGCATTGCACTATCTGAGCGATTACTTTGGAGTGGAACCCTTGAAGCACGAAGTTTTTGAATTTGTTCGCAATGACATGATGCCCAAGGAATCCTTTCGACAACAACGGGCCCGCTTACTCTTGCAGCAGAATAAGCCTATGAAGGAGGTGTTGGTAGATATCAAGGAGAATGAGAATGAAATTGACAGCAATAACAACAACAAGGAGAACCAGCATGAGGATTCCGATTCGGTCATTTTGGAATCCTGTATGAAATCTGCCACGAGATGGAATCTGGTCCGCGATCGTCTCTTGTCTCCTTATAATAATTATAATAATAATGACCGAGCGGGGCTTGTGGAACTCATGACGCAAATGTTGACGCTGGAACAAAAGAATTTGTTGTTTTTCTATGCCCTACGAGAACAATCGAATGGTCGTCGTCGTGGTCGACATGATGCCATGGACGAATGGAAGGTACAGAATCAGCAACAATCGTTGATGGATGCCCAAGAAATGATTCGTGTCCAACAAGAAATGACTGGACTCAAGGAAGAGTTGGAGAGCCTCAAGAATCAAAATGAGGCGTACAGTCATGCATTTGTCAGCTTGAAACAAGACAATGAGAAACTGGCATCGAAGAATCAAATGCTGGAGCAGCAAACGTTGGAAATGGATGGTCTCTGCGAGGAAATTGCCTCGTTGAAAAAGAAGCAGGAAGATCAAGAACAGGAGCAACTTGGCCTCAAATTGAAGATTGATCAACTAGAGCAGGAAAAGACTACCCTTAAACAGACAATGGACGCCCAAAGCAGTAAAATGTCGGTATTGTACAGCAGCACAGAACGGTTGGAGCGCAAGTTGACCAAGGCCAAATTCAAGAATCGAACGGCCACGGCGGCCAATGAGGACGAGTTGGAACGGTTGAAACAAGGGCATTTGGCCGAAATTTCTAGAATCAAGGGGGAATCCAGCAAGTTGGTCTATCAGTTTCAGGAGGAATCGGCCCATTGGAGGGAGGACAATGGCAAGCTCAAGAGGCAGTGTGAGTTGCTCGAGGAACTGTATTGGACTGGGGGTAGATAAAGAGTGAGCAAAATGTTGGCTGTTTTATTGTAGCCTATTAGTCCTACCATATAAAATGTAATGAGAGTATGTATTGAGTACCAGTACAGTCCAAATCAAAATTCTGAAACGTGTGGTGGAAATACGTAAAACTGGTAGGCCACGTCATCTACTCAGCCTAAAATAGTACTTTCAATTTTTTCGCGCGCCCTCGTAGAATTTTGTTGTACCAATCCATCAGAACAACAAATCGCCATTTTCATCATCAACCTTCCGACCCCTTGTTGACATCAACAAAACATCGGGCATCTCCACTTTTTCGCACAATTCGCTTCCTAACACATCACACTAGTATAATATCGAAAAAAGTGGAGATGTGAGATGAATCCAAACGGTCAAAATCCACCAAAAAGGATGATGAATTTGATTTCACCACGATGGTAAGCTTTGAGGCACTTACAGTCATCACCGACTGCAAGAAAATTGATGCACAGCTGACAGTAGCTGTATCTTTACATAAGCTATCCTTTTTCTATGACGTGATCTGGCCTCGTTTGTTTCTTTGGTCCCCAAAATGACCTCTGAAGCCCACCATCAACGTCCAAAACGAAGAATTGTTATGGTTTTGGGAGCCCACGAAGTCTCAAGGCACCAAGTACTTGAAAATTCCAGCAGAGGTTGCTTCTGGCGTTATAATGAAGGTCTTGGAATCATCTGGTGATCGATATCAAGGATTCTTTGTGCATATTCTCCATCGAGTTCATCAAGTGGCAAAATTTGTCAAAAACACATCTATGTCATGGCATGGGCCCCACAAGAAGAATAGGTGGATTCAGATGCTACGGCAGGCACTTTTGATATATATATTACGCCATGAGCCGTGATTCAATTTAATTTTTACCCCAATCATGCCACAATCAACAAGCGGTGGTTGGAACTGTTTCGGTCAGCTTGCCCTTTGGGGTCCACAGAAGGGCACACATGCAGAGATCGCCGAGCCCCAAGGTATATTATGATATGTTGGTATCTGATACAACGGCAGAGCATTACTGGTTCACTTTCTTTGTTTAATCTGGAAAGATTTTTGCGATTTCCTTCCTTTGTGCTGTCGGTTCTCTGCCACTCTGGAGGTCCCCCTGGCCGCCATTTAGACAGCTATCCATCCAACAACACACCAGGGTCTCCCTTGGATGCCTAAAGTTTAGATCTTTCGGGACCAAGGCAATGATTCGTCCTAGATCAATAATCATGTGGCCAAACTGGTGTCAAAAAAATGTAAGTTTGTTGAAATTTCTGGAATTGTCGAATTGTTGACCTAATTTCCTCAATCTTCTTTATTCTGACACATTTTATTCGTCCATGGGTATATCTAACAAGTTTTGGTACCTTGGAATGGGAGATTTCAAGGTGGAAGTGATTGAGCTGCAGCTACTTGACCTGGGTGGTCAATTTGGCATTGAATCCAGAGTTTCCCAGGAATGTGTCCCAGTCGCCGTGTCGGTAACCAGACATGGTAGGACCACTACAAAAGTGATCAATATACCTATATGTATCGACTTTGGGTGTTTTTTTTCAATGGTGCGGCAGAAATGAGATTCCTTGGTCTGGTTTTCTGTTGACCCGTTCCCAACATTTCAGGAGCCTTGATTGAATGATTCGAAATTCCATGTATTCTAGACCGAAATTTGCAACTTTTGTTGTGTATACCTCTAGTCTATGTAGATTAAGCAATATTCCATATTAAAATGTCAAGATTTGTAACCAAAACCAGGTCTTATCGTACAAGATGGAGGCCTTGCCTCTTGTAGTATAATTTCGGTTGGATGTGTAGTCGATTAAGTCAAACTGGTATCCGACTCGATCGATCACAGCGTTCTCTACCACGGCCACGGACTTTCCACGATATGCGGTCTGATCTTGGTTTGTACTGTATGATACAGTCTCTTTGAATCGCGAGTCACAGTTACGTGCGTGTGTTAGGAAGTCGAACGAGTTCGGACTAACATTCAACATCGCCTTATTTTGTTTCACTCTCTACTAGGTATTTCTAATCGTGAAGTGACCTGAACATGACTTTCGGACAAAACATTTATCGGTACATGTACACGTGTACCGTCCAATTTTTTGGACAGAAAATGTGACCCAATCTCAAATTCCAAAATCTGAACAAGAACCATCAGAACCAGTGGTGAAGAAGTATATATGTGTACACCAACAGATTAGACTATACGGTACACACACACACAAACCTTTCATTCTTTCATTCATCACTATTGACCATGGATCAGAGAAGCGTACCCAACAGTGTAGGAACAATGCCGAGGCAGACTAGGACTACTAGAAGACTGGACAGCTTTGAAGGATCATCGTCTCCTGCGAGCTTGGTTGATCAGAAACCAATACTACGATTGGATCAAACACCAGCGGATCAAACACACAGTTCAAATGACAACAAGCCTATGCCCAGTGAGAATATTGATTTGGATGACATGATCACAAGAGGCACCGAAGGAACCTCTTTCTCTACGCTAGAGTCTTCTACATCTGGTGAAGATCCCTCGTCCTTCAAACTTCAAAGTCCTCAACATGCAAACAATACTACCACTGTGGGTTCTACCGACAACAACAACTCTCAAAAACAACAAGAAGCACAGCAAAAACATTTCTCTTCTCGATCTGTCGATTTGCGAGTCTCCCGGGCGCTAGCACGAAGGGCTCGACGCAATCGTGGTGGTGGTTCTTGTTCCACTGGTGGAAACAGCACTGGTTCGGCCAGCATTTCCCCCATACCATCACGACCACAATCCGAATTATTATCATCATTGCCAACTACGTCAGTACGAACTGAAGGTGGTGGCACTGTCATGCTGGCACCAGATCTGGATCATGATCACGATAGTGTCGGGAACCACCAGCGAATAGGAGATGATTTAGTGGGAGCTAGCATCGTTTCTCGAGCCCGAGACTCATCTTCGACTCGATCCAATAGGAGTGTGAGTAGTGCTATTATTGAACAACCTCCACCCGAATATCGTAGAATGGACGATCCCGAAAAAGAAGAAGAACGAGCCAATTTACCACCAGGGGAGGAAGGCCGACCGGGAGCCTTTGCCATTCCCCAACGAGCCTTTGGAGGTGTCCCCGCTTGGTTTGATGAAGCACTCCAACGGAGGCAACAGACTGTCCAAAGAGGCCTGACTCGGATGGGGAGCAGCGCTCGATCCCTCAACAGCAGTGCTCGACAACTTCGAGAGAGCACTCTACAAGTCTTTGCTCGGCTGCACAATGATAGTAACCGTACCAATAGTACTGGCAGTGCGGTGAACGAAGAGCAAAACGAGGAAGCGACCCTTCAGACACGAAAGGCTCCGGAAGCTGAGCTTGATGTGGGGCGAGAATCGTCCGTCTTGGACGCGAGTTGTATGAACCTTGTGGCGCAGCAGCAACAACAGGAGTATAGTCTGGACAAGGACGATAGCAGCAGCGAGAAAGATATCAAAGTATCACGAGACTCCAGTCGCCGAGGAAGCATGCCGGAGGTACTCTCCAAGGTCACAAAGCCGTTGGTCAAGATGGCCAAATCACCCGCAAAGCTGTTCCGGAAAAAGCCCAAGCCAGTCACTCATCGTAGCAATAGCGCTGAGATGTAGGTGTTTTGATACGCAAAACCATCAATTCAGTCTAATAAATTCAAACGGAGAAGAATATGTAAAGAACTGCTACTAGTTTACCGTATGCAATTTATATCCCATCCCCTTGTGAGTTTTACATCGATAATAATTCTATGCTTCAATGCAATCTTCAAAGTCGTCGTCTTCCTCACTCGTCGTGTTTTCCTGAACGGGTGCATCGTCGACCATCAAGTGATGTTGTTGTTTTTGTTGCAACTCTGTCTTTTGTCGTTCAATTTGCCCCTCTTGTTGTGCCAACAGCACATTCTGCTTCTGAATCTTCAATTGCAATTCTTCTTCTTGTTTCTGCTGCTTTTCCTTTTGCCGATGGAGTTCCAACTTTACGCCTTCCTTTTCTTTCAAAAGCTTGTCCATTTGTTGTTGGAGTTCCTTTTGTAGTTCGTCATATTCTTTCTTTTGTTGGTCCAACTCGGTGTGGATTTCTTTGGCGGCCTTCTGCTTTTGCTGCTGGACATCTTCTTGTAGGCGTCGGTACATTGTCTGCTGGTCTTCCAATTCCGACTTAAGGTCGTCGTATTCCTTCTTTTGAGCCTCTAATGAGTGACGGAATTCTTCCTTCAGAGCCCATAGTAACTTGTCCTGCTTCAATTCCTCACTCGAAGGACTTGGTTGCAACTCTTGCTGTTGCTGCAGGAGCTGTTCCTTCTCTCGTTTTAGTTGCTCCTTCTCTTGTTGCAATACTTCCTTTTGCTTCTGAAGCTTCAGCTGCGATTCCTTCTCGTGTTGTTGCAATTTCTCTTTCTGTTGTTGGAGTTCCAGCTTGAGAGCGTCCTTTTCCTTTTGAAGCTCTTTCTTTTGCTGTTGTACCTCGGACTTGAAAGATGTCTTCTCCTTCTGGAAAGATTCCTCCTGCTGCTGCAATTCTTTCTGGAGTTGGTCACGCTCTGCCTTCTTTTGTTCCAAAGTTGTGCGAATCCCATCGGCAGACTCTTTTTGTTCCCTTGTCAGACGTTCGATCTGGCCGTCCTGCTGTGCCAACAGTACCTTTTGTTTCTGCATTTCGACCTTGAGCTCTTCGTCTTGCTGCTGCGTGGACTGCTTTTGCATTTTCAATTCCAACTGGATTTCTTCCTTCTCCTTTTGCAGTTCTTCTGCGCGCTTTTTGAATTCACTCATGAATCCTTCATTCTCCCTTTGAATCGTTTCCTTTTGCTTGTCCAATTCCTTCTTGAGCACTTCCCTCTCCTTTTGGAGCTGTTCTTGTTGTAACTTGAGCTCTTTCTTGAGCCCTTCCTTGACCTGCTCAAGTAGCGCCTTTTGCTTTTGCAATTCAACATTGAGTGTGTCTTTTTCCTTTTCAAGATTTTCTTGGAGTTGACTCTGCTGACCCTTGAGGCCTTCCCTTTCCTTTTCAAGCATTTCCTTTTGCTCCTGCAATTCCTTCTTGAGAGCTTCTTTTTCCTTTTCTAGCTTCTCTTGTTGATGCGTCAGCTCGTCCTTGAGTCCAGCCTTGTCCTTTTCTAGCGATTCCTTTTGTTGAACCAATTCTGACTTGATTTCTTCCTTCTCCTTTTGTAGCTTTTCTTGCTGTTGTTTAAGGTCCAATTTGATTCCTTCCTTTTCTTTTTCGAGGGCTTCGATTCGCTCTCGATATTCTGTTTGACGCTGGACGACTTCCTTCTCTTGCTTTTCCATTGCTGCACGCATCTCCTCCGTAATATCTTGATGCTCCTTTATTTGCTGTTCAATCTGGCGCTGTTGTTGTCCTAGTAGGACCGTTTGCTTCTGAATCTCCAATTTGAGGGCTTCCTCTTTTTCGGGGAGCTTGTCCATCTGCTGCTGAAGATCTGCCTTGAGCCCTTCCTCTTGGTTTTTCAGTAGCTCCCGTTGTCGTTGTATCTCCAACTTGAGGTCTTCCTTTTCCTTTTGTGATTTTTCGCTCTGTTGCTTGAGCTCGATCTTGTGCTCTTCTTTCTCCTTCACAAGCTTGTCATTATTCTTTTGCAGTTCCAACTTGAAATCTTCCTTTTCCTTCTGCGACTTCTCGTTTTGTTGCAGCAGTTCCGTCTTGAGACTTTCCTTGTCTTTTTCCAATTTTTCGGTATGCTTTTGCAGCTCCAACTTGAAATCTTCCTTTTCCTTATGAAGCTTTTCTTCTCGCAGCTCGAATACCGACTTGAGATCTTCAATTTCCTTTTGAAACGCTACGCTCTCGGCTCGGAGTGACTTCTTGGATTCCTTTTGATTGTTCACCTCAGTGAGAAGCATTTCGTTTCGCTGTTTCAGTTCCAAGTTCAGTTGCTCTTGCTGCCTTAGTGCGGCCTCATGACCCGAGCTGGCCTCTTTGGTAGCGTTTTGCTGTTGCTGCGCTTGTTGCTGCTGTTGTTGGTTCAAGGTCTGCTGCTTTCCCAGCTCGACCTTGAGCTCTTCGCACTTCTTCTTCTCGGCCTCGAGTGCGTTGCGAAATTCTTCCTTCAAAGCCCAAAGTAGTTTCTCTTGCTTGGCCGCAGTTTGAGATTTCTCTTCTTCCAACTTTTTGTTCTTCATTTCTTCAATACGTGCCTTGTCGAAAAGGCTCTGCTTTTCCGCCAGCGCAATCTTGACAGATTCCACAGCATGTTGCATTTGGGCATCATTGGTACTAATTTCCCAGTTTCCACCCTCCACAGGGGTAGTCTTGAGTCGTTCGACATCTTGCTTGAGTTGCTTCAAGTCTTCTCGGAGCGCATTGCATTCTTTTCCCTTTTCAGCCAGCAAGGTTTCGACTACTTGCAAGGCGTTGTCCACCTGGGGCACAGTAGGTGATGTCGGTGCACGAGGTGATGATGCGGACGTTGGCGAAGTTGGAAGTGGTAATTGTTTATCATCGTCCGTCGAGCTGCCAGCCTGTGCGGAACCATTGCTGATGGAATAGTGATCCAAATCCCATAAGGTGTGCGCCGTTTCGGATTTTCCACGTCTGGCGCCAGGTTCATATACTGGCGCCTGGGACAGACTGACTTGGCGAAACATATTGCCAGCTGTTGACTCATGTTCGTGTGGAGTGGCTTTCTCCAGAAGAGCATGGTTGTAGCCATCGACACTGCAACGAATGGCAACATCGGATATCGCTACCAGCCATTCCATTTGTGTGCTGTGATTGTCAAAGCACAATTTCCATTTTGTTTCTTGGGCAATTCCGACCTTGATACTAATGCAAAAGGGCGATGGTGCACCAGAATGTCCATAAGTCGCAGTGGCGGCAGCCTTTTCTTCTGCCAAATCCAAGAATCCTCGTGGTTCCTTGGGGGCAGAAGAGAGTGCTTTGCCATCTCGACTCGTCTTGACTCCATCTGATGCTTCATAGTAAACTAGAACATTCCCCCTTAGTTCCACCAATCGCTGTTCCCATGCGCTTGAATAGGAAACCAATTTGCCTCCAACGCCACCCCTTCGTTTCCAAATGACACCCGAAACTCTCGGGGGTTCGTCTTTGCGTATGATTCTCTTCAGTTTCTCATCATTGTTTGGAACAAAGGCTCCTGTGATGTCCCTGGTAGATCTAGCAGCGTTCTCAGAGAGTGCCTTGGCGGATTTAGACAAGAAGTTCATGACGATGGGACACTTCTCTCATAGCGCGTAGATGTTGGATGTGGGTGTCAGCTACTTATTCCTGTAAGTGTTGTTGAGCCGTTGAAGGGATCGATCCAGTCGGCAATGTCGCAACCAAATATCCGGATCCAATCTGATGATGGACGGACAGACCAAAAATATTTGAAAATCAGAAAATGCGCAACTTGAAACCCGGATATGTCGGGAGCAGAGAGCAGCGGTCAAAATATTTCTCCCAACACTTCGGTTGCGGGTGTGATGGCGGCAAGCAGGCTGCAATTTTTCCACGCATCGAACCCCGACAACACACCCCCGCCCTTCGTAGTTACAGTACGTACCCGGTACCTGATACTGTAACGCTTGGAAAAATCGCAATCTGCTTGGAAAAATTGCAGCCTGCCTGCCGCCATCACACCCGCAACCGAAGTGTTGTTAGAAATATTTTGACCTCTCTCTGCTCCCGACATATCCGGGTTTCAAGTTGCGCATTTTTTGATTTTCAAATATTTTTGGTCTTTCCGTCCATCATCAGATTGAATGAACGAAGAATATTTGGTTGCGACATTGCCGACTGGATCGATCCCTTCAATCACAACGGCTCAACAACACATGTTGTAGCTGACATGCAACATCTACGTGCTATGAGAGAAGTGTCAAATCGTCATGAAACTCTTGCCGATGACGGACCCCTTAGTACTGTACCGGTACCGTGGGTTAATCCTGCGAATCGCCGCCTTCAATCGTCCATGCTGACTACGGTACGCTCAGAATTGATTTAATCGACTAGTCCGATTTCTATGGATGTACTCAGAATTCTTTACCGGCCGATCAAAAGACTTCTCCCAATACTTCGGTTGCGGGTGTGATGGCGGCAAGCGAACTACTGTACGAAATCAAACAATGCCAATCATCTAGAGCCTACCGATAGAAACCAGGGTTGCAGCATAGTTCAATGCTTCAAGCATTCCAAAGTTTTCAACTATAGATCGTTTTTCTAATGTTCTCTGATTATTGTCTAGTCCTCTAGTTTTCTATTAAAATCCAATTCATATCGTTTCATGGTGGAGTACAGTGATTTTGGCGGCTCGTTCACCGTTACTAATAAACAATGCTTCCTTCGCACATAGCCGTATCGCCAAAGAAGACTGATCTCTTCAATGTGACCTTCTCGACAACAACATCGACAAGCTTTTTGTTGTTCCCTTAGCCAGAAGAACTACTAGATGCCACGGCCACCATTTGTTGTGTGCAAAAGTTAATCCAATAGCAACCAACTCCCAAGGCTCCCAGATTGAATAGTGTCGAGAAACCATGTAGCATTCCAAATTGTTTTGAAAGTTTCTTGAGTTCCGGATCATTGGCCTTTTCGGGATCCTTTGGTTTCAGAATTCCAACCTCGTGTCCAGTCCCCAGACGTCGTTCGACCTTGTGGCGTTCAAACATGACTCGGGTAGTCTCGGGTTCAAAGTATACCAAATTGACTAGAATCGTAGCCATGATGCATCCAAGTGACTGTAGACCCCATCCTAGTGCACTCGAAGTCACCATGGCAATCCCAATCATGATGGCTGAAAATAAGAAATAGGCTGGAAATAGCTTGGCCTGAAGACGTCCAAAAGTATGTCTCGGAAGATTCTTGAACATGACCAACCCTGCCACAAAGGACACCCACACACTGCATCCAAACCAAGAAGAAAAGGCGAGCATATGCAGCAACGTTAATTCGTGTTGGTAGTCTCCTCCTCCTCCCAAATCATAAGTCTTGGTGCTGGCGACACTCCCCGCGAGAATAGCCACCAAGACTGCAGCACGGACAAGTTGCTTGTTCATCGTGGGTGCGGTGGACGAAACGTCTGACATGGTTCTGTATGCTTCAGTCGGTGGATCACAGGAGGTGGTGCTGAAATGGAATTGGTGATGATGTGTCAAAAGAACGAAGAAGCAAAATGACAATAAAGGATCGAGTCTTAAATTATTTTCTGAATCACAGAGAAAATACGGGCTATCTTATTCCTTTTTGGATACCGGACTGATCACAGACGCGAGCATGTCATGTTCGTTTTGAAGTTTGATTTACAGTATTTTGTACTCATCGTATTCCCAATGCTTGAATATAAGGAACAGCAACACTATTGAAACATACAGTCAGCACTAGCACTAAAGAATACAATGGGACTAGGGGGTGTAAACAGCGCTCGGAACACTGTGTTTCTGATTATAGTAGCATCACTTGCCCTTGCATTTTCATCCTTTGCTGAGCATCGTTCAGAGTTATGGAAAGCATTGGTTTCGAGCTCCATTGTCAGGGAGCCCACGGCAACCGCCAAGACTGCGAGTACTGCGAGTAATTACGAGACCATTGGTAATAGAAATGAAAGCCAAACGATACATCAGCCTCCTAACAATGTTACTACAACAAATGAAATATCAACAGGAGCTGTCACCAGTACGCCTGCAACCGAACTGAAACCTTCACACGATCCTGAACCCAGTGCTACAAATTCATCATCTTCCGATGAAGATGAGGTGAAAGACAAGGAGAAAGAAAAGAAAGATGAAGACGACGAAGACGAAAGTTCCTCGTCATCAGAAGATGTAGCTCCCAAGCTTTCCCAGATATGGCATATTCCACCTCACCTGTCGACGGAGAAAGCCAATCCAAATGTTGGCGGTCCGACCGAGTTGAACCAAACAGCTATTGATTTATTTGAGACTGCCACCAGAAGTGGACTCACGCCATCGCAAGGCTGTAGCAATGACACGAACGCAACGGAAGCCTGGTGTGGAGAACAGGGTTGTTGGAGAACCTTTGAAATCAACAGCACTGAAGTGCCGTCGGAGACAACCTGCAAGACGTTATGGTTTGCAGGATTCAGTATCTCGACAAGCTCAAATTGCTATGCTAGTGGATATGGCGGCTATCGGAATGATTATGCAGTAGCCTTGCAGTCAGCACGATTTAATGCAAAGGATACACTTCAGCCAGTCCTACTGGTGGGGAGATATGATATGGGAGACACTCCTTTGCCAACCGTCGTAGAATGGGCGGCTGCACAAGGGGCTATTATTGTCACGGTTGATGAGCTTAGCTTTCAAGACTTGGTGAATAACAAACTGGTCAAGAATGTGCATGCCAACCATATGGGGCCGTTTCTGAGGATTGACGTTCCAAAAATTGTAAGGGAACACAAACTGATGGATCTTCCCGGCATTTGTGATCGGCACGTTTTATACACGGACAGCGACGTTGCCTTTGTGAACAAAATTACTCAGTCTGATCTCGACAAGTTAAAGAAACAAATCGATCCATCGACAGATGCGTACACGCTGTATGGCCATCAGACGAAAAGCAAAGGGCGTCCAATCAACAGCGGAATCATGCTCTTTGACGTGTATCGCTTTGAACAAGCATGGGATTCCTTTCTGCAATTTGGTTACGCAAAAGGTCCTTTTCTATCTTTTGACCAGGGGTGGTTGAATGATTACTTCATGTCGACTGCCGAGCGAATGGCGAATCGGTCGTTGCTGGAGAATGAATGGAATTGGAAATCCTACTGGAGACTGGCTCCCAACGAGTGGTGGCAAGTCAAGATTGTCCACTTCCATGGCCCCAAGATTGGGAAATCCTTAGAGTACATGGCACATTGCAATACGTCGGACTGGGTCTTTGACACATATGGCAAGACGTATGCAAGCCTTGTCAAGAATGCCATTTGTTGTGACAAAGGTATGACAGCCAAATTTATGTTGGACTTGTACTATGAATTATCACCTCCCCGAAGTGTCAAGTGCGGGTAAGACTTTTGCAGTAGAATTATGAACCTACAGCATATAGAATGTATAGTGTAAAGATATAATACCTACAATCTACTGTACAATATATCTACTGTACAATATAGGTTGGTTCTCTTCCTCTACTGATACATTAGTTTTTTGTATCGGACACACAACAGACGCTACGTTTCAAAACCAAAATGAAAATGAAAACAAAAATGAAGAAGAGGAAAGACCCGTAGCACAACATATTGCACTAGCATGACCTAAACGCCCCAAATGTTGGTTCGTAGCAGTAGTAATGGGAAGGAAAAAACGAAATCCTGAACAGAATGCTATCGATGATGAGAAGAAATGGAAGAATGCCGTGGTGATTCCTGTTGACGGCGGTCTCTCGTTTCAAGTGGTGGGTGTGGATTCTACAACTGGAACCCTCTTTGCGCGTCGTGAAAAGGTGGATACCATCTTACAACGGCCTGAAACGGCACTTTGCGTGTTTTCTTCTGATGGTAAAAGTCCTACTCTCTTTGTTGTTCTCGAGCGAGTCCTGCTTGCTGCCACCCTTCCAGAAGAACCTGTGACATCCTATCCATCGACATCTGTCGAAGTCGAAGCGGCTGTCAAAGAGCTATGCCGAATAGGCGCGATATGGATCACTACGAGAGACCAACAACACCCTAAGAATCCACCAAAATGGAGCCGTGCTACTGAACTGCAGCTACAACAAGAAGTAATGGTCGAAGATGATGCAATTATCCGAATGCACTCACGTCCACCAAGATTTCCATCCTTTTCCAAACTTCAGGTTGTCACCAAGAATGATACTCATGGTTTCTGGGTCGTAAACAAGCCTGGTGGTTGTCCAAGTCATGCTACGGTGGATAATGGAGTCGAAAATGTCTTGGCAGTGGTCCAACAAGATTCATCGTATGCAACCTTGCCGCAACGATTGGACACGGAAACATGTGGGTTGCTTCTGGTCGCCATTCGACCCAGCTTTGCGAGATGCATGGGCCAGCTGTTGCAGGCAAAGACAAAGATTGCAAATCAAATGAAATCCTTATCTGGCCCAGCACAAATCATGGAATCCAAACCTATGAAACCACTGACAAAGAAATACCGATGTTTGGTGGTAGTTTCGGATGAGAACAGCAAGAAGGAGGTCTATCATCGATTCTGTCGCTGGAGGGATTCGCGACACCGGGTCATTCATTATCTCGATGCTTCGTCCCCTGCGCCCAAACGGTTTCTGGATACAATTCCAGGCGACGAGGCCAATCTGAACGAAAGCACGAAATGGCAACTCTGTCAACTACAAATTACAGCAGTGAGTCAGCCTTACACGGTTTCTATTCCCGGCATTTCTTCCAATCTCTCTTCGGCGGAACAACTTTACAAGGCACTATGGGGAGAGAATCAGCCAGTAGTAGACTCCAACCCTATGTATGTGCTTCAATTGGAGATTGATTTGTTGACAGGAAGAACCCATCAGATCCGAGGGCAGCTTTCAGCATTAGGAGCTCCAATTGTGGGCGATGCTCTCTATGGCGGTGTGCATAATCCGAATAATATGCTGCTAAAGGATTCTATTGCACGAGCTTCCAATCGGATGGCCCTGCAGTGCTGTTCTTTGGAATTCAAGAAACCGACTGTGGCCGAAAAGGATGAGACGATGGACGAGATTTCGTCCGACAAGTCGTCGTTCTACAGATTCCACCTGGATCAAGCTTGGTGGACAGACTACTTGCATCAGTATGCCGATGCAGAAACTTGATACCGTCCTCCCGTCCTAAAGGTTGAATTCAAAGTGGTAGGTATTCTCGAATTTGCCACTGAGAAATGGTCTTCTGCTGCAGCGTCAAAATTACCATTTTTCCAAGTAAATGCAACCACCATAGAATATGGAGCACAATATCTACGATAGCTGTCAGTACCACGTAGCATTGGGAAGATAGGAGGAGCCATGGAATCGTTATGTTTTATATGAAATTTTATTTTTTACCTAGAAGGGTGTTTTGACTAGGTCGACTAACACGCAGATTCATAATGTTCAATATCATCGACACCACACAGCATCATACATGTAGTGTTTTCACATCCGACCAATATACCTTCCACAATGAGGTTACTGCCTGCAAAATGGGGTACAGTGCAGAGTCAGCGACAAGTATGGTTCAGAGATTGCAATGGAAGTGATGTTGCCGATTATGAGCTTCAGAATGTGGATCTATCCGGTGGAGTTCTTGTCTTGCGAAAGTGGACCCAAAACGACTTCAACAACGCAAATTTCCTATCTTTGTCCACGTTACTGAGTCAAAGTGCAGCAAAACTACAAACCGTCAAGGTTGAAGGTGTGTCTCAATCGTCACCAGAATATCTCGCGTTTCTGATTGCAGCGTGCACGAAAGCTCATGAGGTACAGCTCAAGTCGTGTACTTTGAGCGATACGGTTTGCACTTGCTTGATGTCCAGCATGATGAATTCGTATGGTATCAAAGAGTTGACTATAAGTTTTCGCACTCGAATGGCGTCAGCGAATCAAGCACGATTGCTCTTCCAGGGGGTTGCATTGTCAACTTCGATCCAGAAACTAGACCTGTTCTTCGACTTTGAGGATATGGAGGATTCCGGGATTGCACTTGTACAAGCCTTCGAGACGAATCAAAGTCTCACTTCATTCTCATTATATTCACGGAGTTTGAATAGTGATTTCATTCTTGAGAGCATCATTAGAGCCGCTGTGAATAATGTGACTCTTGAAACGTTGACCATTAATGCGCCACACAGTATTCGGCATGGTACTCGAAGACTTTCATTGTCCGCCTTGCACGAGTGCTTGTGCCGAGACGATTGCTCTGTTCAAGAGCTGACATTAGAGAGCATTTTGCTGGATGGTGACATGGGAGACAATAGCATACTGCAGAATTCATCGCTCAAGGCAATGAAACTCCGCGGCCGAGCAAATGTAACTTGTTCTCAAGTTGTCAAGTTTGCCAAATCCTTCACGTGTTTGGAAAATCTGGATATCGACTTCGAACCATATTCGGACCTTACGTCACTGGGTGAGCTACTACTCGGAGAAGGGTCTACACTGCAAAGTTTGAAGCTTTTCGTTCAACCGAAAGCTGGCATGGACGAAAACTGGCAAGAATTCTTCCAAAAACTACCGAAAATGAAGTCTCTAAGAAACTTGGATCTCCCTCGCGAAGTCGTCCGGTCAGAGGCATGTAGAAGTGCACTTTTGAATGCGATGTGGCTCAATAGTAGCATTGAAAACATGAATCTCTTGAAGAACCTTGGACGCGTAAGTCCCTGGAGCGATGCAGAGGATGAAACGTTCGCTGAGTTCTTTTGCCAGATATCGCACCTTTTCAGCGTAAATAGAGGTGGGCGGAGATATCTTCAGAACAAGCCTTCAGAACAACCACTGCCGCAAAATCTTTGGCCACTTGTTCTGCAACGAGCGATGGGAATCGACTATATCTCTGATTACCATAAATCGAAATATCCGAAGCTTCAATCCCTGGAGTTTGATGCTATTTATTGGCTACTACGAGAGAAGTTGTTCACTTGAAGAACTTAGGAGTGCCCAAAGTGTCGCAATTCTCAGTCGAGCAACCCCCAAATGATTCATGTTCTCAGGCAAAGCATGACGAGAAGTCCCATCATGATCCACAAGTTCTCACAACTGAAAAGTCAACGAGACCGCTTGCCCCTCATGTAGAAAAATCCAATATATATTATAGAATGATATAGACACAGAACGATGTATGGGGCGTGATTACTTCTATGGCGTCATGGGGGAAATCCAATCTAAGGTCCAAGGTTCATTTGACTAGGTCGACCCAGAAAATCGAAAACCACATTAACATCATCGCACAGCCAAAGCACGTTACCCAAACTTGCGGCAATAACCCTCCTTCACACGCTGATGAATGACCAAAAAGCCCCCATCGTCCATTGATATCTACTGGTATGTTGAGCAGAGAAGGTGTCAACGAAGTGCACGACTTTCCACGAACACAGTTCTTCTCATTTCGCCCAACTAATCTACTACCGCCAGACAATGAAAGACTGGCACAAGATGATGATTCACCAAACAATAATGGTCAGTCACTGGCACATGTACATACGCCCGGCAGTTCACCCGGTGTTATCTTCCTTCCTGGTTTCATGTCTACCATGAAGAGCACAAAACCAAAATCCATTTACCAGTATTGCCAACAACATGGATTGGAATTCACATCCTTGGACTACTCGGGCCATGGTGAAACTCGGAGCAAACAAGACTGCAATGACGAATCTTCAAGTCACACTATCAGTCAATGGATGGAAGAAGCTTTGATAATCCTTCAGCGTATCACAGTCAACAACCAGCAGATTGTGGTAGGCTCATCCATGGGAGCATGGATTGCACTACTCTTGGCAGGGCATGAGCAACAACAGGCGCAAGCAGAGTTCAAGCCACTGCCGAGAAAGATTTCTGGAATACTGGGGATTGCATCAGGACCCGACTTTACTTCCACCTTATCAGAACAAATAGAAGGCAATGCTTCTCTCAGAAAACAAATGAGCAATCTAGGATACTCTGATGTTCCCACTGACTACGATGAAACTGGTTTCTATCGAATCTACCATCACTTTCTGCAAGATGCCAAACAGCATTTTGTTTTGGATAGACCATACTTGGACTTGCACATTCCAGTGACCTTGATTCATGGAATGAAAGACAAGGATGTACCCCATGCATACTCTGAAAAGTTGCTTTCCAAGCTCGACAGCCAGCAGTCAAATGAATTGATCCTAGTGAAAGATGGAGACCATCGCCTCTCCAAACCACATGAAGTCAAACAGATCTTACAGGCACTAGATGAGCTAAGGTGTCGACTGGCTGCAGCAAAATGACATTCGAAAAAGAGAGCGTATTGCTGCTTTTGCTGCAAAATCTCATTGGTACGAATCATCGAGCACCGACTGTGGCTTGTGCCCTCCAGAAGATAGTATGATGAATAAAGTCCGAAACTATGGACCCTGTTTAATCCGCATTTTCTCTGCCACTGGCATTAGAAACACAGTGAGCACCGCCTTTGGTATCGTTATCGTACCTGAGAGGCCCACCTAAGATTCACAGGAGGTACTATCATTGAACATTATTGGGTCGTCCAAATTTCATCTCCTACATCTTGCAGTTCTAATTAGATACACACAATTTATTCTTTCACTGCAATCTAATTCAAACGAAAAATAGAAGATGGGCCATAAATAAGACAGTGAGCACCGCCTTTGGTATCGTCATCGTACCTGAGAAACCCACCTAAGATTCACAGGAGGTATCATTGAACATTATTGGGTCGTCCAAATTTCATCTCCTACCTCTTTCAGTTTTAATTTAATACATACAATTCATTATTTTATTGTAATCTAATTGAAACGAAAAAGAGAAGATGGGCCATACATCATCCATATTGGCGTATCAACACAAAAGTTCTAATTCCCAATTCGGCTATATGCAAAAAGTCTGTGTTTGGCCTTCAGCTTAGATCCATTCCTCGCAAGGGTAACCATTTTCTTCTAGAATACATCGTTTCTCACTCTTGCAGTATCTTCCAGGCGTGCAAGAACTGCAAGCATTCCACTTTCTGGGATAACAGAGGATGCGGTCGTATTGAATGTAGAACACTGGTTGATGAATATCTGGCCAAAATTGATCTCTGGCTGGTTTTCGATTGTAACAGATAATGTCACCGCCGCAGTTTGGGAATTTAGAAGTGTCGCATCTTCCTAGCAAGGCACGACCGTTGGGATCGTCATTGTTATCGCAAAGGTCGACATCGGGCAGGAAGAAATCGGGTTCGTTGCCAAATTGCAAATGACGTTCGACCTCAGTTGCTGAAACAGTCGTGTATAGAGATGCTACTGCAACCAGTATGCAAAGGAGGGAGGTAAATGGTCTTCTGGCTGTGTTCATTGTTGATGTTAATTTGTGCAGCTTATTCTTGTTGCTATGATTGATGTTTATTGTGCCTCGTTATTTATTTTATGTAAAGTATGGACAGGTTGGAAGAATCGAATCTCGCTTTGGGCATGAACGGACATGTGTTTTTGGCCTGTGCGATAAATTTGAACCTATTATTTTCGTCCGTGAATCGCCAGTCACGCACGTTCAAAACGCTACGCTACAATACTCCGTTGTTCTTAGGTACCTACTACGGAACAAGAATGATTTGTATAGCAGGCAGACTAGATTACTCCTCCTTTGATTGATACATGGAACGCTAACGACACTATGCCGAGAATTGTGATTCACGCTTTCCCCTCTCCTGTCATCTATTTCTTCTCTAGTAGGGGTTGTTCCAGCGCCCACTTGCGATCGTCTAGGCTACGTACTCTGCTGTATTTCCAGTCCTCAAAGTGAAGTGTTTATTTCGCAGTAACCAATAGGTTGCATCAAATGGCAACGCTTTCAAAAGCAAGAGCTTTCAGTCCGTCGTGGGTACCATCGCAGTCCATTACTATCGCTCGTTCCAAAACAAGTGGCCAAATTTGTTTCGGAATAGGTTGTTCCAAAGGAATCAGCATTCCACATTTTTTCAAGTGCAGCGGAAGCAATATTCTGGAAACGACTTCAAGTTCCTCCCGATAGCTGAGATCCTGACAGCACTCATTCTTTCAATTCTAGCATTGAACGCCCACAGCGCCTTGGAAACTTCCCTTCTACATAATTCTGACCGAAATTCTTTGATAGGAATGTCTAAACGTCTGAACGAATGCATTCTATCCACTCTTGATGCTTATCGTTTTCGGGTTGACAAAGCAACTCTAAGCTTTGCAATGTGGAATCTTCTTCAAGCAGTAACTCGTCCAGAGGCTTGAGTTCCGATGTTGGGTTGAAATCAGTCTCCAAGTGTTCCAATCACTTGAATGGCGAACTGAACAACTTGAGAGCAAGTCAGATCGTTCCTACGCAGTTTCAGTGCTATGAGTGACGAATTCTGCCCCGTGCTGTCAGAAGGGCAACCATCTAGCGAAAAATCCGTCAAATGCATCTAGAAGTACAAGTCCATCCGTTCAAAACTGATGGACATCTCGAGTTTCTGCAATGACGAAGAGTATGCAACACCAGGGAAGAGTAGGTGCCGCGCTTGATAATCTGAAATTTCCGATCCTTTATAGCCAACTCTTGGATACCATGGGGATTCATCATGCTTGGCATGATACATGCGAATATTGAATCTCTGAAAGAAACCGAGCTGTGCCGAAACTCATGAGCTTGACTGCATGCTGCGGTCAAGAATGCTAGATACTCTAGAGAATCCTGCGATTGATTGTTCGACTTCCACGCCAACAGTCTGTAGCTTTCCTTCGGTTTGTTTACTAAGTAAACGGGAGAATACCAGGAATGTATGACTGTCTTGTGGATGTTCGAAACCAAGCTCTCTAGCAGTAAGAACTGCTCCTGCCAAACTGACATTCTCAATCTCATCATCATGATCAAGAAAACGTTCTCTGAACTCCTTTAAGCATACTGTTATCATATCTGTTGCTTCATCTCAACCCCAAAATAGATGCTCAAGTCTTGTATCAACATGGCGACGGTACCAATATGGCGATGGCGGCTGACTCCTCAGTCTAGACTTCCAGTAGTCTTGTCGAATGCTTGGCTCGAGCCACAATTCTACCGGTACAAAAGCACTCTTGACTTTAGTTGCAGTTGTTATCGTACAGCCAGGTATGATGCGAACGTATCTTTGACATCACTGATGTGACGCGCCTGTCAAAATGTGGCTGGGGATGGGCGGAATTTAGTCCTTAACCCGAACGAAATCACCCCTGCGCCGGAAATCCTTCGAAAGCAGGTGCTAACGATGACTTTCTACCACCCTCTATTCCGATCGGAGAAGAAACTGTCGCGAAGAACAATCAAAGATTGAAAACAGCTTGTCCAGCTGCGAAATCCAGAATACAAACATCACGAGATCACGAAATCCAGACGCCCGTCAAACAGCACAAAATCCAAAATACGAACCATGTCACCACTATCAGAACTTGCCAAAGCTGCCTTTGTAACTACCTCCAAAGGAGCTGGAGTTACCCTAGCAAGCACCGTCGCCTCTTGCTACCTGGCCTGTCAGATTGAAGTCCGTGCGCATCGGTTCATCTATCATCACTGGCCTGAGAAGTATGCCTCCGTGCAAGTTGCCAATGGATTGACACAAGAAGAATTGGACAGGGCGCATCAAATGGAGCCTGCTATGGCTCAACCTGATACTGTTCTTCTTACGGACAACAAGCCCGCCGTGGAAGAGTCCAAGATGTCAAGAAAAACACCAGTTTATTCGTTTGATTTGTCAGGAGCATCCACAACATTGGATCAAACGAACCAATTCTGGAAAGAAGCAGAAGAGCCCCTGGCACTCATCAAGGAATTTACCATGCCAAGGCAAGACCTTATTGCCACTTCCATGACGTCTTAGGAGGTCTCCATGAAGTATATATTCTTTCATCAACAGCATGTGATGGCGACATCATCATCGTCCTCATCACTCTTGCACATACTACATAATTTCCTTCCCTTGTACATATTGGCACGACCATGGTGCCTCGATTGCTATTCTGAGAGGTAGCAAAAACAGGCACGAATGGATGAATACGGGCAAAAGCAGAATACTATTCAATATGGTGCTATCAAAACGAACACCACGGCAACTCGAGAATTCTTTTCCTGGAAAACGAAAGCGATTAGAAGAGGACTAAGATCCTGAGGATAATTTACAGCTAAATAATGCAATTAGGTTAAGCAACCAAAGTTGCAATACCTTTCATGGTAGCATCACATTGATGAGATGATTCGACTTCGTATCTTCTCCCCCATGTCATGACGGACTTCAAAGGAGGGCTTCTGGACGAATTGATAGTGCGAGTGCGTCATTAGCGTTCGTAGTTCAACATGGAGAACAATGGGGATGGCTCAAAAGTGGATTTGTTTGGGGGACGGACGAACAAGGACGTCCAAATAAGAAAGGAATTCTCCAGCTTACAAAAAACGGGAGGAAGTATATCCGAGATTATTTTTTACGATCCTCCCTCCCCTAGTTTCCTTTCTAGGTTCGTCAGTGGAAGATTCCGTTTACGGTCCGAAACAGACGTACCCAGTACGATACGGTATTTACGTACCCATCATACTTTAGGCCCAACAGACTTCAGTCATTTCTCCGAAAAATCGTACTTTTTTTGGAAAACACCAAGAACAAAATGATGTTTAGACGGTTGATGTTCAAGCGGATTATAGATTGCTGACGGAGCCGCTGCTTTTCCTTCTCCCTTAGCGTGATACTACCATATTTTCATTATTGGTGAAGCAGAGCAGCATATTCCTTCTCCGACCGTGCAAATGATCTACAGAGTAAAGCGGTTCTGGAAGAATCACCATGCGTTTCAAGGGAAATGCAGTTCCCTACTGTCAACAATCAGCCTTGGGATGCCACATGAATTGCATAGGAATCAACATAATGCCCTCTATTCAACGCTGCCAACAAAAATCGTCTCGTTGGATTCATTCATAGCAAAAGGAGGAGTGGTGCCAATCGCTCATCTTTTCGCCACGAAGTTGCACCAGCAGTTGTGAGGATATGCAGACCAAGATTATAAGCGAAGCTACTCCTAGAACAGATAAGTATTCGTTATTAAATAGAGCTCTAGTTTAGTGTATTTTGGTTTTTGTTGATTTTTGTTGATTTTGTTGATTTGAGACGCTTGATGTTGTTGTCGATGTTTTCGTCTTGGAGGATGTCTTATTTGATATCAGGGAGATAAACGGGAATATCATGTTTTTGAAAAAAGGGAATATCATGTTTGAAAAAAAGGAGTGTCATGTTTGACGGGATTATCCTGTTTCAAGCGGGGAATACCATGTTTCAAGCGGGGAATACCATGTTTCAAGCGGGGAATACCATGTTTGAAACGTGAGACTGTCATGTTTCAAGCGGGGAATACCATGTTTCAAGCGGGGAATACCATGTTTCAAGCGGGGAATACCATGTTTGAAACGTGAGATTGTCATGTTTCAAGCGGGGAATACCATGTTTCAAGCGGGGAATACCATGTTTCAAGCGGGGAATACCATGTTTGAAACGTGAGACTGTCATGTTTGAAGCGTGGAATACCATGTTTGAAGCGGGGAATACGATGTTTGAAACGTGTGTTTGAAGCGGTGTTGTCTCACAGAATGAATTTTTCCAAGGTGTAGCTATCTTGATAATTGCTATCACAATCGACGAAGAAGACTGGGATGGCTTGTACTAGATTGGCTTTCTGCTATATTATCGCTAGTTCTTCTTGCCAAATTCTAGTGCTGAATATGTATTCAAAAGAAAAATAATTAAAATACTAGATCTATTAGTCAAAACTATAGTTCGTCGTGACTGAAGTCAGAAATATATACAGCTCGGTGTCTTTGCAGACTTAATGGCCGTGCGGATACATGTACTTCTTGAAATCCTTATGGAGCATCTCCAAAGCAAAGGTAAAGCTCAGGCTACTCATTTGTGGTGCTGTCCCCAAATATTCCATCATAAACGCCTTCAAGGGAAGTGGCTTTGGATCTGGAAAAGATGCAAACAGTGTCAAGCCTGCAACGCAATGCTGAAATGCAAACTCTCTCGCATGGTGCTCCTCTTTTCGCTGTTCGTGCCAGTCTTGGATTCTTTTGCAGGTGGGTCCAGACATCTCGTCTTTGTCATCTTCATGAGAGGCCATCGTGAAAAAAGCTAGCAACACCAAGCGTCTCAGATCAACAACATATATTCCAAGAGGCTGATTGTTGATAGTGGGGAACTGTATATGGACTATAACTTCCCAACGAAACATCTGCGAAATTTCATTCTGACAGGTACAGTAACAGCATTTGCATCACTACCACTCGAACTCAACGTTGAATCGGTCCATCAGCCTGCATTCTGTCTGTGCCCTGCGTGTATCCATTCCAAATATCTAGAGCTGCGACTCAGCACAAAATATTCTGCTGACTTCGAAGTGCTGTAGCGTTTATGAGACTTGGAAATCGATCATACTTCCGGCCCTACAGATTTTAGTCATCATACTTTTGGCCCTACAGATTTTCGTGGTAAAAGGTACGTACAAGTAATAGTACGGGATTTCCAGTACGAACAGCGGAATCCTACTCACAGGAATCTGACTTGGTTCCTTGTATATCAACAGTCACTTTGGGGGATTTTGAGAACTCGAAATGGTAGATTCTGAAGTTCCGTTTTCATCTGTTTTAGACTTAGTAAGTACTTGTTTGTCCGTCCCCCATAAAAACCTACTTTTGAGCCATCCCCAATAATCGAAGAACGACCAAAAGGACGGAATACGTACGTACGATGGGATACGGACACAGATGGTCCCAGAATGGACCCTCCAGCTGGCACCCCGAATGTACCCCCAAGGAATGGAAACTCCCCTAAGCTAAGTCACGAGTCCAAATTGATTCATTCATTCCCTCGTAGCGACATACGTCATCCCATCGAAGATGCGATGATCATTCGATTTTCTTCTTTCTTTTTGGAGGAATACTGTACCGGTACCTACCCAACGATATCCTTCAGGCATAAAAAGCAACATACCCTTTTCTCAAACAGATTTTCAACACCAGCCACCATGAAATTCAGTCTATCTGCCGCTCTTCTCCTCGTTGTCGCTCCCACTGCCTTCGGTCTTCAATCCAACTATCTTACTCAGTTGAACGGGGGAATGATGGCCAGCACATCGTCGTCATCCGGCAGCTTCTTCCCAGCTCCTACCGAGACTATGACCAACACTGCGTCTCCTGTTAGCAACGGCTCCTTCAATGCTCCCATGGCATCTTCATCAACTCCATCTCAAGAACTCTTGAACCTTTGGAGTGCCCAAGTTTCCGTGGAATTGTCTGCTTCCCAATTGTACTTGAGTGCTTCCATTTGGTTCCGTAACCGTGGATACCCTGGCATGGCCGCATGGATGTTGGAAGAGTCCGATGAAGAACGTGGCCACGGTTTTGCCATTTTGGAATTTGCCATGAAGAAGGGATTCCCTGTTGTCTTGGAGGCATTGGATGCTCCTCGAAATGACTGGACAGCTCCTATCGAAGTTTGGGAGAGCATTATGGATGCGGAACAAACCAACACACAGAATCTGATGCGATTGGCGCATGCTGCCAATGGATGCGGAGATTATGCTGCCATGGCATTCCTTGACCCCTTCCACGCTGAACAACTCGAGGCAGAAGACAAGGTTTCAGGAATCTTGAACAAGGTTCGATATGCTACTCCTGAGTTGATGGCACAGCTCGATTACGATCTTGGTGAGGAGGAGGAAGAGCACTAAGCTCACTATTACTATGTGAAAATTAATGATGAAGAGTTGTACATTTTTGTTTTTGTTGACCAATTCATCATCATCCCGAACCCATTTTTTGAGTCTACTGTTTTTCAAGTGCTGAAGCTCGCTTTTGCTTTTTTCGTTCATCTCTTTCCAACAATTGCTTCGCCCTACGAATATCCTCTTTGCTCATTCCTTTGCCAGCGGTTTCTTGGAACCTGGCTCGGAGGGCCTTATTTCTGTCACGCTTCGACTTGGCATTTTGTTTGGACTTTGCGTCGTGGTCTTCCTTACAGGGCACCTTCTTCTCCTTGACATCATTGTCGATACTGCCCTTCTTTTCTTTCGTGGAAGATTCATCTTGACTAGACTTTTTGCCGTCTTCACTAGAGGACGTTTCTTGGTCCTTGCCTTCCTCCTTTGTCTCGTCGCCTTCTTCTTCTTTTGATTCTCGTTCTTCAACTTGCATCTCTAGAGATTTCCTTTCTTTCTTCATTGCCTTCTTTTGCTTTTTGCGTTCGTCCCGAGCAATCAACAGTTTGGCTCGTTCCAATTCCTCTGGGTCCATTCCTTCTCCACCAGTCTCCTGATATTTTTTTCGCAATGCTTGGTTTTGCACTAGCTTGTCTTCCTTGGCTTGTTCTGCCCAAACCAAAGCCTTGCTGGTTTCAGGATCGTGCCGTTGTTTCTTGGGGGGTGGCCTCGCATCACGATCATATGAACGGGGAGCAAAAGGACGTTGGTGTTTAATAGTAAACATGACCTTTTCCTGTTCGAGGAGTCGTTGTTTTTTCTTCATTTCTTCAAATTCTGCCTGCTTTTGCTCTTGGACGGACCGTTCGCGTTTCTCCGCCCTGCGTTTGAGTGCTTCTTCGGACCGTGCCATAGTGATGATGATGATGATGATGATGATGATGATGATGATGATGATGATGATGATGATGAAATTGAAATGATGTTGGTGCTGATACTCGAGAGCGTCGTAGGTACGGTAGTTCGTTGTGGACCCCAAGGTTTCTAATATTATTTGACAAGATTCTTGTTGGTTGGACGAGATGGGAATCATCATGTTTTGCGATGATGTTTGAGTCGGGCTGGTGGACAGACTATTTTAAAATATCACTGACTGGTTTGACTAGATTTGAAATTTCTGAATGAAGAATGAATCTCGTCGAATCTCAATGCATTAGGAAAACGCAGCGCATAAAACGACGATAATGAGGTGTGACAACAGGCTTGGAGAAGGAATATTTTTGAATCCTCGTTAACACAAATCTAGCTGCTTCTTAGTTGAACCATGGGAAACACGTCCTCTTCCAAGGTCACCAAGAAAGGAGACCGTAAAGAAGAAGCAAAAGCAATTGAATCATCAAAGCCCAACAATAAGATCACCACCACAACAACGAACACTACAAAGTCAACTGAAACTCTTCATTCCAAATTATCCGTGACTGACCATACTGGTGATACTACTCGAAACGTCTTTGACTATTATGAAAAAGTCAAAGTGATTGGAGAAGGAAGTACCTGCAAAATCTTTGCCGTCCGGCGAAAACGCTCATCATCCTTTCAAGAAGATGAAGACGATAATGATGAGGACCAGCAATCATTGCTAGCGCTCAAGGAAATTTCCAAAGATCAAGTCGATGGTACCTTTTTGGAAGAGCTCCGGAACGAAGTGGCCATTTTGAGAACCTTGGATCATCCCAACATTGTCAAAGTCTACGAAATGTTTGAATCCAAACGTGCAATTTACTTGATCATGGAATACTGCTATGGTGGTGACTTGTATGGTCGGGTGCCTTATACAGAAGCGCAAGTGGCCAAAATCATGACCAAGCTCTTGTCCGCGGTAGCCTATATTCACAAGAAGAATATCGTTCACCGCGATATCAAGATGGAGAATATCATGCTGGAATCGGACAAGCCAGATGCCAAGGCCAAGTTGATTGACTTTGGGTTGAGTCAGTCGTATTGTATTAGTAGCAGTAGTAGTAACAACAAGTCCAAGATGACTCATCTCTCGGAACTTGTGGGAACGGCCTACTGTATGTCACCTCAAGTGATTCGCAAGCAATACACTTCCAAAGCGGATCTTTGGGCTTGTGGTGTGGTGGCCTTTATACTACTTTCCAACAAGTGGCCATTTGAAGGGAGTGCCAACAAGGAAATTACCAGCAAGATTTTGAAGAATGATTGGAACAAGGACTTTGAAGGAGAGGAATGGAAACATATCTCGAGTGAAGCCAAGGCCTTTGTACGGCATCTTATGGCCTATGACGAAGACAAGCGATGGGACGCGGGTCAAGCCCTTCGATCCAAATGGTTGACCAAGGCATTTCCTTCCGACGAAGGTCCTCCAGAGCAAAAAGTCTTGAACAGTGTGACGAATGCTCTGATCCAAAATGCAAATGATGGGAAAATGAAAAAACTTGCCATGCAAGTCATTGCGTACAATAGTTCCACCAACGACATTGAAAAATTACGACATGTATTCGATCAGTTTGATGCCAACCACAAGGGGACTATAAACTATTGGGAATTCCGAACCTCGCTGAATCAGTGCAAGTACAAGGATGCGGACATCAAGAAAATATTCAAGAATCTGGATGTGAATGGGACGGGTGTCATTAACTATACAGAATTCATTGCTGCCACTTTGGAAACTCTGGGAAAGATTGAAGATGAAAGGATACGAGCAGCCTTTGATAAGTTGGACGAAGACAATACTGGACACATTTCCAAGGAAAATCTATGCACCGTGCTTGGAGAAAAGTGCACGGCAAGCGATTGTGATAACCTTGTCAACGAACTAATGGAGGAAGTTGACATAGATGGGGATGGGACCATTACATATGATGAGTTTTTGAATCTTTTCCGTGAACGGCATCGTCAAGCCAATCAAAATGCGTGCTGTTCACCCATGAAATCCAAAGAAGAAGAAAAATCAAATGGTTGTGGGGGCAAGACCTGTGGTGGAAGCAGCTAAGCGCCTCCAGAGAGAGAGAGCGAGAGAGAGAGCAATAAGGGCGCGAACGGAAGTTGATGAGGGTGCAGAGAGTACCCTGGTACAAGCATATTGTAGCGATCCTGTTTCCGAAGGTTCCTATCCCGTTTGCATCAAAGGTTGCTATGTATATATTTAGCTTTAATCATGGATTTTCAAACTGAAGCAACAAGCGTTGTGTTTTAGCAAATTCGGTTCTGGTCAATCGCCAACAATCGTGGGTAGGTTCGAAAATGAATCGAAGAAGTCAATGCTCACTGGGGTGGGCGATGCGGTGATATCAAGCAGTCGTGAGTGACCCTTAGATTTAACACCGAAAGAACACGAAATCAAGATGACCGCCGAAAACCACACGACGGATAACGGCAAAGTAGCGGTGCTATTAATTTTGTTTTTTGAACAGACGATAGTGCCTAATCAAATTCATACAAATCATCCAAACACGAACCAAAACGGAAACTTCACAAAGAAAAACGAAGCCGGAAAGAACGAAAAACATCTCTTTCACTTTTTTTCCAATCCTTCTCGTGACAACCAACACAAAACAACAAGATGCCACCCTATTGCTTTTCAGCCTCACCAACAACTATGGAATATGAATCCAAGCCAGACATGTCACATCTGTGCAGTCAGCCTCAGCAGGAGCAGCTTCAGCCTAGATCAGTTAGCTTTGATGAAGACGAACAACAACCTGCACCAGTCGCACCAAAGAAATCCGTTTCGTTCTCTCCCACATCCGAGTTGTACCTGATCCCACACCACAATGAGATGTCTGAGGAAGAGCGTCGCGCCACTTACATGACAAGTCAAGACTATAATCGCATGGACAGAGAAAACGTCGCCACTGTCAGACAGATGCAACAACAAAGTTTTCCCGCGAATGACGATTTGTACTTTCGTGGACTGGAAAACGCATTGCCACAACCTATGAAAGAACGCAAACAAAGAATAAAGTTTGTTGTCTTTCACGTCCTTCAAGAACAGCACCAAAGTCACACCCTAAATGACGAATGGATTGAATCTCTGCGTTATCATTTTACATCCAAGTCTGCTGATTTCGCCAACAAGATGGGAATCTGGGACTACGAAGCCATGAGAGAAGACTTGGTCAATGATGCAAAGTTCATGAGCCCTATCTACGGTCCTCCAATCACCACGTTGTCAAGATAAAAGGGAAAATGATCCATCTTGAAACCGCGCATAACCAGTAAAAAACTATAGAATAATATGATAACATAAGAGCTAGCAGAAACTTCCGATTACTTCTTAAATCTAAGCACGTCACTAGATATAGTACACGAAGAATAGAAGTATCTACTGAGGGAAGCCTTAAATCTAACAAATGATGATGACGAGAAATAGTAAAACAAGTCTAAAGGAGGCATATCTATTGACTGTGATTAATTCCTATTCGTATTCATACTTTGACGTGTAATGTTATCATCGTTACCGCTGTTCTTATTTCACGGATGGTAGTGATTGGGTGCAAACTAAACTAACTTATTCTTTCTAATTGTCAACAGATGACTAGTGTAATAGTTGCCGATGTGTGTTTTAAAGCGTCTTCTTGGTAGCATTTCCTTCCTTGTTAAAGTGGTACCAGGAAGCTACATAAGAGGCCCCGAGGCTTACAGGTATCGAAACATCATAGATCAAATGACCACCGAGCTTGGATACAAAAGACTGGCAAGCAGTAGATTCTATCCATGGGACCAATGACACCACCGTAAAGGCAATGGAGTTGGCAAGGTATCCATAGTTCTTCAGATCAGATGTCAAGTTCAATTGGGTATAGGTAAATGCTACCGACAGAACTGCTTGGACGTAGCCAAAGCTGAATACCTCTTTGACAACGAGTTGCCCCAATACAGCTGGTAACGAGAACAGAGCGATCGTTCCATTTGATGACTTAGGCATTGCCCCCTTCAGCAGACCACACCAAAATAGAAAGAGAATGACCAACAGTGGAAGTCGCTGGATTGTGTCCATGTTAGTAAGCTTCTCCAACCTATTCGAGCTTGTGGCATCAGTGTCGTCCACATCTCCACTCCGATATAGCATCCATGCAATGCCTTCGTGCGCAATTCCATGGCCCAGATGGCCAAGCAAGTTGAATTTCATCAGGTCGTCCATCAGCCTCATCTCGGAACATGAATCTTTCAATTTTTGGTAGACTTTGAATCCGAGAAGGACAAGGATTACATCGGCATAAAAGCACAAATCATGAGATGACAAGTAGGGCACATCCTTGTTGATGACACAGAATCCATCTTGAACCCATTGTTCGTCAAATATCTTGCTTCCAGGTTCGGCATACATCAACACCAAGACGGTGTAGACTAGGACTGATCCGGCACTGACGCCCATCAGGATGTCACCTGCGGATGCATAAGATGATGACATTCTGTTGATTGCTGTCTATTGTTGATAAAGTATTTATTGTGTTTGAAAATAGGGGATCGTGTTGTTGCGATCGACACGTTGCAGAACGTGAAATAAGTGTTATTGTCATGACCCATTCTCATGAATGTTGCGACTATTTTAGTCCATCACAAAAGTGAAGGCAAAACGCTTCGATCCAGAGTACTGTATGCATAAGAGGCTAGAGTTTAGATCGTATTAGACTACTTTGAGGTGAAGACGCTTTCCCCAGCCAATCCATGACGGCTATGGGCACCTTTCCTCCAAGCATGAATTGGACAATGACATCTTGGTGACCTGTTTTTGGAGCATAATGCTCCTCGATGGAAGGAAGTCCACAAGAACGCAAGATTCGAGCTGCTTCCGATGTTGACGTGAATGGAACTACTTCATCTTCAATACCATGGACAAGAAGGGTCCTTGGAAAGTATATTTCGGGCAACAGATCTTGTTTGCCAGGAGGAATTGATGACAAGAAGTCCTTCAGTCTCCATGCTGGACTATTCAGCCGAAACTGCTCTCGTGTGTAACCACAAGCTGGTTTGAGCGGACTTAACTCTTCCACTCCACGGGCAGCTTCATAGTCAAAGTGATGGCTTATATCGTAGGGCCCTGACAATCCAACAAATTGATCCACAGGCTTGGCATTGCTGTCATTCATGTTTTGTTCTGTAGTACACTCGCCAGCATGTTCACGCATCAGGATTGTCCTTTTGATTAGTTCAATGAGAAAGAGAAGTGCAACATGTGCCCCACTGGAGTGACCCATAAGAATCAGACCGATTGGCCGTGATGCCCGCGACGGTCCACACAAACGAGGGTACTCCTTGCAGAGCTTCTGATATGCCAAGCCTGTGTCACGTACTTGAACATTGATATCTCCTTCAGGGTACACACGGTAGCCTACAATAGCGACTGCTACTTTTTGTTTCAAAAAGGGAACTGCAGTAAGCTGTTGGAATTGAGAACAGTTCAGTGTTAGCGGGGTCCAGTTGCATACAATAAATGATTCGTATTGCCGTCGTGTATTTCAAACAGCACATACCCTATAGAACCAAGTCTTTCCACTTCCCCAAGCACCCCCATGGACGAAAAAAAGCATCCCAGCAAGGTTGTCCTCCGCAACGCCCTCAGGAAACATCAAATCAATGAATTGAGATGGATGCTGACCATATCTCATCTTCTTCACTCGATTTGTCAGCTGGAGCATGGTTCGGGCGGCACTGGGGTTTGTAATGGCAGCGAGAGGGATGCCATATTGCACTAAATCATCCGAAATTCGGCGGAAACCGCCACTATCCCGTAGACTGTTCTGCCATTCCAAGGGCAAGACGGATCCCAGAAATCGGGTGGCGCCGTCTGGGGAATCCACCGCAAGATGAGGATGTGGTATGTCGTGAAGATCAGCGTTATAAACCAAGTGCATCAGCCGCTCTCGTAGCCCACTGTGAAGATTGTAGTCTGAATGAGCATGATCGAGGTGATGATCGCCAATGTAACCCTTGGACGCTGGGTTGCGATCGGTAATGACGGCCCGATGTGCCGTGTCGATTGGGGCAGATCTTGGTGGTGAAAGAGAAAGCTGAAAAGACTTCTCTGTCAAAAGAGATTCTTCATCCTTTGCTGCTGACATTGCGAACTACAAATGGTGTAGTTATCGAGTTTCTTATTAGACTAGTCGTTGATGGACGATTCCTTCATCAATCATCGCTTGTGTGAAGGATTTTATTTTTGAGTGACTTGTAATCGGACAGTGTCCGTCAAACTTCAATCGTGAAGTCTAAACCCACGTTCAACATAGTCCTATACTGGTAGAGTACAAGCGCCAGGTTCCAGGTAAGCTACAAATACCTAATACTAATATGTAGCGCTACACAATATTTAGCTTTCCAAAATCGGCGCTGACAAAGAAACAGTCAGCCTCATGATTATACGCTGAGGGTTTGGGTTTTGGAATCCGTTGCCCGGCTTTGCCCACGGAGTCCATAAGTCTCAGTCATGTTGGAAAAGACAAGAATAGGAATAATGGACAGGAAAAATGAAGCGGTCAAGCTGGCAATGTGTCCATATCGCTCCACAACCATTTGCCCCAAAAAGTTAGAGAGGGTTGCCCCTAGACCAAAACAAGAGGCGATCAACCCATCTGTACGCAAAAAGAAGACATCGAGAATTAGATATAATGTATGGAAAAAATTAGAAACACAAAGACCAGAACGCCACTTACTGACGGCATTGAACCTTCCAGATCCAAAGGTAATGTCAGCAATAATCAGAGGCTGGATCAAACCCATAAGACCTCCTCCAATTCCATCAAAGATTTGAGTGGACAGGAGGAAGGCTGAACCTGCATCGCTGAACATGATAATGAGAGCGCAACGGATTGGTAGACTCAAGAGTCCAGCCATGAATAGAACCTTTCGTCCAGTTCCCTTGGCAGTGTAATTGTCACCGATTTGCGTAGCAAACGCCATTGTGACTTGAGCCATGATAATGGCGCCTGCTGTTAGAGGGATGGCGTTTCGGCTTTGAGTATCACTTCCGCCTCCTTCTTGACCCATTAACTCTCCCAGTACCAGCAACACGTTTGCGTTGGCAAAGCTGTTACACACAAGAGATGGTGCAAATAAAGATGAGATGAGATTATGTGGAGTAGTTCAATGCATGAGTATAGGCAACTCGCGCAGATGGTACGTACTGAAAGAAGAATCCTGTGCAACACAAGATGCATGTGTTGCGATCCAAAAAGACATCCATGTAAGCAGCTGCTTCAGGCATATCTGGTACTACCGCCTCCAGAATACTGGCTCCGACCAAGGGCGTATTCTCACTGGGTGGCTTTTCCATGTTGTCACCAGTTTCACTGTCCGACAAACTATCAATTCTTGTTACAGTGTCGGAATCTTCAGCGCTTCGGAATCCTCTTCCCAACAAAGGATCTCCTTGTGGCAAAGACTGAACAAATCCAATTGCAATTAGTGCAGATGCTCCAATAATCAAAAAGCAGAACTTGATGTCTGGGAATGACATGTAGGCTACCAATCCAGCCAAACCTGCAGCCATCACAGACCCAACGTGTCCCCAGTAAATGTTCGAAGCCATGACTTCATCGAATCGATCTGGACCGAACGAAGCCAATGTCAAAGCTGCAAGACAGGGACCAATAAAGGAAGAAGAGATCCCTTCCAAAATCTTGGAAGCGTAAATGAGCACATGGTCGGTATTTCCATGACGAACCATCAAAATGGTGGATGCCGAAATTGCCGTGACGATACTGGCCATCGTCAAAAAGACGCGTCGATCAATCGTTGCTCTGTCAACAAAATCACCAGCAAATGGCTGAACCAACAAGGCTGTCAATCCCATCAGAGACAAGGCCTTTCCGACAGAAGACTCATTCCATCCAATGCCAACCAAATAGATACCCTGAAAGATGTTAAGGCCATCACCGAGCTGTCCCAGACTCATGGAGACCATGAGAAAGGCCATACGAGGTGAGATATATCTCCAACTGGAGGTGTCGTCATTGTTGCTGGATGTTCGACGAGGCATGATTATTTTGTGATTTGACTCAACAGAAATCAGAAGTGTTGTCTTCTCCCGTTATTTTTTTGGTATTTTTTTTTGACGCTCGTTATGCTCGATACACGGCCAATAGCATCGGTGGAAACGACGTTTGAACCACGTACACGAATCTGGTGACATTGAAAATCAACGGTTTGAACCACACATCTGCGTAGACGGCCAAAACTAGTTTGAAAATCTGCATCCGTCAAATTCGTCTGTTATATGATGATAACCGCTTTGTAACGCTTATCATATCGTATCTTCTTGTTGGCCGTATGATACTTAGTAAACACCTTGAAATAGCTGCGGGGCGAACGTTTCAAGGACTGGACTGCGTCACGCCGTCTCTTTTGAAAAATGCTAATTCCAAATAACAGAAACCTCCGTCAAACGCAACGGAGTCACTTTTGTTGGCTGTTGGCAGCGAGGACCAAGATCGTACTGCAAACTGACCAAGAGAACTCACAATATATGAAGATCAAGATCACCCGTCAATATCATGACTATCATCTCCAAGCTCAAAGACAAAGACGAAAGGCAACGCTTAATCAGCACTCCCCCAAGGAGTCATCAGCGTGCCATCAATCAGTGTTCTGTTTTGTCTCCTGTTCGAAGCCCACATTTCGCTGTGGCAAACGAATACGAAGGATTCGATCAACCAGTGAATGCAGAGAATGAAAGCAAAGAGCGCTTTATCCGCATTATCAAGTACACAGTTTCCTTTTGCTTCATGGCGTTCTGCCTCATCTTCATTACTCGAGGTATCTTTCGAAGAGAAACTCCAGTTGCCATGGGGGCAGGTCCCATTGTTGCATTCTGTGTGATGTGGTTCCTCATTGCATGGCTGGGTATGCTAGAAGGGGGACAAGGCTCTTTAGTTGGACTCCAGCCAATCAATCGGGAACTATATAGGGGAACTCACAAGAGCGCATATCAATGCACTGGACTTGTGTACGAGGGGGACAATCTGAACAGGTTTATTGTTGGCCGGCAATTCTTGGTCGTTCTTGTGGTATTCTGCCTCAACTTGGTGTGTACTCCTCTGGAAGGCCCTCCTGTTCCTCTAGCAGCCGTTGGCCATGCACTCGTTCCTCCAATGGAAGATGCCTTGGGTCCTCAACGAGGATTTGGTCCAGGTCATCGCGAAGATGGTCCTCTTCCTCCACCACCAGGCGGTCCAGGTCGTCCAGGCCCAGGACCACTTGAAGATGGTCCTCTTCCTCCACCACCAGGCGGTCCAGGTCGTCCAGGCCCAGGACCACTTGAAGATGGTCCTCTTCCTCCACCACCAGGCGGTCCAGGTCGTCCAGGCCCAGGACCACTTGAAGATGGTCCTCTTCCTCCACCACCAGGCGGTCCAGGTCGTCCAGGCCCAGGACCACTTGAAGATGGTCCTCTTCCTCCACCACCAGGCGGTCCAGGTCGTCCAGGCCCAGGACCACTTGAAGATGGTCCTCTTCCTCCACCACCAGGCGGCCCAGGTCGTCCAGGCCCAGGACCACTTGAAGATGGTCCTCTTCCTCCACCACCAGGCGGTCCAGGTCGTCCAGGCCCAGGACCACTTGAAGATGGTCCCCTTCCTCCACTAGGACATGGCAGAAAGCTTCTTATCGAAGACGACCCAGTTCCTCCTGCTGAAGATGGTCCAGGTCCTCCACCAGAAAAGGGATTCATAGAGAGCTTTCTAGTTTCTGGCTTGCCTGTGATGTTGATTACTGTGATTCTGGGACAACTCGCTGCCGAAGTGAATGCAACCAATTGCATGCTGGACTTCATCAATTCGAAGTTGATGGTGGTTACTACTTGGATTTGCCTTGCTATTGAAGCGTCTGGATTGCTTCACGCTACCTATTTGGTCAGTGTTCTTTTTACTGCCTTTGACAAGACCGAGGCATCTTCATCAGATGCCCAGCCAACAAAAACGTCATATGAGCAAATCGGATTCTGGTCTCGCACTGTTCTATCTACGCTGATTCTGGCTGGTTGTCTCGCTGTCACGTGGCAAGCTCTTTTGAATGGACAAACAACCATGGACCTTTCGGGCTCGGCAGGAAGAATCTGTGCTTTCTTTGCACTGTCGTGCTTTCTGGGCATTTTGGAAGCCATGCAGATTGCCGTCTTCGCTGTGTCCAAGCTACCGGAAAGTGAACTCGCGCACTATCCGACTGCAAGTGCAAATTCGCAGCTGGTATTCAAAGGATCGAATTTCAAAGCTTTTCTTACCGGGCGCCAAATCTGTGTTACCATGAGCATGTTCCTTCTTGCTCGACTCACCACAACTGAAGTGAAGCCCGGGGAGACAGTCATGGGGATTAGTGATGGGCTTCAATTCTTTTTCAACACTGGTTTGCCAGGCGCTTTGATCACAACGATTGTGGCCTCTCTATTCTGGCGCATTGTTGCCTCTTCCTACCCCATTGCTTTTCTTACCAACCCAACTGTCAAGCCTACCATCCAAACATGTCTCGCGTTGGAAGCTTCCGGTATCTTTTCTATTTCCTGGCTTTTGGCTGACATTGTCAGGCATGTGATGGATTTCCGATTAGACGATTACTATCTCGCCAGGGCCAAACTGGAATCAGATGGGTCTTGGGAGACTTTCAGCTCAGACGAAGAAACTGCTGCTTTGTCGGACCGGGCCTATTCCCAAGATGACATGATTCTCACTGCTTATGGAGCAGTGGCAGTTGATCAATAAAACCTTTGTTGAAAGAAAGACCGAGGGCTGCTGTATTTTTGGGTCTCACAATTCTCGTAGCCCGACAATTTAGTAGATTGACCAAATCATAGTTAAAATATACATAAAATGCATGACTTTGAAATATTCTTATGATGAATAGCATAGCTAGCTAATGGTCGAGTCGTCTTCGAATAATGTTCGTCCCACTAGCTTCAATGGTCTGGCCATACCATATTGCAGAAGATTTTGGAGTCCGCTCTAAAGTCTCAAAATCAACATAGCACAATCCAAATCGCTTAGTGTAGCCGAATGACCATTCGAAGTTGTCCATTAGACTCCAAGCAAAGTATCCTTCCAATGGAATACCCATTTCAATGGCCTCTGCACAAGCTCGAAGGGTGCCCTCAAAGAATCGGCGGCGCCATTCGTCCCGCAGAGCAGTCGCTAGATCTGGCTCCTTCTCCGCTGTTCCATTCTCGGTGATATAAATCGGTGTAATTTTATTGTCAGCATTCTTGTTGTTGTATCGATTTGTTATCCACAGCAGCAGCTCTCGGCATCCATCTGGATTGGTACTCCAGCCCATGTAGTTCTTATGCCAATGAGGGTCAGATGAGAATGTAACATGCATGTCCGCCCAGTATCCATCGAATTCTGATTCGGGTGTCCGTGGTTCTTCCGGTTCCTGTGCATACAGGCTAGAATAATGATTCAGACCCATAAAGTCGGCGGATCCGACAAGTTCTTTGCGTTGCTCTGGAGTAAATTGGGGAAGACGGTCTTGGAGAATCTCTTTCATTTCTGCTGGATAGTCTCCAAAAAAGAAGGGATCCGTCATCCAGGCATACTGAAAGACCATGGCTCGCTCTGCAGCTTGGGCGTCAGAAGGAGTCTTGGGATACCGAAAGTCACCACAATTTGAGATGCCAATGACCCCATCTTGACTTTGTGCATACTTTGTGTGGTAGATTTTGGCAGCTCGTGCATGCGCCAGGATGAGGTGGTGGGCCGAGAGGTAGACTTGAATGGCTGGATTTTCATTGATTCCTGGCGCCTTACTGCCGTCCTGGTATCCCTGAACGGCCACCGTCCAAGCTTCATTTATGGTAATCCACTTTTGTACTCGATCCCCAAAGAGAGCAAAACAAGTCTCGGCGTAGAGACCAAAATCATGGACAATCTGTGGACTCAACCATCCTCCATATTTGTCTTCCAGAGCTTGTGGCAAATCCCAATGGTACAAGGTAATCCATGGCTCAATATCATGTTCCAAGAGCGTATCAATAAGTTTGTTGTAAAATGCAACCCCCGGTAGATTGATTTCGCCAGTACCATTTGGGTAGATCCTCGTCCAGGCGATGGAAAATCGATAGGCTTTGATATTGAGACTTTTCATCAGCTGAATATCCTCCTTGACGCGATGATAATGATCACATGCGACATCTCCCGAGCTCCCATCCATGATGATTCCATTCTTTTTGGTAAAAGTATCCCAAATGGAAATACCCTTTCCTTCTTCATAAGCAGCCCCTTCAATCTGATAGGCCGAGGTGGCGGCACCCCACACAAAATCACTGGGAAACCGATGATGCTGGTTTTGCTGTTCCAAGAGCGACGACTCCATTCGTAGCTTGTTATTATTCATGTCTGTCGTATGCATGACCATGATCAAAGAAGCAACTACAATTAGAACAATGCTGCTACCGATACATATGCCGAACGCCTTCTTGGTTTTACTGGATGATCCTTCAAATGCAGGTTCCTCATTTGGTTGGGCAAGCAGACCAGACCGCTCCGTTGGCGATTCAAAATGACTGTCTACCATATCAATTGTCGTAGTCCTTTGATTCCATTCCAAGCACAATGTCAAACTGTGTGAGTGTGTGTCTCTGATGTTATA